GGGGGGTGGGGGGAGGGGATAGTTTCAGGTTTTCGAAGTTTTGTTGGAGAGTTGGAGGTTAAGAAGTGTGGTTTTTTTTAGGTAACGGAATCAGAGGTGGACGTTTTTTAAATTTGTTATTTAAAATATTTTGTTAAAAACTTTAAATTTACTTGTTACTTTAAATTTTCATATAAAATATTTAACATTTTTTCACACTTTTATTTGATTTAGTATTTTTTGATTTAAAATGAAAATACCACGAAAAATTACTAAACAAATAAATAATAAATAAGTGGACGATGTTTAGCATTTCTGCTTAGACTCGCTGTTAGGCTTTTTGGCTTTTACTACGATACGATAAGTTTCTTGCTTTTACAAATAGAAGTATAAGCGGTTCGCTAGCACAGGCCGGGTTTTTTAATAATACGTTTATTTCAGCTGGAGGTTGGGTTCAATCTTTGATGCTTAAGAGACAAATTATCAGCGAAAACTCGCTCTTCACCCTCATACTCACCATTTTAAGACACCATTAAAGTTTCAAACTTCAGTTTATTTCTTCAAATAAATTGTGTGATAATTATAACCAACTTGATTAGTTGGTTAGTCAATTATGTTATATCCATTTTTGTATAAAATGGTCTAAGAATATTATAGCGGTCAAGGGGGAAGTCCAACACCAATTGGACCAGATGGATCCGCTGAGTATTCTGCAACGTCCGCATTTTAGTAAATTGGGAAGAAATTATTCCATAGTTTTGGTGTTGTCTCAAAATTCTTTTTAAAAATTTTGTATAAATTATGATTTGCTATGATATGTTGGTACTTTTCTCTTTCTCATAAATTTGTAGGAAAATATACTTGAAAATATTTCGAAGATTTCACATTTTTTCGGTGAGAATGATTGATAAATCTTTAAATATTAACGATAACAAAGACAAAAATCAAAAACGAATATCGGTTAATAAACGATACACTGAAAATTCTAACGAAATTATTGATTGTAGCGGTTAGCTTTTCGTTTTTTATTTTTGATTTCTTTCCTTCTAATGTTAATTAAATTAAATTTGAAATAAAACATAAATTTGAATTTGCAGTTAATTGTGTTGAGAAAGGAATTGTTAAGGAGTTGTTGAAAATCTTTAATGAATTTGTTTGTGGTACCAATTGCATATTGTAACGAATTTCTCGGAATTTAATTATTTTTATCTTTGAAAAGTTGATTATTGATTAATTGATTGATTGTTAATATGACAAAGTTGGGGCAATGTGTATTTTTTCTCTCCTTTTTTTGCAGATAGTGATGGCCAAATTTTAAATATTCACGTGAAAGAACGCGAAAGTGAACGTGTGAAACGCAGCGCTCGAATTAGCAGTTTATTTAAAGAGTCGCCGAGTCTTAAAATTAAAGGATTGTTTACCAGAGAAACTCAAGGGACTCAGGAAACTCGAAAACGACCTCTCACAGGTTTTTTCTTAATGTTGTTTTAGTTTAACATTTAGGTAAATTGCATAATTTTGTTGGTCTTGAAGATTTACGTCTTAAGATTTACAGTTAGGCTTAACTTTATTTCAATTTTATTTATTTAGTTTTTATTAACATTTTGTTTTTTTTTGTTATTCTTATCATTTGAGAAATCATTTATTTTTTTTTATATTTTATGATGTTTTTGGAGATTTTCATCAGAATTTGGCGATGAAATATACATTGACCAATTTTTCTTTTGTAGGACTATTTCGACGTCCATCTACAAGTCGTTTAACAACAAATGATTCCAGTGCAATGAAATGTGAGATGGAAAAGGTCCACGTTATTGAAGATGAAAAAGTCAACAAATTAAGATCAACAAGTCTTCAGAATGGTTTCCTTTTTTCAAATTTTATTTTTGAAAGAGCTGATTTATTCTCCAGTTTTTGGAGTTTGAGGATTTGAGTTCTGGAAATTGAAATTTTTTAAAGATAGGAGAGAAAATTTCTGTCTTGAAAGTTCGAAATGAATAATTTAAAAAATATTTGTAACAGCGCTGTATATGAGTGGGTTTCCTTTTTGCTTAATTCACTTTTCCTCAAAAAATCCCATCTATTTCTTTATCAAAGTTGTAGCTTAGTTGTAGGTTCTACCATTATTCTTTCATAAAAAGTTTTCTGTGCAATATAAATTCATTCAATTTCAGTGGTCAACACTTCAGAATCGAAAAGCATAGGTGTTAAGGTTTGTTTAATATTTTTCATTGTTATTTTGAAATACTGAAAAGTGCTGCTTTGCGAAACTAATTCATTCTTAAGTGGTTTGGTTCACTTACTTTGCTTTGTCAAATAAGACAATTTTTGTTAGTGATTTTACAGGTGCGGATGAGTTTCCCGTATCATTTATATTTATGACTCGCCCGTATCACTTATATTTGACTGATCAGTCCTTTTAGTCTTGCTGAGGAGCCTAACATCGGCGAAATGATAGCAACGACCCTTAAGCCGTTCTATTCTATTCCATTTCAGATCGCCATAGTTGTCCGTAATATTTTATTAGTAAAATTGTAAAAAAAGTTACCAATTTTAATTCTAAACATTGTATTCATCTATTCAGGAAAATTCAGGGAAAATCTTGAAAGCGCAATTCGATAGAGACTGAATTAGGTTTTATTTGATTGCAGATCATTCTCTCATAATTTTTCCTTGTTTTCGTTCTTTAAATTGGAAGATATGGGTATTTAAAATAGATAGATAACGCGAAAATTGCATTTTCGTTGGATAACACCGAAAAATTTTGAGAGTTGAAATAAATTAGGAATTGAAAAATGATTGCCCTAAATAATTTCTTCGTATTTGATGATTTATTGGATTTCTCAAAAAATGAAGAAAAATGGGAGGATAATTAGCTATAGCTATAGCACTAGCGATGGTTTATCTTGTGCTGAACGTTTGTTGAAGTTTTCGGATATCTATTTCGTCGCAAAAATTTTAATGGACAATATTAAATTATAAAGAGTTTAGTAAAAGTTCATTGAGCTCATTCATTTATTTAATAATACAGAATTATTCAAAAACTAACAGTTTTTTATCATTATTGTTGTGATGTAACACATTGTTTTTTAATAATGGATATTTTTAATAGAGATTTCCTGAAAATTTCAATGAAAATCGGTCGGAATTTTACAATAAAGAAGGAATTTTTCAACTCGACTCTATAAACATGAAGAATATCTTTTTGGCGAAAATTGATGATTTAGGTATTTTTCATTTTGAATTTTTTTATGTTTAATAATTGATATAATTGTCGTTTCAGGATTATTAATAAATATCGTCCATGTTGATAGAGATCTTATTGGTAGTATTTTCACCTTATGCTAAATAAACTGGAAATAATGATTTATTGCTGAATTTGTGAAGTTGTTACTGAAAAGGATGATGGTTTATCGATTTTTTCAAGGAAATCATTGATACTGGTGTATTGATAAAAATTTATATCCATTTATTTATAAAATTTATATCAGAAAGTTTTTTTGTTATTTATGATTTCAGATTTATCGCTTTTATCACGTTTTTTGTGTTGTGAAGAGGATATAAAGGATGAAGAAATGGCGTGGACGTGGGATTATATTTTCGCCAATATTTCCACGGAAATGCGTGAAGAATGGTCATTGAATAATGGTGATGACGATGAAGAAATTTTTTATGAAAATCGAAAGATTAATTAATTTTGATTTCAATGATATAATTTTTTTAAGGAAAAATTTTCTATGATATATTATCAGGTACATAAGCTTATTTTAATTCAATTTAATACTATGGTTAATAACATAAAAGATATAGAGCCAAAAAATTATTTTTTGTACCATTGTATGCATTTCGTAATTTTTTGTAATCATTACGAATTTATCTGTATAATTTGTTTAATTTGACTATTTATTATTTTTTTTATTATTATATAATTATTTTTGTAAAGAAATCTTTTTAAAATTTTTGAATTTGAATTTAAATTTAATTTTTTAATCGATTCAGAAGGATTTCCGCTTTAATATGTTCTCAATGCAATACATTAATTATAATGAATTACCATAAATTATTTAAAGGAGAATGGTGAAAGATATTTGTAGATTTTGAATATTCTGTTGTATTATTATTCGTTTTGTCGTAAAATTTGTAATAATTTTACGATTTGCAAGTTGTATGGATGAAAATTTAGCTGATATATCGTTGAATTCGGAAATTTATATTTTTACGACACTGGGTTTTTGAGCCATTCGTTTCTATGTTTTTATGCGTAATAATTATTGAAGTGTTTGGATAAATGAGTCACAAGTGAGTTGGCACACTTTTATTTGGCTAAGTTGCTCGATTTTAGTTTATTTTATTGATTTAGGTGAAGTTGTTACTGAGATGGAATTTGGTTGGACGGTGCAATTTGGTTGCTACGCAGCAGAAATTGTGATGGGCTATTGAGTTCTAAGCAGTTCGTCCCAATATTCAGTGGAACTAACGGAGTGGGAGGACGGGTTGATTGCATCAATTTTTGTTTAACCCGTAATGCATAGATTTAAATGTTTAGCTTTAATACTTCTTTTTTCTTTATGGTATTTGCTGATAGCGCCAAGTCGATATTTCAATTATTTTTCGCATAATGGAACACATGAAATTATTAATAATAGAAGGAAAAAATTAATACTTATTTGGACGAAACTCTTTGGCAATGAACCGAATTTGGATATTCTTCGCGAATGCCCAATTGATTTGCAGGTATTTTTATCATCTTTCGATTAATTTTATTTATTGAAGGAAATAAACAATTATAAATGATTACTGTCATAAATTTAAAAATATTTTAATTAATTTTAAGAATAAATGAAAATTTTATCTTTTTTTTTAGACAAAATGTGAAATGACAAAAGATCGAAAACTTTTATTGGAATCGGAAGTTGTCGTTTTTCATATATTTGAAGGCGATTTTTTATTATCTGATTTGCCATCAACACGTTTGCATCAACAACGTTATATTTTTTTCACAATGGAAGTACCACCTAACCATAAAAAAGAATTAATACAAAAAATACCAGGTTATATTATTACCAGGTTATATCATCTTTTGAAACTCTTTGAGCTTTCAGCAATCTATTTTAATTGATCATTGAGTGAATTCATGCAAAAAAAGTGGAATTTTTGAATTTTTTCAGAGAATTTTTTCAATTGGTCTATGACATATCGATGGGATTCTGATATACCAGCACCATATGGCGGAAGATGGATTAATCCAAACGAAAGCAAAAAAAATAGATTTACTCCTGAAATATTAACTTCAAATCAAGGAGACATTTTGCGAAAAAAGAATAAGGCTGTATTTTGGATTGTTTCGAATTGTAAAACATCATCAAAAAGAGAATTAGCTGTCGAAAAGTTGTCGAGGTTCCAGAAACATTTCATCAATTTAATTAGCTAATCTAATAATATTTCATTTTTTTATTAATTCTAATCACTTCAATTGATATTGATAATTGAGTATTCTTTATGTTGAGCTATTAAGGTGACTGTTTTTCCAGAAAATTATTTGACAGTAGAAATATATATGGGGCAGCAACCATCCGATTTAATGCCTTTTCGCTGACTAAGGGAAGAAAGTAATTAATAGATAATATTTTAATTTTAATAATAATATAATTAATAGATAACATTAATTAATTAATAGGTAACAACAAAAACAATAAAAAAAATTTTGATGGGAAACAGTCTTTGAAACTAGATAAAGGATTTAAATTACATAAATTTGGTGCCAACCTTATTTTGAAAATAAAGGATTTAAATTACATAAATTTGGTGCCAACCTTATTTGGTGCCAACCTTATTCAGTAATTCAAAAAAATTATTAAATAAAAAATTTGCTTTACTTTACATTTTTTAATATTTTTAATATTTTAATATTTTTAATATTTAATATATTTTTTAATATAATATTTAATATTTTTAATATTTAATATTTTCACTTCATTGTGATTTTATTTATAAAGAAAGTGTGTAGAAAAATAATGGTTAATATTTTGTTTTCAGGCATATAACAGTGGACATTTATGGGAAATGTGCGAAGGATTTTTCAAAAATTTTTGCCTGTCCTCGTAATAATATTTCATGTATTGAAGAGTTTGGCCAACAATATTACTTCTTTCTTGCACTGGAAAATACTGTATGCAAGGATTATATAACTGAAAAATATTGGAGTCGATATTATTTGCCAAGTATACCAATTGTTATGAGACGATATTTATATCAAAAGTTAGTTAATTAATTGAAAAATTAAATTATATCAGTTTCATCAACAGGAAGTAACTCTTTAACTATATTATAAAAATTGATTTTTTTTGACAAAAAATATTTTTCAAAATTGAAGAATTCTTCCTCCGAAATCTTTTATTGCTATGGATGATTTCAAAAGTGCCGCTGACATGGCAAATTATCTTCTCATTCTGATGGAAAATTATACCGCATATATGGAATATTTCGAGTGGCGAAAAGATGGATGGGCAAGAATTTGGCAACATCCTCAGCAAGGGTTTAATACTTTTGTCCTGGTTTCCGTTAAAATTTGTGAAATGAAATTATTATTATTGAAATATTGCTAAACATCGAGAATGAAGAACATTTTCCAATTTCCAATATTTTTAAAACTATTCTTTAAATAGTTTGATTCGTAACATCCTCTCTATATTTTTATTCCCTTTTTCTGATTTTATGTATCTTTATTTCTCATTTTTAAAATCAGAATAAAATTTAAAATATAAATTTTTATTAATTCTTTGTGAATTCCATGTTATAGAATTGTTTAATTGCATTTTTCTTTCAGGATAAGTTTCTGTAAATTGTGCGAACAATTGATATCGAATCCCCATCATAAATCTATAAAAAACATTGAAAGTTGGTTCTATAACACGTCATCCTGTGAAGGATCAGAGTTTGCTGCTAACTGGCAATTGTAAATATATATTCATGAAATCATTTTTCTGAAAAAGCTGTGAAATGATGTTATTTATTTTTCTCTATTTTCTTGGTTTTTATTATTCTTTTAATCTAAATAACCTATTGTCAAATTATTTTTGAAGATAATTACTAAATCGACGAGAATGTCAGCAAGCATACGATCTATAAAAATTGATCTTGTTTATTATAGAAAATAATTTATACATCATACATCATTTTCTAATTTTTATCAATATATTACATCATTTTTTCCACTAATTTTTATCCATATTGATTTATTATATTGATTATAAAAAACTCATTTTCTGTGAATGCTATGCATCATTCTCAATCTTGGGTCCTCTACCAGAGACCTAGGAACTTGAGGGTCCAGCGAAGTATCTTAACTGTGTATTCTTCTAGATAGAGATCTTGCTCCTGAAATTTTGAATGTTGAAGCCATTTTTCTAATTTAAGAATCACAGTTCTTCCTATTACCACTGGGATTATATATATATGTATTATAAATATATATATATTATATATATTATAAAAACATATCTAATCTGAAAATGCACTATTACATTTACACTGTATATGCGTAGTAATACATTAGCAAAATATATCAAATTAACAAATCTTCCAGAATCAGATGAATGGATGATTACTATGATGAGTAGATAGAAATGAATGAGTGCGAATAATGATAATGACAATGAACGAAAATAACTACTATCAATAACTATTTGTTTTTTGGTGAATATGAAAAAATAAAAAATGATCCATCGCTAAGAGTGTCTTTTTTTCTTATATATTGATATATTTAATGATGATGAAGATGATGAAAACAATTAAATCGTGATTCCATTATCTCATATATGTCATTATTTTAACATTTCATTACTTTTAAAATGGTTTTTTTTTGGCGTTGAAAAGGAATATGAGAAGTTAGGGAAATACCAAGGGCGAGAAAAGAAACTAGAAAATATGTGGAAAATGAAGGCCAAAGTGGTATTTGAAGCAATTGTGACTGTGGCCTCTAAACTATAAAGTGGCTTTAGAAAATTCCAAGAACAACATCAGATACCTCCATCCAGAAGAGCGCGCTATTAGGGACAAGGAACTGCGCAAAATCCTCAATCTCCCAAGCCTCTCATAGATGTTCCGAGGTTGACGATGATTATGATCACCTACAAGGATGAAAAAAAATAATAATGACATATATATGAGGTATAATATAAAAAATTAAAATTAAGGTCAATTTTTGTATAAATGAGTATCAAATGTCTAATGAGATCATGAATATCTTAAAAGAGTTTATTTAATCATAAAGATCCAGCAATCTTACAAATCTTTGGAGCCCATTTTAAAATTTTAGGTCAGTTGTAAATATCACTGGTAAAGATGAATCCATTCATAAATAAATAGAAAGTGACATTTCGAAACCGATGAACTGATGAGAATGATGAGAAACTAATGGTAACGAAAAAAATGTTTCAATAGTTTTGATTACTCTTATAGAAAATAAAGGAAAACGCTCCTTATGCGAAATCGTTGCAGCAGTTCATCGAAAGCGACTACGGACTTTGTTAAATATGCTCGGTGTTCGAGAGTTTTTGGATCCAAGTTTTGGAGATGGAAATCGTTTTCCATAAATGTTTGGATAAGTCTTTTTGAACTGAAAATTAAACAAACTGAATTTATTCATATATATATATATATATATAATGATCAAGCCGTGTGCTTGGATAATGATCTACAATAAGAAAAACAAAGAAAGAAGACAAATCATAATACAAAAAAAATAAAGAAAAAAGCAAAAGAACATTTTTTTACTTGTTTTCAACCATGTTATTTGACTTTTGCTTTACCTTATTGAAATTCTTTGTTGTGGAGACGACCGGATAATATTCATTATATTGTTTATAAAAAATTTATAAAGAATGCGCAATCTCTCTGTGTCTCACCTTATTTTTTTTTAGCATTCACTGTGATCGAAATTCTAAGATAATGGAAATTATTTTGAATAACCTCTGTTATTTTACTCTGTTATGTATAATAATGTATAATTATTTAATTCTAGGAAATTATATGTCTATATGATTGGGTTGAACATTTGGACTGTCGGAGAATCCATTATAAACTGAAAAATAATTCAAATGCTAAGATTCTATATATCAGTAATAAAAGGCCCTAACCTTTCGTTAACATTTGTAAGTAATAAATGAATCAGATCTTAGTAATAGTGTTGATTAGAAAATTTAGATTTAAGATTTTAGTCTGAATTATAATTATAATTTAACTAGAAGCAATGGACTGAAGTTAAAAAATTACAATAACAAAGGTTATACAAAGTAATTTCCATATCTCAGAATTTTGACCACAGTGCTGAAAAAACTAGAATGGTAAGTACATGTGCAAGTGAAAAGAATCCAACGAATAATGGAATTGCCACTCACTTTTTTCAATTGTTTCCTTTTTTCTTCAACTGTTAAGTTTTCATTGGCAACAATTTCATCAAGCAAAGCAAGGAGGTGCTTCTCTATATCGCTTTCATTTTGTTTTCTGTATTCCTTAGGTTCAATTGGTTCGCAGAATTGCTTTTTCGACTTTCCTGCACTTTCCGATAAAACAACATTCGATTTTGACATCTTTAAAACAAAATTATCTCGAAAAGTAAAATCGAAGATCGGACATTCTCCTAAATAAAATTACAAAAACAAACATCTCCATTTTTCTTAGATTTAAGTTCTGATTCAACAATAATTTTGAAATTCTTTGGTATAGCAAATAGTTCAGATTCATTGTCAATCAGAAAAGTCACGAGATGTAAACATTTCAAATGATCAATTTTTTCAGATGGAGCAATAATACAATCCGATAATCGATCTAATACCTGGAATTTTGAAACGTGATTTTTAAGAAAGTCGATCGATTTATGACGTAATAAAATTTTTACAGGTATATATATATATATATTATATTTATTCTATTATATTTTCATTATATATTTTTATTACCACATAACTTACAACATAGCGATTTCCTTGATTTGAATCAAGTCGTAGACAATGATTTCTGCTAATTCGTTGCATAAAACGAATTAAATAATGAAGCTTTCGGCGAAGAGGAGGACGAATCGTTAGTAGAATAAGAGAAACGCATTCTATTAAAACCGGAATATCACTAAAACGTATATCTGAAACTATATTAATAGAAGCCTAGAAAATTTACAATTAAATAAATAATCAACAAACAACCGAATCGAAAATTTTGTATTATCATTATCATTATTATCATTTACCAAATTTCTATTCCTTACACAATTCTTTTGAATATTTATGTTCGAATTGAAATTTGAAAGATTATTCAACTAACTTGCTACCAAAGGGTTATATCCGAGCGGAGGTGCTTTAGATGAATAGGAAGACTTATTGCGAATAAAATTCGTCTGATTTTTATCTTTATTAGAGAGTTTATTCAGTTCTTTTAACCTCTCTATTAATTCTGGACTGGTTTGTAATCCAGGTAAACGACAAATTATCGCATCAAAAGTTAAATTTTCTCCTTAAAAAAAATTTTAAACATGATATAAGACGAAAATGACATGAAAGACCAAGCTTTTTGATCAGCGGGCCTTCTCATTTCTTTTGATTAATTATGATTCACCGAGTTAAGGCTCTAAAGAAATTAGAAATAAAAAATAATGTGAACCACTATTTCCTGAATTTGTTGGATTAAAGTGTTGAATCAAAGAGGAATCATTCGACTGCTTCGCACAGAATTTAGGTGAAGATATACTAACATTATTCTGATAATATGGAAGGCGCACGAAATTCGTTGAAGCGCATTCCTAATTAAAAATAAATAATTAGAATTAAAAGCAAAATAATATAAAAAATTTATCAATGGTGAATTAAAAGAATCATTATTTCAATTTTTTAAATCGTCTACTGAAAGAGCAAATTTACTGGCGTATCACGCGAAGACCACCGTTCAATTTTTTTCTTAACATCAATGATACGCCTAACGGGTGTATTGGAGCCAAGAAAAATAGTCTCTATTTTCGTATTTCGACCTGAAAAAAGTTTTTTAAAAATAAATTTAATGATAAACATTGTAACGAACTTTACTGTGAGATTATTGTGATAACTTACGAGAAGATGATCTATTTCGACGAGCAATTTCATTCACAACGTTTAGAATTGATAAAGCTATAGAAAGTGGCATTATAGACAGTTCTTTCATGAAGTGATCACAAATATTTTCAAATACATCAAGTTCAAATCCAGGATATATAACGTTTTTGTCAACAAGCTCATTATCAAAAGGCCACCTCGATAAACAACGCATCATCGCCAATAAATAGTTAGAAAGACCATCTGAAAAAATTCGAAGGAAACTTAGAATTTACACTAAGATCGAAATAAATACCTTCTTCTCCACGAACTTGCACAATCCCTTTGCTGCCAACTTTTTCACAGTTCCATCTCAAATCTCTACCAGTGAAGCCATGATGAAAAACTTCGAAGAGGAAATCAACTTGCAACAAATTTTTTAATCTGGAAATTTTCAATCGCCGCTTTATTAAATACTTATGAATACAAATGATAAATAAACAAATCTACCGAATAAGTAGGGCATTTTTCCAGACTTTGTCAACATCGCAATCAACGAGAGGATATTCGTTGGTATCCTTACTGAAGAACTAGAAAAGCATATTTCAATATACTTAAACAAAAAATTCTCGTTAATAATAACCATATAGAAAAAATTATTTGAAAATCAAAATTACCTTGAATTCGGATCTGAATTCTTCAATTTTTTCGTTCGGAGAAGCGCAGCGCTGGATTACTTTACCAAAATTTCTAAGATTGCCCGAAGAACAAAGAGCTTGAGGAGACCTAATTAAATCATTAGCACTCCGCACCACTCGATGTACAGAAAAAAAATTTTCATTTTTCAAACATTCTGATGATCCTATCTGATTGATTTTAGTTTCTTTTGCAACATCATTTAAACTATTCTGAATGATATTATCACTAACAGCTGGGGCGCGATCAATATTTACGATTGGATGTTTCGAAGAACAGTATTCGTGAATAGAAGATTGGAAATTAATAGTTTGATTGGTACTACTTGAATCTTCATCAGAAACTACTTTTCCGCTTGATATGGGATTTTGATTTTGAATAGAAGAGTTACTAGACTGATTTATTTGTGCCAGTTTTGATATCACATCGTCGAGACGCGATTTACCGTCCTTTTCTGATCCAATTAAATTGTTGGTATGTTTGATGCAATCTTTATCTTTCAGCTTAAAATTAATAACAGCACGATTCGACTCTATACTTTCATTCGATTTGCAAAACTGAAAATATACCTGAAGTTCGAAAAAATATTTTGGATTACCCGTATAAATCATTTGCCATTCTGACTGAAAATATTTCATATTAGATGAATAAAGAATTTGGAAAACCTTCGGAACACTCACTGATGGAAGATCACCATGTGATGATGATAAACGTCTGGATTTTAAGAGCGATGGTTGATAAGATTCAATAAAAATTCTTGCTTGAAAAAATTTTTCGCCATTATATGGTCCTCTAAAACAGATATGCAAATAGCATAATTCACAACTAAGCACATCGTAAAAAAAAATTGTAAAAATATTAAGATGAACCCCTGAAGAGCTTGTGATGATCCAACGTCATTCTTTACATCATACCGTTCATTGAATGAATTTGCGCGTCGTATAGACGCTTTAGTAGACTTGTTCCTCGCTGTAAATCTAGAAGAATTTAACTACAATTTTAGAAAAGAGTTTCATACTTTAAAAAGATTTCTGAATTTACACAATACACAGTACATACAATTCAGAAATTTTATTTTATTTTAAAATTTTTTATTTATTTTATTTATTGTTAGATTTTATTAACTAATCTAACTAATTTATTAATTTTTGATTTCTTTTGAAAATTTCAACCAAAGCAAACGAACAAACCGATAGATATCACATTCTTTAAACGCGGAATTTTTATCGCGTACCGATTCCATTAAATTGCGGTTTATAAATTTATTAAGTAATAATGCACAATTTGTTCTGAAAAAAACATTTTTCTATCGTTTAAGCCCAGTAAGTTTAAATTTTTTATGGAAATATACGAAAATATCGAACGTCGTTAATTAAAACATGAAAATCTAGGCATAGCGAGTGTAAAGAACAAAAAAGAAAATGCCAAAGCGTTTAAATATACTCCAAATTCTAATAAAATGGATAACTATTGGGAGAAAATTGTTTTAATCTATTAATAAATATTGAATAATAAATTAATATTAATAAATATTAATAAATGTAAAGAGAGTAGCATATATTAAGATGAATAACATCTGAAGCGAACTAAATATGGCCAACGAGGAGAAAGGAGAGAAATGAAATGAAAAGGCGTTTTATTTTTATAAAATTAAAATATTTTAATTGATTAAAATTTTTTTTTTTTTTCATTGAAGCATATTTACGTATTTAATTCGTTCCATTTTTTCTGTGCCACTGTTTATCCTTCTTGTACATTTTTATAATTTTTCATTTGCATTTGCTTTTCATTTGCTTCATGTATTTTAATCGTAATAAAGTGCATTTTCTGCCAGAAATTTTTTTTGCTCTTTTTGCTATCATTTTCTTCATTGATTATTTCGGTATTGACAAATGCAAACCTTGTGATATCTTTTTTCTCTGACAGCAATTTCGGAAGCTCATTCATTAAAAATTCAACCGCTTCTTCACCAGTGAAACAATTATCAAAAGAGCGAAGATATCGACGATGACGCTTTCGAGGCATACCATCATGAAACCTCATTAATATTTCATTCCACTACAAATAAAATATAAATATAAAAAATATATAAACAACTAAAACAGTCAGCAGTTCTGTTGAAAAATCTGTTCGTTTAAGAAAATACGCAATTTTTTATTACTTTAGTAATTAAAATTTCAAAAAATCTCAATTTCCGAAAGGGATAACGAATACATTTCAAATCAGATCATTTTAATTCATATTTTAGAATTTACAAAATTTATTTTACAAAATAAAATTTAGAAAATTACAATGAAATATTAACCATTCGTGTTGCTCTAAAACAACCTTCGAAAGTTGAATTTTGTTTCTCATCATCGACGCTTTTTTCATTTTCATTTTTTATCGAGAAATCACTACGAAAACTTTTCAGAAATACATTTCCGGCCATTCTTGCTTTAGTAGAAACTAGAAATAAAAAATGAGTGAAAAAGAGAAATTTATATTTTTTTAAGATTTGCAAATCTTTAATAAAAACAATACAATTAAAATTACAAAAAATAATAAAAAATAAAAAAGTGATAATAATAGCAACAATGACAAAAATATTTAGTTCTTTAGCACTCATTATTTCATGTTTGGCAACGCAGACTATTATGATTGCATTAGCATTTAGGATCAGGTTGCTTGAAGACAAAAAGTTTCGCCTCAGTAGCACCCAATCTTCATATTTAATATTTAATAACAGATTTGCACGCCAAGATAGAGGAAAAGAAAACTGAAAACCTCAGTCGAAACAAAATTGCCAACATCCAATTATTTTGCAATACCCATTAGCAACAATAATAATAAAGAATGAAAAAAAACAAAAGTATGAAAAAAACATAAATAAAGAATTTGTCCGTTTGAAGTCAAAGCAACAAGCTGCTTCTCAAGCATTTATCTACGAAAAATGGAAACTTCTGGCTTGGGCCATGCTAGTTAATTCTTGAAAAAATAAAATTCTCGAATAATTTCGTCGAAATAGCTATCGATAAATTTAAAATTAGACAAGCAAATAAGAAAATGGCAGCAGAATGAACATAATTACTAAAAATAACTGCAGTTTAAGGCTCCGAATAAAGTTAAAGTTAATTTCTCGTAAGAGACGGAATTTTTTTTAAGAGCCCTCACCATTACTGGTCCGCCGCCTTGTCGCGTTGGACAAAATGCCAGAGGGTCCCTTGGTGACGTAGAAGTGGAAGTGAGTCGCAGCATCGCCCTGGTTTTCGGACGGGCCCGCGGCGAGTGGCGCTCCGAACTGAGCGACAACCATCCCCCCCCCCCCCCCCTAAGATGAAATTACGGACTATAAATAGAAATATTTTCAGCAGTAAGTATTTCTAATATTGATTTTTCAAAATTTTTAAAAACGAAAATATGAAAACTGAAAAAATTAATTGAATCGAATCAGTTAAATTTAATTCAACCAAAAGTAATTGAAATTGATTTAAAATAATTAAATAATTAATGGAATGAAATACAAATTAGGTGGAATTTCGAAAAAAAATCGATATACGAATATTTAGAAAATTTGATGCAAAGATTTAAAAGCAAATTTTTAATATCAACGTTTGGCGGGAAAGTTTCTATTTTCTAATAGTCGGCCGCGGATGCGGGGATTCCGTCATTTCGATTTTTTCTCATTTTTATGAATTTTTTTGGAGCTGTTTTTTCCCACTTTGTGGTATACGTGTGTGATGTTTTGAGTTGTTTTTTGAAGGCGGTGGTATTAATTTAATTCTTTTACCCCCATTTTGTGTACTTTTTTCTTTAAATAGTTAAATTTTAATTCCATTTTAACAAAAAAATTTTAAAAAATTTACACAAATTTGCTTCAGAATTTCGGTTTTTTGATGGATTCACTAAATGGAGATTTATTGCGGAAAATTGACAAAATTCGTGAAAGGCTTACCGATGACTGCCTTCACGATAGTAGTTGGATTTTCACTGCTTACAAAGCACTGAAGGTAATTCCCTTTTTCATCACTTTGTAGAAATAAAAAAATTGTCTCTCAGCCCGATTTTTGAATTTGGCCCAAATCCAAATCCAACGATTCAAGCGTAAAGTTTCTGCATTTACTTATTTCAATATTGAAGGAGAGCATTAAAGAAATGCTAAATATTGGTTGAAAGAAGGAAAGAACTTAAGCGAAAAAAAATGCCAAAGCGATCAGAGTAAACTTTTGCGAAGGCCTTTTTATCATTTCGATAAATTTTGTTAAAACTCTTTCTCTGTTATTCATTCTCTCGCACATTTTTCCCGTTTATTTCAGTTTTTCGTGTCTTCCTTGTTTAAAGCGATCGACCAAATTGAGGACTTAAAATACAATATACGAGCAGAATTGACCATAGAGGTACCAAGCAGGACATGGTACAGCCTTTTTTAAAAAACGCTGTGCGTGGAAAGTATCGTGAGATAATTTATTCCAATATTTGACAACAGTTTAACACTTTTGGTCCTTTAGTTTGACCTTTGAATTCCGCCGTCACACACTACCATGCAGACAATCTTCTCGAGGATTTATTGGATTTAAGCCTGCGAAATGGTTTTATGCTCGATTAATGGTTCGCAACTGTAATAATACGGCAATAATAATAATACATTATAGTTATATTATCTGCTGGTTCCATTGTAGTTTAGTTTAGATTCGAAGATTCCAGTGGGTGAAACGGTCTTTGATAATTTTATGGGATTTCCATTCTTTTTTCATATTACTTCCATTGACAATTTCTGTTTTATTGCGAAATATATGGGAAAGCTTTTGATTATTGTCTACTCGAGTTATTATCTCCATATTCAAGATCGTTCCCGTAATAATTTTTATCCCATCTCGTTGCGACCGTTATAGAACTGCCTGTAGCTATCTTTTTCCGACTTGCTCGCTCTGGCGGCTCGATTGGACAGCTAAATCGTTTCGTCTTAGACTTAGTTTGTAGCCTTTTTCGTAATCGTGCATCCTAGAATAGATTTAGCTGACTCCTGGAAGGAAAACTTCCGCTAACACCAGTGCACTTCCAGAGGCACTAAGAGCTAAAGTCCTCTGGATGCTTCAATACTTTAATTTGGAAGGTGCTGACTACCTTCTGAGTCTTTAACTTGAGATAGTCAAATAATTTTGGAAGATACTGTGTTTTCCGCGTTGTTAATTTCGTTCGGATCTTTGTTCTAATTATAACCGGGAAAGTTATTTCGATTGCGTATTAGTGGCTGTCTGTTATAGAATTTTTTTATCGAGATTAGTCAAAATTAGTCTGATTCGAATGTTTCACATAACCCTTCTGCAATATAATGCTGAAAGTATTGTTGCTAAAAGTTGATGGCAAAAAAATTCATGCTTCTTAAATTCATGCATAGTGGAGAAGCTCTCTCCTTTGGCACACCGGATCCCATCGCCATATCTGCCAACCACAGAAAATAGCAGAGTATCCCCACATTCTACGCACCTTTTCTAGTCTCTTGCGATCGCAGTCAGGTTGTTTTCCGGTACAAAAGTTAGCAAATTTGGCTCGATATGTAGTCTATCCTTACCCAGACCATCCATGCAAAAGAGCATATACAAATATTGATACTGATGACTGAGATATCACAAAACTTGCCTTTAAAGACTAACCGGTCATTAATAGAGTTCCATTATATAGCAGTTCTTAATCGAACCAGGTATGGTCCTACTTTGGCTCTAGAATTAGAACTTTTGGCAGACAAGCGATGTCCAAAGAATATTTGGATAGCTATCGCTTGGCTTCCAACATCCATGCGCATTCTGACGTTCTACACAACTATGGTAAAGAGTAAGATTTCTCAATGTCCAGATAGAGTTGACTGATAGTAACTTTTTTAATCTTTTTTTGGATACTTCCCTCAAATCGAGAACATACATGGCCGTTTTTAATACTACTATTGTTTTTAATATCTAAGCGGCATATTTATTTGACCGGATTAAGAGTGCCATATGCGTCGGAATATGTGAGCGCTGTTTGCGATTTACTTGACCCATTCGCCATAGAGTTGCTTATGGTTAATAGTGTAGTTGGGATCCTAGCAACCATAGGAATTGATTTTAATGACAGTATTGATTTTACTCCTGTGCAGAGAGAATTTGATAATTGATAATTAAAATTTTCAAGAAAGTTCATGGGAGAAAAAACACATTTACGCATATCTGTCAAGATCTTGTTCTTTCTTTTCCCGTTATTTTGTAAAAATCTTGCTTTCGGTGAAGCAGAGTAAATAATATTTCGGTTCCGCAACAGTATTTGCTTATTTGGCTCAGTATAGAATCTATCCTTACTCAGATCATCGGTGCAAAAACCCGCACTTAGTCCGGTTGAATATTTGTGGTCTACCCAACACTTTTTTCCATTTATACTAGCTAAACATAATTCTTTTTCCTTCTTTTCGAGGTCAGCTTATTCCATCCAGAACCCGACATGGTTGTCCATGGCGAGTATTGGCATAATATAATGCGTCATTTCACTTCCTATAATTGCTTTATCAAAGCTTGACCTCGAATCTTTGTTAGCCTTTAGAACATCAATTTTTTTCATCAATTCTTCAATCATTTTATTGAAAACCAGTCAAGCAGGACGCAAACAGGCCATGTTATTAATATTATTATTAATAATATCAGTTAAAATAATAAATAATAAGAATTAATGACAAATAACAAAATAATAATATTTAAAATTTAAAGTAAACAATTTAAGGATGAAATAAAGAGGATATTGCAAAATAATAAAATATAGTACAATTCGAAATAACTATAATCGGATGGTAAAAATCGCGATTTCACACTTCCTGCATGATGTGAATTTTTTAAATAATATCATAAATGATATTATCTATTCTTTTTTTAAAGATAGCTAGGGATGACGTATAAGCTATGTCATTCGGTAATTTATTCCAGAAATTGATATTACGAATAAAGAAATCAGTCCTTAGTTTGGTTATGGTTATAGTCACATAGGTTTTAATAATTTTGGCTCATTAATTCTTGTTGGATTTAAATTTAACCTAAAATTATAATATTTTGAACAATCTAATTTAACATAACCATACAAAATCTTATAAGTATAAATTAAATCTTGTTTAATACGACGAACTGACAGAGAATCCAGGTTATATTGTATTATATTATAGAAGTTTTCTTTTATAATTAAAATTGCAATTAGGAGAGAGGCGCCGTATAAAATATTTTTGGAATCCTTCAATTATTTCACTTGATTTACGATATCTCGAGGAGTAACATGTACTATTGTAATCAAACCTTCAGTTTTGTTTTTAAACGAATGAAAAATAAAATTTAGTATTTTAGTATTTTAGGATTTCTTTACTATGGTTCTGCAGTGAAGATCGAAATCGAGATTTTCATCCACGATTATACCAAGATCGGAAATGTGGGAGACTCTACTGATTGTATTGCCATTAATAATAAGATTAGGAAAATTGGAACCTTTGGAATTGATATGAAGAACGTTACATTTTTGAAAGGAAAGGGTAATTTGGTATCTGTCATATAGCCAGCTGGCTATTTTGTTAAGGTCCTCGTGCAGTGGAGATAGGATATCTGATCTACCATGTGAATAATAAATTTTATAATCAGCATAAAGATAATAATAGAATTTAGTAAATTTAGTACCACATTGGTTACTTCATTTATATATATAATAGAAAAAGCAATGGCACAATACAGCTACCTTGAGGAACACCAGATTTAACAGGTTTTATGTCAGAAAGAGTGTTGTTGACGAGTGCTTGGTGACGGTCTTTTATATAATCTGATAAAAGGCTCCTGTAATGCCATAACTATTAAAAGTGATCAATAATTTGCTATGGGAAACAGTATCAAAAGCTTTAGCCAAATCTAGGTAGGTACACAACTGTTTTACCATTGTCAATTGATGCAGACTAATCGGAAAGATTTGCCAATATTTGTGAAGAAGTGGATTTTTTGTACAAAAGCCATGCTGATAAGAAGATATAAAATTATTGGCATCAAGATAAGTAATCAATTTGTTGCAAATCAAGGTTTTGAGTACCTTGCTATTAACGCATGTTAAGCTAATAGGTCTATAATTAGAAGGGTCATAGGTGCTTCTTTTTTTATGAATGGGAATTATATGAGGCAACTTTCAAATCTTGGGATTAAGGCCAGATTTCATAATGTCTTTATAAATTAAAAATAGTGGAAGACTCAGTGAAACTGCACATTTTTTATGAATTATTTGTGGAATATTATCGGGACCAGCTGAAATGGACGGCTTAAGTCTATTTAAGGCTACATCTAGTAGCGTTATTTCAACCTCACATAGAGAAGTGCAACAAATCCGATTTACGTTAAGAAGTATTGTCCTCAACAAATACACTAGAAAAATATTGTAAAATATTGAAAAAATATTGAAAGATATTGATTAAATATTAAAAATATTGATTAAATAAACTTGCAATATCAATATCAGAAGTAATCGCATTATCATTATGTTGCAGAACTAATTGCTTACGTGAATTTGCAAATTTTTTTTGGATGTAGGTCTAGAAAGAATTTATATTAATTTTAATATTTAATATTAAAATTTATATTAATATTAAAATTGCTTTTCATTATTTGAAAAGTAATTATAAATGGCACTATGGAAATTTCTTAAACATTCTTAATATGCAGACAGGTCACATGGCAATTCTATTAATTTGTATTTATTATAAAGCTTCTTGACACTTTTTTAAAGAGATTTTAAAAAAATGGGAATCGACTAAACCCTTTTTTTTCTGAGAGGAATATATTGCTCTGTAAGGTATAAAAAGATGTTATTAAGAAAGTTAATTTTTTCGTCAATAGAGGGAGTCAATAGAGGGAGGGAGAATAAGAAATCCCAATTTTTTTCTACGAGGATAGAATTAAGGATTTCATAGTCGCAATGACGGTAATTTCTAGAATACCTCGAGGGAGGTACATAACGGTTTAATTTTAATGAATGATGTTGTATTATCATGTTGCTCTAGATCTATATAGGTACAAAGGTTTAGAAAGTCCTCTTCAAATTTGCTACTCTTTTTCAAGCAACTATTTGCCCAATCTATGTTTGGCATATTAAGATCAACAATTATATAATCGGCACCAAATATTTTTAATTTAAATAACAGGTTGTAAAGATCCCTAGTGAATATATTATAATAGCCAGATGGGCGGTATATATTTAAAAGGAAAATGTTTCTATTATTGAGATAAATTTTAGTTATTAAAGATTCGAAAGAGGAATAGACAAAATCATCAAAAGTTACAAATTTATAATAATCAGGAATAAGCATGATAAGCTCACCTCCACGAGTATTTAATTTATTACTATTCATTGTTCTATCCGTGTGTGATACTAGAAAGCCATCGAAATTCAATTCCCGATTATCAGTAGAGTCATTCAACCACATTTCATTAATACAAAAAATACTATTTAGATTATCAATTAGTAAGAATTGTAAGTCATAAAGTTTATATTTTAAACTTCTTGCATTAAATATGTATAAAGATAAATTACTTCCTATTTTATTAACCTTACTTGGCAAGTTGTCTTAAGCTGTAGTAGATTGATAAAAAGAAACTGGAATAGAAAAATTGTTCGTCGTTGTAAACCATTTGGGAGGCTGCCTTAATTCCACAATTTGAAGATTTCTGACAACGCACTTCTTCAGATTGGGATTCTGATTCCGCACATAACATTCTTTACGCAACTCTTTGTCTACTAATAGTTCTGTTTTTGTTAGATTCTTCTTCAAAAAACTTCCATGAGGAACAATCGAGTTCACGTTCTTATTACAATACAGACATAGCCATGTACTTATCTTCAACTCGAATCTTAAGTACTCGTGGCCTGCCTGATCCCTTTCTTCCATGTCGTCGGACTTCGTTAATATAGCCAGTCTGGATCCCAGCGGCTACAATATTCTCAGCTAAAAAGCGACCTGTTGGTAGAAGCGACCTTATTAGTTGCAATCTTTTTCGATGCCATTTGGATAAGCGTCACAAACAATTTTTTTTTATCTTATAAGTACTTGATATAAAACGATACAAACAATATGCTTTTAAGAAGAATAATTAATATATTAAGGCGAATAATGTATTCTATCCTCTTAGGAAATTTAATATTTAAAAGGAATTTAAAAATCATAATATAATTTAGCAAAATTAATGAATTATTGACAGAGAGAAGATCTACTCACGACAGTGACAATAGTAATACATGGTAGTCCGTAGGAACATGGCGAGTATTGGCAGGACATTGATAATGCGTCATTTCATCTCCTATAATTGCTTTATCAAAGCTTGACCTCAAATCTTCGTTAGCCTTTAGAACATCAATTGATTTCATTAATTCTTCGATCATATTTGTTATTTTACCATTTTTCAATAAATAAGGCCAGTTGCGACCTCATATTATAAATGATTTTATAAATAATAATTTTATAATTTTATTTTATAAAGTAAGTCCTTATGAGAAATGTTAAAATATAGTAATAAAAATATAGTGAATAGAACAAAACAGAAATAAATAGAACAGAAAGGACCTCTTAAGACTATTGCAGTTATCTTTACTACTGTTTACTGTTTTTTTCCAATAAAACTAATGAAGAGTGTATATAAATTTCATAAATTCAGCTTTTATAATTATTTAAGTTTTTATAGCGAAATTTTTATTAATTGTTAGATTTACAATTGTTTCGCTAATTCTTTAATTTTTTGAAATTTTTTTTATTTGATTCCGAACTACAATAAGTCATTGTAAGCATTAACATAAAGTAATATCAGATTAATTTAAAGAATTGTATGGTTTATGTTTTCTTGTATCTCATAGTCATGTTTCTCTTTCATTCTTTACTGGTTTGGTTAATTCTGCTAAACTCTTAGGATAAAATCCACTTGACAGTCAGTAATTGAAGCTTTAACAAGAGATGATGCCTTAACATATAATTTAAAGCATTTAAGTAATATACCACTTCATTAAATTTAAAGCATTTGAAGCATTAAAAATCCTTTGAAAAGGAATTTGTTTTTAATAATCTTTGAAATGGTGAAACTAGAGATTCTTTACATAACATACAAAGATGATTTAGAGCAAACAAATAATCGAATAAAACAAGAAAAATTCCAATTAAAAAATGGTAAGATGGTGAACGATTTTTTGTAAATTTTTTTAAATATATTTAGTTAAATTAACCTGTGAAAGAATGAAGAAATTTGAGGAAGCAGAATCTCCATTGTCTGAAGAATTATTTGCAAGTAAAATATTGTTACTAAATGGTCAAATTCTGTGCCATCTTGAAATGTTCAATCGACTTGGTCATTCGAAAAAACTTTTTGCCTTTATTTCTGAGTTTGTTTTCTTTTTCTTTTTCTATTTCGTATATTTCACGAAAATTATTTTATAACTGTACATTTGGTACAGAATTGTTCTTTTTTTTAGAATGGATACATTAATATCTGAAAGTTCAAATTTGCCTACAACGTCAACCCTAAACGATTTCCAATCATTCGCAAAATCGATGCTACTTGAGCGAATCGCAGATTTGCTTATGATTCAAGTAAATAATTTTTAAATTTTTTTTCAGATTTTTAAGTTTTTAAATTTTTAAGGATTCTTGTAGAAAAATTATTTCATTGTTGATGTATGGATATTTAACCTATTTATTGAAAAAAAAGATGGTAGTATGGCCAAATTTAAATTTGTTAAATAATGTATTATTGTTTTCGATTTCCAGCATTCTCATCATTGGAATAATTCTAAATTATTGCTGTCATTCGCATGTTATTTATTGTCATATATGGAGTTGCGCCAGTTTAATCCTATGAACGAAAGATTTAAAGCATTGCACTGTCTTGAACTAATTACTCTTCAGACCTATTTGGCATATTGTTGTGATATAGAAGCCATTAAAAAACTGATTTTAGACTCAAAGTTGAGTCTTTCTGTTTTCTTCTTTTATTTAAATTTATTCAAGTTTTTTATGTTTATTGAAATTTTTCCAAAGTTTTTCTCAAAATGAATTATTTTATGTTTAGTTTCCTATTAAAATATCCGAAGCTATTGATATAGGAAGCAGTAATAATAATTTCAAATCTTTTCTTTGTTCAATTTCTCCTGAAAAGCTGGAGGATTCATTAGCCGAAACAGATCCGACAAATTGCGCCTCAAGTGATTCATAAAATTCCATTTTTTGTTTCTTAACAAATCTTTGTTGTGTTGCCATAAAATCAGTTTTTAACTATTTATTGGCAAAAAGTGGTTGATTTTCTAAATGTTTTATTTTTAAATTACTATTAAATTATATATTTTTAATATATTTTAATCTATCCTAATCTATTCACTTTTGACGAGAAATTTCCTTAATTCCCTTATTTTCTTTTCATTTTTTTTGTTGGGATTCTATCAAATAAGATTTTTTCTCGAATCTTTTAACCTATAAAAAATTTCTAATCTTTTGATCTTTATCGTTTTTTTTTATAGAAATTTGGTTATTAAACGATTCTTGTGATTTTCTGAATCGCTTGATCTGGTTACTTGCGTTCAATAAAAAATTGTCAGATTGTTCATGTAAGTAATTTTGTATTTTGTTGCCAGCAAGAAACCTTGGATTTTTATAACTGTTATTGATTTCATCGTCTATTTGCTTTCAGTCACTTTTCTTGATCCTTTATTGAAATTTTTGCCGAAAGAAGTCGAGGATGATAATTTGCATAAATTCAACAATTTGTCTTTAACTGAAACGGACGTTAAGGTTTGTTAATTAGCTAATCGTTTATCGTATTATTTTAAAGAATTTTGTAAAAATTATGAAAATTTTGCAAAAATTTTCTTGATTTAATCTTGAAGTTCAAATCTTTTCAGTTCTTTTTTTCAGATTTTATTACTTGCATGCTCTTGTTGGGCAAAATTAACTTGGCAGAAAGATATTTCTGGGAGAACTCCAGCCATATATCCTTATTTTTTGTTTGTTAAGCCAAGCTTACGATTTTCTACATTTTGGAAGAAATTGATAACTAGAAGCCACCATCCGGACCAGTAATTTTTTTATAATTTAATGTAATGCCGGTTTTGTTGTTATTTTTATTTAATTCGATTTTTGAGAAATGATAACGATTAGTTATGTAAGGAAAATAAGTAGTTAGCACTCAAATTTCTTATTCTTTTTTCTCCATGAGCTTTTCATATGATAATGGGCCAGATCCATGTGGATTTTTAATGATAGATTTAATGATAGATTAAGGATTTATTCTTGTTGGAAGTAGCATACGAATACTTGATTCTGACGACGGTGATCTGAGAAATAACTACATAGATTTTGTAAAAACCTTAGAAATTCAAACTCCCAGGAATTCTGAAGCTAATCAGAAAAAGTAGTCAGCAAAATCATAATTTTTAATTTAATTAATTTTTATAATTTTTCATTTTATTCTTTCTTTGATTTATTTTAGACCAAATGCAAATTCATTTACAAATTTCATTTCTGCACTTGAAGTTTCGCGATTGAGAAGAGAAATACCAGATTTGAGAATTATTGATGCTGTTTTTAAATGGTTTACTAATAATAGTTCATCTGTTAGCTCAGTTTGGCCCAGTCATTATTCCCGAGTTCTCATATGTTTAATTGATGGGTTCGATTTTATTTAAAACACTTAACTTTTTCAAATTTTTTTCCAAACTAATCAAGAATTCAGTTATCAATTTTTTCAATTTTCAATGAAATTTTACGGTCTTTTATTCACTTATTCATTATGCAAAAGTTTGTTTCTTTTGTATGTATATTATAAAGTATATTTGTTAGGTTGAATATTAGGTTTATCAATAGCCATTTAAATCTCTGCATAACTTCGATTTTTCACTATCGAATATGATTGAAGCTATTAAATAAGAAATTTTTCAGTTCCTTATTACAACCTACTATTGCATCAGATAAAGCATTTTTCCCATCACTTGGTGATTATCCAACCACTGAATTAGAAGATTCAATTTTTGATAATGCTTATAAATGGTTGAATGGTAGCATTGCATCAGATATATCAGACGATCAAAAGGTATTACTAAATGAATCTCATAACTCAGCGTCGAATTCATCCGATATGAAGGAAATTATGACTTTTGAGGTAGTTTTCATCATGCTGCATGAATAAAATTTATGTTTTAAATTTTTTAAAAAAGCAATTCATATTTTATAAAATTATATCTTCATTTATCTGCCTTATTTTTTTTAGGATGAGACGTCTTTGATTAACGATAAAAAATCGCTGATAGAAAGATTAGAGGATCTCGTCCAAAAATATACATTTGAAGATCTGGAAATAGATTGTCTAGCTGATTCTTCCATTTCATCTGATTATTCTCTGCAACATGATTTCGATCAGATTTGTGGCACAAAAAACGAGATGTTGGAGGTATATTTTGTATTCTTTTCAGGATGAATTTAAAAATTATGAACTGTTTCAGTGGTTTATTAAAAGGGAATCGATAATAAATTTTCATTTTTTTTCATAATAATTTTTTCATTTTTTTATTTTTATTTTTAGATTCAGACAAAGATTGATGAAGCCTGCGAAAAATTGCAAGCAGGTTTTAAATTTCCTATTACAAGTGGAAATGATTCTGAGGAATTAATCGCAGCATTCATAAATTGTGAAATTGAATCTACGAATCGTTTTGAACGGTTGTTCTTGAGTTTTTTATTTTCATTTAAAATATTTCTATAAAATATTTATATTTATATATTTATATTTCTTATATTCACTAGAGGTTTTATGGTTTTTTATTGCATTTATTTATTGAGTCTAGCCTCAAAGTCTATATTCATCGAATCGTATATTCATCATGATTTTATAGGACTTTGCGTGCATTTTTCAGTGAATACTCAAACAATGCATCAGTTTTACCAACGGTTGGTTTCCTATTGTTTCCAATAACGCATTTTCACTAATTTTTGCGAGAGAATTTGCGAATTTTTTTGTTCAGATCGTTAATCAGGCTGAAATTCCCACTTATAAAGATTATTCTATTTCGTCTAGTGGATCTGCTTCACTTCATGAAATAAAGGAAACATTTACCCCTCATGATCCCAAAAAATGTTTGGGTTGTGCCGATGAAAACTGTGAGTAAACTTCGTTTGAAATTAACTAGTAAATATCACTACATTTTTAATGTATTTTGAAAAAAATTTTGATTTTTCTTTGTTGTTTTTAATTTTTTAATTCGTTAGAATTTGTGAAAAAGCCTTTTATTTATTGATTTATTAATTTTATTAATATTTCATAAATTTTTACAGCACAAAACAAAGCATTGCAAATTTTGGATTGTCTTGCTGATTTACCATTTTTGGTGTCCAATTATACATAGTTGGTGCATAGTTGTTGTCCATTTCTGCTATTTTGAGCAGCGTTCATTATTTAATTTTTTAGTTAATAGATTCATTTTTATTTGTTTAATATGTTCATTTGATAATAGGATTTTTTTTCCTTAATTATTATTTCACTGATATTAATACTGAGTTATCAGAAAAGTTCTGTCGTTTTGTGTTGCATATGGCTGTTAGATCGGTTATTTTTGTTGTAATGCTATATCGGTATTTCGTATTGTTGTGTATTTCGTATTGTTTTCGCTGTTTCTATAGTTTTTTTTTCGTCTAAAATCAGTAACTGTTTAATGTTTAATTATCTTTTTTTATTTCATAGGTTCGACATGAAACAGCGTGATTTTGGCATTTTATGAGTAAAATGTAATGAGTAAACTGGGGCATTGAACTACACAAGTAGCTAATAAATTTGCTAGTAATTTTGTTGACGCAGCATGGCAATGGATTCATGGACTTGGAATCTCGAAGGTCCACTGCGGCCCTCATGTTCTACAGATAAATTTCTGAAGGAAATAATGGAGGTTAATCCCAGACAGCTAGTGCATAATTTGGATTTCAGAAGTCGAAGCATTCATATCATTATTAAATCTTATATGTTCTCAAAACGATCCTGACTAAGCAACTTTTGCTCAAGTTTTTCATTTTTTACAAATTTAATTTTGATTAAAATTTAAAAATTAAAATTAATATTGAAATTTTTGTTGATATCGTGTGGAACCATTTGCCTATAATATGGAAAACGAAAAAGCCTGGTAAATAGGTTCTCGCGAATTGGCAAAATTAGATATTGTTTCAGAATCATGTTTGAAGATGTTTTGTTCGCTGCGATACAAAAATGGTTCTTTTTTTGGACGGATTTTAATAAGATAAAAGTATCAGCCAACATGAAAAGATCAACGCAATGTTTGAGCAATATTATGCTAAAATCCTAAAATCCTCAGTAGAAGATTCGATGTATGATGGCCGCCTACTGGAGGATTGACATTGATACAGAACAGATTCTTACGATCTGGTGCAATGGTTACAACAGAGTAAACGAGCTTCCACCATTTTGCGCGTATATTTCTAGACCGCGTCGCAAGAATTATTTCACAAAAATTTGCCGAATTGAAATTGTTTATTTGCCATCTTTCTCTGGTCTTTCTTTAGTAGCCTTTTACTTTTTCCGCTCTCTCAACAGTTTGCTCAGGAAGAAATATAGAAGGGGCTTGAAAAGGCTTCAAGCAATTTATTGGGTTCCAGAGGGTCGGACTTTAAGCAAATGGAGTAAATGCTTGCATAAAGTTGGCTTAGGCTTAGGCTTAGGCTGTGGTCGAAGGTCTAACTTATGGTCTAAGTGTGTTTACTTTAATTAAAAATATAGAGGTTGGGGTCTTTTCGCACGAAATACTCCTTCTAAAAAACGAAGACTCAGAAAAGGTTTGCGAAAATTCGCGGCATTCGAATATCACTTCGCGGTTTTTCAAATAAAATGAATATATTTCAAATTTTTCGAAAAAAAACTAGATTTGATGGTTTATCGATTTCCAAAACTATTTGCAATTATTTTCCTAAATTCGGCGGATTTCTAATTTTTGCAGAACATGTGACTGCTCGGTGTTACTGGTTTCTCTTCGCACCCGGTTCGGTGCCATGTGTAGCGCTGCGTTATAATTATTAGTGTCGTAGTTGTAGCTGCTGTTTGTCTGCATTTCATCTTCGTTTCCTTTAATTTGCGCTAGTTGAATGGTTTTTTTTTGAAAATTTTCGTTTTTTTATAACCTCTTTGAGAAGTTCATTTATTATAAATTTATAATTTTTTTGAAATTTTTTGAAAGTTGTATTATAATGAAAATGCTAAATTACCTATAATAGTCAACGGAGTGGTGACTGCTATCGATGTTTCAGTGAATAGTGCGGGGAAACCATTTTCAACATTGGGAAGGGGTATAGCTGGTGCTGAAGTATTATTCTTTGTTGGCGAAATTTGTTCTTTTGGTTCCACATCGCATAAAGGAGGCTAAAAATATTCTTATTCAGTAAATCCCCATTGAAATCTGAAATCTGAAGTTATTACCACATCTGTCGAGTGCTGATTGAGGGAGGTTGTTTAAATATTATTTGGAATCACAATTGGGATTTTTCATGGAATTTATTGATACAAAAATTGTATCAAGTGACATTGCATAGCACTTCTTCTTGACTTCATCTGAGAATCAAATACAGTTGACGCCATAACGCCACGTGGGTTTGGCTGTTACAAATGATTTCACCTCCATCTAGCGAAAGAATCGAATTCCTTTATGACCGCTTCGTTCTGCTTTAAAACTATATGCAATGCCATACGATTCTCCTTATTTTGTAAGAAATTTTGGTAATCAAATACTGGAGGATAGTACTGAATTTGAAATCTCATAAGCAGTGGAGTTGCAAATGAATGGGAAGAAGCAGAGGAACATGGAAATGGTTCGTTGATCAAGAGGCATTGACTAATGAGTAGGCGGTGAAGCCGTGTGAATTAGAAATCGTGCGTTGTTTTAGGAAAAGGAAGATTTGGCTGTACTTTGGTACTTTGTCGTACCCTAAAGTATGAAAAAAAGAAAGCAAGCTGTCCACGAATTTTCAGGTTGGCCATGGCCATGTGGTTCTGTAGTTCATTATTCCAAGCATCGTAATGCGGTCGAAGGCGCGTGGCACAGGTAAACTTATAAAAAAGCGAACATTGAGGAAATCCGGCTTCTTCTATTGAATAAAATGTAAAAAGTTAACCGTAATTCCTTCGCAACCATTTTCCTTAAGTGTGCATAAAGTAATTTGACAAGTGAAAAATTGAACAATTTGATCAGAAAATTTGAAAGCGGCAATCGGTGACCAAGCAAAATTTAGATTTTTCGAATAATTCAGTGGCTTAATTAATGACAAATCTGTTGAACATCTTAAAATATTTTTCATAAATAAAATATTTTCTTAAAATATTTTAAAATTTAATTTTCGCATTCAAATTGCTTGAAATTTTAGTTAAATCCACTTCTATTACATTTTATTCCATTTTTATTTTCGATAATATAACTTGAAGAATTTTTAAAAATGAAATTTTTAAACACAAAAATTTCAATTAAAAGTTGCTCGCCCTCTTTCATTGATAAATTCAAATGATCTATTCATAGAATTTCGTATGAAGCATGAATGTACAAGCATTCCACGATCATCTGCAAGAAGATTTTTTATGCTCCAAATATTTTTATATTTACGATTTTCATCATATTGTTGAAGTATTGAGCAAAAATCATGAAAAGTACCACAAATTTCTGCCAATTTGAGAGATTTCCCACTGCAAAAATTATAAAAGACTCGAGAAAGACTAATCGAACCGTAATTGCATCTCCATTTGTGGATCAACTGATCGCCAACATTTGCATGAGTTATCGGTTCGCCATTAAGTGTCCCGTTAAGAATGTTGTAATGACACATATTTACTTCTTGAGTATTTGTAACTTGATTCAGTGATATATCGCTAAAAAAAAGGATAAAAATGATAAGAGATTTGAAAGCAAGGCAAAATTTGAAAGAAAATATTTAAATTGTTGTTTCTATTAAATTTTTAATATAATTTCAAGAATTCGCAGTGTAACTGAGCGGTGTATTTGCCATGATTCGACTATTGTTAGGACTCAGGCCTGTTTCGAAAAAAAGGAACTCACTATGCTTCTTTTCCAAAGTCTATCTAGCAAACATCGACCGGCCGAGGTAGAGGTAGTTGATCAGCAACGGTAAATTCTGACTACTAATCACAAATGATAGTAATATCGATAAGACAATTTGACAAAATTTATATAGAACTGAACAAAAATTGCTATGTATTACAGAATTACCTTATTTTAATACTTTGCTGAAGAGAACTGACTTTTTCTATAAGCAAGCAAGTAACACAATACGCTTTGTCGGGTTTCGTGATAAAAATAGGATGATGCTGAACAATAACGATGACACTATAAGATATACCAGGTGGAGTTCTCTGTAAAATGAACAATCCACACCAACTGTAAAATTTTGTCGAAAATCTCGAGAAACCTCTTTCTTACCGAATAGATTCAACCGATTCATATAATTAATATTTAAGCGATTTAAGAAGTTTTTTTTAAAAATCGTAGAAATCTCTTTGCAAAAAACAAAATGGCTTACGGATATTCGTTTATATATGGAACAATTGCTGTCATATGGAATATGCAGGAAGAAAGGCCTTTGAATAGGATTTTTTAGAAATTCAAAGTGGCAATACCGATGCATGAAGAAACCTTTTACATAAATGTGTCCATGAAATGGGTTAAGCGGAAAAAAATTCAATCGAAATCCATCAGATAAGCATTCCTTTAAAAATGAGAATTTATTTTTGTTAATTAAAAAAATTTCATTTTGATGATAAAAATTTTTTTCAATTTTAATCGTATCTTTTCCCGTTTTTCAGCTTTTTTCTTTTATTAATTGGAAAATTTTTAAAATTTTTTTCGAACCATTCATTTTTTAGCCTACAAAATTGAAAATCATTCATTCATACTAATTATTTATCGAATTACGAGAAGGGAATTATAAGAAAAGGTAAGCACGTTGACAGCAGTAAACTCTTCATTAAAAATGAAATCCTGAGGATCCACCTATACTTCTATTCCCAAATGATTCCGCCGTGGCGAAAATTTTGCAAATCAGAAATAAAACCAGAAGCACACCCTCACCTCCGAAACATCAGATCATCTTTAAAATTATACTGTTTCAAGCAAAAAAATTCTCCATAATCAAGAAATATTAGCTTAATGACCAAATTCAGATCGCATGCCTCGTCCAATGCCAAATCTTATGATGGTCTCAAAAAGTGAAAGGCCCAAGATCTACACTGAGATATGCTGAGATTTTGAACACAGAGACTGCATATGATGGGGGTGGAAAAAAGTTACTTCCACATGCAAGAAGGCTCGCCAAGCCAACTTTGGCCGATTACTACTAACGATGCTTAAAGCAATTAAATTCAGAGGATATAGAGGGAAATTTTAGACAAAAAGTTAAGTTTCATTAAATAATGCGCATTCATTATTGCTTAAATCAATCAACAACCACTTATTATGCCAAAAAAGATCATAAATTGAAATTCATAGGTAAAAAATTTACCAATTTTGGTTGACCATCAAATAAAGTGATGTGAGTGAAAATGCCCGAATTACAGTACAAAAAAAGCAATAAAATAATTCCATAAGGCATTTCAAGCGAAGTATAACGAGGAACTACAGGAATGAAATCTGAGTAATACTGAACCTTCTTTCCTACCAAATTTTTCAAAACTACGTGACAAGTTTAGTTAAAATGACCTAATTCTATTCGATCTGATTGAAAAATCTAATTTCACTTTTCACTGTTCTCTCTTTTATTTCGAAGCTTATGCCACAAGTTATTCATTTCCTATAATACCCAAATAATTCCATGAAAATCTCATTTTAAAATTTATTTTGCTTATATGAAAATTTTTTTCAATATTGGTTTTAAGAGTTCAAAATTTAAAACTCTGTTCTAGTTCTTATTAATGGATCTATGACCTTACTGCCTGCACACGTGAAGTGTGACAAATTTAATTCTATTAGAGCATCTTTGTCATTAAAAACCTCGGTAGTGGCAGCGACTCACCGCAGAAATGCTCTTAGCAAATAAATCCATAGCGAAAATTTCTATCGTACTAACGGAGTGAAGTGAGCCCAATTAGAAATGGCGCGCGCTAACCATTTACTTATTTTTACTTATTTACTTACTTACTTACAAAAATATTTATTTACTTACTTACTTACAAAAATATTACACACTGTAGCGTTGATACACCTGCAGAACGGATGCTAAATTTAATAAGTATTTAATAACTATAAATAAATAATAAAAATAGTTAAATAGTTGACTGGATGCCTACTTTTAACTAAAAATTTCTTCGCAAATCCTTGTAAAAGGTTTGATAGTTTTTTACTATTCACAACTAAATAAAAATGAATTCATTTTTAATCATTTCTGATTCCTTCCATCAACTGAATTCATTTGTTAAAAAATTTCTAAGTGCTGATCGTTGAAGTTGGAACCAAATTTTTTTCACAGAACTCCTATCCTTTGGATAGAAAAAATACTTGGAGTTATTGAATCAGTTTATAGAGAAAATCTTATTTCAAATCCTGAAATTCAATTCAAACCTGAAACCTTGCGAAGCAGAAACGAGTTTCATTTGTTTCATTCACATTGTGCAAACACAAACCACTATTTACAAGTATTTATTTCTTGTCTCACAATCTGAATATTCAATAAAATTATCTTGTTGAAAATTGATGAAACAAATCCATTCAACCTTCTTTTTTTTGCGAAATTATTTTCCTCAATTGAAATTAAATAAATCTAAGGATCCACAAAACCTGACTCACTATCTGATTTTTCTCAATCGCAAATCTCAAATCTACTGCGAAGTAAAGTGAAGTGTATTTCACAGAAAAGAAAAAAATTTATATAATACATATATGAACAATAAAGGATCATTTCTCATATCGACAATATAAATGCAATAAAAGTTTCCTTGAAAAATATATTTATAAATTTGCAAATTTACAAATTATCAAAAATTAGTGAATTCCTTAGCTCTTTCTTTTGTTAAAGCTGAAAAGACCAAAATTAGCAAATAGATCAGATAAAACAATAAGACAAAACAAAGATGGCCCTTCGCTTTAAATTATATTACAAAAAATGCTTATGACTTGAGTACATGACTTTTTTCGAAACCAGAAGTTGGCTTCATGGACAACAAAATAAAAATATATAAAAATAAAAATATTTGGCAAGTCCCCTTTTTTAAAAAATAAATATATCACATCGAATATCAAAGAATAATGTACAAACGATAAGGAACCACTTGGTGTCACCGAAACATAACTGAACAAACGGTAGTTTGAATCATCTCGTCTGGAAGTCTTCATTGAAAAGTTTAAGGCAAAAAAGACTGTACAAAATTATTCGAACTGAAATATATTATCTATTACCTAAATATATTATAATATCAATACTATATATTGCATATTAATACTACATATTGGAAATTATCACATGTTTGACTAATATGAAAAAAAATGAATATTTCATGGAATCCCGAGCCAATTTAATCACTGGAAATTTCAAAAAAAATTTCAGTTTCCATTAACTTATTAAGTTGCGTTGATATATATGTTGAATTTAAATGCGAAAAAACAAAAATTTCGAAGCCATATCAAAAATTCTAAAAGCATTTTCTCTTTTTTCTAATTAAGCGTTCCATGACTGGTTTGGCTGTCCCCATGTGCTATAAGAATTCATGCATATCTAAAGGAGTCATTTCTATTTCCATCGTCTAAAGCCAAATATATCTCGATCTAAATGTTTAGAACTATATCAATCCATATCATAATTGGATCGCCGGATTTTTTATGCCATTCATTAAAAAATCTGGCCCGTATTGCGCATCAATCCCTATGAATATATCACCGATGTCTCCCGGTATAAGATAAAATAATTAGTAAACGCGATCTTATTTATATTATATTATCTTATTTATATTATTATATTATACTATGCTGCATGCCGAATTTTCACTGCAATTGTCAATACAAGATAATTTTCTTTCCGCAATTAAAAATGGACTAAAACCAACAGATCCGTGATACTATTTTGTCATGCACAACCCTTGAGAATTAGCAAGCGGTTTGTTCCCCGCATTAAATATGTAGTCCCGATCTAAACCATTTTTTAGGATCGTCCATTTCGTCCAATGTGCACAGGTTTATACTAGTAATATACGCTAGCAAAATCCCTAACTAAACTGGACAATCTTTTCTGGAATATCATCATTGCACAACTCTCCAGAGCTGTCTCATCCACGGAATTGAAGGCATCATCAAAATCAAAGAAATAAATTATGGCAGACCGTCGATAATTGAAACTAAGTTCCAATGCCTTTTTTCGTATAAATGTTTGAACAATGCAACTGCATCTCCATCAACCCAGCCTGGATTAATATATTTTAAACTACCCTATTCTAATAATTACGTCGCAGACAGTAGAAAAGATGATATTACCTAATAAAATAAAGACCCATTAGAAAAAAAAAACTGTAATCATTTTCTATGTATTTTTTTAAAGCAAGAAAAAATACTTAAAATACATACTTTTTCGTCTATTTCAATTCTGGTGGCGGATTATAAATAGTTTTTTCTTTATAATAAATTTCTTCATGTTCTTTATCGCAAATCAATAACAGAGTTGCTCCAAATGTGAATAAAGTTGCACCCCAAGCAATTCCATAAGACCAGTCGAATTCCCAAACACGATTGCCAAAATTTTTCATTTCCACATAAAAACATACTGGGAATATTATTAATGAGATTAACTCCAGTAAAACTGTAAAAATTTTCTTATTTTATTAAAAATTCAATTGACAAATGCATAAAGAATATATTTCAGCATCGATGTTAACCCGAGAATATGACAAACTAAAACCATTTAACATCAAAATTAACTATTTCAGCATCGATGTTAACCCGAGAATATGACAAACTAAAACCATTTAACATCAAAATTAACTATTACAACACAATTTCAATGACTAACCAACTAGCAATGCAAAATATGTAACAATTTTGTAAAAAACATATTTCCGATGTAAATCACGTGTTTTTATTCCAATTAAATTAAGAATAAATGCTAGAATTGTTATCACAGCTGCGATTATTAATAGAACGGCAACTGCTTTTATATATGCTAAAAAAATAATCAATACATATAAGAAAAAATAATAATATAAGCAACTTGAAGAAATAGAAAAAGTAATAGGTTAAAAATTCGGTGAAAGTTCCTTGAATTAATTTCATCATTTTAATAGCATTCAACATTAATTCCGGTTAAATGACTACACTGAATGAGTAAAACCTCTCCTGCAGAAATCTGAGGATAGGAATACGGACAGACCTCATGCATTTCATTGTTAATGATAGGTTTATTCAAGGAATCCAACCTATAATGCTTGGTTTCAGCAGAAGCACCCACAATTGACTATGTTGCTGTGGAATTAATTAATGAGAAAAGCCAAAAAAGATTACTCGAATAACGATGTGGTTTTTGGCATTTACCAGGTGGTGGTCCATCAGCAATTCCTTGTAATCGTTCATCAGACGAAGTACACTCAAGAAATAAACCAATGCGAAATGACCCCGATCTAAGCCACCATGTTGTCGATATACAAACAATTAATAGGATAAATGCAATGAATAGGCAAATCAACGCTATCACCTGAAATCCAACTTTCTTTCTACTTTATTTTTGCTACATTTCCTCATAAAATGGTAATTACTATTTGAATAATTTCTGATGAATTCAATTTTTTTTATCCTTCTGAAGTATTACAAAAAATTTAAAAATTAAAAATTAATAAAAATAATTGAAGATGAATCGAATCATTTGGCTGATAAAATTGTAGCACAGAACAAGAAAAATCGTTTTTCGTAAATGATTCACCTTTAAAGGCCTAACAATTGTCACAGTTTCGATTGTCGTTGTTCGAGTCGTCATTCCTGAAATTCAAAAACCTTAATATACTTAGCCTCAGCCAAAATCCAATCCACGATAATAAGTGACGAATAATTACGAATCTCGAAAGAAGGTCAGATTCGAAAAAAATTTTGTGAATGAAAGAAAATTAGTTAAAATAACGTATATACTCGATCCTTTGGTTTCCACCTTGGAACTTTCACCGAAAAACTAGTAACCATGGAATGTTTTCATTCTCAACAAATTCATTTGAATGACTATAAGCAAAAAAAATCTGAAATAAAATTACTCTTAAGCAAAGTTCCTCCTCTTCTTTGAAAAGCCCTTTAGTTTTGTTAGGTAAGCTCAACTGAATACTGAAATGATAGGAGAAAAAGAGAATAGAATACTAGATACTGAATCTCTAGAATCAGCTCAATACTGCCGCGTAGATTTATGGCATGTTTTCTTCCATTAAACAATCAGGAAACGAAACGATGCGGCTGACCTTCGTCAAAGCAACATATCTGCTCGACCATCTTCCGAATTCAAGAACACTATACTGCTTCTAACCCATGTAAATTCGCCAAATTAATCAATGACAAATTCGCTTTTTTTTGTTTTTTATATTTATTTTTTGCTGAAAGAACGACTAAGCACTAAACACATTCATTTTCTCACAATTTTCTCACATAAATCATCGGAAAATTTAAAATCGAAAAAAGTGCGCATTCATTTTTTGTTGCTGATAAGATAAGATAATAAAGAAATAAGTGATCAGCACTCACCATTTCTGGTTAACTTATTACGCTGGCTACCACGATTGAAATTCTAGAGATGAGTCAAAAAAACTAGGACGGCCAGCAACAACGCTGCTTCGTTTAATGAAAAGTTTGTTCTTATCAGATTTATTCTTTTTTTCGATGACAGATTCGAATCCCTAACATTCGAATTGGTAAGTAGAATAATGATAAGCAATGATAAATTACTGATAAGGAAAAGAAACCAATATTTAAACCACGGTAAAGAAAAGGAACACTTGAAAATAAATAAAAATGATAGAATTAGCAAAAAAATACAGTCTGATAAAACAGAAGGGAATACCAGACAGCGAATGTGTTGAGCTTATAACAAAGTTCGATCCGACGCTCTTCCGCTCTAATTCCCTCCCTCCTCCATCCCTAATTCCAAACTCCCTTCCTCGACAAAATATTCCATGACTCAAGGGTTAAATGAATGAATGATAAGCGATACGTAGCGCTGTTAAGTCCTAATTTCCTTTCTTCAGGGCACTAATCATTTAAATTTTCTTAAGATAAAATATCTCTTCGTCGATAAAAGTCAGTGATTTATCACACACACGTAAAAGGTCAAAGAAAGGTCAAGCAATATCCTACAATCGAAAACTATCCGTAATTCTCGAAATGCAATCGATAATTGATAAGTAATAATAATAAATTGATATGTGATAATAAGTGATAATAAGTAATAAGTTTAAGCAAATAACTAGGGGAAGTTTGACCCTTCGATTTTTTAAAAAATTAAACTTGAGTGATTGAAATTAGGTCAACGAAGGACTGAGGTGTCCCGACCCATCTTCTTAGTGAACTACTCTAAATTCAGACCCGAAAATGGATACAACAGCCAATGGCCGATAGCCTAGCGTTGGCCTTTGGTCCCAGAAATCACCCAACCATTTGCAAGCCAAACAATTCGCGGTAATCGATCAATTTCCCTTTTCTCTTTGCCAAAAATGCCTTCTCTTTTTTCCTATTATCTTTTTTCCTCCTTTTTTCTCTTCTTCACTCAATTTCAATACTCTCTCGCTAATTGTGTCATCGTTACGTCATAAATTGGATTACGCAAAAATACGGAGAATTTTGCGGAAGGGTGGCTTTCATAGCTTTCCCACACATTTGGTAAATTACCCAAGGAAAACCCGAGGTTTGTAGAACCATAGTTTAGCAGAGGTGGAAAATGCTAAAGTAATAATAGAACTAATTCTGCCAAAAAGAAAGTGAAAAAGGAAGAATGCGGGTGGTTGGGTGCGGGAAGGGGGGAGAGGGAAGGGGCAAGGGAGGGAGGAGGTCTGCTAAATAGCAATTTTAATTGAAAAAAGAGAAAATAACATCCAAGCCCAATAATAATGCGTAATAACATTACAGCCGGCCGAATAACTTGCATTTATGATCGTTAAAGAGGGAAGAGAAGAAGTACCACGAAAATATTCGCGCTTAACGAAGGAAGAATTTAATCGGGATATTTACAGTTTGGTTGACGAGAACAATCGTTTCACATCTCCTATGTACCACTGGAAAATCGTTAAGGTAATTTTTTTTACACGTAAATAAGTGCGTGAAAATTAAAGACTCAACGCGAATACGTCAAGGTGCCCCTGAAAGGGATTACAACATCCATTCCTACGGAATGTTTGAATACGCATCACCCGTAAAAATTGAACGGAGTGTGTCGCGTTATCACGTAATCACGTACTAAGAAAAAAGCCAAGAAGCTCTTCGGCATTAATAAAAAATATTTCAGTACGAGGAGAATATTTTTTGCGAAAAAAGAAACTTTTTCGAATGGAATGGCGAAAGCCTAAACGGAATTTTTCACATAATCTATAATGAATCGTATTTGGTACCAACATTTTGGTTCAATTTTTTTAAACAAGGTTAATTTATCAGTGAAGTTGATTAGGTAAAATGTCATTTCTTATTTTGGCAATTTTAGTGAAATTCAGTTCATTTTGTGGAAGTTAGTTAATTTGCATTTAATGTCTCTTAGGCTGCATCGAGCTTGAATTCATTCGTATAAGCTAAGCAGTGCGTATTTCGATGAGGAGTTCGATTTGTTGTCCAACTTAGGTTCCTTTACTGCAACAACATTCCACTTGGCCACTACCAGCAAATTTATCATCCACTAATAAATATCAATGTCAGCGAATAGCCTTCGCTGATTGTGCTTTTTTATCAGTTGTATACAGCAAAGAAGCGTATTTTCCTGGCGTCGAGTGAGTAACACATTTAAAACGGCTCATAAAATGCAGTATTTAATATTTAATACTCACTGTTGCATCGGTTGCTGGCAAATTGTCTTGTATTTTTCGATTTCAAATAGGAGAAAATGATTTTTTTAGATGGGAAAATGCTTAAAATAGACGAGCTTTTGGAACTGTTAACGGTTAAGGACAATGACGATAGAAAATCGATGGTTTCAGCGAATTCACATCCATATTTCTTCGTTTCATTTTACAATTATCATCCTTGTCAAACGCAGCAAATTATCGAGAATTTCGTTACCGATAATTTAGTCAAAAGGTATTTATTCCCTTTTCCAACAATTATCAATTGTTCCCATAAATTTATCAATTTCTTTACCGAAATGATTTCACAAATTAACTTTTATCGTTTTATAACATGTTTTTGTCAGTTTTCATTCGAAAAATATAGAATGCACCTATTGTTTTCACTGAAAAAATTTTTCAGCTGGCTTTCTTTTGTTGGCACTCAACTGATTTTTACTGGTTCAAACGATATATTTTTTTTGAATTTCAAAAAATAGTTTTCTATGAACTTTAAAAGAATTTGCTAAACAATTTACAATTGTTTTAATGCAGAATAAAATTTATTTTCGTATTTATCAATAAAATGGTAAAATAATACAAAAATACTTAGGAATAAATAATATTCGTTGTTTTTGTTGAATCGGACATAATTTGATAAATTAATGTTTAAATTTTAAATTTCTGAATATTATTATATTATATATATTATCACTCTAAAAAATTAAAATTTGAAGCATAAAAAAGTGAAAAAAATTTGAACTGAAGAAAAAAATCATATAAAATGCTTCCCTTGAAAAAAATAATCGTTTATCTAAGAAGGCTGAAAAAATTCCAGTATAAATAAAAAAATTTTATTGATGGCAGCAGCCCATATATACAGTATACCGAAACCAATTCCATGCTCATAATAACTGCAAAAAAATTTGAAAATATTTTTTTATTGAATTACTCATTAGACAACGCTCCTAAAGAAGTTCCTGAGTTTTACTAGCTTGAATACTGATAACTAAAAAACCAAAAAAAATTTTATTCAAAAGGATAAAAATATCTGTAAGCATTTCTGTTTTGACTCCTTTCTACATTAATCTATGTTAATGCAAATAAATAATTCTCTGTTATTTTCTGCCTCAGGTTCAGGCCTTTTGCCATCCACTGTGAATGCCGACTTAAATCCTCAATTTAGTTCCATTCCATTTTTTTAAATAAAATTCGTCAAAAAAAATTCACTTAAGCTTTTCTCATCGTTTTCTCACAATGTTCAATAAATATTTTTTATGCGAATGAAAATTTATCCTAACCGAGCTATTCTTTCGGACCACAAACATTTTTCTTCGTTCATTGCGGATGTATATACTATTTCTGTTCGTCTTGCTATATCAGGCCAATTATACATTTGGCAAACAGCCGAATGTCGTACATCTGGGGCCATTAATTCATCATTTTCTCGCATTCTGATCGCTTTTATCAAAGCATTAATTAAATCTTAAAATTTTTAATTAAAAATTAATAAGAAAATCAACTTATATATTTATATAAATTTCCATCTGTCAGATTTTAGTAAAGCAAATGTCGGATAATATTAATTATCAATTAAAACCATCAAAAAGAACATACTATCAGGGAAAGGTTCATCTGTAATAATAAAACTGTCTGGTAATACTTCAGGTATACCTCCAACATTGGTAGAAACAACATGTAAACTAAAAAAATAAATTATAACTTGTCGGAGTTATAAGTCATTTAAAAAATAAAGTTGAGCAAAAGTTCTAAAATAAAAAAATGGCCAACCCGCAAGATGCTGCTTCTACAATACTCATACAAAATGCTTCAGTTAGTGACGTATTCAAGAATATCTGACCTTGAACCAACACATCTCTGACCTAAATAAGTTCCCAATTATGTAGGAACAAATATATAAGAAAAATGTAAAAACCAACTCGAATCAAACAATATTAGAGAAAACCGTACTCGATCGTGAGGCAAAGTGCCAAGTAAAGTAACTCGATCAAAAAGTTGATATTTCTCTCGCATTTCTTCTACATCCACTCTTTTTGGCCCATCACCACCAATAATAAACCGAACCGATGGATGAATTGCACAAACCCGCGGAATTACTTTGATTAGTAAGTCAGCACCCTAAAAAATCACTTAGACATATTTTGCACTTGAATTTACTTGATAACCCATAAATTTTTTACAAATACCAGAAAATTTTTAAAAGCATGTTAACGGTATTAAGAGTACGATAGAATACGATAAATTACCTTGCGATAAACAAGCCTAGACAATACAATAACAGTTGTCGGATTGTTATAAAATAAACGAGGGTCAGGCGTGAACAAATTTGTATCAATAGCATTCGGAATTACGGAAACCTTATATGAAGCGATTTTGCTACGTAGAACGGTATTTTCCTTACTAAAAATTAATTTATGCTAAAAAAATTATAAAATTACTATATATTCCCATAATGCCAGAGATTTAGAGCTTTGTTGGACTCAGTAATAATAATGAAAATATTATTTTGATTTAAAATATTGGTTTTCAAAAAATTTATGGTCTTTCAAAGCAACAAAGAATCGTTTGTAAATGATCCAATAATAATAATTAATAATAATAAATAATGTCATTTAGAAAAAATAAAACAATATAAAATAATAAAATAAAATTTAAAGGTGTTTTTAAAAGTGAAAATTCACCTTGTGTATGAAACACAAATAATTCGATCAACATTGATGAGCGAATATTCTGAAACAAGCTTGTTTGTAAGTATTGCTGAAGCGTCTGCAAAGCCAAATAATGAATGATCGGTAAAAACTGTCCTTAAACCCATGGACCAAGCATGAAAAAGCGCTTCATGCGCCATTGATGAGAATGTCTGAAAGTGTTATAAGGATTTTGGGGTTGTATTAAGCACTTTATTTCCCCTTTCAAAAAACTGCAAAAAAAACAAAAATTTTCTACTCGAACATAGAAAATGAAAGCTATGCCTAAACTTAAATTTGTTCGCTTAAAAGCTGTTTATATTCATATAAATGATTGTGCTTGAATAAAAAATTACCGAATGACCATGTACTAACTGTATGCGTTCACGAAGAAATATTTTCCTAAACCAATATAAAGAGCCAATAATTGAGGGAAGAGTAGAGCCATTATATGCAACAATAAATGGAAGATAATAAACCTATAATAAACAATAAACCTATACTTCAGAACGATTAATATCGGCAACAGATATGGAAATAATCAACATCGAATTGCTCTAAACCTTATGCTAACATTTCTCGGTCTGCTATATTCTTTACTGAGAAGAAATCCCAAGTACTTGTTCATCAGGTATTATATTCGCCGAGGGAGACGTAGGATTCTCAGCAGCCGCACTCAGCTTTTAATACAACATTCTTCACGGAATTTCTTCATCAAAAAGAAACAAACATAAAAATAATAAAAGGAAATTTAAAAATATGCTAACTTTCAATCCATTCGAAAGATATCGAATTCCGATTCTATCGCCATAGGCATGGGTTATAACAATTACGTAATAACCAAACTTTAGAAGGCCTTGCGCCAGAAAATAAATGTGAGTCTCAATACCTCCAGCATTCGGACAAAAGAAATCTGATATTAACCTTAATTTTATCAGTCAGAAACCAAAAAAAATTAACAGTTAACAATAATTTTTATTAAAATAACTCACGCTACTCGAATATGTTTGTCAGCATCGTGCGAATTTGACATAAATCCTCCGTGACTTAAGATTGCCCCTACTGAAAAGCAAAATCTTTTAAATTTAACACAACTTTACGTAAAAATTAAATACCTATTACTCCAAACTTTCTAAAGCACTCAATGAACGCAAAATCCTTTTGAAAAGCTATTAAAATCTTCACACTTTATAAATTAAGATTTTATTGTTAAAGAAATAATTCTAATAAATACAACCTTTATAATAAAAGTAATCCCAAAAGTGAAATTTATACAACAAAGCCTAAAATACATTAAAAATACGTTAAGAATTAATACGAAAATCTAAAACAACGACTTCCCCCTTTTGAAAGAAAGCGTTAGCAATATGGCAGAATATCTTTAGGAGCCACGAACTGCAGATAATCTGTAGAGTGCTACAAGATCAGAGTACTTTTATAAGTCGATAATTGCAGAATTTATTTTCCACAAAGAAAGTCTCAAAATTTAAGTATTTTTCGAATATAATTAAGAGGAAAGATAACTGATAAATACAAAGTTTTGCATATCTACTAAATACTTTTCGACAAAACATTCTAGTCTTCACCTATTTTTATTGATAACATTAACACAAACAAGCGATTTTTCAGATCACGATTTATGAGAATCTCGACTTCGATTTGTGCAATATGAATTGGAATGCATTTGCTGGAAATGTTGTAGGATTTCAAACCTTATGCTTACCTTCAGAAATAAGTCGGATCATCAATATGCGAAAAATATTTGTTCAAATGCATTCATTATAGATTACAGTTATATCAGTTATTGTTCCCCATCCAGATATCGCAAATCAGTAAAACTAATCGAATATTTACCGCATAAACCTTGACTATCTATTCGAACATAAAACTAGAACAAAACAACCCGACCTTTTCTGTGTTCAATTGAAATTGCTGATTATTGCATGAATTTCAATATTATTAAATGTGATGGGTTGAAATGGCTTAAATTGTTTTGTAGAAACTATAAATTGACCCATAATTTCTTTGTTAGAAGTATTAATTACAGGAATAATTTATCTAGTGATGCTATTTTTTGTTTGTCTCTAAAAATGATACAATATAATTATTTGAAATAATGTCCACGATTTACTATTAACAAAAATTCTGTTTTCTGATCGATAAGCACTTGTCAACATTTGTTTTTAATTTTCTAATTACATGATTTGTTTTATTTATATTTACTTTATTTGTATTCTTTCTCCCACTTTCAGCCTTGTTCTTAATGTCTTATTGTATTTTTTTTTGTTTACTTTAACCAGTACATGATTTTGCGCCTTGCTTATAATGTTCTCATAAATAAATAAACGCATATAAAACAAATAAATGCAACCAAAAAATCATAAATGACGAGAAAAAACTTAATAAAATATTCAAATATAACAGAGACCGAGATCTTATTAAGAGTTGAACTTAACGATGATATTCCATTATGAATGTGATGATGAAACATTCATCTTTTTGCTGGCATCCTATAAAAAAATTTTTTAGCTATATAGAAAATAAAATTAACCCCTCGTTTTTTTTTTAGAAAACTAACTTTACTGCTAATAATAAAAAATTAATCAAATATACAACTTTGTATATAATTAAAACTTTATAAGACGATATCATGCAATTTCAGAGAAAAAGAACTTTATTTAGAAATAAAAAACCAAATTAAATTTTACGGCTTTAAAGATGCTGCCAACTTTTTCGCTAAAAAGATCAGCCGTTAATAATAAGCTGCTAAGCTTCTTGACAGTTCCCAGCTGTCCTTCGCTCTTACACCAACTTTTCAAAATCGTTTTGATAACGTTACTTGGCTGTAAAAAAAAACGAAAATAAAACGAGAAAAAAACGAGAAAAATTCGAGATTTGTAAATTTTTAATGAAAAATATAAAAAAATAACCTCTAATGCTGCATATGAATCAATAACATCATTTTTGAACCCCAAGACTTTCGCAAGATAGCGCCAGTCTTTGACAAGCAAGGGCGCTAATTCTTGTATATGCTGCTCAGAAATCAAAGGCGATGATTCAGAAGTACAAATTCTGAAATAAGATAATGGCGATTTCATAATATTTCATAATAAAGATGATAAATTCATGTCCAACTCAAGCTTTATATTTTATATATATATTTTTTATATAGCAAGAATAAATGCGGTTCAATGAAAATAATCAAAACTATAAGAAAAAATTTTTTATAAAATCTAATTCACAATTTGGTCCTAAAACATTTTGACAAAAAAAATGGGAAAAAATGAAAATAACAAAGTAATGAAAATAACTGCTATTAAATTAAAAAATAAGTAATCAAATAACTGATAAGTTAAGTGAATTAAAACGTATTACATACCCATTCTGAGCTGTCTCGGAACCGTGGTACTTTTTTTTTGCGAGATTTGAATGAACGCCATCATTTGCAATATTATTTCGCTGAAACCAATTAACCGCTGATAATTCACCAATAAATATTTACTTGCTAGTAATCGAACTTGAATTTATATAAATAATTTTAATATAGCTACCTGAAAATTTGATGAAGTCTTTTTAATAAGTTCTTCCAAAAATGGCGCCATATTCGTCGTAACTTCATTCTTCTTAAGAGGAATCTAAAAGTTCTAAAAGTTTTTATATAAGATACGGATACCCGAAATAAAAATAGAACTTTAAAAGAAAGTAAAATAAAAATTTTTGGAGAACCTGAAAATAAAGGGGACTTTCTTGCAGCAACAATCTCGAGCAACGCCACTGAAACAATTCATTATTAACTGCTCTGAAAAAAACAAAAATTTAATTTTACATTGAAATGCGAAAAAAATGCACATAGTTTCCATTGTATAAATAAATAATTCAAAGAACAAATAAAATTTCTTGAATTTTCGATTAAATTATTTATCGATGTTTTCTTCATCATAAATTAAAGCACCAAAGGAATATGAAATCACTTGTACTGATCCTCAACTTGTTGCTCCGGATCAAGCTCGTCCAATGGATCGGCAATAAAATCCGCTACACAAGGCACAAACTTTCTAAAATAATAGAAAAAACAATGGAAATTGTAATTTTCAAAAATCTTAAGCCAACGTCATTTCATTTCAAAATCATTTTTTCAAAATTTTTTCAAGACGACTAAATTTTTGATACTACTTTAGTTTCATTTTTTTGGTTGAACAAACACATATTGATTCGAAATTCCAATCTTAATTTGTTCGCATCGGAAAATTTTCACAAAAATTAAACCTTTTTCGGTCATGGCATGCTTCCAACATATTTGGGTTAATATTCCATAATTTGGTAAGTTCTGGGTTTCCAAGATCAATTTTGGATGGATCATATTTATTTCTCGGTTTTCTAAATTGATTTCAATTATTAATAAATTCAAGACATACAGGACCGCAAATTGTCACAAATGAAGCGTAAATCTAAATTTAAAAACACAAACATCTGAAAACTGAATATTATGAAATTATATCAATTTTTGGATTTCGTTTCCAAATCTATAAAAAAAAATGTAAAATTGTAAATGTAAATGTAAAAATGTAAAAAAATGTAAATGTAAATGTAATCTATAAATGTAAAGTATAAAATATATGCAAATGTAATTAATATAAGCAACACTTTAAATTCTACAATTCTAAGTAAGCTTACTTTTTATATGGACTCATTTTATCTTTATCTGCAGAAACGGTATAATCAGGACATCCTTTGTTTTTCCAATCAGACCATTCTTTTTCGCGTTGTAAGATTGCCTTAGATCGTGAAACGATAATGTTACAAACTATTTTTGACTTGAACTCGAATGAACTCAAAGATAAATAATGGAAGATATGTAAAATTCAGTGGATTACTAATAAATTTAATATCAATTTTTGATATTTCTATTAAAAGTAAAAATAACAAAGAATTTAATTACTTTGACAGAATTCGCGAAAAGTATGCCATTCGGATGAATTTCGCGCAAAAGTTTGTAACATTTATCAGTTGATTCAATTATATACCGCAATTGTTCATCATTCAATGTATAAGACTTGCTGTAAAATGAATTCAAAATAAAACTTCCTGATTTATTTTAATTTATAATTTTTAGAGGTTTTTATATTTTTTCAACACATATATTTCTAATTTTGAGATTATTTAAACCAATTAATTGATAGAATAAAATTTAAAAGTGGAAAAAACATGAAAAAATTTAAACCATACTCTTTAAATTTTATATCAGACACAAGATACTGATATAAAATTAAACATTGAACAAGAAAATACCGACGAAATCGCGAATCATTCAACTGTAGTTGAAGAAGCTAAAAAAAAATTTCATTTCCATTATTGTTATATTAATTGATAAAATAAAAAAAGTTGAAGATCAAGGCGAAATTAACCTTTTGACTAGTAAGATATTTCGCAAAAAAGTTTTCATTTTCTACTTTAGACGAAGTGCTGTGGAAAGGTATTCCTGTATCCATCGCATCATTGATTTTCTTCTCCTAAATATGCTTATATTGTAAGGACAATATTATCAAATCGTTTTAAATTAATGAATCTTTTGATTGTACAATAAATGACAGACATTATTTGGAGATATTGAAGAATTTTTTCCTTCTGATATATCGTCAAGTTTATAACTAGAAAGAACATTGAAAACTTCTGTTGTGTTCTGAAATAAAATTATAATGATAAAAGCAATAAAAAAGCAAAATAATAATAGCTAAATTTTTGGCAAAATTACAAAAAATTTTAAAAGAGTAAAAGATAATTAAAAAAATGTAAAGTTTGGCCTGTTGAAATATTTTCCACTTTGTTCTATCAAAACATTTCACTGGAGTTGAAAAAAATGTTTGCAACTGCCAAAATCTTTTATAAAATGCAAAGTCTATTGGCATATCTCTGAAAGTTGAACGGTAAAAGTAGAATGACATATTTAAAAAATTTTCAGAAAACTCCAAAAAAAACTGAAGAAGAATCGACTCTCCAAATCCCTTAGAGAAATAAAATACGGATACCTGTTTTCTTGGATCTCTCCTGTTTCCATATCGACATCAGTAATATTTGCATCAACAGATGGTGATTCGATCTAAAATAAAAAACTTAAAATCTCAGATAAATAATTTATAATAAATAAACTTTGATTGAAATTGTGAAAAAAAGGAGAACGTCATTAGAAAAAATAAAAAGCTTAAACTTACTGAATCATATTTCGTAATATTATCAGAATTAAAATGACTGACAAGATTGAGACCAGACTTTTCACAAAGAGGTAATGCTCGAGCTAATAATACCAGAATTCTTCCACAAAAACTTGTATCAATCGTACGTGAAAGACGTTTCAAAAGATCATTACACATACGTAAAATCATATTCTTACATGGCTCATAAAATAAGGCCTATAAATTTGAATGCAATATTATTTATTTATGAACTGGAAACGCTAAAGTGAAAATATATTCAATAATATTACAATTTTAGTTCATCTTTTTTTGATAAAAAACAATTAATTCATTACCGTTTTCCACTGCGAAAGATTATCTTCGATTATAAAAAAAAGTTTTTCACATTTCTTAATAGATATCGTATCAAAAACGTCTTGTATTATGGCAACAGTCGTGGCTTTCGCACAAAAATCTAAAAATATTTAATGAAAAAAATCTAGTTTCAATAAAAAAATATCAGTTTATAATCGATTTCAGCTCCAATATGATTTTCAATCATAAAATAATGTATATAAATCAAAGATGTTAACAGCTAATTTGTTTGTTTAAAATCTATTAACAAATTCTAATAAAAATAACCTTCCTTAGCCATCTCGAAAGTTAAAATTAATAATTTTTGAATTTCCTTTTGTTGTTCTTGGTCGTCGAGTTTTGAAATTAAAAAAGCTTTTCGGTGAAGTGCATTTTCAATGGATAAACGCATTACATCGACCAAAATTCTTCAAAAAACAAAAATAATAAACTCGAAAAATGAAAAAATAATTTAAATTTAGCTGCTCTATTTTGTGCAGCAAACCTAAAAACTTTTTCTGTGGCATTAAAAATATATGCAAAATATATAAATATATGCAATAAATCTATAAATATATGCAAAAGTTTGGTAAGATCAATAACGTTTTTGTAAATAGAATTCCACCAGCAATTCATTTTGAGATGCCATTTTGCTCGTACGAATTCATAAATCGAAACCGATAAATGGATGAGAATTAAGTGCAAAATGAAGGTGAACATCAAATCTATTCTAATTTTTTTTGAATTATATGAATGGATACCAATGTCTAAATGTGTATTAATGTGCAAAAAAGACGACGCATACAATGATGACGTCAATAAGGTGATGCAAACAGTAAATGAAATAGGTGATATCTCTTATACCATAACTTTTTCCAGTATGACACCACTTTTGATTTAGCTAATCTTACTGAGTACAGTGGTCTTTCAGAGCCACTGGCAACACGGAAGTACCAACAGGTTTCCAAAATCAGCCCCTCCACTAAGCAAAGCTTAAGCCATTCCGTGAAACAACATCATAAACATTATTATAAATATTGGTGAATATTTTAGTTAAAATGGGATATGAATTGGAATATAAATTGAAAGAATATAAATTGAAAGAAAACATTCTTAAATTTACCCAGATTCTTTTAAGGTTCTATATTCGTATCGAATTCGTTCGATATCCATCGCAAAAATAGGGTCTTCCATCGTGAAACTGAATGTATTTCTATAATATTTATAAAAATTTTACACCTTTACAGAATAATTATTCAGCGCATATAGAGAATTAATGATATTTAAAGAGATCAACAAAGGATCTGATATGACACAAAAGAGATGGTCGAAAAACTTCTACTGGTGAGTGAAAATAATATCCAAAGGTGAAGATAACACCAAAATGTCAAAAGGTCACCAACTGCCAAAATATCACCCAAAACAAAATCAAACAAATGATATCACAAAATGACACTTCATTTTTGATAAATAACCAGAAATATTACTTTCGTTGTAAGAGCGAGTTTTTCAAAATCAAAGCATCCACTGGCACTGGAAAAATACACGTAAATATAATTAAATACTTTTGTTTGCAAAAGGCAGTATTTTCTAAGGCGTGAGAGTGCTTATGACAGAGCCTACTAGCGGACCGCAGTAGGCTTTTACGCATTTGTCCGATGAATGCCAACAGGCGCAGCTTCTCCATAGCTCACCAGGTTGCTTTTTAATCTTTCACGATGGTTAGACGTCCGTACTCATTCATTTATTCTAAATAAATTTCGCTTTAAAGCGAACTCCGTCATCATTTAGGAGTTGGAGTGCTTAGCACCATTTCAGGATAAATCCGCTATAAATTGGCATTAATTAAAAATATCGAATATTTACGTCACATCGGTAAATTTAAAGAAATTAATTCGGTGCAGTAACATCATAAAATTATGTTTCTTTTTTTTGCTCATATTTTGTTTTTTGAAAAATTTGTAAAAATAAATTAATGGAATTTTGATGAGAATTTTGAATAAAATTCAAATAAAAAATATTCTTTCTAAAAGTGTTTTATAAAAAAATTTTCCACTGACTTCTTAAAAGTACAAAATATTTATAAATTTATATTTATTTATTTATATTTAAATCTTGGGTTCTATAAATTTATTTTTTATATTTAAATCTTGGGTTCTACAAATTGAGCGAACATCTTGGGTTCTACAGATTGAGCGAACATCTTGGGTTCTACAGATTGAGCGAACATCTTGGATTCTACAGATTGAGCGAACATCTTGGATTCTACAGATTGAGCGAACATCTTGGATTCTAAAAATTGAGCGAACATCTTGGGTTCTACAAATTGAGCGAACATCTTGGGTTCTACAAATTGAGCGAACATCTTGGGTTCATTTCCTTTCCCTTTCTTGATGGCAACGCGGTGAAAAGTTAAATGTTGTTATCACCCTGCAAATACATGAAAAGTGTAACTAAACAAAATCGACCACTAGAGATTGAAATGCGTTCATTCCGAATCTCTACGTTCTTTTTGAATGTCGAATAATCCGTACCTGGACGCCTCGCCCTTACAACCCACTCTCATACTAACCAACCAAGAATGTTGCGATAAACGGGGTGCACGAAATGTGCTGAAAATTAGGCCGATTCCTCAGATTTACGCTTTATGTTACTTTCCTTTATTTAATTCACACTAATGATACAAAATATTAGCGGGGATAGAATGGCTCAGTGGGTTGTTGTTCAATTGGGAGCGCCGATGCTGAGGTTCGTTTTTCGGAGAAGTAAATCCGGGTAATGCTGGCGACTCACCTGTATTTCTACCGCCAAGGGACTCCCTGGCATATTGCTCAATGCGACAAGCCAGTGGAGCGAGTTTAACCAGCAATGGTGAGGACTCTTAAAAAAAAATGATACAAAACAATAATGTAAATAATGCGTGCAAAAGTTCCTTTGTTCAATGTAGAAGATTAACTTCAGCTGAACTGAATTTAGCAGTTATGCGCCTTTACGAAGTACAAGAATTTTTAACGATTTCAGTGATTATTTTACATGAAATAGATCGTTTAAATCGTTTTGGAATAAATAAAGTTCCCTTGTAATTTTTATTCAATTTAATTTTGTAATCTCTGAAAAGATCTTTTCGAATTATTTATTTGCATTTCCTTCAATACAAATTCCATTATCCTATGAATATCAACAGCAAAATGAGATTATCGGACAATTTATTTTCCAGAGAAGAAGCGTTTTCCGCGGATTTATGGAAGAATATTGCACGTAGAGACGGCGGTACCACGTCACAGAAGGCCATTGGTTCGATTCTACCCGGGATCGCCCTAATGCTTTGGTCCGATTTGTTTTCCGCATTTTTCATCGAAAACACGATCACTTCCACCTCGTTGAATATAAAGTGTCAAACGCTAATTGGTTTAATATTTTCTTGAATAGTTCACCAATGAGGCAAAAAGGTAGTTTTCTTGCCCATTGATAATCTTGCAATGAATTCTCTTTTACCTTGCGGAAGCGACAATTTTAACCGAATGGCGTTCTCAGTGGTACACATTGGTACACATAGACACAATTAAATTTCAATTTGCAATTAAATTTCAATTTGTGAATTCGTGGATAGGCTTTTTCACTGAAGAAATCACTTCTGGCCAGTTTTTCGTTTTCGGAAATATTTTTGTATTTTTTCGTTTTCGGAACTATTTGTGTATTTGTATTTTTTTAAGCATTATTTTCATCATTCACTTCACATTATATTTTATTTTACTGCGCTTTTTGGTAATACTTAGCAAAATGCTTTTTCTGTGCCATCCTCCTAAAATAGCAAATAGCTCTTTCTGATACAAACTCTGGAGGATTGATTTTGGCTGGTTAAAGGATGAAGGATGTAGGGGGCTGTATTTAATGAGGTTTACAAGCTTATCTCACAAAAACATTCTCTTCATTCCATCCCTTCTCTCTCCTCGCTCCAGTTTCCTCGGCCGTAACTCTCCAAACTACGTTATATAGAGAGGTGGCAAAAATTTTTTTAAAAATTAATTTCATATTTTCATTTGTCATATATTTTTAACAATAATAAATTGTGTCTAATCACGATTTCTAGCATTTTATACTCCAATAACTAAAAACCAACAAATGAAAGTTGAAATGAAATGAAATGAAAATTGCCAAAAAATTGTTTTAATAGTTTGCCACCTAAAAATAAAAGCAAATTCGGTGCTTTGAATGAAAATGGATATTCATTACTTTTCCTAGAAGCATTTCGGACCACCGTTGAGGGACTAACTTTACTAGTTATTTCGAAATAGGAAGAACTGGCCTCTTATAAAAGGCCCCTACTAGGGTGTATATTTTTTGCCACCTCACCTATCGGATAAATTAACTGAGTGGATACGAAAAAACATTGTATATCAACTCAGTTTTGGAAGTAACTAAATGATAAAACAAGGGATTTCGCATGATTACGTTGAACTGGATGCGCCAACCTTTGTTTAAATTTCGTCTCATTAAGGGCCATTGGCTTAAAAACCATTAAAAACTCGTTAACCAAAGTGAAACTTGTAAGAATGAATTATTCATTAATGATAAGATGATATTCGCATTGTTCTTTTAAGAAACGGTTGAGAATATTATTCGCGAGTCGTTCTTTCTCGACATCTCTGAGCATGGAACTATGGAAAAAATGCCAAATCGGTGATCGGTGTTTCTTCTCTTTTTGGTGGCATTCGTAGAAGTATTGGAGCCGATTTTGGGCTATTTCCGCCTTCTCTTTCTCCTTACCCACCGCTTTAATTGAAATAGGGCTTAGGCTCCGCTTGCTCCTTTAAATAAGTAAAGAATTTTCGTTTCAATATGAATTGGCATTAAAACTATGAAAATAATAGAATTCTCCAGCGTTTATGCGACGAATTTGTTCATAGAAAGGCTGTCGTTGGCTGCGAAACTTCCCATTTCTTTATTTTGCGTCACTTCAACTATAAGTGAGCGAAAGCTGACTTCGAGAACTGACTTAGCGAAAGCCGATAATTCTGAAAATAAAAGCGCTGACGTACGAGATTCGAGCTTCGTTGCGCTTCCTCGCCGAGTGGCCGGATTTGCGCGAGCCAACGCCAACCCAAACGGACAAAGCCAACTGCGTATTTGCCAAACACCTTTACGCAGTGAATGTATATTTTATGTATATTTTCGCATATTTTATTTTATATTTTTTGTAAGCATTCAGCGCTTAAATTCAGCTGTTTATATACAAAAATTTGGATGATTATTGCTATCGAAGGGTGCGTTCGGAAATTTGTTGAGAATTTTCTGCTGGGCCGTAATAAAAGCGAGCCGTGGCCGTGATCTGCTTTTCATGAAAACCGAGTTGAGATTTGGATATTTTCGGAATTTCGTGCTTTCTTATATTTGTACAGAAGGGAAGGCGAGATGAATATCGGTGGCATTTCAAAGATTTAACTCTCCAATTTCCTGGTAAATATTAGCATTTTCTTTTATACTTTCGACTTTAGGGAACCAAAATTCAACATGAAAAGTTTTTTCTTTAAAAATTCAAAATTGTAAATTATTCTTATGAAAATATATTTGAAATTTACATTTTCCACCCTTAAATTTCATTTATTCTTAAAAGCTTTCAAATTGGTTGATTAATTAGCAAATTTATTCAATTTGTTATTAGCAATTTATTTATTTATAAATTTTAGCTGTTAAATTCAAAAGAAAAAATTTAAAAAGGAAATAAATTTTTAAAAATGAATGAATAAATTCTGAAGAGATAAGCATAAGGGAACTGTGGAATAAATGTTTTCATTTTCATTCCTATTTCACATTTTCATTCTCCTATAAATTTAAATTTTTTTCCTTTTTTTCGTTAAAAATTCATTTTTTAAAGATTTATTTAATGAATCCTTAAAAATCGAAAAAATAATTACTTTTACTTTTCATTCTCCAAAGATTTCGGAAATTTTTTCTTTCTTTTTTCAGAACTTTTTTCAGAAATTTAAGTAGTAATTTAAATTTAAATTTATTTTGTTACTTTAATATTTATTAAATGTTTTAATTTGTAATCTTCAACAGACTAGTAATTTTGTTTTATATTTCAAATTTATTTCATTTAATAATTTGTTACTTTAATTTAAATAAATTAAAATACATTTTTCTGTATATTTCTATATATTCCATTTTCTTTTGAAAATAAAAATTTTTTACCAATTTAAAAATGTAATTAAATTCAATTTCGTCATGAAAAATCCTTCTATATTTTTAACATATAATTATTTCTTAGTATCTTTCTTTTGCAAATTTAAAATTTAGTTTTTTTTTGAATATTGTATTTTAGATTGAAATGAAAAAACGAAAAAATTATTCAAAAATGGAGCGTAACACACTAATTCGCGGATTACAAACTATTTTCGCTACTCTTTGCTTTTATATTGCCGGTGTCATCAACTGTATTTCATTTGCGACAAAACGACAATTTCGAAACGTTGGTTCTATCAGCCTTTCTAAGATTTTTTTACAATTTTTTCTAAATTAATCATCATCCAGGAGTTTATTTGCTTTTCTCTCTTTCTTTCCTGTTCTCTTTTTTATCATCCTTTTCTTTTATCCTGGTCATTCTAAATCCTTTATACAATCTTTATACAATCTGCATCTTCCTGCTCCCTTCTGCGTCCACCCTGTAATTATCCTTCACTCTTGTTTCGGAAGAGACTAGCTAATGGCTACACAATTGAAAATTTCTTATAAATTTCAGTACTGACTGATATCTAAAATGTAATTTTTATAAAATTATAAAATTGTAATGGAAGCAAAAATTTCGGAAAAACAGCTAGAAGTTATTTTTTAAATATTAGCTTAACTAAGTAGTCCAAAATTATACGATTTTATACTTAATTGATGAAAATTTTAAACTATTTTCAGTTCAGAAAAAGGCAAGTCGTGCGCTATCAACGCATCCCGTTATCACCACTAACAGCACATCGTTTGAGTAAGTTTAAAATAAAATGTCATATCATTTAAAACAGTTAAATTTTTAATCAGAGCTTCTTCAACTTATAGCGCTTTCTTTGTCGCCCACGAAAATTTTTTAAATTTTTTAATTTTAAATTTAATTTTAATTTTTTAAATTTTAAATTAAGATTGTCTAAGAGGTATAAACGAGTCAATATGGGTGTCTGATTAGATTACTAATTTGAGTACCACTCCGCCCTGACACTCTTTCAGGATTATAGAGATACTAAACCTATCATTTAAAAATCCCAGTGTGGAACCACCTTCTTATTTATTACATACCAAATATAAAAGTATATCCATCTAGTTGGCATTATAAATCTCCAACATCTCTCTCTATCATTTTAATTAAATGGTTTACCACCTCATTTTCCCTGATTAATGATATTCGAAAAAAAAGTTATGATGATTACTTTAAGATTACTTTTTTTTATCTTTTATTGTAATATCTATTCTTTTTTTGTATGGTAATAGCTCTTCTTAACCTCTTTTGTTTCTTTTCTCACTTATTTCTTATTTTTATAAGAAATTAACTGTAATCATTACATTTCAATCATATCGTCACTATCGTTCATTAATGAAATGAATTATTTTAAATGATGGAGGAGACGACGGAATTAAAATGAAAATAATTCAGAACTTTATAGGTGTTATTCGGCGAAAAATTTTCGTACTTGATTTAGACGAAACACTAATTCACTCTCATCATGATGGCATATTTCGTCCAATGGTTAAACCAGGGACCCCACCGGATTTCATTCTTCGGGTTGGCAATTTTACTTGAAAGAGAGTGGTTAGAGAAGACTATTTTTATTTGATTTTGGTTAATTGTGCAGTTCAAAAATTTTATAGGAAAAAATTTTGTATTCTTAAAAATTTTTTTGGCTGGAATTAATTGAGTTGCAATTATTATTGTCAACAAGGATGAATTTTGCTAATTTTGCAGGTCAATATTGATCGCCATCCGGTGCGTTTTTTTGTTCATTGTCGACCACATGTTGAATATTTTCTTTCAATGGTGAGTGAATGGTTCGATCTCGTTATTTTCACTGCATCTATGGAAATTTACGGTAGTTCAGTTGCAGATAAATTAGATAATGGTAAAGGTATATTGCAGCGGAGATATTTCAGGTATTATTTTCATCGAAATTTTTCTGTAAATTATGGATTTTTTTACAGTTTTTAGGTTATTTCGGTTAATTTTCATTTAAAAAAAATCTTATTATTTGTGATTTTAGGCAACATTGCACTGTTGATTATGGTGGATACACAAAAGATCTCTCAGCTGTGCATGCTGATCTTTCTTCAATTTTTATTTTAGATAATTCACCAGGCGCTTATCGGAAATTTCCACGTAATCGTTTTTATTTATTTATTTATTTTGTACGCAGATTTAATTAAATTTAATTAAATCAGTGAATATCAATAATTAATTTAATTTCAAATATTTCGGGTCCACTATAATGGTCAAGCGAGAGACGAAACTACAACCCGGATAATAGCAACCATAAATGCTTTCTTCCGGTTGATGAAACTTTTATGAATTCATCGTTAAATCACTATAATAGTGAGAACCCCTTGCGATCTATGTAGTCGCACTCCGCTCGATCTTGTTATTTGGCTGTGAAATCTGCCCATTGTAAGTAGACGATATTAAGAAGGTATATGCCTTTGGCCACTCATGTCTAAGATATATCTAAGATATAACGGGTCTGCCGAGCGGATAAAATCTTATAGATTGCATTCATTCTTACTCAGATACCACTTGCATTAACAGTACCATCACAGAACATCCTCTTCACCGGTTCGTGTGGGTTCTTTGTCGCTTACTGCAAAAGTTGATACGTATTTCGTTACTTGATAAATCTTGTTACTGATGGGGTCAAAAGTGAGTTGGTCCAATTAAGACCTCGATTGACATGATTCAGAAAAGATTTTGAATGTTTAGGTGGATCTGCGGTCTTAGGTTATGAAAAAAAGAATGGCTTTGTATAGCGGTAGTGTTGGAACGAATAGCTTGAAGACGTCTTATTTTTGAAGCCAGAGGATTCAACCTAACCAGTAATGATGAAAGCTATTAGAAGAAGAAGAAGAAATCAGTGAATATCCTTTTATGAGGGATATTTCACGCACATTAAATATTTGATTAAATATGGTTATAATGGTTTTGTTCATTAATTATTACAGCTATTAATTATTTTAATTTTTCAAACCCTTCGTTTTTTTTTATTTTCGCTTTAATTTTTGATAGGTTTTTCTACTTAAAAAAAAGTATTTTATGGCTACAGTTGGTAGAAAACATTAACTATGGGAGAAATTTTATTTTTTTCTTTATCTATCGAATTTTTTTAGAAAATGCTATTCCCATCCGTTCTTGGTTCTCTGATCCTACGGATACTTGTTTACTTTCTTTGTTACCTTTTTTGGACGCTTTGCGATTTACTTCTGACGTACGATCAATATTAAGCAGAAACCAGCAACTGCAACAAGTTTGGTAATATAAATGTGAATGCTAGCAATTGTTATTTTATCAATAATTATCAGTAATCAGTAAACTTGCCTTTACTCGGTGAAATTACTCGGTGAATTCATTATTAAAGTTCATTTATTTCTTATGTTTTCTTTTTTTGTTTTTTACATGAGGTTGCTTATTTTTTTTTGTTGTCAAGATATTTTCAATTCTTTTATCTTTATATATTTTTGCAGTTATTTATTTCTTCTCTAAATTTTGTTTAAAGAAATATTTTTTTCGGGCTAGCACGAGCTATCATAATATAAACTCAGTTAGTAAAAACTTAAAATTTAATTAAAAATGATAAATTTAATAAGTCATCACGTCCTTTTTTTTGTCAGATGTACAACCTCTTTGATTTCACTTCATTTAAAAAAATTTTTTCTGTTGAACCTTACTTATATTCAAATATAACGACTGTTCATATCTATTTGAATAGATGAGTGCTGAAAATATGATGCTAAAATGCTTTCCTTATAAATTTATTTATTTTATTTAGTAGCCTTTCATTGAGTGTGATCTTTTAGCTGTTTTTTCCATTGGTTGTCAGCTAAAAGTGAAATCAAATAAAGGGATAAATTATGAAAGAACTTTTGAATTGAATTTCTTGAAGTTATCGAACTGCTTGTCATCAGCCTCCTTTTTAATCGATCATTCGCATCAAGAATTCCGTAGAACTCAAAATTTTTATCGCATGGCATACAAAGATAGATTTTCAATTTTGCTATTAAGCCGAATGGAATATTGAAGGAGATTTTCGAAAAGGTTCGAATCTTTTGCAGCTCTATGAACGAAAATTTGGGAAAATTTTAATCCTTTAGCTTTTGAAGCAAAGTTTTTGTTCTATTTTAGGAAATGAAATGATTAAAAATTATCTAATCAAAATTAACTTTTTAATATTGCATTCAGTGTGGATTTCTATTTCTCTACAGTTTGGAAGTACCTATGGGAGATTTCGTGTTTCGTTCCAAATATAGCTAAAGCCTTATTATTTGAAGCTTAGACGAGCAGAAGAGCGGTGTATTACTTCGCTGAAGCCATTCATTATGGGTTCGACTTTTGAAGCGGTGAATTTGCTATTAAAAGTGAAGTTCAGGTCATGGAACTTACTCATACTTTTTTTCAAGCTAACTCTCGTTGAGGAATCGTCGCAATAGCCAACAGAATCAACCGAATCTGTTAGAATGAAAAAAGGATTTAATTCGGAAATTATTAGTGGTTTTAAAAGTCACTTCGTGAATCTTTAGATTATTATGGAAAATTGTGTGGTACGTGCAAGCAGCGTGGTCTTTGGCTGAGACGTGAATACTTATGACAGGGAAGTCGAATTTGCTTGATTTTAACAGCTATATAATGAGAATGAGAAATATAATTTTAATTCGAAAAAATAGGAATGCAGGTGAGTCGCCAGCATCACCCGGACTTTGGGTAGGTTCATCCTCCCTCCTTGGGAGATTGAAGGTTGTGCACGTATCTTAGCTGCTCCTGTGCGCTCATCACGATGGAGGTCTGCTACCCTTCTTCAAATCTGCTGAAGCCACTTTTCTAATTTTTAGGAATCACACCTCCAACCAATCTGCCTAGCCTTGACCTCGCAATGAACCTGTTGCCGCCAATATTCGCGAATTTGAATTCGGATTACCCAAATTTTCTCGAAAACCGAGTACCGTACAATCCGAAGTCAGATGATTCATTTTTGTTTACGTCTGATCTATTAAAAGTGCATTTCTGCTCCTCAAAATTTCCTCACTCTTTTCAAATTATTTGAATTTTACCCTTTTACAGTAAAATGTACGGTACCCGGTTTGCCGGTTTGTGAATCACTCGCCTTCACACCGTTCTTCCGCCGCACCGACTGCTTCTCCTTTGTTCTCGCCTTTTCTTTAATGAGAAGCCTGAAACGTCGTGTTTTTTTGCTGTTTGTGCATTTTATTAGGTGAAATGAAGTTGCTGCTAGATTGTTCCATAAATATGTTTAGGTTTTTCACCGCGTTCTTCCTCTAATGTAATTTGGTTTAATTACCCATGTTTGAGGGTAAAATTTTAATCGCGCAGGGATTTGCGCCTATTGTCGCACTTACCGTTCAAAGTGTATTTGCATGGCAGCTGGCATTCATTACTCCCGCTCTCTATACATTTTTTGCTCGGTGCGTCGGACCTCGAGAACCGCAGTGGTGACTGACGGCTCGGTAGCCGTCAAAAACCACGTCATTTATAAATTAAAATAAAGTTAAATAAAACAAAATAAAATTAATATTTTGTGAGAATCAAATCAGTTTATCTTATTTTTTTTAAATTTATATTCTTAGCCTCTAAGCCGTTGCCGTCAGTTATTCAGACCCAGTCGATCATCAACAAGTCCTCTGGAACAATGCTGCACCTTGCTTCATTCTACATTTTCCATTCTTTGTCAAATTTTTTTATATTTCTATGTTAATTTCTCAATTTCTATCGATTTTTCGTATTCTTCTTTTTGCATATTCGTGGCACATATAAAATTGTAAAAGTAATATTTGCAGTTTAAAAAGCCGCGGATCATTATTTAGAGGAACTTAACCTCTTAGGATCTTAATTGGAAATCCTGGGTGTCAGAGAGTCCTCTAAGGATGACCCTAGGCCCCGATCTTGTTTATCAAAAATTTGCGATCTCGAAGGTGGAAAAGCTAACTGCTCACTCTGGTCGACATTCTTCAGAGCAGTGTTGACTGAGGTGAAGAGTTAATGTTTCGTATCTTGCTCACCAATAAAACCGACTTGAAAACCCGTAAAATCCGAGCCAACAGGAAAAACAGACCTATTCACAGCCAATGTCGCCAGTAATGATTTCGACAGTTTAACAGAACAATAGAGTTTAATGAAACTGTTCTTCTTTACGATGATTGCTTGGAGGGGGATGGTTGAAATCCTTGCCAAAAATGGTTCGATCCTTTATATGGCGACTATAAAATTTGTCTCAACGATTCAGTTGGTAAATGGCAAGCAAGTCTTCAGACCTTTTTCATCATTTTTCACCTTTGCAACGATGGTCAGCAATGATGCTCAGTGCTTTCCTTCATCGAGGCGATGCCCATTCGATACTCATCTCAGCTTGCTCCAGTCTACATCAACTTCGATTTCGATCACGGAAAATGTCCACACCTAAGGCAGCTCCAGAACTGCGTAAGATAACCTTCTGGCTGCAGTCTGAGCTGCAATCTTCCAGCCTCACCCTCAGCTTCAAACGCTCCAAATTTTCCCTCCCGCAAAATTAACCTTTTTAGTTTCCATTGCTGGCCTGCGTACCTCAAGTCAACAACTCTACATACCAAGCAAAATCGCAAAAAATGTTCAGCACCGCCGAAACAATACAATTATGATTTCCCAAGTGGTTGGGTCGCGTAGTAATGAAAATGAAATTTACCATTTTTTTATTTTGTTTATTTATTTCTTTTTATTGTATTTTTACGGTACGAAATTTCTGCTAGACTGTGTTTTATAAACATATTTAAAATTTTCGTCGTTAACCACGTTCAGCCTTTGTTTTATTCCTCCGTCTGCGTATATTAATTTAATTTAGTTTAATTGCCCGAATATGAGGGTAAAATTTTGACAGTGTGGTACCACATCGAGTAGTCTGTTGTCGATGAACTAAGGTACCAAAACATATTGCATGGCAGTTGTCATTATCATTTCTACCCCCTTATATTTTTTATTTGTGGCATCAAAAATTAAAGAATAAATAAATCAATGACTTCTCTGGAACAGCAGATAAATACTGGTCCCAAATAAAGGAATATTTAATTTGTGGTAGATTGGACAATGGCATTGGTCAGTTCAGTGCATAATGTTCAGATCTTAAATAGCCTGAAGATTTAGTCTTTTTTGCTGATAATTATGGCGAAATGTAAATAATGCCTAATTGCAAGGAAAGTTGGATTCATTATCAATGTGAATAAAGCGAAAGTATTTGCATCCTATATAACAGAAACTGACAAAATAACCTATTTTTATCAATTTATCGCCGACTGGGAAAGTGCCGGATTTAAATATCTTGGACTCACTCCATTCTCAAATGGCCATGCAAAGGACGCATCTCTGATGACGATATTATAGTCAAGAAGAGGCAGAACGAACCCTTTGTACATTTTGATAAGAAAACTCAGTTTTGTTCTTAAATTAATATTACCATTAATAAAAAGATTAGGAAGATCGAAACCCTTATAATTGAATGAAGAACGCTAGAACTTGAATTTGAACTTGAATTTTTGAAAGGAGAGGGTACCTATCATATAGCCAGTTGGCTGTTCTGTTGAGGTCATACTGCATTAGAAATAGCTATATCCGCTCTACCATGAAAATAATAAATTTTACAAACATCAGCTAAATATAAATAATAAATAAATAAATAATAATGGAGATAAATAATTAAATAGTAAATAGTAGAGTTTGGTACCACTTTGGTGATATCATTTATATATAATACAAAAAACAATGGCGCAATACAGCCACCTTGGCGAACGCCAGATTTAACAGGTGTTATGACAGAAAAAAAGTTGTTGACACATATAACCTGGTGACCATCTTTTATGTAATCTGACACCCAGTTATACACGTCCCTCTCCCCCCCCCCCCCGCCCTCATAACTATTAAGAGTAATCAGCAATTTACTATAGGAAACGGCATCAAAAGCTTTGGCCAAATCTGAGTATAACTGATGCTATCAATTATCCATTATCAATTGATGCTGTCCAATCGAAAAGGTTTACCAGTATTTGTTAAGAAGTAGATTTTTTTATACAAAAGCCATGCTGATAGAAGGATATGAAATTATTGGCATCAAGATAAGTATGCAATTTATTGCAAATCAAGCTTTTAAGTACCTTGCTATTAACGCATGTTAAACTAATAAGTCTATAATTAGAAGGGTCATAGATGCTTCCTTTTTTGTGAAGGGGAAAAAGGGGAATTGAGACAATTTCCAAATTTTGGAATTAAGGCCAAATTTCATAATGTCCTTATATATTAAAAATAGGGGAAAAACCCAGAGAGACTGCACATTTTTTATAAATGATTTGTGTAGTATTATCGGGACCAGCTGAAATTGACGGCTTAAGTTTATTTAAGGCTTCATAAACATCCAGTAGCGTTATTTCAGCTTCACATAGAGAAATGCAACAAATTCGATTTACGTTAAAGGAGGATGGGAATTGACCTAACGCTTTTTTTCGTTAAAGGAGTATCCTCAACAAATATACTAGAAAAATATTGATTAAATACACTTGCAATATCAATATCAGTTGTGATCATATTATCATTATGTTGCAGAATTAATTGTTTACGTGGATTTGCAAATTTTCTTTTGATTTAGGTCCAGAAAGAATTCCTATCAATGTTTAAAAGTTCCTTTTTCTCTTCCTCTTCTTTATTTGAAAAGTAATTATGAATAGCACTACAGAAACTTTTTAAGCAATCTTTATATGCAGAGAGGTCATTTGGCAATTTGGTTAATTTTATTTATTATAAAGCTTCTTAACACTTTTTTAAAGAGATTTTAGAAAAATGGGAATTGACCTAACGCTTTTTTTCGTTAAAGGGATATATTGCTGAATAAGATATAAAATGATGCTACTAAAAAAATTAACTTTTTTATTAATAGAAGGAGTTAAACAAAATAGGAAATCCCAGTTTTTTTTTGGGAGGATAGAATTAATGATTTCATAAATACTGTAACGGTAGTTTCTAGAAAATCTCGAGGGAGGTACATTACGGTCTAATTTTAATGAAGCATGAATGATATTGTGATCACTATCACAAAAAGCTTCCAAGACTTTAATGTTATCAACAGGAGAAGTAAAAGTAGCTAACACAAAATCTAGCGTTATACCTAATGGCAATGTTAACATTTTGCTCTAGACCTATGCAAGTACAAAAGTTCAAGGAGTCCTCTTCAAATTTGCTATTTTCCAAGCAACTATTTGCCCAATCTATGTTTGGCATATTAAGATCAACAATTATATAATCGGCACCAAATAATTTTAACCTGAATAACAGGTCCCTAATGAATTTACTTCCATAGCCTTAAGTTACAGTTTAGAAGTTGGCTCGCAGCATCCTAATTTTTGTGACAGATTTGCTTTTATCAAGTAAAATACGTTCGGTACCATTTGACCATCGTCCATTCGTTTATAACATTATTGATAAATCGCCGTTTATACCGTAAGGCTCGGTGTTTGATTACTGTGAATTTGAGTCTGAGATAGTTCACTAAATGCTTCGGCTCGCGTTAATTTTTATAGTTTCTTTTTTTATAATGATAAGGATGAGTTCCTTCCTTGATAATTTTCAGCTGTTCTTATGAATTGAAACTAAATAACTGCAATGCAATGCACCACACATCCAGCGTTAGGAGCATAAAACGGAAACGTACCTGGACCCACATAAATGTTCCTTTATTTTCTTTTTCCCTTTAACTGTCTGTCCATGTTTTCATGCTACCAGCGCACCATTTCGCACTAAAAGCAAGTTCTAATTTATCTTGTATTGGTGAAGCAAGTAAATGGTTAGCGCCCGCAGCTGGTTAGGCTAGCTATGTTATCTCTTTTTGCCAGAGAGTCATTTAATGGTAGAAATGCAAGTAGATCAACAGAAATACAGGCATTTTTTAAACGTTTAAATTTGAAGTCGTTCACTGAACGCTAAATATTTATTCCTACAGGGAACGGGAACCAAGGCCTTGTCTCCTAAAATGACAACTCCCTGTCCACTCGGCCACTTTGCCTTTTCATCGTTGTGAGCGGCGTTCTTCCACCGACTTCGCGGAGATTCGCGAAATCAAGGAAACTTCTTAGATAACCACCAACCAATATGCCAGTTGTTTTATCATTGATTAAATTCTAATTTTGGTCATATTGAATTGGTAGTTTGACCCGACCTTTTGTTTAAATATTTGTCTACATAAATACAAATGGGCAGTGTTCTTATGTTTTTCGTTATCCACTTGGAGTTAATTTGAATTTGAAATCGTTCACTGAATGCTTCGGCTCCCATTAATTTTTATTATTTCCTTTTCATAATTTTAATTTAATTTTAATTTTTAATTTTAATTCATTTTTAATTTTAATTTTTTTCTATAAGAATTATTTTACATCGAAGATTTAATTTTTAATTTAATTTAATTTAATTTAGATTTAATTTTTTTAACAGTTTAATTCAAATTATAAGTTTTCTTCTTAAATTAATATTTTTTAAAATTATTTTAATAAATATTTATCATCGCGGATTGGTTTTGTGAACTGATAAAATATCTTTGGTAGTTTTTTTCAATTTTAGAGATTCGAATGGAAAAATATGTTTCAAGCGCCAATTGAAGATAGTGATTTGTTAGTGATTTTATTAAAATTTTATTGTTAATTGTATAAATTGTCGATTATAACTAATTGATTATAAAAAATTTATTTTTAATTGATAAAATTATTTTAGAAATTTGGAGAAATTTTAGTTAATTTTAAATAATTCTTACTTCTAACGGAAAGAGTTTTGTAAAAAAATTTTTATTCTTTTAAGATTTTTTCAAAAAACGAAATTTCTCGCGCGTAATTTACTCATTTACTCACCTTATTCCCAATTTTTGTTTTTTATTTCATTTTTATCATTAAAAAGTAAGAACGAGATGAGCGGAATTGTATGATCCTTTCCGTAGTAAATTTTCTCGAAACGCACCATTCGAAGCTTATCCTTTTGTCTGGAAAAAATATTACTCTCGATGTTATCTCTTGTAGGCTTGATGAGACGGTGAGTGTAGAAGTGGAGTGCACCAAGAGGGAGCACACAAGGGATCTTTTCTTTTAAAAGTGCACCTAAAAGCAATGGACTGCAGCAAAAGATTTCAGAGGAATTTGAGGAATGTGGAATATTATATATATATATAAAATATAATAGGTTTTAAGGGATGTTGGTAGTTTAGTATGGCGGATAGTATTATTAGTTTTTCGTGTAGTAGGATTTGATTAGAGACACGGTGTTCGCCTCTTTGTTGCAGGATTATGGTGGAGTGTGATAGAGTAAGGTCGGTTTTTGGCAAAAGAACATGATGTGGTTCAGTGGGGTATTAGAAAGATTTAAGGTAATTTCGGCGCTATGTTGAGAAGTTGTTAAGGGGTTATCATTAGTTGAATGAGATAACATATATGTATACATAAGTTTGAAACAAAACAACGAAATGTTATGGCAATGTTCAATGAAAATTTAATGAAAGGAATCCTCAATAATTGAAGGTTAAGATCTCTAAGAAGTAATTGGGAAGCGGAATTTGGAAGGTTTTGCACTAAATAAGAGGGTGATCTTACAGGAACTGAAGTTCTTTCGATTAATATCAGAGAAAAGTTGGGACATTAGGCGTGGCCGCGAATTGGGAAGTACTTGGTTTGGAGGAATGCTTAATGGGGGGACTTAGAGGAAGTAAATGACCGATTTTCGGGAAATGTTCCAGAGATCACTTAAGCAGATTGGAAGAGTTTTTCAGAAGAGATGTGTTAGTTTTTTATCCACTTACGGACCAAATTATTCTATAGAATCTTAATTTTTAAATTTTCTAGAAAATATTCTTTAATCGATTTTCTGATTTTAGATTTTAAGGTAATTTTAATAGCCAACTTAAGTATTGTTTTATGGCATTCATATAGCATTTAATAAAAAAGATTATTTAATTTTAGAAATTAGCATGGAATGGAAGTTTTTTGCAGGGCAAACGATAATGAAACATTTGAAAGTGAACAAAGCAGTGGTTGCTGTATGAACAGTTCAAACACGGATTGTGGGTTAAAGGGTTTCGTTATACGCGACCCCTTACTAATCGCAAAATTTCGGGCTGACATTCGGTTCTGTTATTTAATAGTCAATTTTAATATCCATCGAAAATAATTATTAGAGAAAATTTTTTTATCGTATTTTTATTATTCTATGCTGTAAATGTAATAACACTAATCGCACTAATCATTTGAAGATTGCTTACTTTGCAGTAATGCACGACCACTGCAACCACTGCGTCCACTGCAACCACTGGCATTAATGCATATGCGGTCTTTGCTACCACACCCAACACGATTGGAAGCTCCAGACCGTAGGCCGTCATCTAATTCAAGAAATTTTTTGGCGAATTTACCTGATATGAGGGAAAATAAAGCTGATAGCGTGGGGACGGTATGCCTCATTTGCTTACCAGATTTGCTTCATCTTTTGCTTCATCTTTTAGTGGATTTATGAAAATTTCGATTTCAGAATCAAGCTTCGCAAACATATATGAAAACTTTGTACGGATGCAGTCGGCAGCCTTTTTATGGATCGCAGGACTCTGAACATATCATGTTAGTTCAATATTTATTCATAATGTCAATTTAAAATCTCACTAAAATAAATGAACTGAAATTTCAGGCAAAATAGAAATAATTTCAATATGGAATTTAGAAAGGTGAACAGTACTTTAGCGAATCCTTGTATATCCTATACAAATAGCCTTGATCGTTCAGCTGCTTTTCAGAGATTGGAGAGTTTTGGTGCAACAAATATCAGTGGGTGGGGAACGGTGCCTTGGTTCGTTTTTTGAGTTTTTTGAGGTAACCTTAATCTAAAAGTTATTGAACTAGGAAAAAATTTCACTTTTTCGAAATTATTACCATATTTTAAAGAAAAAGCTTTAATTCTCTTTGAATATTCGATACTTAATTTTTAATTCTTCATTTGCAGTCATATGCAACCGGTGATACCATTGGCAGATATCAAGTTCGATACATGTCATGCTAGAATGAATTTGACCAACACATATGGCTATAAAACGGTGTTTTTATTAAATGATTTTATAGCTTTCTATTAAGTATTTCATGTTGCATGAATATTATCTATTGGCAATCGTAATTTATTCACGTAATGTCCAAATCAAAGAAAAATGCGTTAATTATATTGGAAATTTCCAGAAATTTTGTCGAGCTTGGCTTAAAAGTGGTGCATGTGCGTTAGGGATTCGTTGTCGCTTTGCTCATAACATTGGTGAATTAAGACCTATCAAGTTAGTTTTGTGCATAAGTTGTGCACAATTATTTAATGTTTATTAATTTATTTCATTAATCACTCAAATATTTGCAGTGATCAAGCAATGAATTCCGTTAACATGATACACAATACAAATTTCTATAATAATAATAGTACTGCATCAGGAATTTATTGTGCAAATCAGACCCAACATAATTGTGCATATCAAAAGAATTATATGGACACTGAGGTACACTTATTTACGAAGAGATATATTGTAACGATGTCAGCTTTAACGATAATTTATAGAACAATTGTATACAATCGGAATACGAAAAGGCGCTGAAAACACTGGAAAGTACAGAATCGAATGCTGTGCCTGAAATAACCGGCGTTAAAATATCAGGGAATTTTCAGTCTGAAAAATCACTCTCTCCGTCGTCGTTCTTTCGATATTGTAACGGCGAAAGGTTTAAAATGGAAGACATTGCTGCAGGAACCCTACTTCAGTCCAACGCTATTTGTCCTACATTCAGTGGTTTCATATTATCTTCATACAATATTTAGAAATAGGATTAAGAATTCGCTATGTTTATATTTAGTAGATAAAATGATAAGTAAATTCAATATAAATAAAGTATTAAAACCTGCACTGTTGGTAAGAAAAAAACGAGCGACACTATAAAATTATTCTAAAAATTATAAAGTTATACGATCTAAATAATATCGTATATGAAACATTTGCTCGAGTTCATTCCAGAAGATCCTCGACGCTGAAATGATTTTGCAGAAATACATTGTAATAACATAGTAATATACTTGAAAAAAATAATAAATATCGAAAGTTTCACAAGAAATAGATTCACGAGTTTTTTAGTATTTTTAAAAGTTTGAGGGAGTCCTCAAGGCAAAAATTTTGCAAAGTACTTCGCTTGCAGTTCTCGCCATTACTGGTTAAGCTGCCTCTGCTGGCTACAAGGGTAAGACGTCTCCAAGCCGCTCGACGCCATCGCCATTCCTTTTTCCATCGTTTAAGTCCATATATCGCTGGTATTATAGAACTGTTTTGTTATAGAACAGTCCGATAATTTTTCAAAATTATTTATTAATTATTTAATTAATTAAATCTCGGTATTTGCTGTATTAGAAATGAAACATTGAGAATTTTTCAGATTGCTTTGTTACTACAATGTTTAAACATCGAAATAAATTCGTATTTTAATTTCGATTTTTACCGAATCTTTTTAGGCGAAACTTTAATGAAAAACGATGTTCAGCTTGGTGAAATTCCATTAACAACGAATAACTTCGATGAAACTTTACAGGCATTAAAGCAATTTCAACGTTTGGGATTATGAAATGGAGCTATTTTATTATGTTAAAAACCATACGAATATTTTTTATTTATTTGTCATTTTGTGCTTTAACTCGTATTTTATTGTGGTAGGATTGTTGAGTGTCGATCATCGTTGCGTTAATTCTTGCCTTTGGCAAAATTTATGAAGAAAAGTGGATTTCGGTTCTGAATCCATCTATATTTTCTATTCGTAGACCGACTGCGGTCATCCTGGCGCATTATTATTTGATATTATATTCTTTCTTAAAATAAGCATTCAAAAGCCTTAAAGTATTAAAGAAACTTACAGATATGCTTATTATTAATTTGATAATTATTTATTTATTTATCTTTTCTTTCATGAATAGAAATTTATTTATTTTATTTCATTATTTTTGGTATTTTCTGCAAGGAATAGCAGTGAATGTTATCGAAAATTCAGAAGAAAATGTTTTACGCTTCAATTGCTTTAATTTCTAGGTCGCTTATTAGGTTTAATTGTACTATGAACAGTTGGGATTTGCCCAATATGATAAATGTTTTTTTATTAATGTTTCGTAAATTCAAACCTTTATTCAGAAAGGACCGACAGAGCATTGCACTATTAGAACGAGTCGCAGAAGGATGGTAACGATTAGAATGCCGTCTGAAAAAGTATCGAGTGAATTTTAAAAATATTTGCGATTTATGGAAATCATAAGTATAAAAGTGGGAAGCCATCCCACAGACATTCTAAAATTTAAAAGATTTTGGAGAAATCAAGGAGTTTCGGCATGAAGGGCTGATGTTCCATTTTTTTTCTGGTTTAGCGTGCATGCATATGCAATAACTGAATAGGCTGTGTACTTGGATCAAATTACATGCATTTGTGTTTTGCGTCCATGTTACATTCAGCACGAATTAGAGTCAAAGGATTTCATAAATGGTGGCCTGGCAGTGGGGCCTAAGTGGGTGTTAAAGGTCGCATAATGGTTTAAAAAATGAATGAGTGAAGAAGGATTGAGCGATTATATAAACCTGCTAACCTACAGAGCGCTATTGCAGCATAAAGCATAAGTTTAAAGGAAGTCCAATCTATCAAAAGATGAGAAATTATGAAGCGGTGTGCAGGAGTCTGGGAAGAGTGCTAATGGAGTAGAGCGGATTTTGGTGCTAAGGCATTGATCCTAATGAATGTAAATAAAAAGGTTAATTTCGAAGTCAACTTTTATCTTCGTAGTTTCGAGTGCATTCTTTGATCGGCAATCTTCGCTGATTTTTCGCTGATAATTCCACAGCTAACGAGTAGTTTAAAATAAAAAAAGGTGATTTAAAAACGACATAATTCAGACCAAAATTTTTTGAAACAATTCGCTAATCATTTTTGGGCCACGCAGTTCACGGCCAATGAATATAAAATCATTAAAAATTTCTTTGTCTTGCGAGAAAAGGTGTGATTTTAGGTCAATTGAATCTCTACATTTCATAATCCATAAACACACCCATTCCACTTGTAATGATCACCAAATAGCCAGTAACTTATTGGCAAAATGTTCACCGAAATTCGAGAAGGCTCGGGAATGGTTCGAATCTGGAAAAGGCAGCAGCACCGCGCATTGTGGGCTGCGGTGTCGCTGAAGTGGAAGAAAAGAGGTATAGAACTGCTCAGCGGCTTGTTTCTGTTCGGAGAGCAAGTGCTGGAGATCCTCGTTCAGCAGAAGTTAATCTACTTCAGAAATTCATAAGAAGATTGTCAAGCATTAACGAAGAACAGGAATCAGTGAATTTCAAAATGGTCAAAGAGATGCTAAATGGTGGCATTGAGGATTTCAGAAGTCTTCCTGAGCTGAAGCTGCGCTGTTTTATTACTTTTTTTTAGCAATCGTATTTCTAGTTTTTGAGGACTTTAAATATTTATTTAAAGTCAATAGGAAAATATTGGGAATAAAGATTTCATGAATGGACAGCGAATGGATTTCATTCATTGGATTTTTGGTAGATTTTTAAAAATAGAAATTTCAAAAATGGAATATTCCGTTATTTCGTAAGAAGATTGATTGCATTTCTTCTTTGCACAACAAAAAACATTTTTTGCCATAAAAATTTGCTCTTTTTAAATTTTCTTTGTGTAAATTTAACGAAGTTTTACGAAAATTTCAGACTAACAAATTAGCTATAACGAAATTCAAGAGAACCAAATTGATTCTCGTCAGTTTTCTATGTTCTAAAACACGAATCGAGGAAGATTCCTAAAATAATTTTATAGAGTGCATGGCACTGGCAATTTCTGGCCGCTTCATGCACCTCTTTCAGCAGAGAGTCCACTTGGGAAGTGCAGATGAGTGAGTCCTCAGCACCACTCGGACAATAAGTCGAACTTACTCTCGCACTTACGCTTAAGCGAAGCAGAGGAAGATTGAATCGCTATATGCGTGGCTTATGTGCTGCATTGGACAAAATCAGTCAAGTATTTTGCTTTAGCTTTTTAAGCGAAGGAAAGCAATTTTGGATCCATTAATTCACCACAACGATTCGTTTATTCGGATTTTTGGACATTTTAAGGACGAAATTCCTAAAACGTTGCAATGCATCGATTTTAAAAAGGCATTCGTTTCGTTGCATTTTTTCTCTTTTTGATTGATCGTTTTCACTTTTTAGAAGAAATTATATTTTCGCAAAATATGTAAAATCATGCAAAAATTCTTTTTTTCTATAAAATTTCCTATAATTTTGAATTAAATTTTCAGTATTCGATGCTTAATGAAAATTTCCAATATTCTGCAGTAATTACTGTATTCTTATAGAAAGAAAATCGTAAATTAAGTCGAACATTAGTTTACAAAATTTCAACAACCGAAGCGAATATTCTTCGTCCAAATATTTCTGTCCTGCTGGATTAACGCTTTATTTATTAATATAGTCGAGCAAAATTTTTATTTCTAAGCGATAGCAAATTGCTAATTAGACTGCCTCTCTCTGGCTGTGTGGTTCTATGCACAAGCTTAATATATATCTGCGAAAATTGGTCAATGAGAGTGGAAGAAGTCAGGAAGGCCTTTTATCGGCCCTGCTATCCGCCCTTTACAACTTTTGCCTGATATTGGTTTGAGCATTGTTTCTATTTCCGTTCGATTTCTGCAGCTTGAAAGAACAAAATCTCTTATCACTAAAAGAGAAAGTCGAAGAAAAACGCTGCTGATGATTTCTTGCAAGAAAGTGGTGCCAATATTTTGAAAAAATTACGAAAGAATTTGTTTAAATCAAATAATAAAGCGATTGGCTTACGCTTCTTTCCGCAATATACACAAAAAATGATAAAATATAGTTAAAATAGTTAAAAATGGTACTAAAAAACAGTAAATATTTTATATTCATATATTTATTATATATTCATATATTTCTTAAGTATATTTCTCATCTAATTTTCATGAAATTTAGCTTTTTCATGGAATTAAAATTAAACTTTTTTTCATTTTTCCAAGGAAATTTTCGAAAGAAAGTCTTGGATACGATTCGAAAAAAATTCGGGAAAAGCAATTAAATTTTCGCAGTGATTTATTAAGCATTTTTATAGAATATTTGAACCATTTGAGTAAAACTGCTTTTTTAGAATGAAATGGTCAATTTTTTGAAAAATATTGATTTCTCTTCCAAACTTAAAACTTATTTACTTATTTATTAATGCTGATAAAAACTTATCACAAGGATTATTTCATTATTCGATTATTACTGGAACTTCAGATTTGAAATTCGAATTATTTTATTTTAAATTATTTTATGAAAAGATGATTCCTTCCAAAGAAATTACATAATGGATCAGCTAAAGTTCATTTATGCAAACACAAATTCATTAATTATCAAATTATAATTAATCATAGCTAGCACAATTTATCAAATTTACATTATAATATGAAATAAAATGGTAGTTGCTTTAAAAATTTAGATAAAGTTGATAACTCGTATCATTTCACTCAGATTATTCTTATATCGATAAAAGAATTTGTTAACAAAGTTTTTTTTATAAATATTTGAGACAAGGAATTATTTTGCAAGGAAAAGAATACCTTATACCTTAGTTTTGCATTTTTCTTTGAAATAAGCTGCTTAAACGGAAGTTGAAAGAAACTAAAGTACCTCCAAGTTTCGCTTTTTTAAGTTTTTTCATATTTTTAAAATTCATAAAAAATTATTTTTTGAAAAGTTGGTATTCCACGTTTTTAATATTCAAATTAAATTTTAAATTAAATCATGCAAAAATTTTCATTGCAATTAGCGATCGAGGAAACTTACAATTTTTTTGCTTCGCTTTCGTTTTTCGATTCAAATTTTTTGAAAAAAAAACGTATTTCCATAGTTATAAAACTAATTAAAAGTTTTCATATGATCGATCGGAAGTGCCATAAAAGGCACAAAGACAGAAGGTTCTATCCTTTTTGCAGTTAATTTAGACAAATCTTAAGTCAAACATTAACCAAGTGATTACTTTCATTTTTAATTAGGCTCGCTCAACCGACTATGAGAAATTCTTGACACTTGACGATTGCGGATCGCCAACAACACCGCATTTCTCAGCCAATGCTTACCCATATCAGAGGCAGGCTTTAAAGTCTCAAAACGTTGAGCAACAACTACTCGGCGATCTCATAGGTCATGCATTAAGTAGAAATTCTATAAAAATTATAATAATAATCATAATATCTGTAAAAAAAAACACTTCATCTTCCACGAAATTTTTTCTTCCCTAAGCAGTTAAAAATTCAGCAAACATTGGTTACCAATTAATTAGCAGTCGATGATATCTAATCAGTTTGCTCAATTGAGAAAATTTTCTTGATGGAAACCTTTAAAGCCTTTCGGGAAAAAAGGATTTAAAGGATTTTAATTTCAATTTACTTCAATTTATTTATGGAAACTTTGTCAAAAAACAAAAGGTTTCCTCGAATTGATCTTTTTATTTTGCTTGGCTTCATTAATTATTCAGTTTTCTGGTGCGGAAATGTTCTTTTTAATTGATTCTCGATTCCATGGACTCAGATCAAGTAACATAAGTCATATACAAGGTATGCTTTAGAAACGAAACGGTGCATATTTTAGCATCCAATCTGGGCACCCATCTTTAACTATCAACAAATTTAATGACTATCTTTGCTATAATTTCACGCCTCGTTCTAGTACCCCGTGGAAGCACTCTATGGTGGGAAATTTAGAAGAAGAAGAGATTTATTCGCTGATAATTTGAAAAAAATCTAAGTTTAATCACACTTTAGAGTATAAAATTATGTATATGTATATACTTTCTTCATTTTTGATTTGTTCATAACTTTTGCCATCAGTTTTAAACATTGGTTTTAATTATTTATAGCACTAGTTATTGCCATATTCCCGTAATAATTGGCATAAAAATTTTTCCACTATCGAAGCTCCATTTTGTTTCAAATCTGAACAGTGAATATGGACCATCTTTTTAAGTGATAAAAAAGCATTGTGGAATCTATTTTGCCTGACAACATTTCCTATCATACGGGAATTCGTTGACTCTCTACTCCTCTAAATTCCCTTTTTCCCACTTCACTTCTGAGATCATCTTGCACTCACTCAGCTGTCGATACCGTGACATTTCATTTGATTCCATTTCGCTATATTGTCGTTGATATTATTCTTATTATTGCTATTAAGATCACTTTATTAATGGTATTATTTTGTTAGTATTATAATAATGTTGGTAACTTCTATAAATATAATAATGGTAATTATTGCTTCTATTACTACTAATATTATTATTATTAAGGTTAGCGGTCAGCATTTCTAATTAGGCCAATTCGATTGGTTGTAAGCCTAGTAAGGGTAATTACAAAAATTTTACCAACGAGTTATTTGGCAAGAGAAGTACAGGCGAACACCAATGCATGTGAATTGCTATTATTAGTAATTTTTGACTTTGCTTAAATTAGTCGAGTAATTTTTTTAGAGATATTCGGGTTTAACTTATTTTATGAAAAAATTAGTATAAAAAGTTGAAAAAAATAAATAAGAAATCAATTTAAATAAGAATTATTTTTGAATGAATATTTTGAATAAATATTGTCACCGTATTGATCCATTCCAAATATTTCTTGGGAATGTTTTTCGAAAGCAAAATTCTTAAAATATATTCGTCTTGTCCAGCGACTGGATTCGCCTCATCACGTCTCCACGTCGCTCCGTTATCTTTTGCCTTTATTTATTTATTTATTCGTTTTAAATCAATTCCATCCTAAATTTATTTGAAATTGCCTTTACATTCCTCTTTTTCTTTTCGTCGTTTTGTTCATTTTATCTGTTATTAGTCCTTTATTTTACATTTAACATTACACCGTCTTTATTGTAAGATATATCACTGATAATTGTCGCTGAATTCGTTGCTAAAGTATTGATCTTTCTTTTCGTGGATTGTTTATGAAGGGAAACAAATTCTGGGATTCCCCGTCCTAACTACGCTTCAAATGCACACTTCGAAGAATAAGGTTGATAATGCTTGCACGAGGCTTTCTGCCATGCTTGGTTTTATGCCGAAACGAAATACGAATAAAAGGCTTAGAAAAATGATAGAATGGAAGAATTCACCAATAAATGAAAATTTGGTGTGGATGAGTCCTAGGATCCTAGGGTTTTCCAAGTTTCTATAGCCTCTTTATGCTCAAATTCATTACAGCAAATAGTTTCTGGTTTTTAGACCACAACTGGTATTTCTTACTTGGCGCTTATTGTCACCATTCTTCTAACCCATTTTGAATTTCCAAGTTGTTTTAAAAATATTTTAGAATTGAACAACGCCTATAAAAAAGCGAAAGAATTTGATTCAGCTGAAAATTGAATTGCAAGGATGCATTTTTTGAAAAAAGGCCTTTTTGAATTGGAAAGTGTCGGAAATAATATATACAGGTGAGAATTTTGTTTATTTCGCTCATAATTTTCTCGTTTTTGCGATTAAAGAAAAATTTTGGGAAGGAAAATATAGAAATTAAAGGAAAAGAATAACACGAAGAGCAAGAATAGTGAAAAACGATAGAAAATCGAAATCATTTATTTTTTTAATAAATTAAACAAATACAAATTTGGTGCGGTGACGGAAAAATGCACTCACATTGCATCGTAAAATATTCTAAAATTCATTTCAGGAAAGAAATATTCAAATCCATCATAATGAAAGTCTTTTTATGAAATTTTTTATAATTTTTTTTAAAATGTAAGAAATGATAAATAATAATTGATAAAACAGAGTTATTTTATTAAATATAAATTTGTTATTAAATAAATTTAATTATTTGAGAGAGATTGTGAATAATTTGCGAAAATAATTTTTTCACAATAATTGTCAGTTATTGCCCTTCCACCTGGTGTACCGATGGTTTGGTGATAAGTTGACTGCTAGCGAAAATCAGAAATGGCTCGTACTCGAATTCACCTGGAACACCACGCTGAAAAAGTGGCCGAATAGTGAAAGCAAATTGAATGGCTCGGCAGGTTGCTACTTAGTTTATGGCATCGATGCTGAATTCTACGCCGTTCTGTCCTTCAAAAATCCGTTTGATGCTGGCGATTATCATCTGTACTTCTATCTACGAATCAATTTGGTTCAGTGATTGATGAAAGGCTTTGCGACAATCGGGATTTCTATAAAAATTATCTATAAAAAATCTAAAATTGAAATAAAACTATTCCTCTTTATTGCACCTTTCTCCTTAAGCAGTTTGTTACCAATTTACTTAATGCAAAAAACCGAATTTTTTAAAATAAAACCTTCGTAGGAAAGGAAATTTCGGTGATTCAATTAGTGATATTCCAAATGGTTTGGTTGTTGCAAATGGAATTGCCGCTGCATTAAAGCAGATACCAAGATGGATGAAATTTAACAGCTGTCACACGTATTTTTGTGCAAAAGGTAAATTTCCCAATCTTACAGTCTTAATCGCCAAAAAGTCATCAACTAAGGTCATTAGAAGCCGATGTGTCATATTCTTGTGGCTATTTGTAGTTTATTTTAATTATCCCAAAATTTGGACCAAGGTGAGGACAAGAATCATTCTTTGATGAACCAGAGTGAACCTGTTATTAAGTTGTTTGATTTAATTCAGAATTCATCAATTTATAAATTTTTTTAAAAATCTAGCTGGGAATAACATTTATGTTGAATATCGAGTTGAAGAGATTTGCACAAATGATGAATTCTGTACATACGAAGTGCAAGCGTTCCAAAATGGAAAAATTATCCTGAAATCTCAGTTATCTTTCCAAAAAGTTGGTGCAATTTTGGGTATTTTTCATTTGGAACAGAGAAATAAATTTGCTAGATGCATCTAATTCATCAAATTTATTCGGTCTTATCACTTTTCTACATTTTCATTTTCTGAAGCTTCAGATGAATTTGCCAAATTATAAATACCCTCTGTCTCCCACCTCTCAAATTGCCGTATTTCATGTAAGGAATGCCGAGAATCTATTGCTCATCAGTGCCACATGCCAGTAACTCCAGTACCAGATTTCTGTTCAACAGTTTCAGAAGCAATTGATCAATTATTAGAGGAACGAAATGAGGAATCAGCGTCAATATCAGATGAAATGAAGGAATTCGCAGAGCACATCCGGCAGCATCCAATTAATGATATTTTTGATGTAATTTTCTTGAGGCTAAATTTTTGCCCTTAAAATTCGCAGACCTTAAATGAATTCCGTAGGTCTTGTTTACTTTAAAATATTTCCCAAAGTCGATTTTATATTTTTAAGTTTATAGAAAACCACTGCAGATTCGGCTAGTTGACGCAGATTCGTTTACATCAGCTGTGATGAAAGGATTTTTTACAAAACTCTGGGCAAAATCAAAGTTTGAAATAAGTGAGTATTTTATTTTCTTAATTTTTCTATTATTTTTATTTTATTTTCTATTTTATTTCATGCATATTCGTGTCAAATGAACATTTAATGCCATAAAAAAAGAAAATTCTGTAAGTTTAATGAACCATTTTTCCGACAAAGTTCCAACAACATTAAATGATAACATTAAGATTGGAAACTTAATAATTTATTAATATTTAGGTTGATTGGGTAAATTTTAATTGCAAACAGTTGTATACTACAGAAATTTCTTTTATTTTTTTCATATTTTGGTACTAAGACAATTATGATCAGCAAACGTAGCTTTATTTCAGGTAATGAAACTGAGACAAATAAATTGCTCGCTTCTTACCTCGTTGAAACAACACTTTTGCCGTGCATACTGCGATATCATATGAGGTATGGCCATTTTTAGGAGTTTTCACCATTGGTTAAACTCGCTCCGCTGGCTTATCGCATTGGACAAATATACCAGGGAATCCCTTGGCGATAGAAATACAGGTGAAGCGCCAGCATCACCCGGGTTTTTGGACAGGTTTACTCCTTCGGGGAACAGAACCTTATTATCGGCACTCCGAATTGAGCAACAGCCCGCTAAGCCATTGCCATTCTATCCACTGGCTATTTTCTAATGTTGAACGAACGAATTTCCCACCATTTAAGTATGCAAATTAATTCATCTATAGAATTTATAAACTCGTCTATAGAATTTTTAAAAACTCCTTTGCCATTCTCTTTTTTCATGAATAAGTAATTAAAAATCCAAATCTGCCACTAAAAGCCAAATTCGGATCTACCCATTTGAGCTATTTTTATTCCTAATTGGAAAGGATCTGTGGAAAGAATCTCATATTTATAGTCAATTGAAGTAGTATCAGCTGAAGTAGCATTAGCAATGTTGTTAAAGGAAGATTAGACATTTTTTTAGACAGATTTTTAATAGGTGCAAATTATATTTCTACGAAGGGTCTCCAAAAACCAATTTTTATCTATGCAAAGTTCAAATGAGAACTGGAAATGTGGCAGTTTTTAGTTAGCCGCTAACTATTTTATAGAATGAAATTATCCAATAGACCAACTAATAAAATTTAAGTTAATTAAATGATTGAATTAGTTAAGTAGTGAGTGGAATCCATGAAACTTTTGGATGACTCACCGTAAGTGTAACCAAACAGCCAAATAAGACAAATTTTTTAGTCGAGGATTCTCGCCAAGCAAATTGGTTCCTATTGATTATTGCTTATGGATTCATAGCGATGATATAAAGATGACCGACTGGTTAATGTGTGAAAATCATTTTTCGATTGCAAGTTTGTTGTAGTAACATTTTTACAGTAAAATGGGACAATTTTCATCGAAATTTTATATAACTGTGCGAAAAATTTTTGCTTTTTTCTTCAAATTTTCGAAATTTCAAGTTTATAAGAGAAAATTCCGCGAAGTTTCTATTTATTGAGCTCTGATTTGCTTTTCTGATATTTCCATAATTGAATCGCTTGTGGGCTTTTTCTTTAACGAATTTCCCACCATAACATCAGTTTGTGAATTTTGCAAATTTTCGTTATGTTTCTTTGTTTAGTTTATTTCTAAAAGTACTACTCAGTTAAATCGAAATTGTGGATGATAAAAAATAAAAATTCTGATTTGCGAAAAGAAAGTTTGCAGAGTGTGGACGAGCGTTTATCGAACATCACCTATGGACAATAAATGGAAATTTAATATTAACAGCAACTTCAGAGACAATTATTCGAGGAAATTTTATTCTGCCGATGCAAAAATAACTGAAAAATGAAGCAATAATTTTTCAAAATATTTCAAAATTTCTAAATAATTTTTTTTGAAATTAGATTAATTTTAATTTTAGCAAATCAAACAGTCAATTCAAGATTTTTTAAAATTAATTAATGATTCTTTTAGAGAATTATTTTAAATTAATCTTTTAATAAATTAATGAGAAAAACTTTTCATCTAATTGAAAATATGTGAAAGTCTTCGCTTATATAATTTTATCTTTCTTATTTTTTTCTTATTTTTTCTAAATATTCCAGTTTTTTTATTTTTTGGAGTCACAGATGAAGTCAATGAAAAGGTCTCCAATTTCCTTTTCGCTTATTACCAAACCTTGCTTCTTACACGCTAATATAACTGCTATTTGCTTTATTAGTGTTACCGACTTAGCATGTGAAGAAGTGAAAACCGAGTGAACAGTGAGGGATGAGCGGTGTAGTTAAGTGAACAAGTGATGCACAACTGATTTAGATAAATTCTTTCTCTAAGCTAATTATGGAAGTGAAAAAATTGGCTAAAATCAACAATTGCTGAGGTGAAATAGCAATCAAATCGCGCTCCTATCTAATTTCATTCTTTAAATAATACTTAGTTTAACGTAATTTTTTGACGAATGTAATTTCTTTGCAAGTTATTTCTTGGAAACTGCAACACGTTGATTTTAATTTTTACTTATATTATATTAATTTAATAAATTCTTGAATTTATTAAATTGTTATTTCTGGTTAAGCACTCTCCTCACTGCGGCTAGAAATTTTTTTCACTTGGTGATGAAGGAATAGGTGGTTCGCCGGATTTCTCCTCCCAAATTTCTTAATGAGCATTGGAAGGGGAGTGGGCGGGGGTTCTCTTCCTCAACACGGCAATTCAGAATGGTACTTTAATTTAGAATGTCTATACTTTTTTAAAATTAAGAAAAACTAAGCATTAATTAAAATTTATAGATCAGAAAATCATAGATTCATAGATTCGATTGTTTGTTATAAGTGCTCAACTGCTCTTTTAAATGGAAATAAACAGCGATAAATTTCGATGAAATTAGATTTATAACAAAGATAATTCCTTGATCGGAATATTGCAATTATTTCATGATTCTCATCCACAAATCGATAAAGTAATATTACTTTACCATTTGTCTCAGAGTGATAATAATCCACACAGGCGACTTTAAGTTTAATTGTGAATCGCAAGTGCAATAACCTCAAAACTGGTCAATTAGCTATAAAGTATTTTAAGTCAGCGCAGAGAAGAACCTTGATGGAACTGCTTTTTTCGACAATAATGACGAGAAATTTACCAGATTTATGAAAGCTAAAAAATGAATTAACTGAAGTTTTTTGGATTTACACGAAAGTCACAGAAATATTTGAAAATCATAGAAAACTTGTTGTTTGAATTGGATTAATTTATGGTACACATTACTTTTCAATGCTTATGTAATTAAATATACGATTTAAACGATTGAGGAACAATTGATTGCAAAAAACATTGCTTTCGTTTTCGAATTTAAAAAATCCGATAAAATAAAATTAGAATTAAAAATATCTGCGTTTAGGCGATCAAAACTAAAGGATCCCAAGGGCTTTTCATAATTCCTGTTTTTTCTTATTTCGTTCCGAGATGAATTTCATTAAAATCACAAATCATCTATGATAACTGCAAAATGCTGAATTTCGATGTTAATAGGGAACAAAATGCGACATTTTCTTTCATATAAATTTTTATTATTTATAACGACATAAGATTTTATTTATAATGAAAACCACACAATACTATAATGCAAATTTTGCGGATAAGTTCGCTAAGCGATTTTTATATATAATTTTTAATATTTTTTTAAAGAGTGTTTATCATTTCTGGTTCACACCGCTCACTCACCAAGAAAGCAAATTTCATTAGGAAGTTACCAAAAGAAATGCGGATGGACCATCAGTACAACGAGGATTTTCAGTAGGATTTTCAGCTTTATTTCTGCTAAAACCTTTGGCGCTTCGAAATGGAAGCAGCAACCCACTGAGTCCTCCTACTCTAAATTTTGATATTAATTTTTAATTTTTTTATTGATTAAGGAAAAAGTTACAGCAATAGCGCAAAAAATGACAACAGCCGATAAAAATCAAAACGAAATCATTACTACTAATTTTTGTTAAGCCCTGTGAAAGATGGTGCCAACATCGAGGACAAACGCCTGGGCTGATATAGCGAAGGGTGAATTTATTTTTTATTCAGTTCTGTCTTGACATTGTCTAGCAGTCACGTAGTACGTTCCCAAACCGAATTGGTACCAACTTTCGTTTTAAAGTTTTTTCGCGACGATTCGAAAAGGCTAAAGCACAGCATTTCATGCTGCATTTAAAGTTACCTCCATTTAGGGAATATTTAGCATATTTAGGAATATTTTGAATATTTAAACATTTTCTTTATAATTATAATACCTTTTTTAAAATTTTAAAATTTCAATTCGAATTTGAAATGGACTTCAAAAAATACTGCAAAATTTTTACAATTTTTTTAATTTTTATACGTTGAAAGACTGGAAAGCCTTTGCCAGGATGGAAACGAAAGCCATCATCCTTTTTTCGCATTTATATACTTTTTTAAATGCCGATTATATTTTTAATGCCATCACCTTATGTCTTAGCTCGCGAGACTTTTGTTATAAAATAAGATTTTCGTCCGTTTTAGAAAAAACATCTGTCCATAAGCATTTTTATTAACTATTAGAGGGAGTATTTTAAGGATTAAGTATTGAGAGTATATATTATTTTAGTATTATGAATTCTCCTAATAAGATTTCTTTCTCGCGCAAATGAATTTTCGAAGCCAAAAAAACTAAAATAGAATATGATAGAGTTGATTTCGATACTCCTAATTTATCTTTACAAATTTTTCGATGTTGGGGATTATCATTAATTATTACGAAGAAGGCGCAAATCAGTTCCTCGAGAATCTTGAATTAATTAATTAATTTGACTGACTTATGTCAGTCAAATCAACTGACACGCCGACCGTCCAACTGTCCGACAAGGTTGTTCTTCTTCCACAAACTTGAAAATGTTGTATTCACGCCTCTTAACGAAATTGTTCTGTTTTACTGTTTTCTCCTTATTGCCTTCCAACATCGAACCCGAATAATCACTTCGCAGTCTTTTGATAATTGCTATAATTTTAAATGTTTTGTGTTGATAGCAATAATTTTTAACAATTGTATTTTTTCATCGTAAAGTTCGTTTTCAACGATTCTGTCGTTTTAGTTTATATTTTATGGAATATTCATCTTATGGCTGTACGTTATTGCAATAACGAAGGTTCAATCACCCAAGTTTGAGACATTCAACGTTTCTTCCACAATTTATATTCCAAATATGCTGCAATTATTTAAAGTGCTTCGCGGTAGGACGATTTTTTTCCAAACAAGTATATTCACTTGGCTTTATCTTTTTTAGGTATTGCTGATGCATTTAATGAGTACTTTTCTAGTTAATTTTTGGATGAAAATGAAGGAATACTATTGAGGATTTTATAATAATCGTCTGTAGGAAGGTATAAAATTTAATGCATAAAATATAATATATTAATTATTAATAAACCAAGCATTCTGCGAGCGACCTAACAATATTTCGCAAATAAACAGCTTCTTTACCATTCCTAATTGTTTCTGATTTGTAACAATACTTTAAAAAATTATAAACATAATTAATATAAATTATAAATAAATATAATTATAATCCAGAAATTTGTCTTATATGATTCGTATTTTTAAGAAAGAATATGCGTACAGTTCATCAAATTATAAGCTTATCTTATGAACTTGACTTGTGTAAATCCTAAAGCATCGCAATTATTTTGAGGCGAATAAACTGGTATTCGCTTATCAACATGAATTCTGTGCAAGAAAACATACTGCTAAGCCAATTTTAAACCTGCAAAATTGATAGTCAACTCAGAGGAGTTCAATTTATATAAATAGATAGTAAATATTTGGATTAAGTTTTCTAAAAAAACTTTGAAAACCTTAGCTAATTTCCGCAAAACTGAGACTTCTTTTTTGTGGTCATTTCTGTGGCCAATGTTCATTTCAATATTCCGTGGCTCGTTGTTTGGTTTCTTATTTTCTCCTCGTCTTTTACTGTTGTGATTTACTGAAATTTTTGATTAAAATTCGAGCCCGAATATCACCGCTTGACGTTTTCCAAGAAGGTCCTATTGGGAAATAAGATACTTTGTTCAGAAAATAATTCATATAAGATGGCACGAAAGATGGTCTAAATGGTGGTATGGTATGGAAGAAATCGCTCGTCTTGCCTTGCCTCGATTTTCCAGTTGTTTCATGCCACTGACCGTAATTTATGAAAAGACAGCAAAAGAAGAGAATTTATAAGCAAATTAAATTGATTTGCGAAATAAAAGCAAGGTGGTTCTAACAGCTTGCATCATTGCCAGTTTAACTGGCTATATTGGGAATCTAAAGCGTCACTGAAATCACTCCTCCCCCCCGTTTAAAACCGTATGTCAATGAGGCGCCTATGAGTCACTTTCAAAATCACTTTCAGACAGTCTTATGTCTGTGTTGTTCTGTGTTGGTTAGGCTACGTTCTTTTCCTTCGTCAATCCGAGGATAGGATAGTAGCAATTACAAATTAGAAAATATCAAAATATCACATCATGGTGGGTGGTGTATCAGAAATGAATAACAGTATCGAAAGACGATGAGAATTAGGGGATTTGGCGAGTACCAATGTGAATAAGTTGCGTTTATGCAAAAGCTGCTGTCCACTACCTGGGGGGATTGGAAAGATTAACTAATAAGGCGATGCAAATTTCTCTCTGAATTAGTGTTCTCATAACAAATTTCATATGCCCTAATCATTTTTCAAATAAGATTTGTACAATATTTCTTCGAACTTCCAGTAGGAATCGATGGCGTACAAGGAAGCGGGGAATCTTTCGAAATAAAGGTTTTGTCGGCTTTTGACGATTTAAAGGTAGTTTACTTCATTTGTTTAAGGAAATTTTGCATTTTCTGCTTCGCTATTGGGCATTAAAATTGCTCGCAACACAGTTTTATGAATGAATTCAGACACCACCATTTGAACTGTGGATTAGTTCAAATTAAGAGAATTTATTTTCCATGATTCCCTTCTGATTAATTTGTTTTCTTTGCTCTGAAAGATAACACGTAAAATTCAAATAGGATTGCTCGATCTTCATTAAATTTAAATTTACTCATTCTTTTAGAAAAAACTGCGCGTGCCAATCGTAAGCAGATGAATGCATTTCGTGGGCAACTCGACGGACTGCGAAATGGTGTGGGCAACTCGGCTGGAGAAGTCGGCCGGTTGAGTCGGCTGAGGCATATCAGAGCGATTCACGTGAAATTCGCACGATTCTCGCAAAATCTATTGAATACGAGGAAGCCGAATCTACTAGAAACTTTTTCCTTTTAACGACAAAAAGCAAAAGCTGAAAGCTCATCAAATCTTGTCTCCTCTGCCGATAAAACCTGGCTATTGCTGATAAAACCTTATGTTTGGCAAGGATCCTTATCCTCCTTCGTATTCGAATAAATACATTATAAAAAATTCAGGTGGCACAGGCGACCCAAACGAGCGTTTGGCGAGGAATTCCATAACAAAAGTTTCTAACCGCAGTAATAGCCAATGAAGCGAGTCTTATCAGGACTGCTGGTGACGGCAGACCATTTATATATTCAACTGCAGTTTTTGCTTGCCTGCTGAAGCCAAAACAGTATAGCCGAGGCACTGTTCTCCTAAACATCTCAAGAAAGTTTGCTAAGTCCCTTAACATTCTTTTAAACGGCATTATCTTCCCATCAACCCCTTAAAAAATCACGGTCATCCTAAAATATTACCCTAAAATCTCGGTCCTCATCATGTGTATATGTGTATACATGGGTACTAACAATTCTACACCGCTTTAACGGCTAATGTGCACTACTTTTAAAAATCACCCATTCAAACGATTTAATATTAGTGTGCTACAATATATGATTTTTATCTTAGAACGAAATTATTATTTTAGTGAAATCTGATCCAACTTTTTTTTTCTTGACTCGACAACTCAATAACAGAATTATGAGTGATAAAAGGCGAGTAACGCGGAAGAGAGGAAATGAGGTGTTTCTTTGAATTTATATTTTAATAATATTTTAAGAATTCTATTCAAAGTGATGGTGAATAGAAGTGATAGTGAATATTATTTTTTACAATTTAGTTTAGTTTAGTGTAGTTTTACAATTTTTTCCACTTTAATTTTTCGGACCAAATCAGAATTAATTTGATTCGGAAATGAGTTGTGTCGCGTGTTTGAGTTGCTTCGACCTGTTTTATCGGCCGAGTTGATGCAAATTTGAGCTGTTTTTTTGGTGAAAATTTTAATAGTAGTTCAGTTGAAAAATTGTTTTTGAAAATTCGTCTTCGTCTTCGAAAATTTAGTCACAAAATTCCCTGTTTTGTTTGTCTTTTATTAAATTTATTTGTTTATAAGTAGCCATTAAATATGCGTAATAACAATAATATTTGTTTGCTCAAAGACAAAGCAAAAGCACGGCCTTTGCGTTTAAAAGGAGTATAAAGAATGTGAACCGTTGAATTAATAATTTACTGAAACGATAATGTTAGGTAAGTTGGCAGTTGCATAAAGCAACGGTCTATAATTTATTATAAAATAATGATAGCGATAATAACACTGGTAATTTTTTTTAAAGAGTCATCACCATTACTGGTTAAGCTCGCTCCACCAAAGACCGTATCAGCTATATCAACGGATCAACAGATGATGCTTCATGGTTTGGCCTCCTTTCATCTTATGAGGCGGTCCTTAATATTCTTAATCGGCACACCATTGCTGTCCTTTAAAATTTCACTGAATTATAGGCGTTTTCTGAATTATAATTATTTTTTTAAAGAGTTCTCACCATTAAACTCCCTCCACTGGCTTTTCGCATTGGGCAATATACCAGGGATTCCCTTGGCGACAGGTGAGTCGCCAGCATCATCGGATTTTCGTAGAGCTTTACTCCTGCAGGGAATGGAACCTCACCATCGGCGCTCCCAATTGAGCAACAACCCACCCACTGAGCCATTCTCGATAACACTGGTAATAATAATATCTATATGATATTATTATTACTAGCGCGAAGATTTATCTTGAACAGAGGCTTTAATCCTTCAATATATCATCAGAGGCAGCCATGAGAATATCCTGTTGATTCGATTAAATATTCGACAAAAGTCCCTCGAAGATTAGATGATAGTTCTCGGATAATACTCGGATTTCCGAGCTCAGAATTAATATGGTATTGTATGGTTATGGTTATTTTCAGTAGATAATAATAAAAATAATAATATTGACAAATAGCAACAATACTAATAACAATAATGGCTAAATGTGTTCTATTCTACTTCTTAATGAGCAAAGATTGACAGGCAGATCAAAAACTTACAAAGGAAGAAGAAGTGATCGCACGGTTTGTTCGTTTCAATTGCGCAACAAAAACAACGATTTTCGAAGGGAATGAAGTTCATTACTTTATAGGTATATTACTTAAAAGGTTGATAAATGCAAATTCCTTTAAATAATTCAATATTTTCTATTTAATATTTCATTTAATGCTAATATTTTGAGGCAATAAAGCAATAGATTTGCTTGTTGAATCGAAGAAATATGGAAGTGCTGCAAAAAATCCAAAATTTGTTAATCGGGTTTCTGCTGTCACTTTTATGAAAGTTTTATTATCAAAAGGTTTGTTTTTTCGAGCACGGAAGTTGGTAGCGAAAAGGAAAGAGAATAAAAAAGTAAATCTTTCTGGAATTTTTATCTGATTGTTAACTCTTTTATGGCCAATAAAATAATGAAACTATTTCAATGAAAATATATTAGATAAAAAAAAAGTTTCCATATAAAATGAATATTTTGTGTAGAAATAAATTTGAGTTCAAATATGAAGTAAATATAAATGTTAAAAGTCAGTCAAAAATTTTTACAATAAAATTTTCTTAATGTGTTGTATTTATGCTGGTTCTTTTTCACTGCTGAGTTTTCCGAATTGAGATACGTTTTATTACAAGGATGCAAAAGAAAAGGGTGATACAAGTAAATCGCCTAGAAAGCGAACAAAAGAGGATGCAGAGAAGGAATCAGAAAGTTCCAAAGAGAAAAAAGAGGACGAAAAAGATTCGGATGAAAACGAGGACGAGGATGCGTCTAAAAAAGGAAAGAAGGTAAATTACTTGCGTAGATTTAAAGTTAAATATACATGTAGTTGTTCAATATTTTGATATTTAGTTTCATTCGATTTGTTTCTGATTCATTGTTTTTATCGTTTTGGTTAGGAGGAAGACGAGAAAAAAAAGCGTAAAGTGAAGTTGGAGTTGCATCAAGACCAGCAATTTAATGATTCAAATGACGTATATGTGTGGGTTTTCGATCCAACTCCTTTTCACAAACAGTTAATTGGAGCGCTTATTGGTGAGTTATCTTTGCTACAATTATCAGTCTATTTCAGTGAATATTTTCATATTCATATGGAATATGAAAAGATCGCTAAAATACTAAAAGCAAAAGAAAAAAAAAATTGATTTCAATGGTATTTCAATGAAAGTTGTGATTGTAAGAAAACTTGCGATGTTGTGATAATTTTATTACCTCGAAATTAGACTGTAGAATGGCGATGTACAAACACAGTCGGTAATGAAAGTAAAATAAATCATCAACTGTTTTCGTTTCCTTTTTTCATCCTCAGAAATATTGTAATTGTCTGTAGGGATTAGGCATGAGGCTGGAAAATATTGAAATTAATAGGTTCGATAAGGATTACACGTGGTTTTTAAACTAGGAAGATGTCTTGAGAATTGGAACTAGTACAAATCAGTAGATACCATAATGGTGATGTAGTGAAAATCCAAAGCAGAAATTCCATTCGAAGATATTTTACGTGTGGAAACACTATAACTTGCAATAATATAATATTCGAAAGTTTCCTGACCTGACAAATGAAAATGGATTTTATGAATGTTCGAAATCTTAAAAAATTTATTTTATTACCGTTTCAGTTACTATCATCTTTTCGAGTATTTATACTTTTAGTTCTTGGAACCATCGCTGGTTGCCTTTTTCCATTGTGGCCAGGATGGTTAAAGAAGGGAGTTTATTATACTTCACTTGGAGGTCTTATTTGCTTTGGAATATTACTTGGCATCGCTTTTGGTAAGCCATTAAATGAAAGAAAAATGGATCTTTTGAAATTTTTTTCTTTTTTTTTTAAGAAATTGGTCGACCTCTTCGGAACTTTAAAATTGATTAAATACATAAAATATAAAAATATATTATTTTTTTTCTTGTTATTGTTAACATTTTATATCTTATTATTATCTTGTATTATCTTTTTATCTAACTTTTCAGCTCGAACTGTTTTATTCGTTGTTATATGGACTGCAACCATGGGAAGGCATAAACTATGGATATTGCCGAATTTGACGGAAGATTGTGGCTTTTTCGAATCGTTTCAGCCTTGGTACACCTATGAATATTGTCCGGATGGGATAAAAAAAAGGAAAAAAGGTGAAAAAAAGAAAACAGGTGAGGAACCACAACGTGGTTTTGCATATTATGCAGCAATGAATTATACTTTTTATTGCAGTGAATTATACTTTATATTATCTTTTAAATTAAATATATATTATAGGACGAAATAATACAAAAGAATCTGAAAAGAGTGAAAAGGATATAACTAAGGAGGAGGGCGAAGGAAAAGATGAACGTGGAAAACATAATGATAATGGCAATCTTGAAGAGCAAGGTTTCGATGAAAAGGATATAAGTGATGAATACAATGATAGTCCTGCTTATGAGTCAAAAGATTCTGATGAAAATATCAATCAGGTTAGCAATTCAAAATATTATAAGAAAAGTACTGAAGAACGAAGGAGTAAAAAATTTTTTATTTATTTACATTTTCTATACTATATTTTATTTATTTGTTTAATATTTTTTTTATTGGTTATTTCTCAAATCTATCTTTTTTTCTGTTGTTGTCTTACAATTAGAACATGAAAAAGTGAAACAAGTTTTTATTAATAGTCTAGCCACACAATCTGCTTATATAGTAATTGAATAAAGCACTCTTAGCAATATTAGATAAATATTATATGCAACAAAATATTTTTTAGAAGATAATGTTCAAATACGCTTTAAAAATATTAAAGTAGAAGGAATAATGCTGAGTGATATTAGTTATATCTCTTGTACCATTGTACTACTTTGATTTTATAAGTTTTCTTTTTCAAACCATATTTGAGAGTAATTTTTTGATTGAATTGTATTTTTAAAACCATTTCGTTTATGTCTATTTATTTTTTGTTTTAACAAGCTTTTTTTTATAAATTCAAAACTTTATTTTAGGCGTTTGAGGAAGGCTCAGAAAATGTATCGACTGTTCGAAAAAGAGGCAAAAGAAGCGATGATGATTTTGTTTTAATTGATAATAATTGATATATCTTCTGAAACGTATATAAACGTATTTTGTTGGCTAACTGGAGATTTGCATTTTGCAAATGTCTAGAAGGCTATCTTCAATTTTTGCTTTTTTTACGAAGTAAAATTTTTTAGCCAGAAATTAAGAATTTTAATGGAAGATTTATGGGTTTTTAAATTAATTAATGTGCTAAGGTTGTGTAGTTGTAATTATTTATATTTATTTTCTTGTCTTTTTTACTAGGAATTCGTCCTTATATTATCTTCATTTTGTAAAGTTGGTTTTAAAGTTATTGTTTTCTAAATCTTTTATATATTTATGTTTGTGGGGATCAATTGGTGATATATTTTCAAATTATTTCTTCTAGTAATAATTCATAGCTTTTGGACTAAAAATAAAAATTATGGTACCGCACTAGAAAGGAAATGAAAGATAAATTATGGGATCTTTTGCAGAGAGTGTTGAGTTGTTACTGCAATATATTTTCGTTATGATGAAATGGGCTTGAAGCGATTTCTTTAATTGTTTGTGAGGCTAAAATGCGTTTTCTGGTGGTCGAATCGTAGACGGAATTGTGGTCTAAATTTTAGGATGTATGGGTTTACTTGCAAATGGTAAATTTTGAAAATGGAGATTAGAGATGAAGTCGTGTTCTCGTCATCTGTTGCTTTTGAATTTTGCTATTATTAATTAATTTTTCCAGATGGGTGGAACACACAGTCATGAAGATATTAATGAAGATCAGCCTGAGGTAATAAATTGTTTTTTGATTTCTAATAAGGTTTCTTTTTTTTATTTTCTTCATTCCATTCCATTATTGGTTTAAATGGCATTGCTAATTACATTGGTGAGATGTGAGGAATTTTTTGTTAATTGTTAGTTTCGCAACAATGAATTCGCTATTCGTTATTGTAACGATGCGAAGCTATATTTAGACAAATTTATACCTTTTTCTTGTAAATTGAGTTAAGTTGTGCGAGACTGAAGTTGTATTCCTTATCACCTTTTTGAATGATTTAAAATTTTATTAGCATTAAAATTTAAAATTTAATTTAAAAAATTTAAAAGTTTTCATGAAGAATGATTTATAGGTTGTAAGGATAGACCTTTCTGACATTCCTGATGAATATAAAAATGTTGGTGTGTCAGATGACGTCGTTAATCGCGTAAAGGAATGGAATGATGGTGATTTGCTTGCTATGGACAAGTTGACGTTAGTTTGTAGTTTAGATTCTGGCAAAAAATTATTCGGGGCTGAAATGTGTTTGTATGCGGTTTTACATATTGCAAAGAGGAAATTTATTTTCAAATTTTATTAATCAAACGTTATTCTATTCCATTTTAGGTAGTAAGAAATACGCGCAAATAAAAAATCATAGTGAAATATCAAAGATAAAGTAGTTGCATATGTATCTATGATATAAATGGAAATTTTTCTAATAATAATAAAATACGTTAGAAGGGAAATTTGTTATAAAACTATAAAACTTAAATTAACTTAAATGAAGCAAAAAATTATAAAGTTATAAAAATTATAAAATTATAAATTGCAAAAATTAAAAATACAAAGTAAAAAAGATTTAACGTTAAGAATTTATAATAAACTTGTTTGAAATGTCTTGCCCATAATTTTGCCCATTAATATATGCGAATAATTTTATTTTTGATTTGATTTTTTAAAATAGATGAAGTTTTAGCCGTCAACTTGAACAGGAGCGCGAATTGAACCAGCAATTACGTGAGCAGGTGAAAGCGATGAATGATAAACACCAATTGGTTGCGGAGCGCAGTTATTCAGGTATTATATTTTATTTTTTGAAGTGCCATATATACATACATATATTAAAAATCAGTCAAAGAACACTGATAGATATAACAATACTAAATAAGAGGATGAAAATTTAAAGAAATATGAAGAAATAAAAATTAGAGATAAAAATTAGAGAAGATGTGGAAAAAAGACCAAAGCAATTCCAGCGATACTGTGGAATGCTTGGAACTGTGTTCCTTAAACTAGAAAAGTGGCTTCAGTAGACTCCAGGAAAAACGTCAAAGATCTCTATCCATAATAGCACATTGCTAGGAACAGCTAAGATAATGCGCCAAACTCTTAGTCTTATAGGCTGCATAGAAACCACAGTCTCCCATGCCTCTGGTAGAGGACCCGATATTGAGGATGATCCTACCACTACAAAGGGATGAGAGAGGGATTTTTTAATAGTACCTAATAATTTCTCTGCCGTTTTATTCCACTTTTTTTGTAAAAAAAACTCACAATTTTATATTGGAAGATAGGTACTACTTATTAAAATTCTGGTTAAATAACATCAACGAACAATGTCGTTTGAGATTTTTTATGATATTTATCGAGTTTTTAACAATTTAGGTCTATCATTAGAAGAATTAGAGGAAAGAAAGAGAGCTTTCAATGAGGCGATTGAGCGAGTTGAAAAACAGTTCTTCTCATATCAGCGAGAAAACGCATGTAGTAATAGCGAACAGGTATGTTCCGGAGAAAATTGCCAATCTTTAAAAAATTCAAAAAATTAGTTTCCTTCCTATATAAAATCGTTATGCGTTAGTTTATTATTTCTTATATTTATGCTTATTATATTATAGTATATAGAATAAATAGCACTTTCAATATTACGAAGTTTTTTTATCTCAAGTTTTTTTATTCATATCTTTTAAATTCATATAATAAATTGAAATTGCAGGAAGTTATGGATTGTATAAAAGGCAATAGAAATCGATTATTGAATTGTACTCCGATCATTAATAATTACGGACATTGTGTGAAAAAATTCCGGGAAGATGTTCTAGTTGAATTGACGAAGGCATAATGTATTTGCTCTTATTCTGTACTTGTTTGATTATTTGGTTCGGAGCCATATTTTTATCCATTTATGCCTGTTTTCTCACTAATTGTTTGTTCCACTGCGTAGCTCTTCCTCATCGCTGCGCTACTTTATCATCAGTTGTTTACCAGTGTCACATCTCACCGCGCTGATCTTATCCTTTCTTATCATAATGCCTTTTCCTTTTGTTAAGAAGTTTATAGCCCGTATCATTAGTCTACAAGTACCATGATTTAGGAATTTTTTGCGTTGATCCATCTGAAATGGTTTTTTTACTGCAGTTTTCTCTTAAATTGCAATAGAAATGCTTTTGAAAAATGGGTGGGATTCATCATCATCCACATTCCTTTAAAAATTTTTTCTGCAGGAGAATATCTCGTACTGCCTGCCCACTGATATGTTTCACGATATCAGTTGTAGTAAAATGTTTGTGTATTTTATATATGTTTATATAAATGATATTTTAAATATTTTTCGGCACATTAGTGAAAAAAGTTCTTTCTCGATTAAATTTTTTGGATTTTATTAAGCGTTTTTTAAATTTATTTCTTAGAAAAATGCACCAAATGTAATTCAGATTGAAATGAAATAGTTTTTCTAATTATAGATGGCTATTTGGCGGTATTTATTTATGGTTATTCGTTTAGGCGTTAAATGTGTCTGTTTTTCAAAAGATTAACAATTTTAAGTGGTATTTGGAACTTTCAATTGTCGTCTATTGGATGGGGATCGTAGCTAGAATTTTTTGTGATTTGGTGCTTTGAGTTTACATTATTCGTATTAGATGGGGGTGATATTATTAGATGTTTGGTGAGTTTGGAATAAGTTTTATAATTATGGAGTGGAATCGAATTGCTAATGGCCAAAAGAAAATAGAATGCGAGAGTTACCAAAGATTTATTTGTTCGGTTTATTTAGATAAATTTCCAAGAAATACCGTTGGATAAATTGGCTCATAAAAGTGCTGAATATTGACAAATTCGCTTAGTGCAGAATTGCAAGTTTTTTGCTTTTGCTGGCGAAGGTAGGGATTCCTAGACTTTGGCGGATTTTTTCTCATAATCAACGTTTCAGATCTTAGTTTTCAGTTTTTTTGGTAAATTATCAGATTTATGATGCTATGTATGGACGTTATTTAATTTTATTTGCCATTATTGTTATTTTTTGGTGGCGACTGAAGCTTAAAACATCGCAAATCAAAGATGTTTGGATTATAAATACTGCGAACTTTGCTAGCGATCATTCTTTTGGTTATAATTGTACAGTTGATACTTGTTTGAATTTATCGCTTTGTTCCGTTACTGACAATCAACTTACCGTTTATGTGGAACCACTGATCGATATTGTTGACCAGGTGAATCTTCTCAGGAAATTTTCGATGAATTTTATCGTGAATTAAAAGTGTATGTACGTCACCAGTCAACGAGTTGAGAATCAGCTTGCATTTTTTTTTTCGTTTATATATATATATATATCAACATGTTTATTTCGCTTTGTTATAGAATGGCGCTATACAAAATCCATATGTATCCAGCGAATTCATCGAGCTTCGAGAAATAATAAAAAATAGCCGATTTTTCGTATCGAATATTGAAGACGCATGCATTGTGATTCCCGGTATCGATACACTTAATTTGCGTAGAACACATTATGGAGAATCGTTGTTGTACAGTTTGTTTAATTTCGATAGCAGGTTTGTTTGTTTCATTCAAAACAATGCATTCGTCCTTTTTTTATAGAGTAAGTTTTATATTGCTTCGTATTTAGAAATCTAATTCGAGTTTTAGGTTGATTATTCTATTCGCCGTATAAATAAAATTTAATTCAGATATTTATTAATTCAGATACTCCGGCTTCAATGTTTATTTATTTGTTTTTCTCGGATCAACTTTGCAGTTGGGTAAAGCAATTGTTGCGAGGTGGCTATGGCTCATATTCTCGTTAAATATGAACTTTCTTTAATCTTTTCATAGAAACAAATTTTGATCGGCAAATATTTTCATCCTCGATATTTTCTCTTATTTTATGATGCAGAATGAGCAAGGAAAGTGTTAATGTATAAGGAAAGTGTTAACGTTGAACGTTAGTATATTGTGAAATGTTTCAGGGCTCAATCATATCACAAATCATTTCGACCAAGATACGATATACCGATACCCATATGGCTTCCTAATGAGAAGTCGAGAAATTTTGAACCAGAGAATTTCACAAGAACTTATCTTATTTTGGTGATATTAAAATATGCTTCAAATAATATCAGATCCGATCTTAAAAAGAATTTTTTCGACAGAAAAAATCTCATTTTGCTAGATGATTGTAAAATGCTTGAAAATTTGTTATGCGATATGGATGGGTTCCCTTATTCCATCGATGAAGCTTTCAAGGTTAAATCCATCCTTGAATATATTTGAGCATTTGGAAATTTAATATTAATATATATTAAATATATATTATATTATTCGCTTTCTCTTCAGGCAAGCGAATTCATTTTGGTTAGCACAGAGATTTCTGGTTTCGATGCGCTTTTAATTTCAGCTCTTCGTTTTAACTGTATTCCAATAATATTATCAGAACTTTCTTCATTACCATTTGATGAGCTTATTAATTGGGATCGGTAAACCGTTAAATATATAGTTGCAATAGTTTTATTTTATTTATCTTTTTTTTTTGTCATAATAATTTTATAAATGCAACGATCAATCTTTTTATGATGAATACAAAAAAATAAAAAAATAAATTTTTCATTTCAGAATTTCAGTTAGGTTGTTTTATTCGCGTCTTTCTGCAGTTCATGAAATTATTAAATCTATTTCACAAGAACGTAAAAAAAAATATAAAAAAATGATAACTCAAATTTACAATAAATATTTTTCATCACTTAGCAAAATAGTCCTTACTTCTTTAAAAATAATTGAACATCGAATTGTACCGAATGGAAAAGATTTCCACAAAGATGAAAGTATCGGCTATAATGTAAGTTGCTTATAGAATTATTTCTGTTCAGTCGTTATGTCGATTTCTAAATATTATTTTTCGATTTCCCAACTTCCACTTTAGTTATTACAAAATTATTTTTGTTTTTTTGAATTTAGGTATGTTCCTCTTTTCCTCTTTTTACTGTTTTATTATTGTAATTTATTATTATTCATTAATGAACTATTCAATTAATTCATTGATTAATTATTTGATTACTTCACTGATAATCCCCTAATTAATTACATCATTCTAGCAAATTTCCCCTTTGTTCGCTCCCCGAATTTCGCCCGCAGAAGGATTCACTGCCGTTATATTTCCCCTCAGTCAAGTTCAGTTATTGTTTTCTCTTATCCATTTACTGGCAAAAGTTCCAAGCTTGATGAATATAATCGTTGTTTGGAATAACATTGAAATAGATCCACCTCCTGGTATGTCATTAGTTTGCTACTTTGTTGTTCTTTCATGCGACTGTAGTATTCATTGAAGTTCATATTTTTATATCTCTTCCAAGAATTTTTTCAATTTTTTAATTTATGAAAAGATATTGATTTTAAAGAGTTCGCCTGGCCTCATATATCGCGACCAATCCGCGTTATCAGAATGGGCGACAGAAGTTTATCAAATGGATTTATCACTTTTTCTGATATTTCTTCCGAAGCAGTTTTATCTCTTGATGATAGCAGTTTTCATTATCTCACGGTCGATCAGGTTGAATTTGGCTATCAAGTAAGTCTATGGTCCTTAAAAGTAAATCATTTGGCTTACTGGGTAATAGAATTAAAATTACTGATTCATTTTGTATAAATTTCTCATTTTACATGACCCTTTTAGCGTTTTCCAGGTTTGGCGAGAAAATCCTGATCGTTTGGTAAGCTATTTGTCCACAGAATGGATTTATTTCACTCCTAGTGGACCACATTCATCAATATGGCCCTATAATATATCTATCAGCATGGGACCAGTATTTTATCATAAGGTTATTTTAGGAAAAATTAATTTACTTATGTTAAGTTTTTGGAAAGATTTTAAATATTTTTCCATTTTTTCAGACGTTTTTCCATTTTTTGAACAAATTCTATAAATCACTTTTTTCCTGGTTTTCACTTAAATTATTATCATTTTATCATTTCAGTATTATAATATTCTTTTTCATATGTTATTAATGAATGAATTTAAAAGTTACTCGGAACTGACTTCGTATTGCGAAAAGATTTTAAGAAATCTTTTCCTGGCCAATATAACTGGCAGATATCCTGTAAATATATTAGTAAAGGAACCATTTTGTCCACGTATGTTTTGCTTTAAAACCTTGAATTTAATTTTTTACGTAATTAGTTTACGATTAGTTTATGATAGTAGTTTACCAAAATTGATTTATCACTTTTTCTGATATTTCTTTTGAAACACTTTTGTCTCCGGACGACAGCAGTTGGTTTTTCTTTCTAAGTGAGAAAGGTACAATTCCAGAATGCCGGAACAACCGCATCACAATCGCACAAAATATTCATATGCATTCTAATTGTATACAAAAATTTACGGCTTTATCTGGAGGTGAACGGATGATGCACAGGTACAACCCATTGATCATCCATAGTCCTAATGGTAACGAAAAAGGTATTTCCTGACAAACTTCTTCATAACTTTTCAAGTCCAACAAATATATCATATTTATATATCGTTCGTTTTTAATAATCGACTTATAATAAATTTAATTTATTTTTATTTTTAAATTTACAAGTTTTATTAATCTTCAATTTCAAATAACCATTAATCATTAAAAAATCACTAAAAATTTCAAAAACAGTAAATAAATAAGGAAGAATAAGAAATATCCAATAAATACGAATCGTTTTTAACAAAAAAATGCTAAAACTAAGCGCGATCCCCTAAACAAATCATTCTCTATAAAAATTTTCATTGATTTAACAACACTGGATAATGAATAAAATAAACTAAGCAACAAGCGAACCTATTGTATTCTTTATTTTAAATATTTTGCAACATGATTTCAATAAAAAGTTGCAAATTAATTCAACATAAAGAAGTGCATAAAGTTTTTTTCATTCGTCAGGTCTGTTAAATATCGTTATAGGTAATCATAAGATTCAGCAATTGCGACGTATTCTTCATGCACTTCATTTATTGAAATTGACATTTCGGCAATTTCTGTAAATGCTTCGTTCCGTGCATCTCAACAAAATTCATCCTTTACCTTTGTTAAACTAGTTTCAAAACAACTGAATAATTGAAGAATTTCCTCGTCCACGTTGTTATTGGCACTTTAACGATCTTCATTTGCATGATGAATTTTCTCTTCCGTATAATTGTTACCAGCACCTAGGCGATCTTCTCCATGTAAAAATATTGAAACTTTCTGAAGGATCTGTTCACCCACATTGGTATTTAGACAATCTGCTGGCTTTCCATGAACTTGAAGAATTTTATCTTTTTTTTCCTTATCTGCATTATTATCGGAATCTAGATATTCTGCACTGTCCCCATTGCTCCTATCAGTATTTAAGCAATTTAAGCCATGCGAAAATATAGAGTTTACATGTTTTTGACCTATAAATATTGTTTTTGATTTTTTAGAGTGAACAGGAGAAGAAAACTTCTAATCAATTTTAGCACAGATTTTTTCCTGCAGGTTCATTACTTCAAGATTTGAAATATCTCAAGAATAATGATATAATATAGATGGTACAATAAATCTAAGGTCATCCTCAGTAGTAACCATACTTCCGAATGCCAGCAAAACAAAATGCAAAAGTTTCTTAGTTATCCTCCACATTACTTTGAATTTAGTATTGATAACTAGATTGATAATTAGAGATATAGATTTACTGAAGAAATCAAACGGCATAAAAAATCACTTTGTTTTTTTTAAAACACCGAGATTCGTTGCAATGTCAATTTCATAAGCCAGTTTTTCATCGATGAGATAATATATCACCAAATAGCCATCGTTTAACAAAATATCATAAATCCTCCTAAAAAAGAATAGCATAGAAATTCCAAACCTTATTCAGATTTTTCCGCTAACCGGGTCAATTTTTTATATATTTTATATATATTTTATACAATTTTTCATATTTAAATTTATAATAAATTATATTTCTTTTCAGTTGATGTAAATGTAAAGATATCTTCAAAATGAAAAGCAGGATACTGCTGTATTATAAAATATGATTGATATAATTGCTAGAAAATTTGCAAAGGTTTGATGAAGATTAACAAATAAAACGAACGGATTTGGAATGCAGTTCTACAGGTACGTGCTGAGACTTAGTTGCTGCCAGCAGTGCCTTCGTGGAATCCGACAAACTGATATTTTGAAATCCTAAAGGAACTGTCAGCCGATGACACGTACGTATGAAAAATTCATTATAATTCATTATACCTAAGATTTTAACGGATGAAAAGCGTTAAATTAAAATTTTTTGCAAGCGTTAATTATAACTAAAAATCTACCTGTCATCTGAGCTTGTTGCAGATTAATCGAATCTTTTCAAGCACGAATTATCAAACCATCATCAACAAATAACCATTTTCGAAACCTATCATATGCCTTAAAATTTTACAAATATAAAAATATAATAAATGTAAATGTAGCATACAGCATCATAGAAAAAAACAAGAATTGACTTCGGAAAAGGAATTGAATAATGAAAGATTTATAAAGCCAACTGCAAACTAAATTTTAAAAAAATGAAGTGAAAAAACTTAAAAAAATGATACTTATTCTTTTTTAAAGCATTTTATGGTTTATCTTTGCCTCTGGCAAAATTATTAAATCCATCATAAAAAACCAGTGTGATGAATCCCAAGTGCTTTTATTCCCAGTTGGCTCTCTGTTTTATTCAATTAATTCGCAAATAACTATGACAAATTCACAAATTATGTTGGAGAGTTAAACTGACCGAAAAATTTGTATGCTCGTTTGCAGCGTTCATTTCCACTTAAGATAAGAAACTTTACGTATGATTAATAATAATAAAAAATATTTAATTCCTCAACTATTTAATTTTTGATTTAATTTTATTGATGTATTAATAATTTATTTTAGTGGGCGTAAGAAGTATTTAATTCCTTAATTGAAAGAAATTCACTTCATAAATAATTTACGAATAAGAAAAATTTAAATAAAGTTCCGATAGCAAATATTATTTTATTGTTTATAGTAATATAGTAATATATTTCGTATAAAATCAGGCTAAACTATTAATTTAGCACAAAAAAACCTAACAAACAATATCGTGGTACTCGCAATAAGCAGAAATTTGTTATATCCTAATCTTTTATTTATATATTTTTTTAGCATTTCCCCAACGATGATTCAATTCAAATTATCCCTTAACAATCGTATAATTTTCGATGATTTCCATAGTTCATAATCCGTTCCTAACGAATGAAAGACTGGTTCCACAAGTTATCACACGAATGAAACCACTTCGCTAGAATCACTTGGAAATACAGTCTGCACAGGAGCGCATCAAGTAACATTCTATGACTACATTATACCTATTTGACTTCAACCGAAGCACCAACCAGCAATTACAATTATGATTAATTTCTTTTAATTTATATCCACGGTGTGGAAGTCGACTGACCTATAGGACCTTTGACAATCAATAAATTTATACATTTCGATTTGCAAAATTTTAAAATAAAGCCATCATTGACCTTTTTATTTTCATTACCATTAACAAGATTGATAAATATGGCATGGGAGACGGTGCGCCAGTGGTGAAATATGGTCCGCCTTCTTCGCTATGTCGAGGATCATGAACTTTTTATTACTAATACTTGCTTCATAAAAAACATCTAGTTACGGAAATAACCATGGATAACCAACATTCCCAACATACCCAACATACCAACATACCCAACACTTCAACCAGAGATTACATTCAGTCGCCGTTGGGAAGAGTTCCGTATTAGACAGTCGTTCGTAACGGTGCTGAGACGGACAATCTTCATGGATGACCATATTATGCGAGCCAAGATCCACATAAAATTAACAACTCGCAAAAAACAGCATTCCCTCAAATCCTTCAATAATGTCAAAAAATTCGGAGACAGTAAGCGCATTTCAAACTGAATTATTGAAGCATCTGGTACAAATATCAATGATTTTTCTGAAACGGCAAATGAATACTGGTCCAAACTAAAAGAATGTCTCCGAGTCAATCACTTCCACGGTAGGGCATACTAGGAAGAGCGCTAGTTGGATATAGGAAGTCAAACTGTCAAACTGTTTGAAAATGCTGCCAAAGCACGAATGTCATGAAATTCTGATGTTTCGAAGAATTATAACGATAGCGCTCGGCGAGACAGAAATTATTATTAAAGTGATATAGTTTTGAAAATGGAGGCTCGATTAGGCGATAATAGGAAATTATTCCTCCTTTTTCACAAAAAACTATAATTCAGGACAGAATTGCTCAGTGGGTTGTTGCTCAATTGGGAGCGCCGATGCTGAGGTTCGATTCCCTGCAGGAGTAAAGCTCTACAAATGTGATGCTGGCGACTCACCTGTCGCCAAGGGAATCCCTGGTATATTGTCCAATGCGACAAGCCAGTGGAGTGAGTTTAACTAGTAATGATGATCTTAAAAAAAATAAAACAACTATAATTCAGTGAAATTGTAAAGGATAACAATGGCATGCCGATTAAGAGTATTAAAGACCTCCTCATAAGATGGAAGGAATTTTTTTGGAAGGAAAAGATGGAAGATGGAAGAAAAATGGAAGATGGAAGGAGGCCAAACCTTGAAGCACCATCTGTTGACACAGATATAGCTGATACGTTCGTCGAACCTTGCTTGTAATTGCGAGCCGTCAACAAAAGAAGAAATTATCTCCGTTATCCATAAAAGCCTAACAGTAAAACTGCGGGAGAAGGTGGTCTTGGGGTTGAATTTTTCAAATTTATCATTGTCCATTGTCCGTCCTTCATAACGCACCTTCAAAAAATATACACTCTGGTATGGAAAAAAGAAATATTACCAGATGAATAGAGTAAAACAGTTCTGCTCCAAATTTCCAAAAAAAGGTGGCAGGGTATACTGCGACAGTTATCGAGGAATCAGCCTAGATCTCAGCGAAAATTTTTGCTCCCCTTTTATTTAATAGACTTATGGAAGTACGGGACTGCAGGACATCCCCTAACCAAACTAGATTTAGAAAGCAGCGCGGTTGTATTGACCAGATATTCACGTTAAGAAGGGTGTGGGAATATTGCTTCAAATATCTGAGCCCACCATTGTGTATTTCATTGATTTTGCGACTGCCTTCGATTCAATTGATAGAGCGGCTATGGAGGGTGATGGAACGCGACGGTGTTCCAGAGAAGATCATTCGACTCAAGTATTTTATGAACGTTGGCGTAGATCTGTGTATATGGGGATTCCTTCGAAATAAGAACTGGAGTCCGTCAAGGTTGTATCCTTTCTCCTACAGTATTCACCTGTGCGATAGACTAGATAATGCATACCGCTTGTCGGCACTCAATAGGTTTCCAAATCAATCCAGAGCATAAAATCACAGATTTTGAATACATTGATGATATATAGTCCTTTTTGCTGATATTTATAATGAAACAATGTTGAACAGTGTGTCAATAACTGCAGTGAGAGTTATATACAGAGTCAATGCAAATAAAACGAAGCCTTTTCGTCTTATGTGCAAGAAGCTGATAAAATGCCTCATTGTCTCTGTTGAGGAAATGCTTGATTTATCTTGTATTCAGTATAATACCGAATGGCCAGGCAAAAGACGATATTATAACTCGGATCACGCCAGCTAGAAATACGTCCTTCCGGTTGACGAAACCTTTATGGAGCCATCGTAAAATCACCATAAAAACTAAAGTCTGCATATAGACACGATTAGTTAAATCTTGCCATATGGCTGTAAGACCAAGCCAATATAGCCAATGAGATTGGAGTATATTAAGAAGTTATCTGCCTTTGACCACTTATGTCTAAGGTACATTTTACGAGTTCACTGAGTGGATCTCATGTGATCCACCTTAGTTCAAATACTACTTGCATTAATAGTACCATCACAGTGTATTTAATTGTTTTCTTTTTTATTATAATTATTTTTTATTATATTAATACAAACAAGTGATATCATCCAGTCCAGTGTTTTTCTATTAGTAATAGCGATGGAGTAGGACCAAGCTTGGATACATCGTACCCTTGTAGCCGTTGGAGCCAGCCTAACCAGTGATGGTGAGAGCTGTTATAAGATTATTAAAGTTAAAATCGGATAACCCTACCAAAAATCATCTTAATTTAAATATGACTATCTAACACACTTTTTCCTAAATTCCTACTGGAAGATAACTGAATGCAGGTCTTAGCAAAAACTGATTCAAATCACGCGACAGTGTCACACTCAGACCTTAAATTCATTAATAAGAGCTCGTAAATTCATTAATAAGAGCCCCTATAGCCATGCGACATTTTTTCATGCTTAACGAAGAATTTTAGATTCTTTTAGTCATCAAATTTGTTACTTAACAAGCCCCATATCTCATTATTTTAAGAAGAAATCCATTATTATAGGAGCTTATTTTTCGAAATCAGTTCTGCAATATATAAGCTAAATTATTTAAAAAAAATTTTGAATATATCTTTAGTAAATATGTCCATTAAGATTCAATCAAATTATTTACGATTTGCACTTTTGGAAACTTATTGAAACGTTTTTTCCGTAAAAAATGAATATAAATGAATAATGAATGAAAATGAATAAAATATAAGAAATATTACATTATGCAGCAGTTGAGCGACAATAATAAATCTCTAATAAGTGATTAATCTCTTAAAAGAATATTTCTAAATTTTTTTTATTATAACTAGTAAATAATAAAATAGAAAAAATGATTAAACAATTGATGAAGAGAATCGACATAACTTTTTACCGATATGCGAAAATATCTAAATATACAACCCGCATGTTCAACAAACGTGATAATGAACGAAAACCGCTAAGAAAAAAATTATGAGATGAATTATTCCAATTTTTGCATCAACCAAATTTTTCACAGTCTTTCACTGCAGTTTTTTTTCTACCATTTCAACGAAATTTCCTATTTAAATCTCGTTTTCGTTTTGTATATACCAAACGTAAAACAAGAAAACCAAAAAATTACGATGGTAGCAATAATGATTCTTTTCTCTAACCAGTAATACTTATTAAAAACCATCAAACTCAATATCGACAATAATATGGAAAAAAAAATGAAATATGGCAGGAAAATAAAAATCATCTTCATCGACTGTGAATTAACCGTTCATACGATTCAACAGTGATATCTAATGCCGGAAACATTGGTCGAAGAAGCGGCTCGTGAAATATACTTAATGCTGCAAGGCTGAAGTATGTATGAAGTGGATCTAAAATTTAAAGTGTTTAACAGGTTTAAATGGAGCATTTAAACGACAAATTAAAATAAAATGAAAAATTATGAAGACTGATAAAATGAAAAATTGAGAAAACTGAATCTTATTTCAGTTTTATAATGAAAAAATGAAAAAATAAAAAAAATGAAAAATTCCTACAAATAATAAAAAAATTAAAAAAGAATAAAAAATAAAACCTGGAAGAGAATCTGCATACTTGGCAAAACCACCTGAATTTTCATCTTGAGTAGATATTAAAAAATCTCGCAATGAGCCCAAATCAACAAGTGATTCTGCGTCTAACATCTATAGAAACAATTAAAATAACTAGTGTTCTTTGAAAATTATGATAATTAGATCAAAAAATTTATTTTATTAAATTTATTTTATGATAAACTTGGCATTTAAAAGAAAAAATGAACATTTTTTTAATTTTGTGCAACAAACCTTTAAAGTTGCTCCCAACCAAAACGCATAACAACTATCATCAGCTTTGTTTGCTCGACCATGGAATCCTACATCCTGCTTAGCCAATATCCATTTCTTCAATCGCTCAATTTGTTTATAGCTTAAAACACTTTGATCCCAAAGATGACCGGTCATCATCAATGAAGCAATAGCACAATAAGTGGATCCACCTTAAAAAACAAATTTCTCTAATAATAATCAATAATTTCTATTTATATTTTTCAAGTACTACAGTGTATTTTCCAAACCTTTAAATATTGTCAGAGTAAAATCAATTAGAAAAATATTCGTAAATGAAACGTGCCATGACTTTCTAATGAAGGTCCCTGTCCGATTCCACCATCGTAATTTATACTTCGTCGTATGAAATTAAGCATTCGTTTAACATCAATTTTATTAAAATCATTTAAAATATAACAAATTGCAACAGCACAATATACAAATCGCATATCGTTTTCAGTATCTTTCTGAGCACAAAAACTGTAATTTTCGATGATAAATAATAAATAAAAAACAATAAAAAAGGTGTCAAAGGTGATAAAGAAGTAAAAAGTGAAAAGAAGTGATATTAATTCTTTATTATCTTCATCAATCATTTCCCTTCCAATCATTCATTCAAATAACCACTTCTAATTTAGAATTAAAATGATAAAACTGAAATAAAAAAAATACCTGCCATCCTTCATCTGACAAGATGCGACACCTTTTAGCACTGCTTCTCTATCAACATTAGCCAAATCATCACCCAAGATCAATAATGAACATAAAGCAACATACGTTTGCGATATGTGCGCACTATCATATATACACCACAAAGAACCAGACTTATAAGAATTTTGCGATGCTCTTTCTATAGAAGAAGGAAAATTGCGTGCTGCAGCACTCAAAGAGCCTCGAAATCCGTAGGCATATTCTGGGCAATCTATAAATTATTTCTTAAGGAATTAATGTATTTAAAAATTTTCCGAAATAACTTTAAAAACAACTGCTGAAAATTATATAAGAAAACTATTAAATCGTTAGAACAAAAAAAACCAATATAAGAATTGAAATAAAAAAATTCATCGAATTCATAAAAGTCAAGAAACAATATCGAATATTCTTCCATTTACAAAATTTACATATAAAGAAAACAATGAATAATTATACATTTTAGAAGATAAAAACATAAAAAAATAGTTCTACATAAAAGAAAAGTATAAAAAAAATAATAGTCAACGAAAATATAATCTAACATAATATAACAAATATATAAATATAATCGATTACTAAACTTGAACAAGAAAATACAACGAAAAATTTCAATCTAATGATTGTACTTTTCCCAGCATTGAAGTACAATGTTTGAAAGAAGGCAATCTCTATCGACGTTTTCTTCGATCAAAGATGGTGGAGTGGGATATCCCACATCTTCATTCACTGCAAGTGAATCCAACTGATAAGAAAAGTTGTAGCTTGCAGGTGCCAATTCCATAGCGATACTTTTAATATCTATATGAGAATCTGCATTTTCTAGCATAAAATTATCTGCGCTTTCGATTCTAAAAAAAAGCCTTTGAAATTCAAGAAAAAAATTTAAGAAAAAGACAGCGGATTAAAATTAAATAAAATTAATATTATTTCTCATAAAATTAACAAGAAAATAAGTTGCAATTCCTAGAATTCAATTTTAATTTCAATAAAGAGGTAATATAACGACTTGTTAAAATAAAAAATTTACTTCTCTGCTTCCAGCTGATTGAGCGTATCACGCAACAAAGAAAGTGATTGTCTCGTTGTCTTATCTTCAACATCAGAATCATCGACGACTTTCAAAGTAGAACACCATATACTTCCATCATTTGTCATTTGAAAGAGAGTATGACATTGCTGATTGGAAGAGCTTGTTGATATTTGCTCTTGTACATGAATAGCTCTCGTACATCCGAAATTCAAAAAGCGTTGTTCAGTTTCTTTCGAAATATTAATATTATATTTCTGTTGTTCACGAGAAAAACTAGCCAACCCAGCCGGTTCAACTTCTCGTTTTATTGGACATAGAGATGACCAATGACCACTTGAATGACGATACAAAGAAAAACTGAAAAGGCCAGGATCTGATGTGTGACGCATTGCATAAAATGGGAAAATTTGTCCCGAATTTCGAGGGTCAAGAAACCGCGGTGCTGAATATATAAAGTCGCTGCCACCAATAATAGAATGTGCCAATTCTAGATAATTTGTACCACGCATTCTTTCATCAACCAACACAAATCTGAAATTACTAAATAATCAATCATCCTCGGGAAAAAACATTCGCATAGAACTTATTTTTTCCTATTAAATAAAGATAAATTTAAATAAAAAAATCTGAAAACTCTAAATTCTATATTCTTAATCCTAAAAAACCAATCAATGAAAACAAACTTGAATCCAAAACGAAATGGCATAATCTGCAATGATTTTCTAAAATTTAAGAATAAGCAATTTAAATATAAAAAAAAAACAACCTGTCAGAAGATACAACCAATAACATACGAGGAATATCTCTTATAGTTGATATATGATGAAGAATGGTGTTGGGAAACACATGCATATAATTATATGGAATAGAATAACTAGATGAATCGTCAAAACCAGGAGAAGTGTATAAACAATTGCCTAGAATTCAGTCAACAATTGTAAATTAGCCAGAAAAATACTAAATGCTCAAAAAAACACTAAATACTCATGCTTAAAAGATCGCATCCAAAAATACCTTCCGGAATTTTCGGGAATTAAAGTAAAAAATACCTTGGAAAGATTTTTCCCGCAAATCGAACACATAGACTTCTTCACTATCTCCCAAATATACCATTCTTGGATGATCAGAGGATCGAACCATCTTAACGAATAAAAAGAGTCGGTTTTGAATGCAGTGATCATCGCATTATTATATTAGTACTAATTTTTTATTAATATAAATATAAAATTATTTTATAAATATTGGTAATATTTTATTATCTAATGTCAATTTCTTGTTCTAGTGCATTCAAAAACCGCCAGCAAAGGCATAAAATTCCCGATATATACTTTTTACCAAAACTTCCTCTTCTTCTAAATTTTTGTAACATATAAAATATGAGCAATAATAAGCAGATTAATTAGAAGATTAGTTGATTCGATTTATAAATTCTGTATTAAAGTAAATAAGAGAAAGAATTACTTTGAATTTTTTCCAGTGCTTCCTTTTGCGAAAAATAGGTATATGTTCGAGATCGCCATGCCAGAGAATACCACTATTATCCAAAACGACCAATTCTCCATCCATATAATGTATTGTATCAAAATTTTGCACGTCTCTACCAAACATTGAAACTATGGAACCATGGCAGGTATCGCAAATATAAAAATCTTCTTCGCCTCTCGCTAGTATTCGATGTTTATTCAGAAGTTTCCAGCTCCGCAATTCATATAATGCAGAAGGTACTTTCAAAGAAGAAAAAGGTTTTAAACGAGATTGCTGTTGATTATCCTTTGAAAATAAATTCCATTGAACAAGTCCATCTTCATCCACATTAATGCGAAATTCAGTTATCGTTTTTCTTGATGACTGTTCATTAACAGCCCACAGAACCATTTCATCTAATTCTTCGTCAAAAGTACCAGTAAGTAAATTTCGATTTTTTGTTTCGGATTCATTTATATCAAAATTCCATTGCTCAGGTGGACCATTCTTTTGGCCGTGCGACGAAAATTTAGAACCATGTAATAGCAGTAATGGGTACCCAATTGTGTGTGCAACCATGTAAGGCCTTTGCCAGTGGTATGCCAGATTATACTGAGGTACATAGAGAGTTTTACTTCCAACTCCGCTGCTTCCATTAAAATCACTATTTTTACGAAATATACCACCATAAACAGCGCAACCGTGATCAAGAAAACCATAATAAGGAGCTTGAGGTGTACAGTAACCCATCTTGTTCGCTTTACTGAAATTTGGTTAAAAGGCGCTATTCTATCTTCTACAAATAAATGAAGAACAAAACATTTTCAAAACCAAAATTCCAAAAATTTCGATTGTTCCAAACAAAAAAATCACTTTGAAAATCTTTAAATTCAAAAAATAAAACAAATAAAAATATAAAATACACGAAAATACAAAAAAAATAATTTACATATAAAATGAAAATATCTCTTTATAAGACAATTACACACAATTATAAATTTTGAAAAATTCGATCTTAAAAAACGGGAAAAAACGGGAAAACCCGAACTAAATTTCTTTGAATTTGGACCACTATAAAATCCCAAGATTTGTTATTTATTTTGAAGTTGAATAAATGCTGGTTTCGTCGCTAAATTCTATTTTAAATTTCTTCGTGACAGCGTGTGACAAAATTTAAAATATTGCAATATAAAATGAGAAAATTGACAGAAAGAACCATACAGTAAAATCAACTGCAATTGTTTTTCACAAACAAAATGGCAAATCAGGAATTTCCCACAAAAACACGATCCAACAACAGCGATGGCAATGTTCACTCTGGACTAACAAAATATTCTTTCTTTTACTGACTTAACCCACTTTTTAACTGAATCCAAAATAGGAAGAGTTTTTTCACGATTCATATTCCTACCAACATCAGTAGTAAAATTTGGCAAAAAAAAAAATTATTCCTCTAACTTTTGCTGTGAAAATTACAAGAAAATTAAAATTATAAATGCCAATTTAAAAAAAATGCCAATTAAAAAAAAAACTAATTTTATATCAACTACTAGTCGTTTTCCACTCAATAATTTATATATGTGGTATTTTCACCTTTACGATAGATCCTTAAAATGTTATAGCATAAAATACTGACCACAAAAAACAATATAATTAACATGACTTCAAAAAGAAAAAAATTTTAGTAAGAAATTAATGAGTGAAGATAAGAAATTATGCAAAAACAAGTCTATTAAAGATTTTTTTAAAGATCTGAAGGAAACTCGACTAACTTGAATGTGAAGTCAATTGAAGTCGATAAATCCAACTGATTGTTTGTTCCTTGAATTCGCAATCAAGTTGGTCCAATTTACCCAAAATATCCAATGATGATAAAAGGAAGAAAAGAAGAGCCAATCTAAAATCTCTTTTAAGTGTAGCTTGGATGTATTTTGAAATTCAAACTTCATCTGGCTTTATAAGAATAAACAATAATGAAAAACTAAATAATGAAAGCCTTAATTAGACACGAAACAGAAATGCAAGATTAAATTTAAAGATTAAATTTATATATTCACAAATTTATAATTTATAAAATTTTTATGTAAAAGCAGCTTTAATCTGAAAATGAAAAACTGAAGGGAGATCTATAAAAAATATGAAAATGATGTTATATAAATTCATCAATGGTCGAAGAAGTATCAAACTTTAAATAAATCAGATCCACTCTCATACCCCCTGGCCAGACAAAAAATGAAAGCTGCAACATCTTCCTTCCAGACTGGAAGATATGGTAAACTATGAATTTTTGACCATTCTTATCTACATTTTACTCACTAATCAAATGGACGAATTCTATCCATTTTAGCTAGATCACATCATTAAGAATATCACCATTTGCGCTATTTTAGAAATGTCTTTCGCACATCAGTGGAATTGAGCATATCTTGTTATTTGTTAAAACCTATAATGGATGGCGCCAAAAGCGAGGAAGAGATTTCTGAACCAATACGTGGACCGATATGTCCAGAGATTTTTGAACGCGTAGGCGGCTAAGCGATTCATGGGTTTAGACAGTGGAAAATTGGAAACGTCGTATCTTTATAGTCCGTAGAGAAAGTCAAACTAGCAATGGTACGAAGAAATGCATATAATAATCTGCTTTAGACAATTAATATATTGCCACATTTCTTGAAAGATATTCACAAAAAACCAAATTTCTTTATTGAAAACGTCTTTAACTCTTTTTAGAAATATTTATCAAAGGACTGCCTGCCAGTCAATACACTGTTTTTATGTTTTTAAGTTCTTTTAATCTCTGAAACCAGTTCCACTTATTTATATATTTCTTTATAAATCCTTATGTCTACTTGTAAGAAAAATCAAATAACCAAGTATCAATAACTTCATCAGCAAAGCCTCTTAAAGTCGATTAAAAATTTGAAAAAAATACTAAAAATGCTAAATCAAATATTTGAAAATCGAACCGATTTGAATCGAAACTTCTATAACTATAAGGTATGATCGAAAGGTGTTGCTTCAAATACTCCAAATGACGATTTAGAAGGATTTCAGTCATAAAATTTCTGAAAGAGCACTTTTATATGCACCAACAACTTACACCGAATGAGGAAACATTTAAAAAATAATAAAATAAAAAGTAATTTAATAAAACGAAATCAAATAAATTAAATGGCTTATCCATAGCAATATATGAGAACTTAATTAAAAAAGAAAACATTTTGGTTGTTTTAATTTCGCATATAAATATTAGCCTATTAAAAGAACAAATAAAACAATCCTTCGGTTATGTAGGCAACTCAATCGATCACCAAATATTAGAGGAGCAAAAGTAATGGGGTGAACTATCACTAAAGAGAGATATTCTGGCTACTAAATAGACAGGAAACATAAACCTATTATTACTGCTACCCATACAATCGAATTCTAAGACTGAATAAAAATTGCCCTAATTGTTCATATATTCTTTAAATTTAAATTTAAAAAAGAACTGCAAAATTATTTTGAAAAAGATGAAAAATTATTTAAATGAATTCGAAAAAATAGAATGCACAATTTAGAAAAAGAGAGAATTACTTTGTTTGTAAAAAACAGTTTAAAAAAATGGGAAAAAGGATAAAATAATAAATTTTATTATTTTAAATAAATACGAAACAAAAATCATTCAACAATAACTATTTCGATAATTTAATAATTACCAAGGAATTTTAAATTTTTAGAAATCTAAAATTGTAATTTTGTTTTATTTTTTTATTTATAGATATATATCTTTGCGCAACCATACCGCTTCATTTCAATTTTAAACGTTATTTTTCAAAACTATTCAAGTAACAAATTTTCCAGCCAAAGAAAACAAATATACCAAGAAAAAAGAAATTATAATAATTATAAATTTAACGAGTGAGCAATAATCTTGTAAGCCTTATGTACGGATCAACATTTAAGTCTACTACTTCATTATAATTCTCCGTATGTTTGCCTGGCTTGTAAAGTTGAAGGGCTGAAAAAATGATCGTTATCATTTATTTCTTTAGTTGAAGTTCCAAAAATTAATTTATAAGATTGAAAAATACATCAGATTTATTTATTAAATTAATTTTAAAAACTATTTAAAAATTAATAAATGTTAGAATAATTGGTAAAATTAAATTAATTAGAATCTTGCCAAATAGACAAACATTTAACAAAAAACAAAAGCGAAATTAAAAAGTATGGAAATGTTGGTAAAAAAATATAAAAAAGCAAAAAATAAAATCAAAAATAAAAAAAAAGAGAAATTTGCTAACCATGTTCAACCCAAACGATGTTTTTCGTTCGATTTACCTTCCTAAAATCTAAAGTATTCAGCTGGAAAACAACAAGATCAAGATAGCCACTAATTAACTGTACTGCTCGAGTTATAATCGGAACTATCAAATCAAATGAATTATCAAAAAAAATAGAATCGTCGTTATATCGAGTAGCTTCGATAAGAGCCGCACCAAAACAATGCATAACAGCATTAGCAGCATTCTGTTCTCTTTAAATAACATAAAATTATTAATTAATAAACTAATTTAAACATTGGGAAAAAAATAATAAGATAAGGAAAATGGAAAAAACATGGAATATAATTAAGAAAAGAATAATGTAACAGAGAAATAACTGCAAAGCCATGTTAATAAGATGTTAAAAAAAAAAAAACTGGAAATCTAGAAAATATTTGATGGCAAATAGAACCTTGTCCAAGGGTACTTCTGATTTCTTTCTTTTGACCACATTATTGTATCTAAATGTAGACTGAACTTGTTCCTAGGGACCAAAGCAAAATCATTATAAATATTCCAGTCTACCAAATCAATGTGAGGATGAATTGGAGTTATATCGGGTACTTCTTCAGATCTCAAAAAATATCGATGGAAAATAAGAATATAACAAAAAGAATAAAAATTGCATAAAAATTGAAAATAATTGAAATATTGACTAAGAATTGCAATAATTATAAAATATATAGATACAAATATCAAAAAATGACCAAAAAACCAACTCCAATGAAGATAATTCATCTTGAAGAACCCAAGGTTTGAGCTGTTGTGGAGACTGAATCACTAAATGCGGTTCACTTCGTACCACTAATGGCTGATTTAAATAATCACCTTTTTTAAGTATCCCACTTATTGCCTCATCGCGATCATATCTAAAAATTTTTTTGCATATAAATTTCTTATATGAACAACCAAAACAAACAATATGATTGCTATCGAAATATAAGAAAAATGAAAATGAAATCTTTATAAAGAAAAGATACCGTAAATAATTGAGTTGCCCGCGTTGAACGGAATTCAAATGAATACTCCGAAATATGTTATCGAGAATAATATTGCTAAAAAAAAGCAAGGAAATAATGCATTTATTATTATTATATGACTTGTTTTTTCGAAAATTTGCCTTATTTCAATTTCAATTTGAACAGATAAGAATAAAGAACAATTAAGAAGAAGCGATAAAAAATGAACCCTTTTTTGATGTCAGGAGTGCCATACATAACTGGATGTTTTCGCCAAAAAAGAATAGGATCATGTAATCTCGGCAATCGTTCTAAAGAGGGATCATAGCGTTCACCGTGAAGTATAAAATCTCTTAATTGTAATTCGAGATTTTTTGGAAGTAAAGCCTGCAACCTATCATTTAAAAATTTTTGATGAAATAGACAAGAGGCCATTTTGCGGTAAATCATTATGCTAGACTGGTTCAAAGATGACTAAAATACTACACACTTTTTCATGAAAAATATTTTTAAAGAAAGATTTTTATTCTTAAATTCCAGCAGTTGCCAACAATAAAAAGCAAAAAAGAACTAAAGAATAAAAAGAACAAAAAATAAGAACTTGAATAAAAAGAACTTTGCAAAAAGATTTAAAAGTAATAAATTAAAATAAAGTCTAATGGCGAAGCAAATCTGTTTAAATTTATTTAAAAAATGGATGAAACAGAAAAATATCGGGAAAAAGCATACTTCGCTAAGTAATGAATCTGGAAACTGCAACCGTTTAACAGCTTTTGTAAGAGAACATGCTTGATCAATTCCATCTGTAAAAGGCTGAGTACCATCGAAAAGTAGACATTTCATTTTTTTATACAAAGGATGAACCTAAAAATTTTTCATTACAGATTATAATAAACTGTACTAAATTATTGATGATTAATTATTGATGACCTTTCTTAACTGAAAATACCACAGAAGAAACTGCAATTCATACGCAGTTCAAAGGATATCATCATCAACAAAACAGAAAGGAAGTAGATAAACGCACATACTTGTTTATTATAAAACAGAATTAAACTACAGATAAATTCATTCAAGGTACAATACGGTATATCGAAGTTTTTAACGACAAATAACTACATATTCTGGCTTAATTTATGATAGCTGTAAGCTCTCATATGAAAGACAAATAAATGCAAAATATAATATGATATTCTAAATGACAAATAACTATACTTCTTTTGAAGGAATATTGTACGCAGGATGATTGAAGTTCGCTTCCAATTTCGGCTGAGGTCGAGGAAAATCGACATCATTAGGATCATATATGGGAACATCAAGAGCCTAGAAATCGCTATTTTTTGTGAAAAAAATAAGATGAACCAAAGGAAAAAAAATTAAAAATAATTCAAATGAATTCTATTTAAAAAACCTTAATTGAATCGGGCACTTGGAATGATGGCATTTTTCGTTTATTTTTGGCGGCCAAAATAGCTTTAAATATTCGCGTATCTTGAACACCCCATTGCTTGGACGGACGAAATTTTCGAAATACCATTTCTGAATAGAGATCTTCTGGATTTTTAAACAACGATTATAAATAATCCATGCCTGAAAAAAAAGAATTCAAATTAGTAAAATAAAGTAAAAAAAATTATGACGTGTAGCATTCTGTGCGTCGATCCTCGAACCAGTTGTCTCCCTGGACACCAAGAAAATAAATTAGTGCTTTCTAGTTTTAACAGCAGCCGGATTACGCGACATTACTTACAACAAATTCTTGAAAAAAATACGGATTCGTTCTCGAAATGAGCCGGCAAGCGAATCGAAGACTCGCACATTTCTAAGAAAAGAATTAAAAGGAAAGAGAAAACAACAAAATATGCATCGCATCTCCTTTTCGTGCCTAAACGATGAGAAATGCATGAAAACGCTTGAAAACAGTGCCAAAAAAAATATTCGAAAATATTTTAATCAATTTTCAAATAATTTTAGAAATAAAAAAATGGCAGAAAAACGGAAAATCTACAAAATTTCTAATGAAATTTACGGAACCAGTTTCCACTAAAAAAAATTTTTTTAAATTTTTAACAAAACTAACGAAATTCATCGAAGAAAATTTAATTCTAAATAAATTTTTGAAATGAACCGATCTCTACTAATAATTCGAAATGACCGTTAACTGCGATCACGCATGCATTACATAAAACAAATAACTTCGGATTAAACAGATTGGTTAATGAGGGAACATTTAAAAGAATTTAGTGCTCAGTAAGAGGAAACTGGGTCACTGATAAGCGTTATTGACTGCTGAATGATGAAATCATCGCCTAATTAAAGAGGATATAGAAAGGATAAATTACTTTCGATGACCGTGATTGGGTAACGTTCATACGAAAGTAGGTTCCATTCCTTTCCTTCAATGGAGCCAAGTCTTTTATCAAGGGCAAAACCTGGTTGGTGCTGGTAACCCACACGTTCTTTTATCTTCAAGCAACTGACCTGACGACTGAAAGATTTATATTCCAATAGGCCCACGAAGATAATCGAAGCAAAAGTTATGAGGTTTCCCGGAGGAAGAACCTTTTCACCTCGGCCCTTGCAAAAATTTTAAGAATAACAACTAATGCGGAGGTCATCCGACATGTGCTCATTCCTGTAAAGGATTCATTCACCACTCAACGTTTCGGCTCTCACTACAAAAACTTCCGAAAAATAACAATAATGAGAAAATTTTGTGCTGTAAGAGAGAAAATTAAAATCGTTGTAGGAGACCTCATTGGCGGCAATTGGGTTGAATAATGCGAGATTTTTGGTTTTTATTTCGGTCGGTGATCATTTGGCTTTATTCTTATTTTTTCAGCGATTTCGTTTAATTATTATTATTATTAAATATCAACGATTATTGATTGAATTGGTTAATTTTATTGCTAATTTTTATAATTTTGTTTCAATTAATAAAATTTATTTTAATTATTTTTATTTTTATGTATTTTAATATATTTTAATTTCGTCAATATCGATTAATATATTTGTCAATTTATTGCCAAAATTGAGTTCGATTCCGTCAAAACTCATTATTAAATTTTTACCATTAATCCATAATTATTCTATGTCCATAATTATTTATTGATTATTCAAAATGTTGAAGCTGAAACGGTTATGTAAGGGTCGATTTCATTCGTAAATAATTACTTTGATTAATTTTATGGCGGTTTAATTGAACTCATAATTTTCCATTGTTAATTGTTAATTTTTATTAATTCAATTAAATAGGAGTGCTTACCAATTCTTTCAAATATTCGAGAAATTTCTGGAGAGTCATTTGACGAGAAAGCTATAGGTATTTCTTATTTTTCAATAATTTCGTTTAATTATTGTAATTATTAAATTAATTTATTAAATTTATTAAATATCAACGACTATTAATTGAATTGGTTAATTTTATTGCTAACTACTCAGGTTTTTTAATAATAACAGGTTTATTCTCACCAGAGGTGTCGTCCGAATTTCATACTGAAGGAAGTAATCTTTGCCATGTCCCACCTCATTTTCAGTAATAATAATGACAAAATTGTTAATCATTTATTATCATTTAATTATTTAAATCACTTTAATTACCCCACATTATTATTATTTCGTCGGTGGATTAGTGACAAGAGAATTACCACCGATGTCGGCCGACCCACCAAGTTTCGCCGGATAGCAGCGTCGCCTAACCGATAAAATGACTTAGCCCTTGGCGGATGCTAACGTTCTACCCTCAGCAGAAATCGCCGGCTGATATCGGCTGTTCATTTGAAATATCGCCAAGGGCTTCCTGGCATAATTCTAGTCTAATAAGCCAGCGGACGGAACGTAATCAGCAATGGTGAATGCTTAAAGAAAATTATTGTTTTTAGTTACTAATTTTTAATACTACTGTGCTAATACTATTAATACTTTTTTAAATATTGTTCTAATAGCGCTTATTGTTTCTCCTTTTTCTGTTTATAATATTTTTGATTTTATTTTATTTTTACTCTTAAATGATTTGTTTTATCAGGTTTGCAGCTAATCGATTACTATGGTTACTCTTAACTGCTATCCTTTCATTGTAATTTTCTCTTTGCTGTAGTGAATTGTCGTATTTTCAGTTTTTTTCTTTTACTATTGTTGGTTAGACCTACCTATTGACTTGCCAGATAAATTTTGCCAGGCAGTCACTGGCGATAGAAATCACTGCAGGTGAGTCGCCAGCATCACTCGGATTTTTGGACAGCTGTATTCCTGCCGAGTGGTGTTAACCTCAGAATTTGTTGTTCCAATGAGCAACATTGAGCCAGTCGATCCTCTTTTGTTTTCGTCGTTCGGCGACATTGTCTTCTGACAAAACATAATACGAATTTCGGATTCGCGAGCTATTTTTTTTGTATTTTGTTTTCAGTTGACATTACTTTTTCAATAAAAACTGGTAAAAAGCTATGAGAGAAATTCTTCAGGTGCAAGCGGGACAATGCGGAAATCAGATTGGTACCAAGGTTCATTTTTCTTTTTTGAAAACCATTTTCCAACGTAAATGGAGAAAAGTAAATATTATAAAAAATGAGACGAAATTAATACAAAAAATTCAGGTTCTTTGAACTTCTTTTATTTATTCTTATTTTTTAGTTTTGGGAAGTAATTTCTGACGAACATGGTATTCAGCCAGATGGCTCTTATGCTGGGGAATCCGATCTCCAACTTGAACGTCTCAGTGTCTATTACACTGAAGCAAGTGGTACAAATTTTTATTGCATTTTAAAAAAAGTTTATCAATAGTCTTTTGGGGATTTTTCTTGTTATAGGTGGGCGTTATGTCCCACGAACCGTTCTTGTTGATTTGGAGCCTGGAACAATGGACTCTGTACGAAATAGCCCATATGGAAAATTATTTCGTCCAGATAATTTCATTTTCGGGCAGAGTGGCGCAGGAAATAACTGGGCCAAAGGGCATTATACTGAAGGAGCAGAACTGGTTGATAATGTGCTTGATGTTGTTAGAAAAGAAGCAGAAAATTGCGATTGCCTTCAGGTACTGGATTTTATATTTAGTTTAGTTTTAGTTTAGTTTTATTTGTTGTTTGGTTTTTATTCCTTTTTCTATATGTTATAAAACTTTATCGAAGTTTTTTTACTGCTTTTTTATTTCTTTTGAGTTTTATATTTATTTTTTTTAAAGGGATTCCAATTAACTCACTCACTTGGTGGTGGTACTGGTTCAGGAATGGGCACACTTCTTGTTTCGAAAATACGGGAAGAATTCCCTGATCGTATCATGAGTTCATTCTCTATTGTGCCTTCTCCAAAGGTTTTTTTCGTTTTTTGCTTTTTTTTGAAATATTTAAAGAATATTTTTTGTGCCATTTTTTGACTGATTTTTTTCCTAATTTTCTGTTTCTTTAGATTTACTTTTTGAAGTTCATTCATTTTTGTTAATAGGTATCAGATGTTGTGCTTGAACCATATAATGCAACTTTATCTATACATCAACTTGTCGAGAACACGGATGAAACATTTTGTATTGATAACGAGGCATTATACGATATATGTTTCCGAACGTTGAAATTAACAAATCCTAATTATGGTGATCTTAACCATCTAGGTAAATAAATAAATGGTTCTTGATGATTTCTTGCAGTTTTTATCTTATTCAGTTATTCTCTTTATTTTTTTTTATTTCTATTTTCTTTTTTTCCTAGTTTCGATGACTATGTCTGGAGTGACGACATGTCTTCGATTTCCGGGCCAACTGAATGCAGATCTCCGTAAGTTGGCAGTCAATATGGTTCCATTTCCAAGGCTTCATTTTTTTATTCCTGGATTTGCACCGCTATATGCTAGGGGTGCTGCCGCTTATCATGCATCAAATGTCGGCGAATTAACGCAACAGGTATTTCTATTTATCGAATTTTTTTTGGTCTGATGTAGTTTTTGCGAGTATCACTTGTCGTATGCATAGTCTAACCCGTCATACCGTTAATTTTTTTTGTGTGAATTATGTCTAAAATGGACATGGACTTATATTTAATTTATTCTTTCGACATTCTTAAATTCATAATCCAGGTGTTTGATGCGAAGAACATGATGACTGCTTGTGATCCAAGACATGGTAGATATCTTACCGTTGCCGTTATATTCCGAGGCTTAATGTCGATGCGTGTTAGTTTCTTTATTACTATTATATATTAAATATGCATTAATATTTTTTAATATATGCATTTTATTTTCGCCATATTTATTGATGTCTTTGATCATATTTTTTTCAAAAATAATTGGATAGGTTTTTTGGATAGGTTTATGTGAAATGATAAAATGGATGTTGTAGGAGGTTGATAATCACATGCTCAATGTTCAAAATAAGAATTCATCATATTTCGTTGAATGGATTCCGAATAATGTAAAAACTGCTGTTTGTGATATACCACCTCGTGGTCTAAAAATGAGTGCAACTTTTATTGGCAATTCAACAGCCATTCAAGAAGTTTTCATACGCATATCGGAACAATTTACTGGTTTGTTTTTAATTTTTCATGATATAAATAATTAATATTCTATTACATGTTCTATTTTGAATTTCTATTTTGATACATTTAGCGATGTTTCGTCGCAAAGCTTTTCTTCACTGGTATACTGGTGAAGGTATGGATGAAATGGAATTTACTGAAGCAGAAAGCAATATGAATGATTTGATATCTGAATATCAACAATATCAAGAAGCTTCAGTAGAAGACACCGATGAATATGATCAAGAAGATGCTATGAGAAATGATATGATTGATGAAACCGCTTAACATTTATTTTTAAGAATCTTTTGGTTTATTTTCGAAAAAGAACTTGGGTATTGTAAGCATAGAAAATTAAAAATTTTTCAACATGAAGCTTTCTTATATCGATAAAGAGACCCCAATGACTATTTTTTTCTTTTGATTTGAGTTTATTTCATTTTCCCTGCTAATATTAAATTGCTAGTAAGTTTTCCCATTTTCGGGAAAATTTCCACTTCTTAAGAATTTCTTTTGCAGGAATTACATCACTTTGTTAACTTTATTAGATAACTTTTTTGAAAACTATTTTTGATGGTTTTGTATTAAAGTATGAAAATTTGTTACTTTATTTTTTTAACTCTCCTTTTTTTGCCAATTCTTTTCCATGCTTTTTTTTGTTGTTTGTTTACGATTTTATTTAAGGATATTTCTGATAATCCGTTTGCTGTGATTATTTTTTAATTTAAGCTGATTCATTTGCAATACCATTAAATTTAGAAATAGCTAGCTAAGATTTTATTAATTTGTGGAAAAATTCATTGGATTCATTGAAATATTTATTTCGAAAGACCCCGAGAAATATCGTCAACGTGAAATCATTTTCTAAAATTTGTTCATTTGTTTTTATTTTGTTATCGTTTATTTCTATAACGTTCTCAGGAAACATGCATTTTAATCAACGACATTTTTTGTTGTTTTAATTTTTGTTTTTTTTTTGAAAATTTTAACAGATTTTATTTTTTATTTATCTAAAAATTTTTCTATTTGGAAATATTTTAGGAGTATTTTTCATTTGTCTTCATTGTGACATTTACATTTCAGCTTGATTTCAATGAATTATAAAAATTGATAAAAGAAAAAACATTTTTTAGGCTTGAAATCAGCGTTGTTCAATGAGGAAATAAGATCTTTGGAAATTATTTCAGTTCCGGAATTTTTCCGAAAAAATATTTTTTTCGAATGCAGTGAATTAAATTTTTTAACTTGAAAAAGCTTCATTCTCTAAATACTGTAATTGGGAATAATAAATTGATTTAAAATGCCGGTTTTCGATCGTATTGATTGGAGATTGCGATGAAAGTGAACTAGGTCGCGCGTAAAATTGGTCATTTCGTCGCCAATGAGCCCCCTTCGATCGTTTCTTGTAATTTTTGTTTCTTTGTTGTTTGTTTCTTTGTCGTTCGTCACATCGATATTTACACCGTGCAATGGTAGTTTTTTTATTTATTTGCTAATTTAACTCATTTTCATGATGGAGACATCAGAAATGTATAAAAAGGAAATTCTAAGGATTTTGGTAGGGTTCCGACTACAAATCATCTGCTTATTTTGGCAGGAAGGTCTTATCAGCCTTATCAGTCAGAAAAATCATTTCTTTTTCATTAGAAGAAATAAAGCTAAAGCTAATTCTGCGGAATGCATCCAAAAAGGAGCATTTGGCTAAAACAAGTCTTGTTTTGCTCGATGTGTAAGGCGAGCATCTTTTTGCTGAACGAGTGTCGAGAAACCAAATTCAATATTGTTTGAGCTTTAGGCAAATCCCAGCTTGGCGGTTCTTGCGATCTAAATGTCGACTGTGAAAATAAGGGCTCAATATGCCTTCGGGGCAAATGTCGGTGCCATCCACATTATATCGAGGTTGCCGATGAAAAGCGTCAAAATTCACACTGTAAACGATGTACGTCTATTTTATTTTGATTATAGTGAACGTAAGAAAATAGAAACAAAAGCCATCGATCCACAGTTCGACGGAACTGATTTAGAATTGGAATTCGCATCCAAATTTCAATTACCGTCCTCCATTAATTTTGCCGCTGAATTTTTATTTTTATTGAACAAAAAAGATTTTGTATGAATTTTTAAATTAAAAAAAGTTCACTGAGATTATTTAGTGCCAGCAAAAATCGGTGAAGTGTGCTCCACAAAATGTCGCGAACCACTTTTCTGTCGTAGCGGTCAATGTCAGTGCGTTCAGCGCGGAACTACAGCACTTATCAGTGGCGAATGTGTCTCAAGTATAGTTTCTTTTAATTATATTAAGATTGGCAGAATTCAATTTCTCATGCTTTTTTTCTACATTTTCATAAAGGGTCATTTTTAAAAGAGAATGGTTCAGTGGAAATTACTCCCATTTCGGTGCTGGGATTCCATTCTCGGCACGAGTGTGCCTGATACTGGTGACTCATTTATATTTCTGCCGCTACGGGAATTCCTGACAAAATTTGTCCTATCCGACAAATCAAAGGAGGAACAAACGTAACAGAAATGGTTACAAAGAAAAAAAAATCGGATAGGAAGTGAAGAAATGGTTAATAAATATGCTCATTTTTGTTTTGGCTTGCTCCGTTGGCTATTATTATGTTGAGAATTTGCCAGGGATTGGGAAATAGAAATGCTGGTGGGCTTTCCCATTCAGATTTGTTAATGGCAGATTTATTCCTGTCGGGAATAAGAACATTGAAGCTGCATATAATAATCTGAGCAATAACCACTTGGAGCCATCCTGCTTCCGAAATATTAAAAGAACTTTCCTACTTTTTTTCTAGCTTGTAGGAAACTCTCTTTGATCCTTTGATAGTCATAGTAAAAGAATTATAAGTTCTAATAAAAATCTGTAAATATTGAAAATATTGGCAAATGATTAATGGAAACATTTCAATTATTAAAATTGCAGTGAGTCGAGTGGGTGATCGTTGTACACGACATTATGACTGCACAGCACCATTTTCTGCATGTTTGAATTCTCAGTGCGTTTGCATAAGTGGAACTGTTCAACAAGGAACTAAATGTGTTGCAACACCTAACTGTCCCCTCGGAGGTACCGTCTCAATGGTTTATACAGTGAACGATGAGTCAGCAGTTGATTTTAATGAAGATGTAGTGATCCATAGATTTAAGGAAGTCCTAAAAGCAGATCAGCGATAAAATTTGGTGTTTTATCCATATCTTTAGAAATAATAGCTCGTCTCACTATTCAGACTTCTTGATACGTGGTAATTCTCAAGAGACAATAATTAAAAACTGCTAAAAATAAAAGACATATTGAAAATAATTTACTTAAGATTTAGTATTACAGGGAAACCAGGTAATATGTGCGTGAGAAAAGCAACTAAACAACAAGTCGAGAATTTCATTCAAGGAGCTGATGATTGTCCCCTCGGACAGGTGCTTCGTTCTTACTTAACATATAAAAGTGTTACTAAGTACCATGAGATCCAGAGATCATAGGCTACAGGTTCGATAAAAATTTCAAAAAAAATATTGAGCTTTAAAATAAAAATAAAAAAGATTCAGAAAAATGGTATAAAATTAAAGTATAAAATTATTGAATTCGAATTTTAATGCCGGCAACACACATATAAGCTTAAAAAAATAAAGCGATTAAATCAGGTTTGTATTGCTTCCGGTGATTCATCTGTGGGTCACTGTTGTCCTGTGGTTTGTCCTTTATCTACCGAACCAGATATAAATTTTTCGTGTGAACAGAATGCGACGAAACGATGTCCATCCGATACTCATTACTGCCATCGGCTTTCAGGTGATTTCACTGATTTTATTTTATTATTCTTTTGTATTTTTTATTAAGAAAGATAAATTTTTATTAGTTATTATGAAAGAAATCCATGGAATGAATTCATTGTCGCGTAATCTTTTGAAATAGCAATATTTTTTAAGATACACGAATTATTTAAGGGGATGAGGAGAATTTTGTTTTTTTTTCCTGAACAAACCTTTAAATATCATCAGATAAGAATTGTGAATATTTAAAAACTTTCGAAAACTTAAGGAATCAGCCAAATCAGAAATAGTGAGATAATGAAAATTGTAAAAAATGCCTTTGAAGTATTTTTGCTATGTTCTAGTTTTGTTTTCATATTAGTTTTTTGTACCAATTTTTACTGATTATAGACGGGGGTTTCTCTCAGTCAGTGTGCTGTCGACGTCCGTGTAATGCTATTGCTCCTAATGCTTTATATATCAATGGTATTTGTACAACACGAGGACAACTGAACTCACATTGTACCAGTAATGAACAATGTGGCAGTGGTGAAAGTATGCAGTGTAATCGAGTTGGTCTTATGTTTATATTAAGTTTGAACATTGAGGTTATTTTTTAAGTTGAAAAATATCGAAATTAATTTGTACAATGAAAATAAAAAATTGCTGACACTTCTAACATCTAACATTGATTTGATAAAAACTTGTTTTTTGTCATCAATCTCGAATGAAGCTGTTTTATGTTTCTGAAGAATAATTGCTATATTGTATAATAAATGTATTAATTTGTTTTGTAATATGTTAAATATATAAAATATATTAACTGATTTCTTAATCTTTAGTAATAAATTTTTTATCTAAAATTTTCGTTTAGGGTCAATGTGAATGTTTGGCTGGTTTTCATCCTCTTGTCGATTCAGTGACAAATCCTCAACGGAATCCAAGTCAAACTTGTATTCGCGATTGTGATTCAGAATCACTTTCAAAGGATACGAGTTGTTTAAAGCCAATTGGGCTAGAAGGTCACTGCTTCGCCCAGAAGCAATGCCCACTGAATTCTGGATGCTTCAGGTATATTATTTTTTAAATATTTTCAATTTTTTATATGGTGATATAGTTTATATTTCCTTTGTTGAAGGGGCCGCTGTCTGTGCAAATGTGGTTTTAAACAAGAAGGTTCAAGATGTGTTCAACCATCTGTTCCACCCAAACCATCAACTCCTACGCCAATAGGCAAGGATTTTATTTGCTCAATATTTAATCATTATATGAATGTATCCTCTCCTTACTTTTTCCTAATTATATTTGAACACATTTCTAATCAGTTTTATTCAGTGAACATCGTACCAGCAGGAAGTGATATTATTGGAATTTTAAGCAAATTTTTGAAAGGAACTACGGCTGGGGCTAGCAATATTTTCAATAGTGCAATACCTAATTTACGAGCAATTCACCCTCGATTACGTTGAAAAAACGCACTCTGTTTATGATTTTACTGTAAATAAAATCTAAATAAAGTCGCTGACTGTTCAAGTATGCTAAAGTACAAACATATTTTCTTTCAAAAAAAATAATAAAAAGAATTGCCAAAATTGCCTTTAAATCTAAAATCTCTTCGATATTTCCTCAAAATCTGTTGCATTTTTTGTTAAAAATTTTTATAACAGCGATGCACTGTTTTTGCCTTCGACAAATCCTTATAATTCTCGTTGTATTTAACATTTGCAATTTTATAGTAATTGGGATATAATTAGTAATTGCGGCAAAATGCACTTCGACTTTTGAAAGTTATTAAGAATGGGGTTATTGTAGTATAATAGGCCTTTTTTGGAGTTCCAACAAGCCTGCACTGTACGAGACTGTGAAAGCCTACAAAGAAGATAGTTACCAATGTTACCAATGGGGTATAGCGTTTAAAGTGATATTAGGGGAAAATAGCAAGGTTTGGAGGGTAAGTGGTATAAAAAAGCCGGAAATGTTAAGAAAATATGTCATGTCTAAGCGGAAATATAAGGGAATATTATTAATAAATGAGGGTAAAAGAGAATTATGTCACATTTAAAGAATAGGATTAGGAGAATACGGATGAATTCTTTTCCGGATACAAATTCGGATACATATCAACATTACATAAACACTTTGGGTATGAAATTTAGAGAAGATGAATGATAATTATGACAATTGCCATAAAATAAATAAAGCGAGCCACAAGCTTTATTAAAATATTTTAAAAAGGAAAAAAATAACAATAATCAACTAGCAATCCAAGTTAAAAGAAAAATTAATTCCGCAATACCATCGCAGCTGATATTTCTTCAGCTTTATCCGGGCCAATTATTAATTCAACAAGTTTAAGAGCGAAATCGAAAGCAGTTCCTGGGCCACGACTTGTCACAATCTTATCGGAAACAACGACTCTATCAGTGGAATATTTGTATCCTAAATTATATTTTACTATATTCCTATATTCCTTGATTATCAGTTACACTAGTGAAAAGTGAGGATCAATCTGAATTTTGGAATTACAGATTTTATAAACAAATATTATTAAAGGAACTGAATAAATGCCGATTTTCATTCATATATTAAAATCAAAAAAAAGGAAAGAAAGAGGTAAAAAATAACCAGCATCGACCAAAGCTTTTTCGACAACAGGATGTGATGTTAAAGCACATCCCGTAGCTATGCCGTGACTTTTTAATGCAATTGGTGCAGCACAAATAGCTGCAATAAATCGACCATTTTTATGGTGTTCTTGAATTATCTTTCCCACCAAATCCGACTGGAAATTTTTCCTCTTTTAAAATTTTGTTCCAAACAAAAAACTTCCTAAATGAATAAAAATGAATAAAATATTTTTCTAAATAACAGCTAAATAGAATTCTCAAAATTTTAAATACTTTCACAATTTCAATTCCACAAAGTAGTCCGTAAAGATAGAATATTCTGTTAGAATATTTATATTCTAAGATAAAAATGTTACTGGCGCGTGGAGAAATAAATACAATAAAAGCATCACCTTCTGCAGCATTTTTTGAAGTTAATATATAAAATAAGCATTTCTAACCCTAGCCAATGTGTTGCTTCCTGGTTGGCCACCTGGCAGAGCTACAACGTCGAACTTATTGCCAGCTACATCGGAAAGCGCGACATCAGGTGTAATTATAGTTTGGCGAGCGCATTTCACAGGACCACAACCAATCAAACCTGCTACAGTTACCTAAACAAACCGATAAAAATATGAGAAATTTGGACAATAATAAAAATTTACCGGATGCTTTTTTCACACTTTAAAAAGGTCAAAATCAATTTAACTAAGAATTGCCCTATGCATGAAAAACTCGCGGTATAGTTATTTGTATACTAAACATAGGATCGTTTGCTTATAAGGTGTGAAGCGACAAAAATTCGTCAAAAATGGGTGCCAGTGAAAGGGAGGAAAATAGTTAATTCCTGAAACAAAACAAAGTGAATTTAAGGAAAAACCTTGACACCAGCTCTTCGAAGAACATCGATCGTTATAACTGCTTCCATTTCTTCGGCTCCTTCCGCCAAAATAACCAACGCACTTTTGTCAGCCATTGTCGAATAAAACTGCTGGCGTTGCTGATAACCTTTTATCACTCCATGAAAGATTTTCCCCTTATTTCGAAATATACAAAGTGATAATAAGCGGTTGATATGCAAAAATCCAGGCTGAACGATACGCATTAACGACTTAGGAATTATTAACCGATTTATACTTAACTAAAAAAGAAATATTAAAACGAAAAGGATGGAGCAAAAGAATACTCGACATTTGACCTCGACCTGATGTAAAGGCCGAAGGACTGATCTGCCTGGGATTTTGGTGAAGTGCATTATAATGACTGCCGATGGCCAAGAGTCAAACTGACCTTACCCGTCTCTTATCTCCAATCTCCTTTTATCTTTTAATCCTTTTAATCCTTTAATCCTTCCTCCGAGACCAATAAACTTGCTTATTGCTGACCATATAACCGAAATGTAAGTCAAAAAATTTATGTCACAGAATGTCACGCCGTAAATCATCCGCTGCGAGTTCCTGTCAACTTCGAAAATAAGGAAAATGCGAAAGCCGCTGTTTAGCAATCGGACGAAAAGGATGGTCCAAAAACATGCAAACTTTGGTGCAGAATTGTCCTTATGACAACGAATAAATTTTAAATTATCTCCATTTCTTTTTCTAACTTGTCATCACGGTCCTAATCCTAACTGACCCAATAAATCGGCTATTAAACCCCCATCGCCCGAAACTTTGGTACACCTGGAGTTCGCTTTTAGATCGAAGGAAGACAGGTTGTCAAGAATGTTGGGAACTGAGCTAAAAATTGCTTCTGAACAGTAATTCATTTTCAAAGCATGTGAAAAATAAATTTCAGAGATCACCACGATTTTACCTACAACCAATAAAATCAAAATAATTATTTGTCACAAAAATGGATTTTATTCAGTGTGGTATAAATATTTATCAACAAACAGAATGAAATGACAATACCTGATAAAAGATTTCATTTAAACGATATACAATAAATAATTAGAATCAATATGATACGACACCTAAAAACAATGGCTTAGGCTATAAACCATTTTTGTAAATGCTTCCTTGCACGACGAATTAAATGTACAACAGAATTTGTTGGCTACCTGGTACCATGCGCCTTTCTCTCGACGATTGTTTTTCATTTTCCTTCTTCTATTAGAATATAAAGGACGTCAAATGGTAACCGATAACCAACGAATATCACGACAAACCGAAAGTGTTTGCACTGTCAACAATTCTAAAACGATTAAAATGATCAGAATATGAGAAAGAATTGAAAATAACAATCTAAATTAATGGAAAATAAAATTGGAAAACAATCATAAATTTGTTTTCCAAGGTTCTGTTGGCTTTCAGTAAATAAAATTCATAAACAAAAACAATAAAAACTTAGCATGAAGCAAAACCTTTTTTCAATCGTTTCGACAATAATTTTGCTCGATTAGTGAAATTCATCGAAAAAAATTTGAATATCAACGTTAAAAAAGGATTGATAGTAACAAAACAAAAAAGTTAGTTTCCTAATGAAATGAAAGAATCGAATTCTGCTCAATTTTTTTCCACTTTATAGAGCACCACGGAAATTTTCCAGACCAAGGATTTTTCTGAAGTAAAACGCATTCATTTGTTCCAGGAAGATGAAAGTAAGTACAGTATGAGGACCTAAACGGAAATAATACGGTGTAAATCCTTTCCATAAAGCAAAAAAGCCCTCGTTTTTAACGACACGTGCCCAAACATCGAATGCATTTCTATATTCCGGTTTACCATCAACAACACGCATATTTTGAATTCTGAAATGTTTTTCCAATTCTTTTCTTTTATAATGCAAATATTCATCCTCCAAAAACCTCGATATTATTTTCATCGAAAATCTTTTATTTATTTATTAATTAATCTAACCGTGTTTTTGCAATATCAACAGGCATCGACGCGATAGTTGTAGCTAATCCGCTGATCATTGAAGCTAGAAAATGGCAAAAAATTCCATCTTTCACATAGGATGTCTTCAATAAAGCTTCCTTCGCTTGTGAATAGGTTGCCAACTGCGCTGCATTGACGACCATTGCTCGCATTACTGTTGGACCACAACCCTATTTGTGAGAATCATCTTAGTGGTTACTTAGTACTTAGAAACCTATTCAAAAAAAATGATAATCAATGAAAAAACAATGCGAAATGATAAATTTTGCAATTTCGCATGATAAGTGGAAAAGTTTTGTGCAATAAACATATTCAATAAATAAATTTTCTGATTTTAAGTAAATTTTTTCACCATCGGTTACAGTACGAATAAATCATCAGTCATTTAAATAAATTTAATGAAAGATTTAAGATTCACACGCCAAAGAGTGAAGACACCTTCTTCTTTGGTAACTCGTATGATAGCATCAAAAACATTTTTGTAGCGACGTTGTTGTTCAGGTGGCAATCTATCAAATAAATGAATAATTGAATATTTCAAAAAAGAATGGATAGCTGAGACTGACAAAAAAAAACATGAAAAGAAGCTTAGTCACATATAAAAACATCGCTTGCATCTTGTTTTTAACTCGATATCCCACAGAAATCATCGGAATTAAACGATAAAAAGTACTATTCACGATCTTTCCTATTGCAATTTAACGGAATTCAACGATGAACAAGATCAAAAAAACAATAAATCCGCACCTGCCATCGGCACACATTCGAATCAGTGCCAACTCAGCCGGAGTTCCAACGAAAGATCCTACTGCCCCTGCAGTCATACCGATTCCTGCTTTCATTGCAAAAGCTGGAGCTTTGTCATGGCTTCAAAGAAAAGAGCACTTTATTCCTTTCACCAAATATAGTAAATGAAATGCTTTAAAACCATAAAACTGACCAGTTTATTACTTCGATATCTTCATTCAAGAATTTTATGATTCAAATCGAATAATAAAAACCTTTTTTTCATATCTTTTCTTTCAAAATTTCTTTAGATTAAAAATTTTTGGTTATTTCAACGTTTATTTCTGGTTCACTTGATGGAACAACAACATCAAAGTGATTATATCAGACGAAGGGAGACAGTTATGAACTCTGATAAATAAAAGAAAGATAATGTAAAAAAGAAAAAGTGAAAACAGAAGATAGTTAAAAATAGAACTAACGAGGAGAATCGTTCAAAAAGCCAGGTATATGTGCCAAGACGAGTTGTTGTATAAGTTGCTTGACGAAGAAGACCAGCTGACAGACCGTTATAAACAGCAAATACACCTTCGTTGGCTATAATTGATCGTAATGCATGAAAACTTGAACGATATTCTTTTTTCCCCGTGGTACCACTTAACTGCATACGATTTTTTACCAGGTCCAACGGTTGAACAAATAAAGTTGCTGCCATACTAAAAAAAATTGGTTCAATCTTCCAATCTGATAAACGATTTATTAGAAGAGAGTGTCTTTTGCCTTACAGAATTAATCTTTAGCATTTTATCTGAGAATGAATCTTAGTTGCCCGTACTTTTCATTGCAACAATCTGCATGTCAAAATGCAATAGGCAAAATTTTATGCTTTCCATGAATTACTCGCCTGGAAATGGTTACGCATAGTCTTACGAATCTTTGCTAAAAGTGAATAGCATAGGATATCATCCAAGAGAGGGCTGATCGATGTCAAAATCTTGGGGCTATGCCCATTACTGCCAAAATTACCCAAAAAAGACCGACAAATAAATAAAAATGACCAAAGTTGAAGAAATTTACCAATAGATTTAACTAAAGGCTTAAGAACTCAATGCAGGGATATTTTTTTCTGGCATCGTCTGAAGTTTTGTGCCCAAAATATTACCCGGCAGATCCGCCAAATAAAAATTTAATTCCATTGGGAATTGTCGCTGAAGAGATTTGCTCGGCTTTTGCCGATTCCTCTGTCGTTTTCGACATTCTTCTACCCTGAAATCGAATCGAATTGAATTAAAAATGTTGCTACAAAAATGTCGCACAAATCCGCAAATATTTTTGGGGCACTTTCGCTCATTTGGTTCACAACGTACCCGCTGGGGTGAATTGCCGTCGAACGTTTGCCTAAAATCTTTCATTTTTCTATTTCTTTGGTCCTTCGACCCGCAGCCTCTCCCATTCTTTCTTCATTCCCCCACCAATTAATAATCAACCCACTGCCGTGGTCCAAATAACCGAAAAGTACCAAGAAGAGTTCGAAGTAACCGATCGATGACGCATAAGTTTAACTAAAAGCAGCGAATAAATGGTAAGCACTGATTCCCATTTCCGAAAAAACAACGAAGCGCACTGTCTCGTGGAAATTAACGTAAAGTGGGCGGTGTAATCTCAGAGGTTTTTTGAAAAATTCTCGAAAAAAATTTTAGTAAAAAAACAATCGAAAAATGGAAAAAATTTTATATTTCATATTTTATATATTATATTTTATATTTCATAAAAATATAGAAAATTCCACCGAAAAAAAAATAAAAGCAATAAAATTTTAAATTTTAAAAATATAGCAAATAATTTCGCATTTATTTAACAAGAAAAATGCACTAAAATTTAAAAAAAAAGTTTACCTTTAATGAAAATACGAAATATAATAAAAGAAATTTATCGAAATTATTGAAAAAGAAAATAAATCGATAATAATAAGGACGTAGGTGACCTTTGGGTGACCTTTCCCGAAATCTAATTCCTTTAACCTTCTGAGAGTTCGACCTACTGGTCCCTTCGGAAGTTTAGAGGAGAAGAAGACAAGGATGGAGCGAATGAGAAATGAAAGCCATTGCGTAGATATTGTCCCGCGATGCAGTAGCAATAAATTTCTTTCTTAAAGTCCATTGGCCACTGGTTAAGCTATCAAAGCAAAGCAAAGCAAGTGAGAATTACCATGGCCAAAAACAAATTTTCTCGACTTGGAACTCAGTGGTGGCCTATTTTCGATCAAAAAAGCCAAGATGGGTTGTTTCAATACAATATTCTTTAAGAATATTATATTATTTTGATAGCAAATTAGCATATCACTTCATAAAGTGTGATTTCCAGTGCACTTGGTACTATTCCAGTTTAATTCTACGCATAAAATTTGGATTGCCAAGTGGATTATGGATTACTTCGTGGATTATTGTATGCACTGTTAAAAGTTTTGCATGGACGACTGAGTTAATAAAAATGAAAGTAATAACAACAATAATGACAGTTTGTGCCGCTATTTTGAATAACGCAAAAACAATACAATGGGCATAGAGAAAGAGAGGAATGCAACACACCGTCACGACAAGTACCAGTCAAGCAGGTCAAATGAAATTGCCTCAAACTGATTAGGCAGATTCAAATAAAAATGATGGGGTCGAAAATATGTTTGAAGGCTTCATGATTTCAGCTCTTTTTTATTATTACAAATTCAAATTCAGCAGCTCAAGTTTGTTGCGAAAAATAATACTTTATAACCGATATGATAAATCTTAAAGCCTAAGGTTGACCTCCATAGTAGATGACCTATGACCTTTATGTTTTTGCGGACTCACTTATTTGAATTCAGATGGTTTCAGTTAATATATTTAGGCTTTGCGATCGGAACACTTGGAATTGTCTCGTAATTGAAAGAACATGTTGACAAGAACGTTCAAATGTAATAAAAAATTTAAGCAAACTCCAACAAACTTTCTACAGCAACCAATACATTTTCTGGCTTTGTTGGCTCTTCTAACCGACTGCCAGGGCGACAGCTCTTGGCCAAGCGACACGCTAAAGTTGGCGACGAGTCCCCAGCACCAAACTTCCGTTGAATAAACTGGTGAAATTGATTCGAAGTACATTCACATACAACGTTGCGAAGCGGGTGAATCGATAACAAGCACGCCTGTTATAATAAATTTTTAGATCTATGGATCCAACGATTTACGCGTTCGATTGACGCGACTGCAAAAAAGGATGAAAGTCTTCAGTCTTTTAGAAATCCTTTGGTGACAAAAATCGGAAATTCTAATTGGAATCGCCTTCTGCCGTCACCTTATTACTAATAACAAATTTTGCAAGAACCATGCGAATTCCATGCAAATTGCAATGTTTCCACTTTTGCGTGAATGAACTTTTTCGTGAATTCGTGATTTGCGACGATTTTGCTCTCTTTTTGTAAAAAAAGCAGTTTAAAGTCAGTTGTTAAGTCAGCAAAACGAAATTATTTCTTATAATTTCCTGCAATTCATTGCTTTCCTCCAACGCGAACCCATTCGCATTCCTTCCCAACTTTTCCTTTAACTTTTATTCCTTTCGATGAAACTTATCAATTATCAAATTTATCAAACTTTTTCAGATGATCGAAACCATTTACGTTCACTGCGATTTGCCTAAATACCAATTAATTAAAAAATTAAATTATATAAACGCGGCGATGAAAAACTCATAAAACTCATCAGTTTTTGCTAATGAAATTGTTTGCTTTCGTGAATGATTTTAATTATGGTTAAATGCCACTTTTTTTAGGTGCCCTCCCTGTTATTGGTTAAATTCGCTCCGCTGGCTCGTCGGACCAGGCAAATATGCTGTGGAGTCCCTCGTCCAATATCACTCGGATTTTTGGACAGGTTTGTTTCTGCCGGGAGTTGAATCTCAGCATCGACGCTCCGACCATTCTGTTCTCCCTTAAATATCGTAGTTCCCTATGAGTTGTAATGGAATGAGGTGAACCGACCCGACTGTCTTCTCTCCCAATTCCCAATGTGTGAAACTTTAACTTTTACTGTAACGAAATTGATGCCTCTGTATTTGGCCTTAAAAAAGAGACTTTCTAGGATTAAAAAATCGTTTCAATCGTGCAAAATCATTCTGCAAGAATTTCATTTGCAAATGGAGTTTGAATTTCAAAAACATTCTCTTTTCTCAACGAAATCACCTTTGATTTAATAAATTATAGATTATTGTAGCAATTTAGATTTATTTTCAATTAAAATTTTATCAATATAGGTTTAGCAATTGTTTTGTTGCCACACTGTTTTCCATATATTCGTTTTCATTTATTTTTTCGGAAAATTTCACATTTCCGATTCATCAATCGCAATAATTTATCGAATATTTAGAATTTAATTACAGAATTAATCTAAAATTTAAAATACAGGAAACAATACTAAAGGTTCGAACTGCAAAGCCGTTAAAGCCACTGTGAATTATTCGAAAAGCTGTGGACGAATTTTTATTTAAATGCGAATAGATAATGTTGCAGGGCCGTTGAGCCAGTTGCAAGGTGGATCGTCACTGAGAATGGATCGGATTCGAAGCGCACTGCCTCTTCAAGCTGCAAATTGATGGAACATGGTACTTAGAAGGGATTTATTGGTGGATTTATTAAATGTTGGGCGAGCCTAATTTTGTGCACCAGCATTAAATGTGTACCGACCACGATATGTTCATACAAAAGGCACTATTAATATTCATGCCGAACGAATTTTAACCTCGGTAAGCGCTTTTTCGTATGGAATATGTATGTAGTGGTTATTACTGTTCATATTTAGAAAAAGAAAGGCGAAATGACGAAGGAACGATTATGTAATCACACACGTAATATATTTCAAAAATACGGGAGATGCGTTTCAGATTTGAAAATTTCTGAAAAAAATTTCATAAAAATTGCTTGAAAAGATTTCTTTATTTTTGCCTCTCATTTTTCTTAAAAATAAATTATTAAAAACTTCTACACAATTTTAAAAGTGAAGAACTCTTCATCTTGCCATTTTACAGGCCAAATAAATAATTTCATTCGCATTTGTTGCTACCATCGTTATCTTTCTTTTTACTGATAAAAGGTTATCCTTCTTTACTGATTATTGATCATATTCATATCTTTATAAAACATTATTATTTGTTTCTATTTCGAGTGCTCTTACAATTTTTCCATGACGAATTGCGATAACAATGGATTTAGAACGATAATGATTCAACGTGATTTCATGATGAATTTTTTTCAGTTGCTTTGCATGATTGATGAATGTCTTCGTCATACACAGGTTTAAAAATTTAATTTGCCTTTTAGGTGCAAGGTGTACGACGGTTCTAAAGTCGGTGAAGCTGCAGTGGCGATTTCAATTTTAATGACTACGTGATTTTTTCTGTCAAAAAATATCAAAATTATTTACTTGTTTATATTTTGGATTCAAAAATTAAAGAAAGAGCTTTTAATAATTCTGTAAATAAATTTTGCAATAACCATTCGCAATATATTTTATTCATATAAATTGTTCAATTTTTCACCTCGCCGAACTTCGATTTTTATCAATTATGACAAATATGGCAACAAGAAAAATCAAAATATTGCCGAATGATATGGTGGTTGGCGAGAACCAATTGATATTCTAAATAGTCCTATCAGCAATTTTTCTATGTAACCACGGAGGATAATAAATAATTCAATAATTTCAGCGATCAAAGCATTTTTTCAATGTTTTCTACAGATTTCGCAGGCTGAATTTCTTTTTCGGTCGAATTTACTTGCAAAATTAAAATTTATAATTTTTCAAACATTTAAATAAATTTAAAATTTGATTGTTTGCTTATATACTTAATAAAGAAAAATAAACAAAAAAGATTTGCAATATACATTCAGAAGTCTCTTAATTTACGATAAAGTATTTCATAAATATTTTAGACGTCTTTAATCCATTATTTCATTTTAATCATGTAACTGATAAGGAAATTCGCCTGTTTTATTTCAATTTATTTGTAGGTTTTTAGATATTATCGGTGTATGTGCAGTCGCAATTTTATATTTGGAATAACATTTTAAACGAAAATGATCTGAAATAAAATTAAGGTTCTAAAGAAAAAAATAAAGAGTGGATTATCTACTTGTGAACAATGGTGGGTATTGAGAAACTTCTGAATCGCACTTCAGGGATACTCTTGGACATCCTAAAATGATAAATTCATGAAAAGGCTTTAAACGAACCCTGAAGCTCTGAAATTCTTTCCAAAATAGTAATGCAGACTACTTCAGCTTTCACTCAATTTTTGTGGTGCAAAAAGAAAAAACAAATATTTTTTGAATGATAAACTCTATTTGCATGGCTTTTAAAAATTCATCATTTTAAATGGCCACAACTATGTCTTTTATTGCTAATATTTCCGAAAACACCACTAAATTTTTTCAAAAATGCCAACATTGTTGTCGATTCACCTGTACTTGCGAAATTGTTATGTGAAACTGCTCTGGCAAAATCTGTTTGGTCTGGCAAACGCCAACATTGTTGTCGATTCACCTGTATTTGCGAAATTGTTATGTGAAACTGCTCTGGCAAAATCTGTTTGGTCTGGCAAACCAGCAAAGCAGCGGATCAAATCTAACCAGAAATGGTGAACACTGTTTAAAAAAATTAAGGAGAAATACGCTTTGATAAAAGCGTTCAAGCGATTTAACACTGAAAACAAAAATTCAAATGGATGCTTAAGGATCCATTTCAATAGTTAAAATATTATTTATCAAAACAATAGTTTTTACTTTTTTTAAATATTATTTAATGAATATTTTAAAAAAAATTAGTTTTTTTCATAATGAAAAACCAACGCAAAACCAATAAAATATTTTTTTTGCTTAAATTTTCACCATAATCTGAGAGAAAATATGATTAAGGTTACTGGTTTCAATAAATAAAAGCTAAACATCAAATTTTCATTAATACTTTTATCAAACTTTGATGTACTTATTGAGTATTTCTTCACGTTTTCATGTAATTTATTTCGATACAGTTGTTGGTGATTCAGAAATTTTAATTTTTTAAATTCCTTTCGCAGAATTGCGGTGATAACGATACAGTGATAAAAACGTGATTACCAATTAGTAAACTGAAGATCACTTTTTCTTTAATCCTGCTTTCTAATTTCTTTTGAATTATGCAATTAGAAATATGACAAGAAATAATTAAATTTAAAAAATAAATTTAAAAAACCATCAATTAGGTTTCTATGCTCTGCTAATATTATTATTATTATCATTATTATTATTATTAATTATTATTGATTATTATTATTGTTTTTATTATTATTATCATTTTATTATCAATATTAATATTATTATTAATATTATTATCATTATTATTATTAATACTACTATTATTATCATTATTATTATTATTACCATTATTATTATTAATCACTTATGAATTGCATAATGAAACCAGCCGTCCCCATAAATTCCAGAAAAATTCCTCACTCACCAGCGCAAGACGCCCTCAGCAAAAAATTAGAGCTCTTTCACAATCATCCCTTATCAACGCAAATTTTATCATCATTGGACAGAACATTTATTTTAGGTATAATATTCAATAATAGTGAAATAGAATTACGACTGGGTTTTGTCTTGATGGCAGAGAAAAATTCGTTCTCTATAAATGCAAACGTTAATAAATTTCTTAGAACTTTTTAAGAATATTTTAAAATAAATTAACAAATGAGGGAAACTAATAAATTTTTATCATTGCAATCAATTGTTGTAATAAAAAATATTGCATATAATTTGCTATTAACTGTGAGAAGTTTTTCAGTGAACTTTTCACTTCGCTCTTTCTGTTTCGGTTGATTCTATTCTATCAGCAGCTAAGGCGAATTCCCATTTTCGCGCAAATAATCACTTGTTTATGGATATAACTGCAGAAGGGACTCACACCATTTTCTTGTTAACAATAATTCATTGAGTTCTTTAATAATTTCTAAATAAGCGTTCCACTAAAGCTTCTGCAATTTCTTCACTGGCAAATTTCCTCCTTAAACAGCTTTTTAAACATACTTTCGTGGGTTTTTTGCAAATAAAATAATAAGAAATTTTGATAAAAATAGGGGCAAAATGAACTAATTATCACTAACAATGATATTAAAAATAAGAAACAAAATTTAAAGTGTTTATATGATAAAAAACTGAAAAAACAAAAGTGGTCATAAAAATCTAAAACGAGTAACTGTTGGCTGAGTTTTATCATTGGATGTTTGTTGCCTATGGAATAATTTGTTCTACAAATATCATTTTCAGATAGTATAAAATATCAGTGCTATTTTATATTTATATTTGACATATTGATGAAGATAAGAAACCTTAGATAAACTTTATTTTAAAACTGACTGCATTGCATTTGCAGAACGATTGGCTTCAATTATTTCGCATTTTTCTTATAATAAGAAGTTTATAGAAAATATTTTCAACTTTTCTGAATAAAAACAAAAATTGAGGTAGAAAGAAGAAAGGAATACGAGAAATACTTTCAAAATGTTGTTGCATATCATTGTATTCACCTTATTATACTGGAATATATCCAGTGAAAACCTGGTTAAAGCAATCGAATTAACGGTATTGAATCCTGCAGCCACAGTTTTATTATGCTAGTTTTCAAAAATTTGCACGAATTTTTCAAGAATTCTTCAAAAAAATATTTTAATTTTTATTTTTCAAATAAACTTCACGAAAAAAAATTTTCTTGAAAGGTCCAAATTCGATTTTGGTTTAATTAGAAAAAATATCGTAATTTGATGTAATTTAATATCGTAAATTCTTAAATAATTATTTCAGCCAAATATTATAGACGCCTGGGGCTATCCACTGCATAGTGTAAAAGTTAAAACTGAAGATGGATATATTCTTACGATGCATCGGATCCCCTATGGCAAAGAAGAGAGTAAAATTACCTAATATCTAATAATTTTAAACCAAATTGTTTAGAATTGAATAAAAATTATCGAAATTTAAATATATGAGAGGATCATTACGATTAAATTTGAATGTTTTTTCGACTGTTGAATATTTGAATTTGATTTCTTCCAGTGCGAAAACCATGCAACGCACGACCAGTCGTATTTCTTCAACATGGACTTGAGGCTACCAGTTCGAATTTCGTTACGAACCTTCCAAATAAATCTCTTGGTAACAGATATTCATTTTTGAATTCCTAACTAGAAGATCCAATTGTAATTTTGAAAGCTTCAACTCAAGTTAATCACCAATTTCAAAAAGCAGGATTTTCTTGAAAAGTGAATCTCTTGAAAGAAGTAAATTCCGATTTCAAGAGCTGTCGTTAAAAATGAAATCTCGGCGCTGCGGTCTATCTGCTAATGTCTCCAAGTCCCAGATAAAGAAGTTTTGCCTTGTTGGTTAGAAGATATCGTCAAACCAGAAATGATAGCAGTTGTTAGACCATGCAAAAAATTTTCATACTTGCAAATCCAGCTAAATCTCATCATAATTTTGATTGATAAAATATTGCTCCAATTCAATGAAAAAATCCGCTTGAGTTCGTTTTATAATTTACAGCCATTAATACTTGCTTTATAATAGAAACCATTGCTTTGTAAAATTAATGACGAAATTGTATTATACAATTTAGGCTTTTTACTGGCTGATAATGGATTCGATGTATGGATGGGCAATGTAAGAGGAAATCGTTATTCTAGGGAACACGTAAATTTAACAGCCAATGATAAAAGTTTCTGGAAGTTCAGGTTTGGTTGCATTATTTTCATTAAGTTTATTCATTTTGCTCATGTTTGCAAGAATAACTGATATTTCCAAAATTGATTAATTAAAAGAATTAAAAATTTTATTTTATTCTAAAATCTTGTCGATGATTTACTCTATCTTTTTTGTTTGATTGGCTGATTAATTTCTCAAGATTTCCAGCAGAAAAAAAAAACTAAATTTTTTCATGAATTTTAGTTCCAATTTCTTACTATTTTTATTTATGTAGTTGGTTTGATATGATGAAATATGATTTAACTGCGATGATTGATAAGGCGCTTGAATTAACAAATCAATCGCATCTTTATTATATTGGACATTCACAAGGAACTTTGATAATGTTCTCGAAATTGACCAATGAAGCACATTTCGCCAATAAGGTTAAGTTCGTTATTATTATTATTATTACTATTATTATTATTAATATTTTTATTTATTACAAACTTTTCAATTTTTATGAACACATTAAATTTTAAATTCTATTAAATTTATTAAATGACTACGTTAATCTAAATTGCAAACTTAAATTATACATAACATAACATAAATAGGTTAACGTAAACTTTAATAAACCAGTCACGAACCACTATTATAGGTTCGATTCTTCATTTTTTGATTGAAGCAAGTACTTCATAAAAAAAATCTGAGTAATGTATATCCCTTTCCCAAACTGATTTAGTAAAACAGCTAAACCAGAAAATGTTGTACGCTGCTGGAGCAAAAAATAATGGCAATCAACTGCTTCAAGAAATAGAAATTCATATGCTAAAGCTAATATTTGACAATTTGGATTCGGTATTTTATTATATTTTATTACAATATATAAGTGATTTAGATAAGAAAATTTTTTGCGCTGGCTCCCGTCGCAACAGTGAAACACATCAAAGGACTTTTGGCACTTTTTGCAGATAATTTTTACTGGGCACTCGAGGTTTTTACGCTAATTTCTAATTACTGCTGGTATCGAAAAACGAATTTATTATCCAAAGTATTCACTATACTTATGAAATTTTACTATATTTATGGATTTTAGACTTTTCAAAAGTGGTTTGGAACGCAAGAATTTGTCCTGAACGACACATTAATGGATGTTTTTAAAAATAAGTTTTGTGATTCGTATCGTCTAAATTTGGCATGTGTGAACTTGCTTTCCATGATTGCTGGCCTGGAAAGTGGCCAACTTAACGAGGTTCATCCAAATTTAATTTCAAACTTTTTTTAAACTTTGCATTTTCTTCGTCAAGGTACTATTTTATAAAATGCCACTTACAAAAATCATCGAAGCAGTTTGTTTAATTTTAAGATTGACTAAGAGAATTCATGTTTCACCATGGTTAAAACAGTTTGTACATTTAGACACGCTTGCCAATCTTTTTATCAGATTTGCCTGGTGGAACATCAGTGATGAATGTAATAAATTGGATACAAATGGTTAGAAATGGTGCAGTCCAAGCGTATGACTGGGAAAACCCGGAAGAGAATATCAAACATTATGGACAAGTAAATTATCATTACATCTATTATTAACAAAACATTTAAAAAATTTCAAAAATAATATTCAAAAAATTTAACGAATAAATTTATTCTATTTAAATGATAATGATAAACATGATATATAAGCATTTCAGAATAATCCACCAATATTTGATTTGAAAAAGGTTGATGTTGACATGTACCTTTATTGGAGTCCTGCTGATTGGTTAGCGAACCAAAAAGATATCGAAGAATTTTTACTTCTCAATTTGAACATGACGGCAAATTTTCATTATAAAATATCTAATAGCATTAGGGATATTTTTGTCATTTATTGGGAGTGTACCTATCGTTAGAAGTTAATCTCTGATGAGGGAGTATCGTCCTAACAGCCATATTGCATATCTTGAACCTTTCATCAGACGATGCCCTCATGTCATTAGTTACCATTAACATTTAGTAATTCTGCTCATTAACTTCTAATAGCTTTCTACTGGTAGCAATAATAGTTAAGCTGGCTGCGCTGGTTACAGGGTCCCCAGGTTAATCGGTCCGGTGCTATAGCTATACAATAATAGAAACCATTCCTTTTTCCATCGTCTAAGTCCATATATTGCTAGTCCTTCTATATGTTCAAAATCTTTCCTGACCGTATCAGTCCAGGTCTTGATTGATTCACCTCGCTTTTGACGCCGTCCATTACATGGTTCAGCAAACTACGAAATATGCGTCAATTCCAATGCTGTACGACGAAGAACGTATCCTAACCAGCGAAGGCGATGCTCTGTGATAACATTATTAATATATATAATATTATTTATTAATGCAAGTGGTATATGAATGAAAGTGGATGCGATCATGTGATATTTTATTAGCTCGACGCACCCGTAAAATATTCCTTAGACAAGAGTGGTTAAAGGCAGATAACTTCTTGATATTCTTTACTTTCATTGGGTCATATAGCGAGTTTGAACGAATTATGGCTATATAAATAGCTATATGGACTTCGTTTTTATGGTGATTTCACAACGGCTCCATAAAGATTTCGTCAACCGGAAGAACGTATTTTTAGCTGCCGTGATCAGGATATTACAATCGTAATATCGTGCCTGGCCATTTGCTATTAGAGTGGATCCAAGGTATTTAAAATTGGGCATTTTCTCAATAGAGGCAATGAGGCATTTTATCAGCTTCTTGCACAGAAGACGAAAATGTTTTCGTTTTATTTGCATATAATTCTCATTCTCACAATTCCTTTGAGTATAATTCTCATTGCAGTTGCTGACACTTTGTTCAGCGTTATTTGCATTTCGTCATAATTATTAGCAAAAAGGTCTACATCATCAGCGTATTCAAGATTTGTGATACGATGCTCTGGATTAATTTCGACATCTTTTGGGTGCCGACAAGTGGTGTCCATTATCCAGTCTGTCGCATAAGTGAATAGAAAAGAAATAGAAAGGATACTTGACGGACACCAGTTTTTATTTCGAATGAGTCTGTCAGTTTCTTTCATATGTACAGACTTGTGCCAGGGTATGCTGATAAAATACCTTTATGAGTCGAATGATCTTCTCTGGAACACCGTGTGTGGATATTCCCTGTTTGTCGGAGTCTGTGCAATGGCTTAACGTGAGTAGAGGCACTGATTCTATCACCACACGATGTTTAGAAAGAGTGTGGACAATGATTGCTTGCTTTGCGACGTCCATAACGTTCTGACGTTCCATGTTGGCCATGCCTATGGCTAACACTTTGCGTGTAGAGAGTTATTCTTGATAGTTTTCGAGCAGTTACTCGTGGTTCCAGAGCAAATCATATTCTTAATCCTTGAAGTTATTTGATTACACCCAGATGGCATACTTATCGCATGTACCACTAGGCTGAGATTATCGTGGGCGTCGGTGCCATGAAGACCTGACCCTTTTACCATAGAATCATGTTCGAAACCATTAATATTTGATATATTTATGTTTCATATTACCATACTATGAAATTTAGAGAATTGTGAAGAATGTGAAGCTAAAAAAATTCAATCACATGGACTTCTTATGGGGAGAACGAGCTGCTAACGAAATTTATAAGCCGATCATTGACATAATAAAAGGTGACAGAATGGTCGGAAAAACTGGAAATTCTTAATGCTTTCAGCAACCAAAACATACTTTCTGATATTGGAAATATTTTTATAAAAGGGAAAAGCATTAAAAGAAGTTAAAATGAAAGAAATAAAAATTTTAATGAGAATAACAAGAAATAATACAAAAAAGAGAAATATATTTTAAAAATTTATTTATTGAAAACCAGCCAAGCAGGGTGATAATATAACAAATAACAATTGACGACAAAAAAAGAAAAAATGACGAAAATTAACACCTAAAGGGGAAATAATGAAAAAAATACAAATAATATGGCATAGTACAATTCGAAGTATTATATATAATCGGATGGTAAAAATCGATTTCACACTTCTTGCATGATGTGAACTTTTTAAATAATCTAATAATCTAATAATTTTTAAAAAAAGCTAAGAATGACGCAGAATGAAGCTACATCGTTCTTTGTAATTCTACATTGTAATTTATTCCAGTAATTAATAGCACAAACAAATCCTTAGTTTATTTTCGCATATAGGTTTTAGTAATTTTAGTTCTTGTTGGATTTAAATTTAACCTAAAATTATAATATTTTGAACAATCTAGCCTAACATAACCATACAAAATCTTATAAGTATAAATCAAATCTTGTTTAATACAACGGAGAATCCATACAAAATATTTTTGGAGTCCTTCAATTATTTTATTTGATTTACGGTATCTCGGGGAGTAACATGTACTATTGTAATCAAACCTTCAGCTTTGTTCTTAAACGAACGAAAAGTAAAATTTAATATTTTTGAGGATTTCTTTACCATGGTTCTGCAGTGAAAGTCGAAATCGAAAATTTCACCCATGATTATTCCAGGATTGGAAGTGTGTGAGACAACACTGATTATCATTAATAAAAAAATTAGGAAAATCGAATCCTTTAGAACTGATATGAAGAACGCTACAATTTTGAAAAGAAAGGGTAATTTGCATGCCATATAGCAAGTTGGCTATTCTTTTGAGGTCCTCCTGCAGTGGAAATAGGTTATCCGCTCTACCATGAGAATAATAAATTTTACAATCATCAACATAGAGATGATAAATGGTAGAATTTATTTTGGTGATATCAATTTATATATAATAGAAAAAGCAATGACGCAATACAATTACCTTGGGGAACACCAGATTTAATAGATGTTGTGTCATAGAGTGTTATTGATGCGTACGGCTTAGTGACGATCTTTTATGTAATCCATGACACCCATTATAAAGAGGCCCCTGTAATGCATGACTATTAAGAGTGATCAATAATTTGCTATGGGAAGCAGTATCAAAAACCAAATCTACGTACACAACTGATATTGTTTTTCCATTATCAAGCTGACCAATCGGAAAGATTTGTCAGTATTTGAAGTAGATTTTTTTATACAAAAGCCATGCTGTTAGGAGGATATAAAATCAAGATAAGTAAGTAATTTGTTGCTAGTCAACTTTTCGAGCACCTTGCTACCAACACATGTTAGGTTAATGTCCATAATTAGAAGGGTCATATATGCTTCCTTTTTTGTGGATGGAAATTATATGAGACAATTTCCAAATTTTGGGGTGGAGGCCAGACTTCATAATATCCTAATAAATTAGAAATATCCTAATAATTAGAAATTAGAAATTAGAAATAAGGGAAGACTTAGAGAGATTGCACATTTTTCAAATTATTTGTGGAATATTATCGGGACCAGCTGAAATGGACGACTTAAGTCTATTTGAAGCTTCATAAACATCCAGTAGCGTTATTTCAACCTCACTCAGAGAAGTGCAACAAATTCGATTTACGTTAAGAAGTATGAGTATTATCCTCAACAAATATTACACTAGAAAAATATTGTAAAATATTGAAAAAATATTGAAAGATATTGATTAAATATTAAAAATATTGATTAAATAAACTTGCAATATCAATATCAGAAGTAATCGCATTATCATTATGTTGCAGAACTAATTGCTTACGTGAATTTGCAAATTTTTTTTGGATGTAGGTCTAGAAAGAATTTATATTAATTTTAATATTTAATATTAAAATTTATATTAATATTAAAATTGCTTTTCATTATTTGAAAAGTAATTATAAATGGCACTATGGAAATTTCTTAAACATTCTTACTTTTTTAAAGAGATTTTAAAAAAATGGGAATCGACTAAACCCTTTTTTTTCTGAGAGGAACTTTTTTAAAGAGATTTTAAAAAAATGGGAATCGACTAAACCCTTTTTTTTCTGAGAGGGACATATTGCTCTGTAAGGTATAAAAAGATATTATTAAGAAAGTTAATTTTTTCGTCAATAGAGGGAGTTAAACAGAATAAGAAATCCCAATTTTTTTCTGCGAGGATAGAATTAAAAATTTCATAGTCGCAATGACGGTAATATCTAGAATATCTCGAAGGAGGTATATAACGGTTTAATTTTAATGAAGCATGAATGATGTTGTGATCACTATTACAAAAAGGCTCTAAGACTCTAATGATATCAACAAAAGAAGTAAAATTAGCTAACACAACACAATCTAAAATAGTGTTATATCTAGTGGCAATCTTAATATCATGTTACTCTAAACCTATATAGGTACAAAGGTTTAGAAAGTTTTAGAAAGGTTTAGAAAGAAAGGTTTTCTCTTCAAATTTGCTGTTATTTTTTAAGCAACTATTTTCTCAATCTATATTTGGCATATTAAGATCGCCAACAATTACTAATCGCACCAAATAATTTTAATCTAAATAATTTATTTATAAAATTTTAATCTAAATAACAAGTTGTAAAGATTCCTAGTAAATTTACTTCATAGTCAGGGGGGCGGTATATATTTAAAAGAAAAATTTTTTTATTATTAAGATAAATTTTAGTTATTAGAGATTCAAAAGAGGAATAGACAAAATTACCAAAAGTTACAAATTTATAATAATCAGGAATAAGCATGATAAGCCCACCTCCACGAGTATTTAATTTATTACTATTCATTGTTCTATTCATTGTTCTATCCTTGCGTGATATTAGAAAGCCATCGAAGTTTAATTCCCGATCAGTAGAGTCATTCAACCACATTTCATTAATACAAAAAATACTTATTTGGGTTATCAATTAGTTAGAATTGTAAGAGTTTATATTTTAAACTTCTTGCATTAAATATGTATAAAGATAAATTACTTCCTATTTTATTAACCTTACTTGGCAAGTTGTCTTAAGCTGTAGTAGATTGATAGGAAGAAATTGGAATAGAAAAATTGTTCGTCCTTGTAAACCATTGGCGAGATTGCCTTAGTTTCACTATTTGAAGATTTCTGACAACGTACTTCTTCAGATTCAGATTGAGATTTTGATTTCGCATATAACATTCTTTTCGCAACTGTTTGTCTAGTAATAGTTCTCTTTTCGCTAGATCCTTCGTAAAAAGCTTCCATGGGGAAAAATCGAGTTCACGTTCTTATTACGCAATACAGACATAACCATGTATTTATCTTCAACTCGAATCTTAAGTACTCGTGGCCTGCCTGATCTCCTTTTTCCATGTCGACGAACTTTCTTAATGTAATCAATCTGGATCCCAGCGGCAGCTATAATATTCTTTTCTAAGAACCTATCGGCGGTAGTCTCATCATCCGGAATATTTACGCCAACTAGACATGGTTCTTTTTCCTTTTTTTCGAAATATTCATCGATAGTATCCAATATTTGCTCAGTTGAAATTTTTGGAGGCTTAAAGTTGCCATCAAAAGACGAAGCTTTCAAATTATCAATATCAATCCTAAGTTCTTCGTTGACTTTTGTAAAATATTTCGACAGAACTGGTTAAATGCAGAATTAGATCTTGCTGCTTTTCATATTTCTCAGTATTGGAGGATAATTTCAGATCCTCGATAGTTTTATTTAAGTAGCTGATACCATTATTGGAAACGACCCCATTAGTGGCTATGTTTCGGTGCCATTTGAAATTTCCTTTATAAATGCCCAGTATAAAACGATAAGAACAATATTTTTGAAAAGAATATCTTTTATACATGCGATAATAATAATATATACTTTCTATTCTTTTTAGCGAAGCACAATACAAAATATTGAATTATTAGCGAAGAAAACGAGCAACAGCATAACCGCTCAGGAGAACAGCAAATACAATTTCACCTGCACCACTTGGATTTTTCAAGGGCAAATTTACTAATGTAGGAATTTACGAATGGTTGAATGGGAATATCACAAAAAATTTCGTTGGAAATTTAAATTCTTTCTCAGATAGTTTTGATTAATTTGGTCATTTTATGGAATAAATGGAGGTTATCTAAATAGAGAAAAGTTACAGTTAGAATTGTTGCAATAACGCCGCAAAGAATGTTCATATTAATCTGAAATGAAATAAAAATAAGAGATGAGATGGCAGTGAATAAGTCAATTTTGGGAACTCTCGCAAACATGCTGGTTAGGGTCGCTATGCTAGCTTGTCAAATAAGAAAATCTTGGGTGTCCTGGAGATAGAAACACAGGTAAATCACCTGCACCACTTGGATTTTTCAAGGACAAATTTACTAATGTAGGAATTTACGAATGGTTGAATGGGAATATCATAAAAAATTTCGTTGGAAAATAAGAGAACTTAGTTTGAGAAATTAAAATTCAGCCAGGAATGAACAAAATATTAAGGAGTCGTGGAAGTGTGGTCGACCGAAAGCGCACAGCGACAGATAACCATTGAGGCCAACATGAATAAATAATCATTTTTTCCACATTCATAAGAAAAGGGATTTATTTGCTGATTCGTCTAAAATTAGTTCAAAATCGCAAAATATTCGAAAAATTTCAAAAATCTGCATCTATAAGGATTTATCAAAAACCAACCAAAAATCTTGACAGATCTTCCGAATATTATCGGAGAAAAGATGGTCTCTGCGTAATTCTAGAGCAAATTGTTTCCTCACGAAACATTAGACCATGTGGAATCATCATCGACCAGCGACGCAATATGAAATCGAACCCTGACACTTTTATTATAATAACAATCGCACCGAGCCATTGCGTACCGCGGTTTTTGCTGAATTGAAATATTCCTTCAATCCGAATAAATGTTTCCTTGCCGTCAGTTTTTTATTTAAATGTGGGGAATAATTTTAGATGGTTCATAATTCGTTAGGGTCAGAGGTCACCGCCAATTAATTGAATGCATCGTGCATTATAAATAAATAATGAATGCCGCTGCTTCATCTCCTAGTATCGCAATTAAAACAATTTAAATAGCGATAATTGTTATGGTGATTTCGCTTGTATACTAAAAATCGCGAAATGTTCAGACGTGTGAGAGAAAAAATCGTGCAAATTCCAGCTGCTGCGATTATTGAGGAATATTAGTTCGTCAATGTTGTCAATGTAAAATATTAACGCCAGTTTAGACTAAATTGTTCGGTGAACAGTATGTCGGCTTGCAGCAGATTTTGAAATCTTCGTAGAATTTATTTTCACGGTTTGCAATTTGCAGTAGCCTAATAAATCTTAGGCTGTAAGCCCAATTAAAATTAGGCTTTATGCTGATAAAAAAGGCTATGGCGATGTTGTTGTCAACGGTTGAATTTCCAACGATGAAAGTCGAAGAAAAGTTTTAGATTCTTAGATCCTTTCCCCTCCTTTCCCCCCATATATAAAAGGCCGATTGCAAGCCGTAAAAGCTATTTTTTATGAAAACGTGCACCCCGAGCCTTTTAAATTTGTTTTGCTGCAAATTCGAGCAAAATCAAAAACGGTCGTTAGTTATTGTTTACCACTTATTTCATAAGTGCAAATGTCGCCAAATGGCGAATGCGAAAGCTGTGGTCAGGGTTGGCCACGCTCATCCATAAACAGAGTTCGGTTCCCAGTAGCGGAACCATGGGTTTGTGGCCGTCGTTTGACGATAGCAAGGTTAGTGTTCAGAGAATTCAAATAAGCTCATTGAAAATTTGAAGTTACGTATTTATTCAAAATGAGAAATATCTTTTAAGCAGATTTCTTCGCTTGAATTGCGGCGATTTCGCCACCAAAACGAAAGTTTGCATTTATTTGGCCCAATTATCTAAATTGCTGTACGGTTTTGACATTTAAAATCGTAAGTCTAACAAAAGTAATAAACATTTATAAGCACAATTTATAGAAACTTCTAATTTTTTTACAGTTTTTTCGAAAAATTTTGAAATTTTTATAAATCGAAGTTGAGAAGAGTGAAAAATGAGAAGTTCGATTTATATGAAAAATATCTGGAGGTCGATCACATTGTTGCCCTTGAATTACAACGACACATAGATTTTCTTTGAATAACTCAGTTATTAACTGATTCAAAGCAGCCCACCAGCTGTTGATCGAATGAACAACTTAACTTAACTACACAGTTCTGCTTCAGTTCTGCTTCAGTTCCTACAAGTTATTTTATTTCTGCGAACTGAGTTCATAAATTTCAACATAATTTTGATGCGAATAGTCTAAACTGCAATCATCATTCCAGTTTAGATTATCGTTGACAAACGCTTAGTTGAATGTACTAAAATTTTTCAACACAATCTATAAATTTATAAAAAATACATATTAAAATAAAAATATGGGATTTTTTAATATATTAATAATAAATGTCAATGTCATTATTCCCAAGACATCTCCCAAAATGGGCACTAAAATAATTGTTTGAGCCATATAATCAGTGATTAATAATCATATGCCGCTATCAATATAATAACGACAAAAGCTGAAGTGAAATGAAATGAGGCAGTTTTTTTATTAAACCAAAGACTACCGAAACTCATGCTTTGATGTTTTTTTTATATTTTATATCGTAATTTTGCATGTCTTAGCAGAAGGCAAAGGAAAATCCCTGGGACTTATTCACAAATTTAAAATTGTTCCACGATTTTTTTAATAATTTTTATAAAAGTTCAATCTTTGACGAAATTCATATCGCGTAAATTTGCAGGAAAGTAACTTTCAGAAATAAAGTTATCAACTTTTGGGAAATGCTTGCAAGAAAATTATTTTTTAACAAAATACGATCTTATCAATTAATGTTAATTAACCAGTTTAATTGCTGAAAATTTATCGTTTTGAAGAAAACTTTTAACTTATAAAAGAATAAATTTTAAGCGATAACAATGTCTGTTTAATGCCTAAAAGCATGAAAACCGCAAAACTGATGACTGAACTCGCGAAAAAACAAATAGTTATTGTCTTCGAATGGGTTACGAAAACGAATTTTAATATCGAAATCCTCTCATCAAGCGAAAAGCAATTAAACATAGCACGCTTGTTCAAGCGTAAAAGAGGGCATTCTACAGGCATAATCTAAGGGCAAGCAAAGACAATTATGATGATTCCCCCCCCCCCCCCCCCCCCCCCCCCCCCCCCCCCCCCCCCCCCCCCCCCCACTTCCTCATCCCCTCACCTCATTGCAATGACTCTTTGACGTATGGCTTAGCCAAATTACTTGGAATATCCAATTTAGAATAACTAAATTTAGAACAATAAATTGTTTAAAATCTATTTATTTCAGTATCGTTACTCCCATATTCTTTCGAAATTCAAAAAGGCTAATAATTTAAAATTTCCTTTGAAGATTTTTGGAAGAGACGGATGATTTAATTTTCTAAAAAACAGAATCTTTTTGCACACAATTATTTATCCCATTGTATTCAATTTGGTTCGCTCAATGTCACTTAAATAAACGAATTTATTTAAAAATAAAAAATGCTAAAATAGCTGATCGATCTTTCTCGCTGCATTTTAAAAATATTCTAAACGAGCAACAAAGCCAAAACATTGTTTGTGAAATTTTTAAAATTTCACTGCTAGATGAGCTTTTTTTCTCTAAGCAGTTTGCAGTGTCCGACTGATTCCCTGGTTGCTGCTTAGTAAGGTGGAATAGATCCGCTAGAGAGCCACATGAAAATAGCATTACAGGTAGGTCGGCAGCGGCAGTTGGTTAAATAGGTTTAAGGACTGTTTCCACTTTCGCTTATCTGCACTAAAATTTGTTAAGCACTATTCAAGAAATATCTCAGTTAGACGCTCACAATAATATACTATTCTCCATACTCTTACATTAATATATTCTTATATGCTATTAGCCATATACTATTAGCCTTTCAATTATTTTGAGGTTAAAAATTATACGCAAATTAAGAAAACATGACAAACATGTTTATTGATAAGGGTGAAGTTTTCAGATTACTTTATGAGATAGATTTGACCGTAATCTTATATTTTTACCGACTCAGGTCTTTCATGGAAATAGGTTTTTCATAAATGCTACCAGGCTTAGCCATTAAGCCATTAAGAATGGAATCATCTTAAATATGCTGTTTTAAATAATTAAGGTAAATGGAACGTATCATATTGCAAACTATTTTTGCCACAATTTTCCTGTTATTTTCTGTGATTCATGGAATAAAACAGATCGGAGCTGATAAGGCGAGCGTTGTACTAACGGTGGTTCATTTAATCACTTCATCATTATTCTATTGCATTTGCATTTTTTAAATGGATATTTATATATTTGTATTATTACATTGTAGCAAATTCTATGGGCCAATGAACAGAGCCTGTACCTTTCTTATTCCACGATTGATGATAAATGATTATAAACTTCCAGCAAATATCCAGGGAATAAATCTGAAATTCTAGGATTTTATAGTAAAATTGCCTTACAGTAATATTCTTACTTTTCCATAGAAAAAAACTAAACCATCAACAATCCGAAATCCCAAAGAATTCGTTAATTTCAGCCAGCTATTATCAAAAATGAGGGTTACCAGGTGGAAATAGTCGAGGTGACCACCAACGACGGATACATTCTTGCAATGCATCGTATTCCTTGTGGTAAAAACGGTAAATCTTTCGATGCTAAAATAAAGCCAACTGAGAGCACATGCAAAAATTTGCAAATCTCCACGATATTTCCATCGAATTAAACTTTCAGAAGCAAAAAAAGCAGAAAAACGCTCAGTCGTATTTCTTCAACACGGTCTCGAAGCAACAAGCTCGAATTTCGTTTCGAATCTTCCCAACAAATCTCTTGGTAGATATCGCTATTTTCAAAATATTGCTTGCAATTCAAACTCATCACCAAAATGAAACCATTTATGATTGGATTGGTTTCACTAACTACGAGAATCGCTGACTAGAGAAAAGAATTACAGTTGGTTCCCCACCATTTCACTTTTGATGACTGTTTTAATAGTAAAAGGAATCGAGCAGATGCCTGACTTCCAATTAACGTACCATCTACGTACAACTATTGCTCGCACTTTCATTTCTGATTTCATCAGAAAGCCGGAAAGCATTGTCAGAATTTATTTATTTATTTTTATTAGTATAGCCTTATTTTGATTTTATTGATAATCCAGATTAACATTCCGAATTGAACCTTAGTTTAAACAGATAGGTACGAAGTGATATTTATACCCGCCAACATCATTTATATCGTAAAATGTTGCTATAAGAAGTAGAAATATTCAGGTTTTATGCTAGCGGATAGTGGATTCGATGTATGGATGGGCAATGTGAGAGGCAATCGTTACTCTAGAAATCATGAAAGCTTCACTGAAACTGACGAAGGCTATTGGCAATTCAGGTTCGAAATTCCTTAACACATTAGTACTCCACTTTCAATTAAATTTTATATTCGGACCAAAATAAAACCATGTTTTATGAGAATCTTTGTGGCTGATTTTCAGGAATTATATCTTAATTTTTTATTCTTATATTCAGTGCAATCAAATTCTTTATATGCCATTCAGAAATTTAAAAAAATTAATTTGTTTAGCTGGTACGATATGATGAAATATGATTTAACTGCAATGATAGATAAAGTCCTAGAAGAAACACAACAATCACAACTTTATTATGTTGGCCATTCTCAAGGAACTTTGATCATGTTCGCCAAATTGGCTAGCGATAAAGCATTCGCTCAAAAGGTTGATCGCTAGTTTGACTTGACTTCATATAATGCAAAATCATTATCATCAAATTTCATCAAATTTCAGCGGCTTTAATCAACTGCTTTCATTAATCTGAAATCCTATTGGTGACTTTCCTACTTTTTTCTTCCTCCATTATCTAAAGGCCTCTTAATTTAGCCATTTGCGAACTTTACCTCCATTTTCATTAACAATGCTAATTTAAGATAAAATTTTCTAGATAAAAAAATTTTTTGCATTGGCCCCAATTGTCACCGTCGAACATATTAAAGGACTTTTGAGATACTTAGCGGATTATTTCTCTTGGACTGTTCGGGTTAGCGATTCTTCTTTTCGTTATCTTCTTTTTATCATTTCGAAAAACAAAAAAAAAACGAAAAATATTACGTTTTGTTTCCAAATTGTAGATCATAGGGGCACGAGAATTCTTACCGACCGGTTGGCAGATGGAATTATTTAAATTCGTATTTTGTAACCCATTTGGGTCACAAGCACCATGTTCAAATTTGCTTCTGATAATCTCAGGCACCGTTAGTAACCAATTGAATGAGGTTAATTAACATTAATTAAATCACAGAAATCATGAATATTTGCTTCTCTTTTAATTAAATTTTATATTTGTGTGATAAATTAATGAAATATTTCTATCGATTTCTTCTCATAGGACTAAAATTCAATTCCCATTGATATCCATACCGCTGCAAATCCATATTTTATTTATTTTCTTTCCATTCTAGACACGTTTGCCGATATTCCTGTCTGATTTGCCCGGTGGAACATCAACTACAAACATAAAACACTGGATACAGTTGGTGAACAGCGGTCAGTTTCAAGCATATGATTGGCTTGACGAAGACGAGAATATAAAACGCTATGGGAATGTATGCTAATGTATATATTACTTCAAGTAGCAATTGATAATTGACTGTTTGGACTAATTTTAATTTCAGGCCACTCCACCAAAGTATGACTTGAAGGAAATTGATGTCGACATGTATCTTTACTGGAGTCCAGCGGATTGGTTAGCTAATGAAAAAGACATCAAAAATTTTCTATTACCGAATCTAAAAAAAGAAGTAAGCCTTAAATACGACATAAGAACTAATAGTCCGCAAACAGTTAGTAATAATTATGCTAGATATATTATAGACTCTGAAAAATTGAAAATTAACACGAGATCAAAAGGGATCCATCCTTTCACATCCATTAACAGAGTTAAAAACATAGATAAACAACCAACTTTTATAAAAAATTATTTTGCAGCGAGTTATCGTTAACGAAAAATTGAACGATTTCAATCACATGGATTTCATATGGGGAGAACGAGCTGCAAAGGAAATATATAAACCAATTATTGAAATCATAAAAACAAACGAAATGTCCAAAAAAACTAAAAAAATTTATTATGTATAAAATAGTTTAACATTAAGAAAATAAAACGTTTGGAAAATTTTCAATGATGGCATCCCTAACGCAAATGCAATAAGATTACTTGGTAATCAAATTTAAATAATGACAGACTCGAACTTTTAAAAAGTATATTAGTACATAAAAGTAAAAGTATATTAAACATATAAGAAGCACAAAAAATATTCATTTTTTAGACAAAAAACAATAAATAAAAAGAGCAATGTAGATATAATGCTTTAGATATGACTTAGATTCGAGGTTTAACAAAAGCATAATGAGCTTTTGAATTGAAGAATAATAATAAAACTTAAAAGCGACAGTCCAAAAATTTCTTCGAGAAATACCCTGTAACTGCAAAAATTTTACGATATGAAAATATTAAAAATCTTAAAATTGCTTAAAATAAAGGAGATGAAAAAACATAGTTTATTTTGGAACCCGACGAATCTCGCTGGTTAGCCAAAAAGCAAAAGTTATAAGAGCCATTGAGCCGTTCTGATGTAAAGCTGCTAACCAAACAGGAACATAATGCACCTGAATCAAAAATTAAAAAAATAAGAAACGATTGTAGAACTTTTGTTTACTTTTTGATAATATTGCTATAATATAGTTGCTTGTTGTAACAGAAAACAAAATGAAAAAATATTACTAAAGTTGCGATCCCAAGCAGCACTTGCAGATAGCCTACAACCATCAATGAATGTAATGCAAATTTTGCTCGATAGCCCAAATTTATTCGACGCCCGATAAGCCAAGTTATAGTGATCGAAAGCAGAGTCAAATAAGCCTTTAAATTTCAAATAAATTTATTAAACCCTAAACTAAAACTTATTTTTTACTAAATTAATTTTAAATTAGAAAATAATTTAAAAAAGAGAAAAATTTCAAAATTAACAGAAATATAATAAAATTTTTAAGTTTCATTTAAATTTCTTAAGCAGATATTTTTGTAAGATTTTGAAAAAGTACAAAAATTAAAAAATTGGAATTGAAAAATTGGAATTTTAAAAATTGAATTGAATTGGAATTGGAATTGGAATTGAAAAATTGGAATTGGAATTGAATTGGAATTGGAATTGAAAAAATTGGAATTGGAATTGAATTGGAATTGGAATTGAAAAATTGGAAAAATTGAATTGAAAAAGTACAAAAATTAAAAAATTGGAATTTTTGAAAATTGGAATTGGAATTGGAATTGAAAAAATTGAATTGGAATTGAAAATTGGAATTGGAAAAAATTGGAAAAAAATTGAAAAAGTACAAAAAAATTGGAATTGGAATTTAATTTTATGCTGGAAATTTTAAATTAGTTTAGTTTAGGGTTTAATAAATTTTAAATTTTAAATGCGAAATTCTTTTAACCACCACAACACTTTCAACTTTAACCGAAATGCAGCATTTGATAAGAATTCACCCCAAACAACAGCAAATCAGAAAATCTTTTAATAGAAAATAAAAAAAATAACATGAATGAATAGAGAAATATAAACCATATTTCGATGCAAAAACTGCACTGTAGTTGGATTCTCGAAAAGATTTTTCCATTTTGGATTTTTAGAGATCAAGCCTTCAGGAATCCAATTTCCAGCATATTTGGGCCAAGAATTATAAATTAAACCAGCATCAAGACCAGCCACGAAGGCTCCTAGAATTTCAGAAACTAATTTACATACAAAATTAAAATTTTTGAAAGATTCTGGCTTGAGACTAAAATAAAATTAGACTTTTCTCGTAGAGATTAAACTCAAAGACAAATACAAGACAAGAAAAAAGAACCACAATAGAAAAACAAAAAATATATACTAACCCATTACAGCCGTAGATAAGATGAAAGTTTTGGAACAATGAGCCATACCGCGTAGTTTAGAAATATTCTTCAAATTCGTGTGCTTAAATGTATAGTTGACATGTCAATGATTTAAAAATAAACACAATAATTTTTCCAAAATTTTTTACGTTTTTATAATTTAAAATAAATTTAAGATAAAAAATTCGACTGAAAAGATTTCTCTATTTTCACTTTAAAAAGCTGGAAAAATTGAAGAATCGCCAATTTTTCAGAAAAATGATAAAAATACATCATGTGGAATGAAAATATATGACAACCCAGTCCATAGATACATGGTATACAAAATAAATGCCATAAGCAGATGAGTAGAAAGACGATATTCTGATACTCGAGGGATATCTTGATTAGAATTACCAGAAGGATCAAGTCCTGATTTCACCATCCACCATCCAATTAGTCCCTGAAGTAAAAAAAAAAAAACAAATTATCCAAATTTTCATATAAAATATAAAAATCACCAAATTTCAAAAAAAACTGGGAAATTTTAAACCGGAAGATATACTTGGGAAATTAAAAGGCTGCCCGCTATAAGCATACGCTTTTTCATTGGAGCTGAAAAATAGCCTTTAGCCCAAAAATAGGCGCAAGGCAATAAAAAAATGACTCCGACAGTACGACCCCACATACGATGTAAATATTCCATTGTCCATATAAATTTAAAATCCGATAATGTCATTTCTTCATTATTATTCTTGCTGAAAATAAAGCTTGCAGAAAATAAACTAATTCTATTCGTATAATGAACTGAAAAATGAAGCACTAATGAAATTAACCATAAATTATGATAAAATTTACGGCAGGCTATAAATTCAGACTGAAAAGAAGCTAAAATAGAGGATAACAATAGAAATTTCGATGGAAAGTTTTATACGATCAATATAAGAGAATTGAATAAACTAACAATTTGTACTCGGGATATTGCTTATAACGTTCAAATTCCTCAGACCATTCACGATTACTGAATGGAGGTTTCATTGACCGAAACAAATCCCAATTCACCATGCTTAGACCAGACTCCGTTAATCTAAATTTTTCCAAAAGAAAAAATGGACTAAAAAAATATTAAAATGAATCTTCATAAGAAAAGCAAAATATGGAAAACAATAAATAAATAAATAAACGAAAATCTTTTAATAAAACAAATACTTTAAGAAGTAAAACTTGCTCACCTAGTTATGCCTCCCAGCGCAACCGCACCATAAACCATACCAGCACATCCCAATAACCACAAACCTATCAATTTACGCTGTGTTGGCGTGGTATTTGCTACAAGTGATGCACCCAAAACATAATTCTTTCCATCTGTTTGACTAAATTTGGTCATTATGTTTTTTTAAAAATAGTTTTATAAATTGTAAAATTTTATATCGAAATTCAATCGATAAAAAACCCAACTAGATATGATTGAGATTCCAAATATTTTTAAATACATTTTCATACATTTTAAAATTCATAAATTCTTCCGTTGAAAATGATTAAAATGGCAATAAAACTTTTCAAAAGCCTCTTTATTTAAATCGACATATCATATCGACATAACGTAAATTTTATTTACGTTTCCGAGTTTCCGAGTTTCTGTGATAATTCAGAATAAATCTCTCAACAATATAAACGACTATTTTTATACACAAGTAGGTGTTTTCCTTGCTGCGTAGGCTACCTGAAATTGCCAAAATCCTTATCGGATAATTTCTTAAAAGCCTCGTTGCTTAAACTGAAGACATATCAATATACCTTATGATCCACTGCAATGCAATACGAAAAATAAAGACTCAGGACGCGAGATGTAATGTAAGATATAATTCGAGTAAAAACGCAAATCATTTACATGATTGAGAGATTTACTGTAAAACCTTCTAAAAAATCAATCCTTATTTTGCCTACACCAAACATCTTTAATCAGATCACCACGCAAACAATGCAGTATCAAAGTTGGTTGACTATTGTGGTTCCAACAAAACTGGTTTCCACATAATATCTTCACCTGGAGCAAATTAATCTTGCTCAACTTTGTAGAGTGTTGCCGGAGCTCGATAAAATAAATAAAATTTATGATACACTGATGTTGATAATGAAATGTCATAAATTTAAATACACGGATAACTGAAAATCGCGAAAAATTAAATGGAAAAATTTAAAAAAACTAACACGGATCGAAGAAGTGGAACTATGAATTTAGAATTAAGAATTTTCGGTGGAGAATTAATCTTATTTTTCGTTTGAATAAATAAACGCAACACGACAGACATTCTGAAACTACATTCTGTATTATCAACTTTTAATAGTATTTAATCTCGTTATTACCGCTTAAATAACCGCATTGAATATCACAGTTCTTCTAAGTTCTTTATGAATATTTGAAACATTTCACAGCCAGTATTTATTTTGCTTCATTGCCAATTTTCTCCATAAATATTTCACCACAAAACTATCGAAATAATTTATAAGCCAATTCAACATTTAAATAGGCAGAAATGCATAAAAATATACTTTTAAAAAAAATATTTATACAGCTAAAACTGAAAAATATAAAAAAATAACAAAGAGAACAAATATAACCTGTTTCTATGAAAAAGACCAGTATTTAAAAAAGCACTGCAATCGAGCAAACAAAAATATTATCTAAGAAATCTGCTGACCATAATAATCAAATTAATTAAAGCGGTTTTATGACCCTAACAAAAGGTAAAAAAATGAGGTAGTAAACACAAATAAACATTTATAAAATTAAAAATTAAAATGTCGTTCAACTTTTAGCAACAGGAGGAATAGGTAGCTTTGGAGTAAGGCCCAAGGTCTCGTATTTAAAACGCCAATAAGCAACAACCATCCTATCCCAAAAATTCTGCCAGTCCGTCAACGCAGGTCGGACATCAAGAATAGTGAAAAGTTTCGAATGATGATCCACAGCACCACCATCATAATAATCAATTACATAATGCACCTGAAAATAAAATGGATTTAAAAAAAGTGGGAAAAAGATAATATAGATTATTATTATTATAATTAAAACTGTTCAGCAAAAATGCGAAAAAAAGTAAAAATAAAACGAATTAAAAAAAAACTATAAAGGAGTTGATAAAAATATTTAGGTAATATATAAATATTTAGGTAATATATAAAAAAAATTAAAGCTCCCTGCTTCCTGATAGAAAAACTGAATAATAAAAACTAACATCACGCTGACCGCAACGATCAATTATCCAATCATGGCGATCAAAAGGCAACTCATACCTGAAATCTTTTAAGTGAAATAAAAATTAGAGATAGAGAGGAAATTTTTAAAAAACTATCAAAAAAAACGTATTTCATTTTCCAAATAAATGGAAAAAATACCCTAACAGCTGACGAATTCGAGCTCGGGGTGAGATCTGTTTTGCATTACCTTTAAAACTTTTCAGCTTTGGGCAATCACATTCCCTATAAAATGATCTGAAGAAATAAAATAATATAACGAGTAACCTCGTGAAAAAGACAAATGGATACAAAAAAATGTATAAAGTACTAACGGATGAAGCAGATTTTCCCACTTTAAAACTTCTCTCCATGCTTCTTCATTAGTGGAATTGTGAATACGAATAATGTTATCCATATCTCTTTGCGAAAGTTGATCTTCTTGCCATCGCCAACCTATTAAACAAAATGGGAGAATTTCCATTACGCGGAGAACACTGATAGGAATCAAACTAATATTTTAAGCATTTATATTTGAATATAAAATCATAACATATTTAGATTATAAATTAAGAAATTAACTATGGATTAATCGATCTGCTCTAAATTAACAATGGAAAATACACATATAAATTTTATCATCAATTTTATAATCATCAATATATCAATGGCTCCATCATGGCTAAATATGTGATTTCGTAACAGTAGAACAAACTGATCAGAAAATCAAAATTGAATAAGCAATCATTTATATAAAACTCATAAATGCATCAAACAGTTGAAGAATAAATACCTTTTTTTAACATCGCATTCCAGAACATCTGCGGCGAAGGATATTCCCAACAACCTTCACTATTAGCTTTTGGTATAGAAGACCTTTCACGAAATGTACTCAAAGGAAATGGCTGATCTGGAGCAGCTTGCTGATTCGGCGGTGGCATCTAAAATTACATTTTCTGAAACAATTTCGGAAAGCTTCGTCGATCTGCTTTCTATTGAAATAATCTTTTAAAAGAAAAAAATTTTAAATATCATACATTATTTAGAGGATCAACACAATCTTTAGATCCTCTGACTGGACAACCCGAAACATTTGCATCAGCCGATGGACATTCACTAATATAAGCATTAAATGACGTCTGCAAGATTCATATTAAACACTTATATTCTCGAATTCTTCAACAATTTTTTAGTTTTAATTTTTAATATATAGTAATAAAATTTAATAACTTAGATATAATCAAATTTGAATAAAATAATGAAATAATTTCAAAATGTTTATTATAGAAATAAAAGTAAACAAAAAAAAAATTGTTAAGATCAATTCCAAAGAGTTATTAGTTAAAAAGTAAGAAAACAAGAAAAGTAAATATATATTTAAAATAAAATCGAATCTGTCAAGAAATGAAGAAAATGCGATTTTTTTTTAAGAAATCGTTTTACAAGCTAACAACTGACTTTAAAGTTTCGTCCATACAAAAAACTGAGGAAACTATATAAATAAAAAATGATTCCTTGTCATTTCCATGTGTGCTTCAATATATACAGTCAATACAGTCAATATATAAGTACATTCCACTTCATTCCAGTAGAATGCGCCAAAAAATTATGAACTCGAAACTCGAATCACAAATCGAGATTTGTGAAACTTTTGGGAATGAGCGACAACTTCCCATTCCCTCAGCTAATGGTGTATCTTCGAGAAATTTTCGGGTCAGCTGTACAATACCCATAAACCGCATGTAAGTTAATGACTTAAGGATTTGAACCTTACTCTTCTCTTTGTGCATTACTCTTTGAGCCACTCAACTTGACTCGACACTATCCGCCTTGTGCATTTACTGAAACCCCTCGATAATAACACTCGCACGAGCAATTTCTAGGAGAATATTTCACAAAGAATATAAAAAATTCTAATGGGATTTTTTAAAACATAAAATATTTCATTGAAAAATTTCATTGCCTTCTGGAATAAAAAATACCTTAAAAGATTACTTCATTTCTATCGGCGCCTAATTCGCTTGCGGAATATGGAAAGTTTTCGGCTGCTACTGACTGCCTCGAACCCATTTATAAAAGCGCCTCCTCGCTTCCTATTTTGAATCACCGCAGCGACTAAAATGCAGAAAAACTGAAAAAAGAACTATTTTAGAAATACAACTATTTCTATCATTAATACAAAATATTAATTAAAAATTATACGATTAAATTATACGGCGGCGCAAAGTACAAAAAAGAGCGAAAATAAAAAAATCGCGAAAATACTAAAAACAGCGAAAACTGGTCGAATCAGCTCGAAGTGCAGAAATCGCAAAAAATCCAACACCGCATTGGAACTTCCGTCCCTATAGCAATTCGCCCTTTCACCCCGCCTTGCTGCTCAAAACAATTCGTAATTCACGCCAAGTTCGACCAACAACTTTCGGTCACGTTCGACTCGTGCTCGACGTGTTCATAAAACGCTGTTGCGAGGGTGCCATGCATTTTTTGGTCGACCCTGTTGTTTCGCCAAAGCGAGGGTCACGCACGCACCTTTCGCAGGCACCTCTCCCTCCATTCGCGTCGAAACAGACGAACCGCGTTCCGTGTCATCTGTGATGTTGCCGGCCAAAATAATATTATGCGACATGTGCGTGCGTCAAATCTACGAACTAACTTTTAGAAGTTTTCTCCTTCACCTTCAGCTTTCGCTGAAAAAGTTGATGAAAGCGCTGATTTTGGATTTCCGAAATTTTTCAGTAATAAAACATTTATTTATTGAAATCTCAAAATAGAAAATTTTTTATTAAAAAATTATTCGATTATTAACAAAGTAAAAACAATTTTATTTATTATTACAAATATTTAATATTATTTGCAATATTTATTTGCAAAGAAGAAAATTCTTTAATGGTTGTGCGAGGAGAATTTTCATTGTTTTCAAACTGTATTCGTAGACGGTCTGCTTATCGAAAAGGTTGTAAGCATCGAATCGGCCGGAAATCACTGGAATGCCGGAGACGAGGCCGTCTGGCAAATTAGGAAAAGCCTTTTCTTTGTCGCCGATCGCTATTGGAGTGTTGCTTTTCAAATCGTACGTTGAAAAGACATCGCCCTAAAAGACTACATTTTCATTCAACAATATTCACTTCATTCAAATTTCAAGTAGAACGATCCGACCTTTTAGCCTTTTCGCTTTGCTATTGCAAGCGCTCGTAATTCCACTAAAATTTTATAGCGGATTAACAAATTCAGGTCGAATTAGGCCAATACTCAACGTTATACAACGATAATCATATGTGTCGTTTCCTTAACTGATAACTATTTTATTAAATTGTGCGAAATGGTCCAAATTACCGATATTAAGACGACAGTTCCATTTGCAAGTGGAAAAGCAGCAAGCGGAAGGAATAATAGTCGATGATGAAGTTTTTTTGGCCAACCTTCAGCCAATCTAAAAAGTACTGTAGAAATCTTATCGATAGTCCACTTTTTATGTAATTTACATGCAGTGAATAAATCGGTGCATAATGGTGCACTGCAGACCATCTGCACCAATTCCTATATTTCTGTTCCCAAGTGATTCTATGGCGAAAGGCACTCATTAACAAACGCTTACAAAAAATGAACCAATAAATCTTAATGATTTTTCTTTTCGAATAAATTCAGAGTTAATCTGGAAATTCCAGCAGTAAAATAATATTTTCTGATTTTTTAGAAGATTGGCAAATTGGTGAATTTCCACTGAATTATTTCATTAATAGCTTTTTGATTTTTGGCATTTCTTCTAATTTTTTCATGGAATTGTAATTTGAATTAGCAGTGAATTGTCGATGGCTATAAATTAAAATTAGAAAAAATCTCTTGGACTAACAAAAATTGATTGGTTACTTCATCCATTTCGAAAGCATAAATCGTACGGTCATGAATAAGATAAGTGAGTTCATTTACAGTGACAGAAACATTAACGACCGGAGGGCCTTCAGGGAAAACCTATAACGAATGAAGATGCATGACGGATGATGCGGCACAACCGTGCAATGTTTTAAACCATAAGCAATAAACTCACTCGAAAACATAATTCAACTAAACCAAAACAAATTTATTGCGGCAGAGAGTCCTTGAAAAATAATACAATGAATAATTAGAACAATTGAAACCAATAATTTCAATGTGAGCAGTCGTAATTTTTTCGTAATTTTTTTAAACATTTCTTTTTTTCATTTTTTTCTTCCTCTTTAACAGGAATAAGCCCGTCAAATCAACCCTAAAATAGTGCGATTTCAAGTGCCCTATAAACCTGTACAATAGAGTATTGCGAAGGACACATTAAAGCCAAAAAACATCCTCTTCTCAATCCGATGGCATATGATGCACAGAAGTTCGAGAAACCAAAAAGAGACGGTGGTAGGAGAAGGGATCTACTGAATTCGTTAAAGAAAACAAGCAGATCCATAGGTTTCATATGTGAGCGACGAGAAATTGGCTTTCATTATATGAAGGGTTAAAATGCTAACCGATATTAATTTCCACTGAATTATTTCATTAATAGCTTTTTGAAAGTAAGTCTTTTCAAAACTTGGATACTACTATTTGGATACCACACATCTACCGAAAGAAACTTTTCCTCTACCAGAATGCAGAACAGAACTGGCTGAGTTTTTTTGGTGGATCGGACGACTCAGGGCTGTCAGTAACTAATAGTCGTATCATGATCTAGTCGCTAAAGCTAGGTGCCAAATATTCGGACACTGGAACTGACATCCTTCTCAGAGCACATTATGGTTCTAGTCAAGATCAGCATCTGGCAACATTTGGCTACCTCAGAATGTCAGTGGCATCGCGTTTCAAATCGAATCATTGAAAAATCTTGGCAATGCCATATCATTCACATTTACATAGCCATCGTGCGGATAGAATTGTATTCATTTGCATCAAACTTTGATTGAATGGATGTTGGCTGCATCATTAGGATCGTCATAGAATGTCGCCTACACTGGTTTTCGCTATGTACAGGAATTGATAAAATCTTGATGGATGCATCGGTGTAAAGCAGGAACGACTATCAAGGAATATTGGTGTGCTCAGGATAGGCTTTAAATATACAAGCAGCGCAGTTATTTTTAGGCAGTAGAAAAAATAGTGCTGCTTCCAGATATGGCAATAACTAGTGAAGCCAACTTAACCAGTAAACACTGGCAATATCTCATATGCATTTTGGAGTGGGCTGATAGAACATACTTCATACTTCTGATTATTTTGGTATAATTTAATTAAACGTTTCTTCTAACCGTTTTATAATTAAATGGCTTTCCAAGTATTTGTCGACCTTTTATTCGCCATACTTTGTCATCGTTGAAAAGAAACATTTGGCCAGAAACTATAAAGTTCTCAAAGACAGTTTATAGTTGAGAAATTCAGTTAACTTCCTTCATTGCATTCGATTTTTCGTAAAATATGAGAGAAATTCATGAATAAGCAAAAAAGAAATATAGAAACAAAATAGAAATACAATCCAAAAAAGGTTTTTTTATATCATTTGCACCTTTTTTCAATTAGCGAATTCGTCAAAAAAAAGTTAAATGAATTGAATCGGATAGATTTAAAAGAAAAATTGTAATAAAAATTCAAAATTATGAAAAAACGGAAGAATTCGCCAACCTTCTGTGATTGTTTCAAGCTTTGTTGGACAATCGTTGAAATCGACATTCCACTGAGCTGCAAAAACAGATCGAATTAAATTGGAGAGGTTATTTGAAGAAACTTATCAATAACTTTATCAATAATTTATTAAAATTTCATCGACATCAATAAAAAGGGAACTGCAATAATTAAAATATTTTTTTTAATCAAAAAATTTAATTTAGCATTAACAAATTAACAACGTTATACTATAGGTTAAATTTTTTTAAAAGAATCCTCACCATTAGAGGTTAAACTCGCTACGCTGGCTTATCATATTGGACATATATGCCAGAGATCCAGGGAATGATAGAAGTACAGGTGAATCGCCAGCATCACCCGGATTTTTGTACAAGTTTACTCCTGCGGGGAATAGAACCTCGGCACCAGCGCTCATTATAGGTTACACAATTTAACAAAATTTTCTCCTTCTTTTGAAAGCGTCCACCATCGCTGGTTTGGCTGATTACTAAGAAGGGATACTATAACCATAATTTGGCCACAGTAAAGTGTCGAAGTTCTGTCAGCGAATGACACGAAAGGCAGATTTCTCATAAAATATAAAAAGTCTTACTGCGAGCTGTGAATATCAAACTGTCGTTTGTTATAGAAGGTCGAGTCGGAAAACAACTGAGAACTGTAGAAAAATGAAAAATAATGAAAAAAACAAATAGCATTTTTACAACCCTAAAATGGAAAATGCAGAGTGAGAAAAAATTTTTGAAAAATTCCAACACTCGAACAACTAAATAATCGAAAAAATAGATCGATTCACATTTATTTTTTGTCGAATTTTAAAATCTTACGAAATTTTCAAAATTTCGAGAAAATAAAATTATGAAAATTATTATGACGGTAAGCAACAAAAATTGAATTTAAAATTCTCTTGTTTAGCGATAGTGAATTCATTAATAAATGGCGAAACCCATAAGAGAATATTATCAATTAGAACTAAAATATCATAAAAACTGCTGACTGATTAGCACTCCAACTACGCCAACTCAGTTTGCTGCAGGAACGGTTGGAAATTTCCGCCAGGTACTTTGCCGATGTGCAAGTGAATCATCATTATACAAATTTTTTAAATGAGATTTGCTTCTTTTGTCTTCGAGGGTGGGGGTGGGGGGAGGGTGGAGGAGAAGGAGGGAGAAGCACGAACAAGCACATTCCTTGCACCGAATTTACCTCTCAACGTGATAATCTGAAGCACTATGCACTCGCTTACCGAGGCTTTAAATTATCTATAAAAAACAACGAGAACACTGTAAATGGCGTTTTCATCCCTATCTACTATCAAAAAGTGCTATTAATTTATAAATGGGTGGGGTTTTATTGCGAAAAATTTTTCCAAAAATTAGAGACTGTGTTTAAAAATAAATGTTTTTGAGAAGAAAACTGAAAAAATTGAGAAACGTCGAGAAAGACATGGACGAATAGCTCGAGATGAATTTCGAGGGAATCGAAGTCAGTTCGAAGATAACCAAACCTACGATACGACCACCTGTTGATGGTAGTAAGCGTGCCATTAAAGTGAAATTTGGATGATATTGGGATCCACCTGCACGTCTGTGCGCCTGGCCTAGGGACCCCATTCTAATAACCAGTGGGGCCAACCAAACCAAAAATGATGAGTGCTGTTTCGAAGAAGGATGAGTGCCACTTAAACTAAAATTTGACAAGAAAATAGAGGATAAAGCTAATGCTACATTTGTGTAGTATCTTTTTCTGAAAAAAAGATTGTAAAAAAACGAAGAAAAAATTTATTTGAAATCCTCCGAAGAGAATAATTGACTTTATATTGTAGTAAATTTCTTTTTTCCTTTACAAAAATTCAAAAATTACGACCTTTCTGGCGTTGCGAATGACAACGACGAAGGCAGTCACAGTCACAGCCATCCTTCGTATCATGGATTTATCGTCATGCATTAGTCGTCTCTGCTAACATTTTCGCCTAACGTTTTCATCGCAGTTAGATCGATGTGCATTCAGTATATTCTTCGTATTTTTGATACGCATGTTAATTTGATTATTTTAAACAGGAAAATCGAAAAATCGACTAAAAATTGCGAAAAAAAAAGATATTCGAAATATGTAATATCGATGAAGTGTGAGAATAAGTTGGAGGACAAAAGACATTAAACTAGTTTTGCAAGGAAATTCGCTAGCGAAAATTAACCATTATTACGTATTATTATTTTTGGATCATTTTTTCGATCTATTAACGGATTTTTTGCTAAAGATAAGCTTCCATTCGTAGATTTCAGTTCATCATGGAAAACTATAAAGAACTAGGTCGGATAATATGAAAACTCTCGTGTGACAACAGCTAACTCTTATAGTTCAAATAAAAAAGCATCATGGTGCGAAATTTACGAATTTCGCACCTACCTATTCTCTTATATTCATGATTTATACTCATCCTCTTTCTAGCTTTCATCTGATTAGAATAACTCAATAGGCCACAGAAATTAGGCTTTTGCAAGTGTCTCGAACCAGAACTATGTCTGAAAGCAACAGAAGCCATTCTGTTATCCATCGCCCAAGCTCCAAAGTTCTTTTAACCTTATCAATCCATGTCATGATTTCGCCATCTCACTTTTGGTGCCATTCATCACAATTCAAATAATCAGCTACACAATTCTGAATAATAATATTAAAAGATTAAAATAGCTTATTTCTTCGTATAAGATTGAAAAAAATTTTCCAAAGTTTGAAAATTTAATTGCGGAAATCAGCCTTCTTGAACTATTCGCGAAATTCTCGATAATTTTCCTCTTTCCCCGCACTTTTTCCTTTACTTTTCCTTATTTCGTATAGGTGATCGGTGATACCGAATTGCACCTTTTAGAAAACGGGTTTATCGATATTTTCGAGTTTATCAGCTGTCACTTTTCATTTATACAAAGTTTTCCTAAATTCTCTTTAATTTATTAATCATTTTTGCCAAATTTTAATGTTTTTCGTTTTAATCGTTTAATTTTTTTGTAACTCATCAAGCAATGCATAATTTAATTGCAAATAAAGCGAATTATTACTGATTGCAGTAATTTGTTTCCATTTGTTTGCTTCGTTTTACAAATAAAAATAGTTCGCAAATCCTTCTCTCAGCCAACAAAAATTTATTTAATTGACCAATTTTAAAAGAAAATATTGTCTCTGCTGGCATTCACGCTGCGTTTAAGGTAAGGGACGAACAAAAGGTGCGACTTCGATAAGCTTATTGTCGTTGAAAAAGTCGTGCAATTGTTCAAATCGTTCGCAATTTTCTCTCCCACTTTCCCACTTCCTGTTTCAACACTATTGGAAGGAAGCTGAGTCGTCCGTGTCCATAGCACTATCATTTTAATCAGCTCTTTATCATAGAAAATTCATTTATGGTAGATAGTGATATAATATAATCGTTCATATTTTTGACCGTAACTGTTTTTTCAATTTACTTCAATAGATTTGGTAATATTTTCTTTTTGTGTGAAGATTGCATTGAATTATTTAAAAAAAAACAATTGAATATCAAAAATTTAACATATATATATAACATTTATATAACATATACAACATATAACATTTAGAAACCAGCAATACTAAAATCAGAAACAGTATCAATAAATTACTCAATAAATTATTTAGAAAAAAAAGTTGGGTTTTGGATTTAGATTGGATTTTTTGGATTGGATGGATCGCATCGGTGGCTTGGATGAGTACCACCGAGAATGGCTCGAGTTTGGATCTGACCTATGCTTCTGCGGCAGATAAACTCAGTTTGAAAAGCTGATACTGAAATTATATGCTAGACAAGAGGTAAGCCTGCCCTTCAAAAACTCGTGTGGCGCTGGCAAATCATGCTGTGGTGCTTCTTTCGCCAAGTGACCTGGCAAAATTCGTTTGGTTCGACAAATCGTTCCAGTGGAGCCAGTTTAACCGACAATAATGAGCGCTTCTCCAATTGCAGTTTGACAGCTTTTAAAATAACAAAGATGGTTCTTTTCAGTGGCTCAGTGGTTACAAAATTTTGCGTAATGTATATGAAAAGTTCGCCGAAAGTCGAAGTTATGGTGCATTGGTGATGAATATTGCCATTGCAAAATGAATTATTATCGGTCAATTGATGCCATTTCAAACCATTTAATTACAGAATAATTCAAAAAAATTAGAAAAGTTCATAAAAAATGTAAATGTTATTCAGAATCTAAGGAACGCGGCGAAAGCTTCCCTAGCTTCTCTCAGTTATATAAAAACATTCGAAACTGAAATAACTCTCACGAAGCCAATTAAATCGGGTCAGTGGAGGTCATTTGAAGCGATCTCTAATAATAACAATTTATTCACAGTTATTATCGTCGAGCTAAATTGGTAAATACCGTAATTAAATGTAAAAAATTCTCTGAAATAGCAAAAAAATGTTTTTACAAGAAATTTTTCAAAATTCAGAAAAAAATGCAAATATTTTTAAATAAAAGTTGAATTCGCTAGAATCTATTTTGTTTTCTATTTCAAATTTAATTTACGAAATCCACAAAAAAAGGAAAAGAAATGTCAAAAATTTAGCATTGTAAAATTTTCTCAAGAACTTTGACCTTTTGCGGTGCAAATTAATTTTCTTTCGTAAGTGTGGCCCTAGCAAATGGATCCTATAAATTATCGAAACTTTTTTTTGAAACAAAATCGCTTAGGGTTTTGGTACCGTTCCAGTTATTTTTATTTGTTTCTTATGGAATAATTCTTTGTGATCGGTCAATCGGCAATTTGCTTCCTATTAGCAGAGTCATTCAGCGAAATTATTTTAGCCAAATTCATTAATTTTATTTATATTATTAAGTAAAACTTTGTTCGCTGATTAATATTTTACATTTTCTACCAAAATGCCTAAATTGCCTTCCTTTTTCTCATTTCAAAAAAGTTTATCCTATTAAATTTGCTATGTGAATAATCTATTTTGTAATTAAATATTAATTTAAATGAAAAATATTAATTAAAATTAAAAAAACTCGTTATAAATATTTCTGTTGTATTATTAAAAAGTGATTTTGTAATAATCGAACAGAATTTTCCATGAAAATTTCCAATAGTTCGCTTTAAAATAATTTTTATTATAAAATATATTTTTTATTGTTAAATATATTTAATTTTTATTATTAAATATAATAGATTAATTTAATCGATGTTTTAATGAAGGAAAAACTTTAAAAACTTTAAAAAAATTTTTTTAGGCTTCGAAGTTTTCATTTAAATTTTTTGTTGTTTGGCACTTTTAAATTTTTTTCCTGTTTTATCGCATCGACAACTAATTTCATCTATTTATTATTGAATTTTCGTGATAATCATTCGATGGATGCCGTCAATGGTGGGCTTAACAGTCATGGACTGATAGACGTGGACTGCGACTGAAATATTGGCGGCCCGAGTATAGATGGATTTAGACTGTGGGGGAAGGTTTGGCTTTCAGGCATGACCAAGAAACTTGGAAACGCCTTCCACTAGTCACCAGGAGAACCAGTCGCCTCATCAATGTCAAAATCGAGAAGAAGAAAGCGTCTTCATCGTTCAAATTGCTGATTTCTTACGAGATCTTAAATTCTGGTCCATTCAATTCTTTGCATAATTCTTATGATTCCTTTTTTTCTGATAAGTTTTACCTTGTATAGAGGAGCGGAACCAAACTCAACCTCTGCTGGAAACCGACTCTTTCTCGTCCATTCCAAGCTTCAACAGTAAACATTTTTTCTATTCACCTTTTTTGTAACTAATTTTGATATATAAATTTTTGATAGGTAATTATCGACAAAAATAATCGTCTTATTTCTTAAAAAGTTTTATTTCGTCTATAATTCTTTTTAGTTCTATAATTCTTTTTCACAGCACACACCATTTCTTGCTCCACTGGTTGACTGCGTAAGGCGTTTTCGGTTGAGAATCTCTTGAGGATGGATCGCCGGCAGCAATGGGATTTCAACTGTAATGATAGGTTTTTCGTGGTTAAGAGGCAGGATTACCTTTTCTCCTCTAACTAAGCGAAGCACCATTCGAACATTGAATTTTCATAATTCAAGCTCTTGTATTTTATTTTCCTTGAATTTTTAATGCCTCTTTTTTTTTCCTGTATCCCAATAACCTTTCTCGTATTAAATGGCTGTGAGATACTCTCACAACGTTGAGTTCGTTGGGATTCTATTTCCTGCAGGAGCAAACCACATTATAACATTATATGTATGCACATACAAGATTCTTCTTGACATCGCATAATTGCAGGCAACTAACTAGCAATGACAAAAACGCGTTTGCTTTTATCTGAATGACATAGAGGAAATTAAAAAATTAAACTTTTCAGAAAAAGCCAGATCGAGGTTAGCTGAATATCAAACTAGTGATATTACGATCATTCCACTCACCTAGAAACCAGGAAAGAATCAGCAAAAAAATTCTATTTTTGTATTTTTCAAGACAGTTCCCTCTATGACTAATGAGGGCAGAATGGACGAGTGGCCGAGTTGGCTCCACTAAGGCTGAGCGCCATAGGTCCGATTTTAGCACCTCACAAGGAATAAACTTATTTTCAAGAGTGCGTTGCTAAATACAGCACGCAGCAAGAAATTTCTTTTACTTTTTTTAAACAGTCCGATTTCGCTTTGGCTTAAGCCAATGTGTAGCCAAAAAAATAAGCCTATAATTACGAACGAAACGTTTATAAACACTATAATCTAACTGTAATTGCCTTTAACGACTTCAATGAATCTTTCGAAAAAAATAAATTTTTTAAAATAAAATTGATTTCTTAAAACAAAAATGCCAAATCTGTTTTATCGATTTAAAACGGCGTTGTAAAATTGAAAAAAACCTTGTTGGTGACTGATAAATTTCTTGTCATTTATCTAATTCGTCTATTATTGGCATCAAGTTAATTGCCGTTTAGGAATCGCTCTCTATCGTCTTGTGGCTTGTAAATTTTTTTAAGCTTCTTTTTATTCTGTGAATTATATTTTTGGCAAAATTGTATCTTAAATTTGGCAAGATTTATGGCGAATTTGATTTTTCTTCTTTTTTTCAAGTGAAATTGATGATTTTATCAGTTGAAAAAAAATTCACGTTAAGCACGTGGCTTATTTTGAGTGAATTTACGGTAAACCGATCGCTGCCATAAATTTAGATGATCATCAGGTTTCGAGTTCATGGCTTCCACGTCGAACGGTTTACCGCTGACAGCGAATCACCAAGGCGAGCAATATGATTCTCCGTGCCAACTGAAGAAACTTCAAAGCAAGTCATTCATTCACTCCTTCCTTTAACTACTCGCATTGTGGTTGGAGATGTTTGCAAGTTTCTCGCCCATCTACAAGATTTTGAAACCGAATCAAATTTTCAAATTCTCCTATGGATGAAATTTCTTTTCAGAAGGCAAATCTGGCCGTGAATTTTATGAGATATGCCGTGTTTGTGGAGATGGACATGCAAGAATGCATTATGGAGTTTTGACATGTTTCGGATGTAAAGGGTTCTTCAGAAGAACGTTTGTATTTTTAAAATTATTCAACATCCACTTTATCTCGAAAACTCGAAATTATTTTCCAGTTCCTAAAAAGCTTTAAAATCTACTTTGGTAGCCCAACAGCATTTTTTCTCCATCTCTTTGGCACATTTTCTATAACTGTGAAATAGAAGTAGAAAGTATCAGCGAAATTGAAAAATATCAAAGTTTCAGCCTTAAACGTACATCTGAATATTCGTGTAGACATCAAGGCAATTGCATTGTTGATAAACGTGAGTTGATAACTTATCTTATATCATAAATTTATTCAGAATATTATTTTACAAAGTGTTTATAAATATTGTAGCAAATTTCAATTATCCATGGCAATGAACTAATTTTTTTTAGATGAACGCAATTCCTGTCGATTCTGCAGATTCAAACGCTGTCTCGAAGTGGGTATGGATCCAAAAGGTTAGCAGAAACGGTTTAACTGCAATTTTATGACTAGTAAAAGAAGAATTGTACCTCAAGTATATAAAATTACAAAACAATTTATTATATGATCGCAGTTTGGCTCTAGTTGGTGTAAATTGGTCACGGTGTCATATCAACCAGTTTTTTCATTCATCCATAGAACCGATATTGAATTGTTTTTTCGCTGAAAAAATCTATAATCATGGAATTCGAAAAATATTTCAAGAAATGATATCTTACAAGACAAATAATTTTGCATTTTACATTACTCTTACTTTTACTTTTACCTTGTTATCAAAAAAGAGTTCATTTGCTGAAAAAAAATTTAAAAAGTTAAATAAAGATGAAAAATGAAATACCAAATATTTAGACAAAATTCCATCATCAATTTTTAGCTGTCCGTCCGGATCGAGATGCTACTGGTCGGCATTACCAGACCAAGGTGCGACGACTAAAATTTACATCTGGTGACGAAAGCTCTGATGAAGCAATAATCACGGAGGATTGGAGTCGTAAACTTTCGGTTGAAATGAGAACGATTTTAATGCAGTTGATGAACATCGAAATTATGGTCTGGTTTATCGAAATTATGGCTGTTAAATTTGGATTATTCCAAATTTATATATTCAAAATATATCAGTATCAGTATTTATATACTCAAAATTTGTAGCAAATAACTTGCAAGTTAAAGTGAAAAAAATGGTTCCAAATTAGGACAAACCTTCCATCTTTGGTACTCAGTTTAATAACAAATTTCAAAATTTGAAGTTTCTACAGTATTTCATTAATATTTACCCATGCATGCTTCTTTTTCCCCATATATATTGCTAAAGAATTAGATTAAATTATAATTGACTGCTTACTATTTCAGGTAAACCGTGGTGATACTAATCAAAAAGCAGTCGATCTATATCCTCTACCATTCAATTCGATTCAACAGATCTTGAATAATCCTTCTTTATTGAATGGAAAGCGAACTGAGGTGGTTTATGCTAATTAGAAAATTGATGCTAATTGATGGAGAGCATCTTCATCATCATTTATGCAATTCACTATTAGTTTGAGCGTTCCACTGGCCACAGCAGTGAAGCATTTCTAAGCCCCAAGATCCGATAAAATATCGGAAATTATCCGAAGGCACGCATTCTTCCATCTACTGGACCCTACTGCTGGTCATCTATGCGTTGCCCATTCTATTCATATTAATCCAGTTGTTGGTTGGCAACCGTCACATGGCTTGACATGTAAACAATTTATGAGTTCTTGATGACCGAAAAATATCGTATAACCATCGTAGATAACGCTTTGAAACGATACCATCTAGATACGTGGTATTCGAGCGAAAGTGGAGGCAGTTTAGTCATCGATTGTGTGGAAGATATCTTAAGAAAGAATGGTCAACGATGGACAGTTTGGGAATGTTTGCACTCTCACTGATCATGTTTCACAGTCGTACATAGCGCTCACCAAAGTTGGATGCGAACTTTCGTTTTTATTAAGACTTCTTGGCGATCGTCTGCGCATGGAAGAAAACATTGTGGAATGGTTGTAGAATTTTTGACTGCAATTTTGAAATAATATTGGATCCAAGACTTGTAATCGATACTTCTTCAACCGATGGTGAAGCATATCTGTTTCACGATTTAAATCATTGGAACTGTTGGGGAAAACTTCTAAATTTTCATCAAAACCTGGAGAAGTCGCTTCAAATTTAAATCCTGAAAACGAATTTTAATCAACTTTCAGTGAATCAAAATCAGATCAGAAAATTTCGAAATAAAACAAACTTAAAAATTTAAACATTTTTCTTAGAATTTTTCATATTGCTAATTATATTATCACCAATATTACTATTATCGTTTAAAAATGATTTTAAATTCCTGAAGACAAATTTAGGTTCGATATGAACCATATCGGCAAGTTGAAAACAATGAACTAGTAGCTGTCGCTCATCGACGCTTAATTGTTACAATCGACTGGGTAAATCATCTATTTGATATGATGGATCTGACCGGATTTGAAGATAAAGTAATGAATTTGCAAGCATTCTTTTTTATTAAAATTTAATTCAGTCAAAAAAATTTAAATATTTTCGTATTAAAGTATTGCCAGAAAATTAGATTTTATGATTATACATGAACAGCGGAATTCTTCTGCAATTCCTCGTTTCTCTGTGGTACCATACAATTTTGCTATTTATTGGATATATCAAAATTTCTAAGCGAATAGAGCGAATTTTTTAAATCGCCGTTTAAATTTAGATTGCACTTATAAGAAATGGATTTGCACCTCTGATGATCTTCAGCTTTGCAGCTGCAACTGCTAAAACAACGAAAGAAAAAGATATCATTTGTTTGTGCAGCAGCGGATATGTTCCACGAAATGTACACAGTATCTTTAATAAACCATAGTAAATTTATTTTATTTTTTATTGGTCATAAAAAAATTGGTTTCCTTGATAACTGAGGGATAGGAGAGGAAAAACTTTAAGAAAGATTCCGACAACTGGTTCAAGAATTCTATTCAACGACTGATATACAAACGGACCCATGGCACCACTTGGAGTTCGCTTTTAATAATAGGTTCAAGGCATCAGCGATAATAATATGATAAGTAAATCTTTGTCGAAGTAACACACCACTCGACCATTCTATCCCTTCTAGGTGATTTAAAGATTTACTCGGAATTATACTTACTTATATTATCTGTAAATCTGGAGATCATTTCCAGTCATTTGGCAAATCGTATAATTGAACGAACCATCGATGAACTAACACAACCATTTCGAAATTTGAATTTTACGGAAGAAGAAATTGTTCTAATGAAAGCAATAATCATCTTAAATCCTCGTATGTTCTTCACGTCTTCTAAAATAGTTTGGCATTCTTCACGTCTTAAATAGTTTTTTAAAATAGGATTTTTAAAAGCTTTTCGATTAAAGGCTTTTGTTTTGTTGAGACTCGACTAGTACGATTTGCAGATGTTAAGGGATTATCGAGTGATGCGACTGATCAGGTAGCCGATTTACGTGATCGGATACAAGAAGTGCTATACCACGTGGTAAGAGAAACACATCCAAAAGAAGTCGCTTCATCAAGATTCGGCAATCTTTTATTATTTTTGCCTACGATTATGGTAAATACCTTTAAATATCTGAACCTAACAACTGTAATTTAAACAGCTATAATTTTAAATTAATATTTTAAAAGACGATAAAAGATTTATTAAAAAATGATGCGGTAAAATTTTATTAAGATCCTTGGGAACATTATGTGTGAAAATATACAACTGATGCAATCGTTTGAACGGAAAGATGCTGATCAAATGCTTCTTGATTTATTCGAAACTGAAGCGGTTCCGACGCATGAAATTCGGAAGCCAATAGACCCGTGTTGTAGTTCTGAATCCATAGAATTCCGTACATCTATGGCATATAATTATGGATATATTGAGCCATCGTCTTCGTCATCATCTATATCTTCAATGTTAAGTGGATCGTCTTATGATAAATGTCAAGAACAAACTCATAGTAGCGATGCCGAATTTTATGGGTGATCATTCTATCTCTCTAGATTTTCTGAACCTAAAAAAATTTTCGTCTATATTTAGAAATTCAGTAATTTGTAATTTAAACTGGGCTAGTGATAGAGTAAGCCTTAAGGTTTATTTCGAATTAGTCGAGAATAGTCGAGTTTATTTTGAATAAACTCTTTCAACTAAGCAATCATCGATTCTTGACCCTTGAGTGCAGAAGTATTCCTCTCTCTCGATGTGACTAAACTTGAGTGCTGTGAGGTTCTTTCCCAAAATGACTCTCTGGTTAAGGAGTGCTTAATACTAATGATCGTGCAGCTAGCTTTGCAGTTAGAAATCTGAATTCTATTAAAAGAAGAACTGAAATAGCTAAGATTTTCTTTATTTTTTTTTAAAATCCGTCACTCTATCTGTTTCAGCGAATTTTTGCCACAGCTGTCATCATTCGATCAAAGAAGATATATGGATTCAACAAATTCTTTGCATGATATGCTTTCGGAATGTATAACTGAATCCGATCCAGATTACAACACAACACTTACACCTGATACATTCAACGAAATGCAGCAAGCTCATACTGGTATCAATGTTATAGACATCGACTACCATGGAACTCCTCCTAACTCTCCTGAATTCAGCCTTGTTCAGTTCTCACGTCCAGAATTTTACATTGGTCAGTAGTTGTATCACAAATTTTAAAATTCGGATAAAATTTTTCGCTCAATTTTTAGCTTAGATTTATAGGAAATATTGTTTTATAGATTTGTAGGAAATAGTATTTATCAAAAACGTATTTTCCAAAAAATTGTTTTTTTGCAGCATTTCAAACAAAATCAAAAGATTTTTCTTGTAGAGAAAAAAAAGCAAAAAATAAAGGAGAATTTTGCAACCAGTAAAAATCCTAAAATCTTAATTTATGAAAGACTGACCAAAAGCTAAAATTTTCAGATGAACATATAAACGTTTCAACAATCGAGGCAATTGGCAATCGGCATAAATTTATCGTAACAACCCAAAACCTGGCTGAAGACAGTGAAGAATGTAAAAATGAAGAAGGCAGTTCAATGTTTAATGGAAGAAAATCAAGTCAGAGATCAATGGCATCTTTTTATAATCATGAAAATGGCACCATTAATGGTAAATCCCCTCAACTTATCCTACATAACGATTCATCATTAAGTTATCATTGAATAATCAATGCAGTGTGACTGGGATTAAATTTGAGTATAGTACCACTATAGGCGCCGCTGGATTCTCGACTTATCCTTAAATGAACAAAATTTTTAATCACTTTTCCTCCATAGATCACCTTTCGTCTTCAGTCAAAAGTGAACATTATGGGAATGGAACACATCTCCATCCAAAAATTAAACTTTTTCATCGATTTGGCTAAACCACATAAATTTCCATAAAACGACAAAGATCGTTCGTAAAACTTTCAAATTTTTCATTTACCAAATTTCAGAAATATTTCCATCACCAACGACTGAGGATTGTATATTCAACAATTTCTTTAATCCAACATGTAAACAACGATATATGGGATTTTTGACTCATCCACAAGAAAGTTCGGAGGGCACTGCATCACAATACGAAACTATCGATGAAGCAGTTAGGAACGGGTATTTCAATCGACACCAAATCAACGAGCAACAAATTTTGTATGGGACACCAAACCATCCTAATGCTAGTGAAGAGCACAACATCAGTAGATAAATGAGTAATAATAATGCTAAGATAAGGGTCTGTATATCTAATTATAATAAATTAGGATATCTAAGCAGGTGCATTTACTAATATAGGAGCGATTAAATAAGTTCTTTCACCTGAAACTATCACTCAACTACCAACATCCCAATCCATGCTTCTAGTCAAATTCTTGAACTTCATCCATAATCAAATTCAAATTTTCATTTTTTCAATTAAAGCTTAAGCTAAATTTCGTCAATCCTTTCGTACATTTTCGTGTTATGAGAAAAATAAGCAAACAAATAAATAATTTTTATTACTTTCCAGAACCAAAAGCAATAAGCAAGTCAGCCCACCTCATTCCAAAATCAGAATGATTCGTATATAACTGAATAAAGGCTATTAAAAATTTTCGAACAGTGTTAAAAGTGAAATCCAAGATCAATTTCGATATCAGCCCAATAATTTACCTTATTACTCTACTCAGTTTCGTCCCATAAAATTTGCCAAAAACCGAAACCAATCCAACAATCTTTTAAATTCATAAATTTTTAAAATTTATGGAAGAGATTAAAGTTTCCAAATTTATTGATAAATAGACATGCAGTAATAAATTATAATGAAAAATTCAACGGAGACATCTTCACCCGTACAAAATTAAAAAAAAAAAAAAACAGGTTATCTACAGAAATATCAGCTGAAGAACTGCCAATCTTCAATAGGGAAAACATGTGAACATAGAGAATCATGACGGCAGAACATATATTAGTATCGTCAACACCGATCAAATTCTACTTAATTTCTAAGTTCTAAAATTGATCAAAAATAGAAACATCGAGGTCATCCATTTCAATCATATTTAATAAATAATCATGGTCGTCACCCATCGCATAAGGATTTTCGTCGCCATTTCTGGAAAAGACTGAATTCAGTATCAAATTTAATAAACTATTATTATTACTAAGTAAATAATTAAATAAAAAATTTTATTTTATTTTAACATAAATTCGAAATCATAAAATTTTAATTTTGGAATTATGTGTAATAGTTCATCATCACTGCCCCAAAAACCTCATTTCAGTAAAACTGATCTACTTATAAAAATTTTTTTATAAAGGATAAAATAAGCTCCTTAAAATAAAAACAAACCATACTTGTTGGTCGTTTCAGCGACTGAAGCTTTTGTTACTTGTTCACTTTCTAACGAATTAAAAAAACTTAATTATCAATTTAATTTAATTTAAATTAAATTAAATTCAAAAATTATAAAAATTTGAAAAAAAAATTTCTCTACTAAGAATTATCAGAAAATTAATTAAGAGGAAAAAAGCACGAATGCTACTTCCACAGAAATATTTCTATGTCCATTAAATCAAAAAATTGCTAAATCCCCGTTTCTTTGACAATAAAACATTATTACTCTAGGAAAAAAAGTGATTTAAAAATTTCATTGAAAAATTTGAGTAAAAAATTTTAAAAATTTAAATATTCTCCAATGAGAATCATCCCTACGTTATTGATAAGTAAAAATAACTTGAAATTTATCAATAGTTTATCAATGTGATTAAATTTTCTTACTAATTAGTTGTACTTGGTTTTTTCCCTCGCAAGAATTTGATTCTTCATCATCCGATTCGAAACGAAAAGCTGAGAAATCTGAAAAATATTTTTGGAATCTCGTAAAAATGACAAAAAAAACTATATATATATATATATATACAAAGTACTCATTTCAAAATAATATTGATTTCTACTAGAGAGATAAAGAATTGATGGGTCAACGTATTAAATATTAAGGTCAATCAAAATCTCAATGAATGAAATCATTGAAAATATCCATTCAACATTGGAAAGTTGGTCTTCCAATCTGTGACCGGCACGTTGTCACTCAACCCACATTTTTACCATACCTTTATTCGGTCCGAATATAAAATTTTGGGTGCTTTTGTGTTATGTGGGCAGCCAGTATCACTTGACTTATCAGTGAGGAAATGGCTGACAGGACATAAATTAATAATGCGAGACATAAAATGAATAACTGGTGAGAAATTCAATTCGCCTGGGAATGGAAATTATGGAAACGACGAAGGATGGATGGAACGCGAAGATCGCTCCGATCACTCAACAGTGTTGCCCCACATAATCAAGCACAGCAGCATGTAAAACTGATACATCTTTATTCACCAAAAAAACGAAAATCTTCGATAAATGTGAATTATTTCTCACTTATTGCCTTCAATGGAAGCAAACTGGATGAAAGAGAAAGCGTACAAATTGTGGGCTTCGTTCCTTGATGGGTTAAACCTACAAAACGATGCGAATGTCCCCAACCTCGATTGAGATTCCTTTGAGAAAAACATTTGAAGCATCACTATTAGAAGCATCAAACGCTTATTTTTCTAGAGAACCTTTATAATTGAAAAATAAACTTTAGTTAAGTGAATCGATATCGAACCAGTGACCAGCTGACGAATTTTATGTTCCCTTTATTGTTGTCCAATTATTAATACGCTTAGAACTCCATAATATGTCAAATAACCGTGAAAAGAAGTACAATGTTGTTTTTGTTTTGGGAGCACCAGGAAGTGGTAAAGGTACACAGTGCCATCTTATTGAACAGGTAAGGAAGCATTTTCAGTACCTCCAATGCCTCTTCACAAAGAAAAGTCCAATTTGTCTTTTATAGTTTCATGCAATTTTGCTTGGAATTTGCAATTAATTCATCAGAAATTAATAATTTGCAAAGATTTTACTAATTAAGGTAAAAATTATAAAAAATAAAAAAAATTATTTACTGAACTTTTACAGTTAACTGCCCCAACTGAACTGAAATTTCTATGAACACTTCAATTTTCGCTTAAAAAAATTTTTATTTTCTATTTTACTTATACATCAAAACATAAAATCTAAGTATTTAACCTTAAAGTCAAATGGAAATAAACTTATTTGAAGAATTATGGCTTCGTACATCTTAGTGCCGGTGAACTTCTTCGTCAAGAACAACAGCGTAGCGAACCAGGATTTGGTGAAATTATAAAAAAACACATAAATAACGGAACAATTGTACCCGATGAAATCACTTGTTCACTTATCGAACGAGTAAGTTTTTTCATAAATTATATGGAGATTATTTTTTGAATCTGATGATCTAATTTGAAGAAAGAACTCTGCAATAAGCGAGTTTTTATCACTTAAGGCAATGGATGAATGTCAATGCCCGAAAGGTTTCATTATTGACGGTTATCCTCGGAATCAAGATAATTTCGATGGTTGGCAACGTAAATTGGCCGATAAAACAAAGACTTGTTTCGTGCTTTACTTATATTGCAATGAAGAAGTTAGCTTTATTTTCGCTGTTGGTGAATAATTCATGACGATTTTTTCTTCTCTTTTCAAGAGCGAACGACTGGCACTGCTTTCTTAATTAATTTAGATGATGCAAAGTTTAAAGCGGAGACTGGCAATGCTTTCTTAATTAATTTAGATGATGCAAAGCGGACCCACCAACATTAGTCATCCTCTCGCAAAGAGATGGTATCATCCTAGTAGTCAAAACAGTCAGACAAACCAGGAATAAAAAGTAATATTAGGAAAGGCCAAATTTTAAATAAGTGATAAAGTAACTGATATTTATAGGAATGTTTAAGAAGATGCTTAAAGCGTGATGAAGGACGTAGTGATGACAATGAAATCTCGTTGCGGAATCGCATAAAAACCTATCATACTTATTCATTGCCAATTATCGAATATTACAGATCACAAGGAATTTTGCGAGAAATATTCGCAATGGATTCAGTAGAAAATGTTAGTTGCCTAAATCCAACAGCGAAAAAGTCGAAAACGGTAACTGATCAAACTGGTCGGTTCAAAAAAGAATTTCTTATTCAAAACTTATAAAGTTAAATGTTCTGTCATGTTATAAATTAAAATCATGAATGTTCGCAAGTTTAGATATTTTTAATAATATTAAATCACATTTTAGGTATTTGAAAATGTACGGAAGGTATTCGATAATGAACGTTTTACATGATACAAATTTCTCATGAATTTTTCGAGTTCCACTTATTCCTGTTACGTAATATCTGATATACGTTCGTCCAAAGTTTTTTATTGGGATTTTTGTTAAAAATTCTTCTAATGGAAATTGTTTTTTGAAATAAAAAATCTGTCTAATTTTTCTTTTTTTATTCTAAAAATATGACCAATTTATTAGAATAATCTAAATATTCAAAAAAAAAGTTTCTACACGGGATAGAGAATGCCAATATTGTGGGAAAAACTGTGGGTAAACGAATTTTGATCGGAATTTAATCATTTGAAAAAATAGTTCAATAAATAAATCTATCTGCCGAAAGAAAAACTCTATAAACTAGCTTACAGCTTAAATTTGGCTGATTCGACCGTTTTTTACATGGAGTATTCGTAACAGAATAACTTCGTTGCTTATTCGGCTGAAACTCAATATTTTTCTTTTCGCCATTGCTTTTTTCTGAAACAATTTTAAAAATTAGTAGGTTAAAAACTACTAATCTTAAAAATTAAAAAACTACTAAAATCCTAAATTCTCGAATGCATCTCATACTTATTCAGAGATGGTTTAGTATTATGTTTATTCGACTGAGGTTGGAATCTCATAAATCCGGTTCTTATCCCTGACTCGTTGCTGTGAAAGAAGTCAAGGTGGTGCTGAAGATTAATTTCTCCAAACGATTCTTTGATGTGTGAGATCTTATATTAACAAAATAGCGAATGCGAATGTAAGAAGAACAAATAAGAACAAATATCTATTCCTGGTTCGAGTTTATAAGGCCTAATGTTGGAATGGAGAATTTATCAAAATGAGAAAATTAAATTATCAAATGAAAAATTATCCAGACACCTTTTATTTCTTTTTCTTTGTTTTCCTTTGCCATTTTTTCCAAATTATTAATTTCTTTCTCCTTAATTTGGTCAACTCCGTTGTTTACCGCTCTACTTTTGAAAAAGGTATGCAAATTTAAACCTCGAATATTTTTAGATTCCTTAACCATTATAGAAGCTTCAGGCAAATTAGTGAAGACAACCTCTATTTGATCATCATCATCATCAGATAAACTTTTATGCTTTTCAACTGAAGGTGAAGTAAGCCTTATACTGGATTTTGGGTCCTGTAAGAATAAAGGAAAACTGTCAAGACTATCAAATGAAAAATCATCGGATGAAATATTATTGGCTCGATTATTATTGAAATTCAAAGATGCATTTTCCACTTTTTTTTTAGGCCGTTTTGCAGCTAAATGAAATTCATCATCGCATAGATCCTTTTTCAATACGTCATCAGGGCCTTCTTCTTTGGAATATTTGTCACATCTATTTGCCGCGTCGCAAGACCTGAATGAAGATCAGATGATAAGTAAGAAAATAAATAAATCTGAATAAATCTAAATAAATTTTGATAAATTGCGTATAATTTTCCTTAGCATGGCAGAAAAGAAAAAAAATAGTTTAAAGAAAAAAAAAACTAAAATGCAACTGATTTTTAAAAATTCAAGGATTCAAAAAAAAACCTTCCAATATCTAATAAAAATAACGGAATTAAAAAAGTGAACTAAAATTCAGTTATTTACAGCAGCAACATAAAGTATATTGATAAAAAAGCTAACTTCATCCAGAGATCAGACGAATTGTGCGGCTGAGCACAGATATTGGCTACGGATGATGAGGTGGGTTCAACGGCTATATCTACACTGACCTCGTCATTAATTTTAATATTAGATACGTTTTCTATAAGTAATGAAGAACTCTTTGGCTGACGACGGCCCGATGACTTTTGTCGCTTCAATGCCGGCACAGTCTCGATCATTTTATCCACAAATGCTACCTTTGAAAACAACTATTTAGGACAGAAAATGAGGAAAAATAAATAAAAATGAAAATAAAACAAGAGATGCCAGAAAACTTAAAGCAAATTTTTGAAATTACCAAACTGTCGTTACGCCGCATAAGCATCCTTATATCACTCACATTCACAATAGATCTCCTTCCATGCCTTAAAAAATTTATGAAGTATTCAACGAAAAAAATAAAATAAAAAAATTTTCGATCCAAACTCAATGAGTAATTTATGTAGATAGAATTAAGAAAACCACATAAATTAAAACAATACCTTGCAAAAGCAAGAAGATCGTTAGGCCAAGTGGAGCACAATACTTCAGTGACAACTATGGCCACTTGTGCGATAAGTTCCGGCTGAAATTCCATAGATTGATTTTCATACCGAATTTTCTCGGCCACCTCATCCGCAATTTCTAGACAAGCATGATGTATCGCTTGCAACAAATGCTAAAAGAATTAAAAAATTAACCATAAATGATAACCACTCTCATATCATTATATCGATTGTAAATATAAATATCATTGTCCGCTTAACTTTCCACGAACGATGGCACACTGCCGATAGACCAATTAATATTACGATATATTTTGTTTTGATAATAAATTTGGCCAAAGTATTTGATACCATCATTTCCCACAGTAAGTTGCTGGTTAACATTAGTAGCTATGGAATTATAAAGAGCCTGTATAACTGGATATTAAATTACTTAAAGAATCGACGTATCAATAATACTTTTTCAGACTTGGCTCCAGTCAAAACAGACGTTCCTCAAGGTATCCCATCTTTGCTTTCTTTATTACATTTTGATATCACCAAAATCCTACTAACTCTACATTTGTCTTTAAGCTGATGGCTATAAAATTTATTATTCTCACAACAGATCGAATAATCGGATAACTTATCTCCGATAATCTATAAGTTTTTGACCTCAGTAGGATTGCCAACTGGTTTTATGATAAGTAAATTAACCTTTCCATTCAAAAATGTAGTGTTTTACATGTAAATTCGGAATGATTCAATCTTTCTGAGCTTTTTATTAATAGCAAACATAATTAGATGAGTCCCGAATATCTCAAATCTTGGAATAATTATAGATGGAAATCTTGATTTCGACCATCACTGCAGAACTATAGTAAACAAATCCTCAAGAATACTAAATTTTATTTTTCGCCCGTTTAAAAGTAGAAATGAAGGTGCTTTCTTATTAAAACGTACAAAGCGTTCGCTTGGCCTCTTCTTTAGTACAATATAACCTGTTACTCTCCTAGATACCGTAAGAAAATTAATTGGAAGACTCCAGAAATATTTTATATATCGCTTCTTCCCAATCTTGATTATAATAATATAATAGGTATATAATATAATAATAATAATTATAAAATGCAACTTCAACTCTCAACTCGTCAAATTCAGCAAAATTTAGTTTAATCAATATTTATGTAATTCTATATGATTATGTCAAATCAGATTGTTCCAAATATATTTTTAGATTAAATTTCGACCCAGCAAGATCTAATGGACCAAAATTACTAAAACTTACGTGCCAAGCTAAATTGAGAATTCTGACTTTTTCATTCGCACCATTAATTACTGGAAGAAGCTATCGAACGATGTGGCTTGTGCATGGTTATTTTTAACTATTTTAAAAAAAGGTTACTTAAAAACTTCAAATTATGTTCCAGGAAGTTCCAAACTGCGATTGCCGTCCGATTATGCAACTGTGATAGATTCAGTTCGAATTACGCTACTTTATATTTCTCTTTATTTCCTTTACACTGTTATCTTATTTTGCTTATTTTTTTTTGTATTTTTTTCACCAACTTTCTTCATTTGTTATTTTTCAATGCCGCTTGTTGTCCTCCTTGGTCAATTTCAATAAACAGCAATAAATATTTCATTTTACAAAAACTATCTTCTAACTATCTTTTTCTAAAGAATATTTGAAAGATCTTGAAAATAAAAAATAATCTCGAAGCTTTAGAATTTATTCAACGATATGAACAAGTGAATCCTCAATAATGAATTTTTTTAAAAGATTCATCCTTAAATGTAAAAATCTATCCATATAAACATCAGAATCGATAAAAGTAAAGAAGTACTCAATTTCTCTACCACCAAATTCGACTTTTGCCCCTGCCAAGATTGAATCTCGCATTGAAAAATGGCAGTGGTGCTGTAGCTTCCCAAGTTGTTCTGTGGAAAAATGGTATTTGTAAATGTACTAACTAACAGCAAATGTGGTAAGCCAAACCAGAAAGACACACTTAAACACTTTACTACTTTTTCATTGAAAATGAACATTAGTATGCTTTTAAATGTTCAATTAATACGACTAAATTCGTATTCTATATCAAAAAAGCAATGAGGAGAACAATAATTAAAGTAAACTACGCAGTTTCAAAAAGCTTTAATCTCCTAACAGTATAAAACTGAAGCACACTCTTAGAGAGCGGTTGAACCATTGCACTGTTCTCGATTATTGGTAGCTTTAGTCTTAGATTCTCCAGCTGAGGAAATCCAGCATGACAAATGTCAGCCGATTCTGGGCGCTATGAGCTGCAAGCTGTGGCTGCGTATAATTAGACTTATGATATAGAGAGATGATAGCACTAAAAACCCCATCCAAATATCATGTAAGTATGCCTGTTCGAAACCCTTCTTCCTAATTCTCGGACCAGAAATGTAGCTATATCTGATCCGGATACTATTTATTGCATCATAATGCTTCAAATAACTCAGGAAGAAATGAGTTGCGGCTGTCATATCCGAAATCATATCCGAAATGGCAGCGTTGGCCCTAATCGTATGGAATCCTGTTAAAGATAGCTGGCTTATGTCATATTTTGCGATCATCAGTCTCTCTGGTCCTGCAATGTGCACAGATAACAAGGATGTATCCTCCTTCTGCAATTTTGAATTATGGATAGACTTGGTTATTGACATCGCTCACAGGCAATAAAGATATATAGAAACCACTTCAAAGCATGTGCCATAAACCTTGAAAACGCTGATGATGATGCCATTTGCAACATTAAACTGACAACTGAACGCAGAAGTAAGCTAAATCAGCAATGATGTGAGCTGCTAGAAGAAAAAAGAAAATTGAAGCAAATCAATAAAGCTAAAATTAAAATGAGATAAGTTTGAATATGAAAAACTGGGATTATCTATAAATTTTTAACTCTTTTCCAGTCCAAAGGCAAAGAAAATTTCTTAAAAAATTCTTAGAAATTCTAACTACAAAGCTGTCAAAACTCAGCTGATTCGCAATTTTGCAACAAATTTTTTCGATGATATTTTAAATAAAAGATATTTTCCATTAACCAACATTAAGTTTTCTTAGCGAAAACTTATAAACTTATGGTATATAAACACACCATTAACAAAACAATGAAATTAAATTAAATTAAAATTAAAAATCAAATAAGACAGAGAAATAAATTAGATAAATTATAAATTTAAGCATTCTTTTTATGCAAGCAAAAAAATAATGGAACGATGGAATCACTGGAATTTTGATCAAGATTTTCGAAATAACTATTAAAAGGGAATTTTAGATGATATACATTCCAGTAGAGTTTTTGCTGATTTACTAGAATGATAAACCCTTCAGCCGTACCATTTCTCCTAGGCGCCATAATATAGGCAATACCATCGTTCTTTAAATAATTATCAATACAATCAAGCAATACGTTATGAGATTCAACAAAAAACAAACAATCTGCACAAGCGATAATATCAAACTGCCCAATATCAAGTCGGTCATTCCAGTCTAACTGCAAACATTCAACACGATGATGATGAAATAAATTGTTCCTTTCAAAAATTCGCTTGAGATTCTCGACTGATTTTTTATGTCCATCAGTTATTACAACTCGGTTTGCATTAGCTGTAATCGCTGCAAGTCCAATAAGACCCGTCATACCTGCTCCAATTTCCAATAAACTTTTATGCTCACATAAATCTTTATTTAATAAAAAATAATATGCCAGACATTCTTCTGAAGGCCATAATCGTATGTTTCCAGTATTATTAAAGCCAATTAAATCATCCAATGGAATTCTTTCAGTTGAATATAAATGTAAATCATAGACGAAATTATCTTTACTTACATGGTACCAAGAACCACATTCTGATGGATCTGATTTTTTTATTGCATCGAAAATTATAAAATTCTGTTCGCTTCGATAATTTTCATCTCGTAGTTTCAATAAATTCCTTGAAAGTAATCGCCATCTATATCTTGCAAAATCTCGTCGCCGTTTCACTTGTTTCTCGTCATGTTTCAACTAAATTTCTTAAAATCGATAATAATATTTCATAAATGATCCAACAAAAAGAGAAGAAACAAGCCTTCACAAAAAAATAAGCTTAATATTAATTAAACTAGGTAAAGCATCAGAGATTTGAATCCTTTGACTAAACACGTCACTGAAACGAAAAATCTCTTTTTGACTGCTAGCGATCTACTTGCTTCCCCAAATGACTTTCAAGTGAAAGGACCTCGTCCAAACAGTCAGTTCACATCAGTAAGAAATGATGAGTGCCGACGTAAGAAAAAAACTACAAAAATAAAGATCACAGAGGAAGTAAACTTCAAAAAACTGAATAAAAATCGAGAATATCTCAGAAATAACTCGGACATCGAAATATGAAGAAATATTCGCGCCATCGTTCAAAATTTGTGCAGAACGCAAGAAAGTAACAAAATTAGTATGCAAAATTAGTAAATAAAGAAATTTAGCAAATAAACTATGTGAAATCGGATTAAAATTTCGAAAAAACTTTTAAAAAAAATAGAAATTTCTGGCATTTTACGTCATTTTCAGTGTAATTTAGGATTTTTGGCTATTGCAGAATTCTTAAAGAAATCTTTGGCTATTTGAAAAAGCCTTTTGCTAAAGTTTTACAACAATAACAACGTGCAACGCCATAAAAATGGTTCTTAAGAAAAATTTTCAATAAAAAAAACCAAGAAATAAAAAAACAAATAGAAAATAAGACAGAAAAATGCAATAAATGCAATAATAACAAAATAATAAAATTAAAAAAAATATTTTTATGAAGGAGGAAAACTCACATCTTTTTCATCGATTCGGCTTTCCTTCGAATTTACGCAATTATTCAAATTATTCAAATCGCTTAAATCAATATTACCATTCATCTTAATAAATTTTTCAGTCATTTAACTGCTATCTGAAAAGATTTTAATCTATTCAGCCACTCGAATTGAATTGAATATTTATTAAATATGCGATATAATAAAAAATGAAGATGGCAACCCACGTGACTCAGGCGAAACGATTCATGCAAAACGACTCACGCAAAAACGATTCATGCCTACTCTTAACACACACAAACAAAACCGAAACAGAAATGATAAATTTTGTTAAGGAAGTTATTTTAAACGATGAGAGACTCACTCTAATTGATAAGTGATAAGTGATAATGACAAGAAGCTCAACTTAAAGCAGTTTAGAGACTGTCGACCATTGTTCGACTCTGCCGTCTTTCAAAATTCTTAAATGACCAGCTGATTATTGGCTGATCAATATTAGAGTGCGGCTTCGGCTTCGGCTTCAGGTTATCTTAGATCGCTGAAGAATGCCTTATTGCTGAATTGCTGAATGGTGAATTCGTGCATTAGCTAAATTTTGCGGAAATTCTCCTTTAAATTGGAGAATGGTTACAGTCCGGGGACCGAATTTTGCCAGTTATGGTGATCGGCAAATAAATGTGTTGTGTCGATATATATTATGGATATACATTTTAAATGTACATTAGACGCTCTGCACATTTAAAATGTAATCTAAACACAAGGAAATGCGTATTTAAGGCTAACTTAAGTGGTTTAAACTGTGAAGCAAAGTTCTGTGAAGAGCATCGCGCATATTGAAAGCATTTAATTTTGGAAAACTAATATGGTTGAGTCAATTCGAATGCAAAATTAGGTACCGTCCATTACGCAGATTGAATGCATCGTTCAAATTTAACAAATTTTACGAAAAGGACGGTGAGACATATAATCTATTCGCCAATAAAAGATGCTTGGCACGGCTTGCTGGCATTATTTATTCTCATCGCAATAGTGTCAGCCAAATGAGAATGTTTGAACCATTAACGAAACAACGTCTTATAAAAGAAAAAATAAGAGAGGGCCAGAACGATATGATAATAGGTGATAATAGGTGACATTGTATGATGTATTGTGGACAAATTACTTTAAATTAATTGAAATAAAAATTTACATGGTCGATTTTTAAAATTTTATAAAATAAATCATTTTAAATTGTTGGGTCTCAAGTGGAAAGTCTGGTTACAGTGCTTTTCTTTCCACTTTATCGTTTGGATAATTTCGAATTTCGAGACGTTTTTTAATCATCCATTTTCCATAATGATAATTTTATTGATAGGCTGATAATGGGGGTCTTATCTTTTGATCCATCTTTATTGTAAACAATGATAGATGGAGTAAAAATCATTGTTGTTCTCGATTTTACAATTTAAGTTTTCCAAAGTCCTTTTTAATTTTTATGAGTTTTATCTGCATGGTTTTTCCTCTGCGTAATATTCTTCTTTGATTGACGAACGACCGAAATAAACTCGTCAAATTTTGTCTAATCTCACTAAAAAAATGTACGAGTTTGAGTGAATTATTAAATTCGTTTATTTGTATTGTACATTTTGTGTTTCTTTTGCTAACTCTTTCCTCGGCACTTCGCCAATTAATATTTTGCTTTTATCACAGTGGCTCTGTTTAATATTGCATTGGGCTTAAATTTTATTTCACGAATACTTCCCAATTGAACTTTTTATTGCATCTAATTTTTAAAAATTAAATGATCAATGAGAAATGAGAATGCTATCGACGGTGTTTTTTGCGAAAGTCTGATATTTGTAAATGATTCAGATTTTTTTCATATAGATGCTCGCAACAACTGCATTTCCGTTAAGAAATGGCTTGAAATTTGGGAATTTATTGTGCGGGAATCCAAAACGAACAATGTATCAAAATCCATACATTAATCGATTTAAAGAAAGGAGCAAAGTTTCACCTGATTTTCCCAAAAAAGCAAGTCTTTAAATTTTTATTGTGTACTTTTATCATAATTTCTTATCATATATAAGAAGTTTCTAAATTAATCACCACGGTAAGTCACAAAGCGTTTAAGTTCAAAAGTAATTCAAAAAAATAGATTGAAATAATTCAACTGTCGGAACAAATAAAGAGGAGAATGGAAACTGAAATTTTCGCTTAGTTATTTTTAATAAAAATTTTTTAATATCTTTTGGTTTCATATTTTATGAAGTTCCGCTTCTTTAATAGCTTTCTTTGGACAATTAGAATTAATCAAAGTTTAATAATTTTTTCTTTTTTACTTTAACAATAACGAAAGTATAAAGATGTGGCGGATGTAAATGAGTTGCACGCTACATTAAGGTTCAGTTGTGTAGCTTCAATTTCTGTCCCTTGATAGATACAAATCTGTCATTAAAAATGAAATGATTGATCAGTTCTGCCTCTCTGTCTCCACTATCTGATGAATGGGAACATAGCTAGAAAGATTGAAAGAAATTAATTTTGCAGACAACTGGTCTGACGGGTTTATTCGTTAACGAAAACCCTCATCGTTCACTAAAAATTGTTTATGGTCGAATTTTGCGCACTTTGGAGGAAATTCCAGTATCAGCTGCTTATAGAAAATATACTGAACAAGTTATAAAACGAAGGCTTGCAATAGTTGAACAGGTAAGTGAGAAATTTTATGAATGCGATTATTTCCATTTCATTATAAAAATTATAATTCAATTTTTTAATTCATCATAATTACAATATTAAAGGAAAGCGATATCGAAAAGCTTGAACAAAAAATTGGAATGGGTCAAGTTGAAGAGTTAATTGAGCAGGTAAATAATATTTCTGAATCATATTTATGAATTCAAGAAATTCGCAAAAAGTCTATTGTAATTAATGTTTCATCTTTATTCTACTCGTTAAATTTAAATTTAGGCTGAGTATGAACTTCAAGCAGCACGCGCAGTTCTAGATAATAAAGCTTGGGAGGATTTAGTGGAAGTTGCTCCGGAGGAACAGTGGAGATGGCCTATTTGATGCTATCTTTTAAACGTTATAGATGTGTATCTCATTTTTATCTATGTAGCGAACATACATAATAAATATATGATATCTCAGGCTGTTTTGCGCAGTTTTTGTATTATCTAAAATAATACTTCCCGCTTTTATAGAATCTTTTTTTATGTAAATAGTGTTTATAACACTATTATTTGGTGTGGCATATTTTTCAGGAAATTTTGGTTTTTTTTGTTTGAATAAAATATTGATGGAATTTAATGAAACATACTTTCCCGGATCAGTAAGTCTTTTGGATCAACTGGACAAAAAAATGTTAGTAATTCTGCGAGATGGAAAAACGTTGATTGGATATTTGAGGTATGAATCTTCGTTTTAATTTGGATTTCATACTGGAAAAGTATAGGATTGGATTTTCATTGAGTGGATCCCTAATTTTTATGGGTTTATATTCTTTAAATTTTAGTTTCTGAATATTATTTACTAATGATTATAAAATGAAAATTCAAAGGACAATTGATCAGTTCGCAAATTTGGTTTTGCATGAGGCTCTTGAACGGATATATTTTGAAAAATATTATGGAGATATAGATCGTGGTGTTTTCCTAATTCGTGGAGAGAATGTTGTTTTGGCTGGTGAAATTGATGAAGAGAAAGAAAAAAGGGCAGGTTGGTTTCTTTTTAAAAAGCACTGAAAAATTTAAAAATGATTTCTTTATATTTCAATAATATTTATTTTTGACTAATAGGAGAATACTAGTATTTTAATGGAGATTTCTTGATTTATAAATTTAATCGATTTATATTCAAATGTTTATTTTTAGACTTAATACGATTGCCAGTCGAGGAGATTTTGGCAATGCAGCGCCAAAAAGCAGAAGAACAAGCGAAATACGAAGAAGCAAAAAATAGGATATTGCGAGGACGTGGATATGTGAGTGCGTTACAAGATATAATGACTGAAGAACAATACTGACTTTATTTTATAAAATTTTTGCAAGGTTTACTTCTTATTCAACCGGCTTTCTCGTTGTTCGCTTTCACGCACATCACGCTTTCTTTATACTGTTGAAATGGTTTTCTAAATGTTTAAGCCAGAAATTTTATTAATAGTTTTTGTGATTTTATATCTAATTACTAATTTTTCCATGGTGCAAAAACCCTTAGGGTCATCTTTTAAAACAGGTTTTCTAAGGCTTAGTCTGTTATATAATTTGGTATTGGTATCTTATGTGATTTTACTTTTTGAAACCTGTTGTATTCCTTTGAGATTCTCACGAACTTTAATAATGTCTCGGTCATATTTCTGGCGCTTTTACTACTGCAACAAATATTTTCTATCTTTATTCTTTCAATGAAAGACATTTTTTTCCACATTTTCTACTCACCTAATAATCTTTTTCTGTAATTTTGATGTTATTAGTTAATGAGTTTTGCCACTGTATTATTTATAATGCAGTGGAATTGTAATAGTTATCCATAAGACATTTTCTTGCAAAATTTACGATGCTAATGGAAGATGAGTGGAGATGACAAGTATTTTGAAGATGGTTAAAGATAATGGAAAATATAATGGGGATCTGAAGTATAATAAGAAGAAATGAGCAGAATGTGTGAGGGTAAGTTATTTAGTATATCGATGTCTATATTAACTATTATGTCTATTGTTCCATTTTAATATATTCGAAAATTTTTTTCTATACGGGAATATGAGCCTATCATGTTGTTTATCTTTCTGATAATATTTTTTCCACTGAAGGAGAAATCAATATGGTAATAATTCTGATGATTTATCAATTAGTTTGTCTCGCATTTTAATCTATTTTTTATAAAGTTTCTAGATTTTTTAAATTTTTTCTTCTCACTTTCCTTCTGGAAAATAGGAAAAAATGTAAGGGAACGAAAAAAATATTTAAAATATTTGGATTTTTTATGATATTTTTTCGTTTCATTCTAAATAATGTTACATTTTTTATTTTTCGTGCAAGTTTTTTTTTTTATTTTGTTTATTTTAAACAAATTGTGATAAATTATTTGTTAAAAAAACTTGTTTTTTAGGTGGATTCACCCATATTTTTTTGTGCTTAATTTAACGATTTTTTTCTTTTCTATTTTGGTTCCGATATGTGTCATTCAAAATGGGCTATCTAAAATTTTATCCCCAAAAATGATTGCCTAGGGATATCACTTTAATTTCTCAGAGTAAGACAAACCACAGAGAAATAGAGGGTGTTGGAGCTGAAAATGGAGCGAACGTTTTATTGATAATCTTATCAATAATTGTCAATTTTGTTGGAAATAATCCTTTGCAAATAATTCTTAACTATTTTTGTTCGTTCAGTTAGTGCTTGTTCATTTGATATTCAGCAAATACTTTGCTGTGAAGTTTCATGGATTGATGTGGCTGAATAAAGAGTTGATCAATTAAGGATAAAATTTTATATTTAAATAATTCATAATAATTCACGAAGGTTCGTTGCTTTTAAATAATATCGTTTTTTAAATAAACGAGCTAAGTTATCATTCAATAATTTGTCTTGTAAGTGACCTAATTGCGCGAGAATTTTAATATTTTGTTGGGTTTTGCTAACGCAATTTAACTAGGAGCCGATAGTAATATTTAATTTAATAACTCTGTCGGATAGCTTCTATTTTTATGTTTTATTCTAAAAAATTTCTTTTGTTGTAATAGTTTATTTAAGGTAAATTAATCTGGAAATGTATTGATCTCGCACAGAGTTTTATTATCTATCGTTTGATCTCCCTAATTTATTCTTACTTGTTCCTGGTAACATTACCGGTTGAAATCGATTTGGAGACTGAAAAATTCTTTGGTTTTCCCAACAAAGTCTAAAGGTTTATCAAACTGGCCACCACTTTTCTTCATTTTCTTCGTATGTTTTTTGCTTTAATTTTATTTCATTTTTTTGGTTTATGATTGTCCAAAGTGACGCATTTTTTATCAGTTGTTTATTCAAATTTCTCTGAATTTTATCGCGTTAAGAAGATTAACGTTAATTTTAGATTTTTGTCCTTTAATGATCTTTATCATTTTCTCTTTAATGAAAAATTATCATTCTCTTGGATTCTAATACTGTCAAATGTGTTTTCAATGAACTGCAGTTAAATAAAACGATTTATAGGGCTAAAATCACATCTCATAATTTTTTCATTGGCTATGCTAAATGTTGGAACAAGGTTTAGCGTAATATTTTTCAAATTCCATCCGTCTATTTAATTTTAAAAGGGAATTTTTTAATGTGATAACTATTTAAAATATATAGTATAATGGCTATAATCACTATCATTTAAAATTGCACTGCTTTGTCAGTCCTATCAGTCTTAGCCCATTTTTTTATTTCGCAATATTTAATCATCATACATTTTTAATTTTTATCTAATGTATTGGTACTAACACCAGTATTTATAATACGCACCTTTTTATGTATCTTAAGACAGATTTTTTCATATGAAAGTGGTTAAAATGAATTATTTATATATATATTATATATATTTGTTTTATCCATTATATATTATATATTTATTCCATTGTTTTATCCATTTTATAAAATCCTACTCCTATTTGTAATATTTATTTTAAAATTTAATACAAAATATTTTTATTTAATAAATCAGAGCGAATGGATTTCAGACAAATTTTAGATTTCTCTGAAATCAAATTTTAGATTTCATTTTTTTTTGCTGATTTTTTGACCTTTAGAACTTTGACTAGTTGCGAGTGACCTTTTGACCTTTTTATAAATCGACTATCAACCTTAAGGCAAAATTGTTATTTTTAATGTAAAAGATTTAAAAAATTAAATATTAAATATTTTCATATTGATCCAGAAATTTTAATAACAATAATCTTTATCCTTTATTTTTTTTTAAATAAATTTATTGTATTCTTTTTTTTCTCTTTTCTTTGCAAATTAAAGAAAAATTAAATGAAAACGATGGTACTTCGCTCGGTATTTCACTTGATTTTTGAGGTTTTTTTCGAGGAAAAAATGAAGTAATTGTAGAAAGGAGGAAGAAAAAAATCGATGAGTGGTGGTTGTGTTATTTGAGCGAAGCGTTAAATTCCATTGAATTAAAAATTGATTGGACGCCGATATTTTAAATATTTTTTCTGCCTTCGCTTTATAAAATTTTTTCTTTGATTTGATTTGGATTTTGAAGAATTTAATCGATTTTAAATGGAATTTTAAGCGAAAAAATTTGAATTAAAGCAGTGAATTTGTTTGATGCGCAAATATTGACATTGTCCAGCGGCCAAGTCTATTATCACCCTCTTATCAGATTTTATCTTTTAGCAGCTCTCGTGCAGGTGACATTAGCGAAATTTTTTAGATGCACCTTATTTTCTTTACCTTTTAAATCTTTGTAAATAAGAGGTTTTTATTGGAATATGCAGTTGATATTTTTTAATTCATTATACTCGAATCAAGCGTTGCTTTTCATCCCCCTCCCTTCTCGATATTCGGTCCAGGAGAATGCTAAATTAACGGGTCTTCGGGTCTTCAAGATTTATATATTAGTTTCAAATGAAAGCTGCGAATTATATACCAAAATTCATCAATTCTTAGTCTTTGCTTTGTGTTTCCCTTGTTCTATGACCGTTCAAAGTTGCGTGGCCCTGTTTGCGTGATGGTATGTTTTGCTGCGATGGGCTCGAATAAAACACTGATATGTTGTATTTTCGCGTTTCTTAACGGTCTATTCCATTCTTGCCACACTTTCATTGTTCCAACATTTTATTGTGCTTTCCATATGATTTCTCTTCAATATGTATCATATTTCGCATATCTTTTTAGTCATAAATTATTTATGAAGAATAGAACAAAGCTGTTTTTGTTTGCCGTTGGTTGTCAACCGATTGAAAACCGATTTAGATGGAAGTGAATTGGACAAAACTGTAGTGAATATTCCTCATCGACCTAATTAACTTTTTCATAATTAATTATTTTCAGGGAATTATTCACCAATTACTAACTCTAATCTAACTCCAATCACCACTAACAATACTGCGAAAATCTGCGTAAAATATTTGACAACAATATCAGCAATGACGAATAGCACTGAGGAAGTGCACAGTGTGGTTTTTGTTTTAGGACCACCGGGATGTGGTAAAGGTACGCAGTGCTATCTTATTGAACAGGTAAGTAATTGTTTTTAATGGCATTAGTTAATGGCATTTTTTTTCGATTTTTACTGGAACTCTTTGAATCGTTTTGCGTTTTTTTTACTAGAAATGAAGTGAGATTTTTCAGTATCTTGGTTTTGTACATCTTAGTGCTGGTGATCTTCTTCGTAAAGAACAAGAACGGGTAGAATCAAAATTTGGTAAAATTATTGATGAACACATTAGAAACGGGACGATCGTACCGGTGGAAATTACTTGTAAGCTTATTGAAAAGGTATTTCTTGCTTATATCATAATTGTTTTATCATAATTCTCTCTTTCAAGCTTTCTCTACTGTTCGGCAATTCTGAACTGAGACAAATGCTGGAGAAGCGCTTTTAGGAAATTTACTTTATGTACCCATAGCTTTATGAAGGCAATGGATGAACGCTCATTCGCGAGAGGCTTTCTTATCGATGGTTTTCCACGGAATCAAAATAATTTAGATGGATGGAAACGTGAAATGGCTGATAAAACAAAAATTTGTTTCGTGCTTTATATGGCTTGTACGATCGAGGTTATTAGTTCATCATTTATCAGAAACAACTTGCGCTTTTTTCAAATATTCTGAAATATTTTCAATTTAAAAGATTTTTCTCTTTGGATATTTTGGTTTTTGTGGTGTTTTTTGAACTGTTTTCATAACCAATTAAATTGGCATTCGGTAATTTCATAATGTAAAAAGTAATTTTCGTTCGATAAATTTGTGAGGCGTATGCATAGGAATTTTTTGCAGGAGTGCTTAGAACGATGCTTGAAGCGTGGTCAGGGTCGTACGGATGATAATGAACAATCTTTAAAGAAGCGTATCGAAACATATAATAATCAAACAGTACCTATCATTGAATATTTTCAATCACTTGGACTCGTTCGGGAAGTGTCTGCAATTGCTTCACTTGAAGAGGTAATGGACTTTTAAATTAGTATCTGTAGTATTAGTATATTTGTAGTATAGTGTTAGTAGTATTAGTATTTAAATTAATATTTTTATTAAAATTAAAGAAATTAAGATATTAGGCGATAACTTGCTGTATCGTGTTTCAGTGGTTATTATTATAATATATTTAAGTGCAGTTCACTCATCATTCCTAGTTTGGCTCATTATTATTCTCGCTTGTCATTAATAGGATGGAAGAGTTTTGCCAGATTATCTCTCGAAAATACAGACGGATCCACAGCATCATTTAGATTTCTTAATGACAGGTTTATTACCAGAGGCACAGCCGAGCTACAAAGTTTGAAATGATGATTTAGATAATGACTTACCTCAGCCTTACTGCCCCTATCTTGATATATTATAACCTATAACTTGCACTTATATATATATATATATATATGTTACTTTATTATATATATTTTTGTAAGTATTATACCTTTACCGTGACTTTTAGGTTTTTACGAATATACGGAAAATATTCCAAAGCGAAGGATTTCTACCACTAAACAAAAGCCTTTAAAAATTAATTAAAATTGGAAATCATTATACTGGTTATAGGTGGACTGAACCACAGTACACCACAATATGATCTGATTGATTTAGGAATCCTCGAAATCGTCTCGGTTATGTGTTAATATTTTCTAAATAATTTTTATAAATAGATACTATGTCGCTCATGTAAAAAAATTCTGTGATAAGCCAAAATCGTTCATAAATAATATCTTAATGATTAACTTGTCTTACATTACTCATCTTTTTTCAAAATATAATAAAAATAATTTTTTGATATTTTTTACATAAAACTTATGCTTTTATGGTTGCAACCATAAAAAGAAGAGCCATATAAAGCAAGTAAACAAACAGAAGGAATACAACAACAAGCGA